TAATGGTGAAAGAATTTTTGAAATCGGCAAAGTAGTTTTTGAGTTTATTCATTACAAACATACAATCACACAAAAATAAAAATCTTTCCTCTTTCTAATATTAGTGTAGATTTCCCACCCCTAGTACAGTGGGAATTTTGTGGATTATTATAATGATAATGAAAGGTACATAAATTGTATAGGTATCTACTGAAAGATTTCTAGTTAATTTATCTCAGAGCTTTCATCGAAGTAAAAAATGTCATTCGCCTACGTATATTAGAAAAACAAATGCCAAGAGGAGCAACGTAAGAAATAATGGAAACCGGACCAACAACGAGATTTATTAAGGAAGGCAAAAATATAAAAAAAGACCATTAATTATCTGGTTTTGTTTTGACTTCGTTCCTCACTACTATTACTTCTCACACGCTGTACTATTACCATTTCGTAGATTTTGTCCTAGTTTATATATCATCTTGAATCCTTAAAACGGACAAACTAAGTATTACATATACCCGCAAACTACATATCTACAAATATTTAACTATATAGATAATTTTGGCTTCGTTACGTCGTACCTATTTGAAAAATTCTTTTTGCATTTGATATCTTATTTCTTGTAAAAGATTGTATAGGCCAGGAGTTCCTAAACTTTAAGATAACAGAACGCCAAAAAAAATCCTTTTATTTTATAGAACCCTATATCAAATGATTACGAATCAAAAACACTGAAAATTAAATAGAAAGAAAATTAAACAAAAGCTTTTGTTAGAAATATTTAAAAAGTATAGCATTTTATAGTTTCTTTTAATTTTTAATGTGAAGAATAAAATGTTTCACTTTATAAATAATTTTGCGAAACCCTAGTAATTTTTTACGGAATCCCTAGGTTCCGTGGAAACCATTTTAGGCATTGTTGGTATAGGCTATTCAATATTACAATACAATATATCTAATTGTTTATATTATGTTGCAAAGATTAATTTTCATACTCGGAAGTTATTGGTTTTTAGACATTAGATATAAATTAGATATACTTACACAAATTTACACTTCATTTATGCCTTACATAAATTCAGAAAATAAAACTCTCACTCACACAAAACGCGACCATTTGAAAACGTAACACAAGAAATTATTCTTGACAAGAGTGCGCCCTCTGAATATCAAGTAAAATGGTGAGAACTTGGAGTGAAAGTAAGACGTTCCCTGACGTTCCTTTAGAGTAAATGTACGTCTACCGTTTTATAACAATAATAGTATTTATATATTATTTTATATTTCAGTCGTAAGTTTATCACATATACCAAATTGGTGTAAACATAATATTTTGACAAATAATAAACATATAAATTATCTAATACTTATTAACTTTCTTGTGACAGCGAATATCATCAGGCCAGCGTTACTAGATGTGTTTTTTTATTTCTACCTAAGATTCAAAAAAATTTTCTCCAAATCCATACGATTTCCTTCACTTTTACCTAAATATAACAAGATCACTTGTATCGGTTTTCACTTCATTTTACCACGTAACCACTAGTCGAACGACGCACGAATAGAACACCAATTCCTACACCGATTTCATTCCCTCATACTACTACAAATGAAGCCGTATATTTTGTGAATCTATATATAAACGATTTACAAATATCAAAACTCTCGCAAAAACTCACCCAAACATCCATTATATTTTTCTCCAACAATTCCGTTTCCCAAAAACTTCGCCAACAAAAAAAAAATTACACGACATTGTGAAAAAGATAACCAATCTGGTAACGTTGCATCAGCCATTAAATTCGTCCTGTATAATGTTAAATTCTTTTCTGTCTTCCAAACCTTGCCTCCCGCCTTGATAAATTAGAATATTGCTAATAGAGACTAGACCACTATGTCATATATAAAATATATATAATAGTTTTAAAAGTGCTTGAAGCAGAGACATGATAGAGGCCTTTGGCATTCGGTTCTCTCAAAACTACTTTTACTCTAATCAACCCGCAAGGACCTTTTAGTGAAGATATATAAAAGCAGATCAATATTACCCAATCAAGAAAACATGAATTGGTAACCTCCTTCTTTTAAAGCCGGTAAAAAATTAATGAGATGAAGACGGCGCTTTCGCTCAGGGGAGAATAGTAACCCACTTTTATTTTATGGTTGTTGCTTGTTCAGCCGATAGGAATGCGTACCAAGATAAGCAATTTCCCCAAGTCGGATAACATTGTAGCTCCTCCAATTGTGGTATTTTATGAGTTTATTTCTTAGATAAATAAGAATAAGAGACAGTCAAACTGATTGCATATTGGCCCTGAATATTTATTTATTTATTTATACTTTTGCACACACTAGAACATGTCCACAGGACGGACTTAATGCCTGATGGTATTCTCTACCAGTCTAACGTTACGCTAAACAGAGAGAGTAAATGGCGGTGCATAGATTTAAAAAAAATTAAATTAAATAAATATTATATAAATATAGGATTGTTATATACTACGATAAATGTAGGATTATATTGTGATAAATGTAAAATTGTTTAAAAAAATTATCAACTAGGAATTTCGCCCCGCATCGATTCATTTTGCAGTCTTTTTCGTCTCATTTTGCGTTTGAATTTATTATTAATTTAATGGTAAAACTTCTAAATATATGTAGTAAGTACCATAGACGTATTTAAAGAGAGAAATGGTGGATAGGTCATGCCCGTCCCATAATTGTGTAACCCACCGTAGGATGAGAACGATATCTGAAAGTAGATATACGCCTTTTATGTGGGGCCGGCCCTCCTCTTGGCAAATAATTTTAATACACCAGTTGATCAGTGCCCAATAATCTAAAATTCCTGTATTTTCAGTAATAGTGGCAATGAAACAAAAACAAAGTCTAAAGACACTACGCCAACGATTTTTACAGAAGCACCTAAATAAAAACTCACAACTGTCAACATCTTTTTAACTAATAGCTAATTTATTAATTTCATTACAATAAATGAGATCGTGAGATTTACATAAATACTCAAAACTTTATTAATTATGGTGAAACAGCAAACAAGCTGACCGCCCACCTTTTTTTTATGCAACTTAGAATGATAAACACGCTGACGACTCACCTGATGGAAAGCGATAACTGACGCCTATAGACATGAGCAGTACCAGACGAATGGACATAACAGAGTATACTGTTTCGCCCATGATACCCCCCCATGCGTTATCATTCTTAAGGACTCAGGTGTTATTCCTCTGTACCCAGTAAATTCACTACCATATCTCAACCGTCAAACCGAAATGCACAGCCATGTTAACACAACTGCTTCACGTTAGAAACACGAATAGGACAGAGGTGCCCAAGCACAAAGCTACTTTTGTACAAAGTCACCCTTTTGCACTTGATGGAAAGAGTCACTTATAAGCATAAATAATATCATAATCATCACAGATTACACCGTGATATCCATGGTACCCCATTGCGTGGTCATTTCATTATATTATGCGGCCATACCCTGTAATTTTATTGTCATATACCCTTCGACAGATAACTTTTTTACAAAAAAATCTCCATCTGATAATCTGATATGACAAGCCACTCTTTCACTATACCCACTATTCATTTTAACTGTAGGTGAAATTGCTCTTACATCTTACACTTTCGTTTTGTGGTTTTGCAATAAAATATTCAAGGTGAAGCGTTTTATTGTAACACTACCGCAAATACCTATCTATATTCTTGAGGATTTTCAGCTTACGTTTATAGTTTGGGTGTACTTCTCTTATGTAAATGTGCTATATATCTACAAGTTATATCTAAATATATTCTTTGCAATTGTCTGATGAAATTGAAGTCTTTCATCATTAGATTTTATTTTAATTAAGACTATATTATTGTTGTCTTCTTATATAGCATTAGACACTTTTTCTTTTAATAATGAAAAGTTTAGCTAATTTAAGCTTTTTTTTCTGTTAATTACAGTCTATAGGTAAGCAACTGTACTCATATCAGTTGTTTTTTAATTAGTATTTGTTTATTTTGTTTGTCGATTAAAAAAATACTGTGATTAAATATTTAATAAATATTTTAATGCGTTACCTTGCATTTGAGAATCTCACCGTACCGAGTAGTCGAAAGTATTTTTCGACCTAATTTTAATTTTGGTACCAAATAGACACTTAATTACATCAGAATTGGTCGAAAGGAGCCTGAGAAAAATTTGCATAGTATTATCTTATGCGAGTACAAAGTAAATGGGCCCTAGGGAACAATAAAAAGATATCCAAGTTGGCCTATACGCAGAAAACAGCTATGTAGTCTGCTTGAATAGAAATTAATTAAAATGTAAATAAACGATTAATTAATCCAAACATAGACAGTTTGCTAATGTCTAATATTATAATTTTCATCAGAGCATGACTTTGTACAAAAATCGATTCCTTGGGTACCTCTGTCCCATTCATGTTCTTATCATTAAGCAGTTGTATGGCTGTGTTTCGGTTTGAAGGGTAATGAATTTATAGGGTACAGAGGAATAACATCTGAGTCCTCAGATAACGGTAACGCATATGGGGTATCATGGGCGAAACAGTAAACTCTGTTATGTCCATCAATCTGGTACTGGTGGTGTCTATAGACGACGACGAAGGTTACCATTTTCCATCAGGCCGTCGGCTTGTTTGTCATTCTATGTTGCATAATAATAGTACAAATAAAAAATCTGTTATAATTAAATGAATTTTTTATTTCTTACTAATTTCATTTAATAATAATAGTGTCTTATCCCAACCAGTCTAGAACAATACCTCAGAGAGTAGGAATTCCAAGGCAGCTCTTTTCCGGAAAATATGCAAAATGCCTTTACTTTTGGATACTGCCCGCGTAGTTCTTTATCCTCGGTTAGTTTGCCATCTCCCCTCCTTAAGAGGGTTATCAACAATTTTTGGTAAATTTTTTTTTAGTTTTATTTTAAATTTAAAACAGACTATATTTGTAACTAGCAATGTATAAATTGGGAATGTTGTTCGCAGCATGCGTGGAGGAGGAATGCATCGACTGGGAGGGCAAGTCAGTGCCACACGGGCTACTGTACGTGCCCGGGCCGGGCGTCTGCTCGCTCTGTGTCTGCTACCACTCTGAGCCCATGTGGTGCAAGGCCATATATTGTGATCCGCCTTATGTGAGTATTCCATTGTTATTATTTTATTGATAACCTCCATGACGAGGGGGGATTGTTAGTAATGCGGACTGCCAGTCTCATTGCTAGCAATATATTCTGTCAGGTCTTTTTTTTTTATACAACTTAGAATGGCAAACAAGCTAACGGCCCACCTGACGGAAAGTGGTAACCGTCGCCTGTAGACATGAGCAGTATCATGAACATATATACTTTCCATCAGGTGGGCCGTCAGCTTGTTTGCCACTCTAAGTCGTATAAAAAAAATATATAAAGACAGATTAACCGATAACTGATAAGAAAAGTAGGCATTTCAAATTATAAGTAGCCGGCTACTTTTTTAAAGAAATAATGGAATAGTTATTCCACCAGTGCTATTGATACAAGCTGTTGGGGTACCAGTAAGGCATAGAGTTATTACTCTATGCCTCACTAATGCCCCAATAACATGGACAGCATATTATAAAAATAGGCATGGATGAAAGCAGATAATTTGGCCTATCATGGCGGATTCACCAAGAAAATTATCCAAAATGTTTTCCAAGGAGAATCGACTAGAGGTCGACCTAACATGTATATTGCTAGTAAGCCATTAGTCTCTGTTATTAACTATCTCTTCCCCCTAATAGCCGCCTGCTGGAATGTGCCGCCCACTGTACCCTCATGTATAACGAGTCTTAATAACCGAGATGCTATATCTCTAATCAAAGAAAGACTGGCCACGTTATACTTCAGACTAAAACAAGAAACCCAATAATGTATATCTGCTTAATTTAGATTACCACTACCATCAAATTAAAGTGTTCCTTCTTTAAACTTTAACTTCTAAAAAAATATATTTAAAAAACCAATGACTTGCCATAAAATATTTTAAATGTATATCGGAAAATACAATCCCAAAGACATTCCGCTGTGATTTATTAGTACCTAATACTCGGTACTTTAAATATAGAGCTATAAAATAACCACATAAAAAACAGGGTCACTCGTAATAATTTATCATGTTTTTAACTTGCCAAATGTGGGCTGAAATAACCGTTGCCAAGTATTGAATGGTACAATATATTTAAAATATTCCATTTATTAAGGCACTTAATTGCCCTAAGAAGTAATTAATGCAATAATCAATAAATATATACTCAGTGTATAATTCTAATTTGAAGACATCTCTAACATAACTCTCTCACCAGAGGAAGACTTTGTACAAAAGTCGATTGCTTGAGTACCTTTGTCCCATTAGTGTTTCAACCGTGAAGCAGTTGTGTTTGCATAGCTGTGTTTCGGTTTGAAAGGTGGGATATGGCGTGAATTTACTGGGTACGGAGGAATAACACCTGAGTCCTCAGGAATGGCAACGCATGGGGGGTATCATGGGCGAAACAGTATACTCTGTTATGTCCATGGCACTGCTCATGTCTATAGGCGACGGTTACCACTTTCCATCAGGTGGGCCGTCAGCTTGTTTGCTATTCTAAGTTGTATAAAAAAAAAACATATAAATAAAGAGTAAAAAAATATAAAATTTTGAAACAATATCAAAATGTATTTATCATACATAACCTATATCCAAACAGAAATAAGATAAACCTCAAATATAGAGAAATGCAATGCAATAAGCAACTCATGTATAATACAATCCTTAAACCGATATGGACCTATAGGCCCCAATCGTAGGGTTCTGCAAGTACTTCTAACATATATAAAATTTTAAGAACCCAGAACTATATCTTAAAGCAAAAATGCAACGCACCCTGGTTTATTCGTAATTCAGAGGTTTATAAAATTCTCCAAACCAAGTATGTTTGTTACTCAACCATTTTATGTCACGACCCACGAAAAAGCCAACAAGTTCAGTAAAAAGTCTTGCGACCCTATCACTATAAAATTATAATAATATTTTAATTAAGTAGTCATTTTCTTGTGCCCAATGCTACCACACCACTAATTTAACAATAGGTGACAATCCAGCAATCGGATTAACTTTGCTATGTTTGTGCCGACTCGTACATGAACGAATAGCATTAGTAATCGAGTGATTTAAAAATCATTCGGATAGTCCGAATATTATTTAATTAATAATAATAATTCGAATAATTCATAATCGGATTAGTAAAGTCGCACATCGCTACGTTAAACGAATCTTTCGAGGTCTTATTATTTTTCAACAGAATACGACCCTCTTTAATAACATACGCGGACCCCCCGATTGAGAAACAATGGCGTTGGGAATGCGAACAATGGGACCCATCGTCAATGAAGGTAAATGGGATCCATTCTATTTAAGTGTTTGCCATGTATGTCATTATCAATATTGTCAAATAAAATCTAATTATCTTCTCGTTTGTTTGCAGTTTTGTAAAAACTTCCGCGTCGGGGAACGATGTTGCGAATTCGAGTGCCTAGATCCGCCCGGCGAGGACACCAGGTAAAAAATATTTATATTATACTTATTTTACGCATTTTGAAATGCCAAACAAAATGACAGACAGATCTAATGGTAGTGGACAGTGATAACTTCACCATGGACCTCAAAATATACTGACCCCCATGGTACCCCTTAGGTGTGACCTGCAGGTCTACTCTTGAATTCAATATCAATATCGATCCAATATATTGCCAATGACTATTTTATACTGCACTCATGAAACAACAGTTAGGGATTAGGTGGGAAATGAAATCGGTTTGCATTGACGATTCATACTCATCTATCTTTTAGAACCATATGGAACCATTATGTCGCTAGCGTTGCAATTCGAGAGTGCAAAACGTCTCAATTTCAATATCGATTTACCGATTGGAATTTATTTCAAGAGTAACCCTACTGTTCTTTATTCTTTATTGAACACAAAACATACTGTTAATCACAATTCATTATAAACATAATGTACAAAGGCGAGCATATCTCTAATAAGAGATTTCTTCCAGCAAAACCTTTTCATGTACATTGTATTATTTTAAAAATTTCATTTTCGAAATAGGTTGACAACACGATCGACGATTTCGGTAACCTTAGTAATGTTAATATAATAAAATTGTAACTAAACGATATCTATACACGAAAGATATTAAAAATAACTATGTATGGGGTTTTAATAGGAACAACAGTGGCCAACACAATTTTTAGAAATTTTGTCTGATTGAAATTTGCCCATGAGCTTAGATGTTAACTGGATATTTATATATCTTCACACTAAGTTCCTTACGAGGTAGGCAGTGAAATCGAGTGCCAAAAGTTCTTCTTCTATCTATTATGAAGCAACGTCTTTTTCCTTAATTTTTTATTTCTTCACTGCAGATACCGCGAGCGGCAGCGTCTTCGGGCACTGATCTTAGCAGGGAACTCGTCAGCACCACACGTTGCCCCGTCGTTGGAACTTAAAGCCGGCATCTCTCTTCTAGCTGTTGCCGTCGTCAGATTCGTATGAGACCAGCTATAGAATAACAAATGTGATTCACAATTCTATGATCTTTAAACCAACTGAAAATAAAAAGACGTGTTCAGCAAACTCGCAAAATGTGAACGAAATAATTGGCAGTCTTGAAACTTTATGTCTATATAAACTTCCAGCGCTTATCTCAAATTTATGATAAGTCTGAATACAAAAATCATTTCTTCGAGATATCCACGTCCCTCATAAAATCTTGAAACCTCATCAAAGTACATAATTTAGAAACGAGAATATTTTTTTAATAAAGTACGTAACGCTAAGATGTCACAACATACCACTAAAGCTCTGTATTGATCTTCAAATTAAAGACGTAGTTTCAAGCTATTATTTAAGTACATATCCAGAAATTAGAATATTTCTGTCAGTTTTTATTAATTATATTTATAGGGCTGTGTATAATGGGGATGTATATGATTTGTACAAACGACATTTGTACAAAGTCTCCCTCTAGTACCTACTTTGTTTACCTGTTACCTCTTTCTTTGTATTACATAGCATCGTATTGCTAAATCTATAAAACTAATATTACAAAGAGGAAAGATTTGACTGTTTGTTTCTAATGGATAAACTTAAAAACTAATTAATTGATTTTAAAAAATCTTTTACCTGTAGTAAGCTACATATTCAGCGAATAAGAGAGGCTATACATTATTTTCGAAAATTGTATCTACCTATGAGAAGCCCGGCCGGATCACTAATATTTTATGTGATTTATTTTCAAAGGAATATTTACCCACTTAAGTATGTTTTTTTGGCCGCCATTTTGGAATTTTTTTTTTAAATTCTATCTGCCTGTGAAACCGCGGGCTTTCAAAAGAATATTTATCCACTTAACTGTTGTCTGAATAAGTAAATATTATTATTATATAATGAAATGACAAAAAGCAGATTAACTAACATTTTTTGGTCGCCATGTTGGAGCCATTTAATTTATAGACAAGTATAGAATTTCACATCTTATATTCTATGATTCAGTGCCATTTATGTATTAAAACCAAAGGCCTAGTGTACTAGTCGCCGACGGAGTCAAATAATATTCGGACCAATTTTAAGTAAACGAGTAGCGTATTTTTTTGGTGGAATTGGTTTTATCGTGTTCCGTAGTTTGTCATTTTTATTTTAAATGTCCATGTTTAGAGTGATTGATAAAAAGGCTTAAAATATTTTAGGATCGCAACTATTAGATTTTATTCATTCATGCAAATCTTCCTGATAAAAAAGAGCATTATAAATGAATACGACACACTGTGTCGACTTGTATGTACTTATTCTATGGTCATCAAAATATACGGCACAATTTACTTTCAGGCTTCAGTACATTGATCCTCATTGAACGACAAATTAATACTGGCTGATACGAGTATATATGAAAAAATATTAAATCTTTCCTAAAATATTTTAAGCATAGATATCTATACCAAATGATATTGAGAAAAATAAAAAAGAGGTTGAGCTAATTAGTAATACCTTTGATTTAAATGAGAGCTATCATTTATACATTTTAATTATCTTAAACATTAATTACGCTCATGCTAGAAGTCCTTTCTTATTTTTCTAAATATTCCATTTAAATTCAGCAAAAATTTAGAATTATACATAAGTATAGGTATATTTTAATGCAAATAGCATACCGTGATTACTTATCTAATACTTCTCACTTCTTTAATATTACCTATTTCACGTAGTTAGATACACTTACAAATGTAGCTTTAAATTTACAGTCATAATGTAACGATGATGAAAATATTGTCATCGGCGTCTACTTAGAATTGTAAAATAGTACGAAACGTTACAGTTAATGGATTAATCTAATCATGGGACGAATAAATTACATTCGCATATAATATTCGAAATTATTTATAATACACGTGGTATATCGCTTCATTTAATATACAGTAAATATATTATAAGCACCATCGTATCGTATCAACCGTTAAGTGCCCATTGCTGAACATAGGCCTCCCCCATAAGAGGGGTTTTGCCAGTAATTGCCATGCTTGGCACGAGTTGGCAACCGCAGTTAGGATTATGGTGATGTTTTAAGAGGAACGCTGTTGCCCATCTATCGACCATTAAGTTCCTTTAGTCACGTCTTACGACACCCACGAGAAAGAAAGACGTAGCCTATGTAAATTTATGCCGGGATCACACGGCATATATTTATTTATTACTGAAAAATAACTACAATATAGTAGCCCAAAATTTCCATAATATTATCAAAATAAGTGGCAAACAAAATCAGTCAGAAAGCACGAGTGTCAGATAGCTCTGCGGTTGGCGGTAAGTAGTGGCATAAAGTTATTGGTAACACAGACTTGTCACTCACACGTTACATTTTTTATATAGATATGTACTGTTAACGATACAGTACCTTATTATAAAAAATAATGTGCATTCCTATAAAAATATCTATCATCGTACAAAATTTCTTACAGGGTAGGTTACATTACATACATATCATCCATTCACAATTGCTTCATCCACTTTCAAAACTCGTCTCATGTATGAAAATGTGAAAGTGATTGCCTCTTGATGCCTTTACAACATAACCAATCGTCATTAACTGTAGTATACATGTAGTATTTGGGATGATAAACATATAGGCTACTTTTTAATTCGATCAATCAATATATTCAAGTCACGCAAAATCACAATAAATAAAAACGGTTAATCGTAATGGCGGTTAAGTAATAAACGTATTGTTATGTTTATATGTGAATATTATACGGTTAAGGCGATAAATTCAAAATCACAAGGTATGCGCAACTGCAATGACTAAATGACAGGGAATAGTAAAATTAGGACTTATAGATAGAATAAACAAGGAAATCTGATTGTGGCACCAGTTGTTGGACTGTTGCGAGACAAAAGCATCTTTGATGCGTATCAAATGTAAAGATACGTTCAAAAGAAGAATACCAAAGACCAAGGAAAAATTTGAAGTCCATAACCTGAGTCCATAATCTCATTTCATACGGGAGATGTCATCATTCAATAAATACGTTAATTTTTACACAACTGCCTAAAAAAAGAGTGCCCTGGTTTCAGGGTTCATGTATGTACCTATGTAAGTTTTTAATTGTACAATAATTTCTAAATGCCTAAACAAATTTCGATATATGGGATATATTCTTTAAATCCCGTTTCCAGGTGATACTGGCTATATGTTTTTTAAATAGTTATCACCAAAAAAAAACTATTTAAAAAAAAATTATTGCTCTTTTAGTTTGAGAAGCAAAATGTACTTATTAGTTTTTATAAATATATAAAATCGAACTTTATTTTATCGTCATTAAGTTCAATTTCATTATCCAAAAATGAAACGTCGTATGTGGAGTATAGTTCGGTACCTACATATACCAACATGATTAATTACTTCTAAAAAAAAATATCGCGTGACCACACTCTCATTAAGTTGGCATTTCTCAAAAGAGCATGCGACGGTGCTCCCTTGAATGACAATAAATAGCACGCAACGCAACGAATATTTTATGCGAATACAATTATATAAACACCTTTATGGCGGATTAGAAATGTTTCATTACATTGAATTCTATAGGCATTCGATAGATAGAAAATAATATAGTTTAGTTAGGAAATCTTATTAGGTGATAATATTGGGACGAGCCTCCGCTCAATGAAAGTGAAGACGTAAGGGAACACGACAAGATAAAATTTTAAATATGTACTTAAATTTGTCCAGCTCAATAAATAAAGTTAGTAGAATGAAATTTTGGATGCGTCCATTTTAAAAATTAACTTGACGAAGAAACCACTTTGAAAAAAGTATTTATCTAAGCATCTTTTTATCTAATCTTTTTTCCTGTGATGTATTAAATTTTTTTTAATCGACATACAGATACAGACTTAAATACATTTACCTACTGTTTTCAAAGAAAGTTAATATAATTAAAATATAAAATGATATTTATGCTTACCTTTAATAAAATATATTATTGCCAAACCGATCAAGTGAAATGTTTCTGAAGTTTATAATGCATTTCCCTTTTCTCCCTATGCACTATCTACATAATATTAAAACTTACACGAGATTAAAAGAATTGTATGTGATATTTTGCCGGTTGTCATATATTTTGCAAATATAATTAAGATTGACAGCTTTAATAATTAGATATAAGATGCCAAGTTACCTTTAAAATAAGTGATCCAGTGTAATAAAATTACAGATCCTTTTAAAAGTGAAGTTTAATGCACTTGTATAAAGATATAGAAGCATTTCTTTCAAATGTTTCTATTTTGCATCTAATAATAAATAATATTATTTATGCTTTGTTCCCAATATGACTTATTTCAACATTGTTTTTATGTGAAACATTTTGTACAAAAGCCTTTGAAATTGGACCAATTGTTGAGATACTTAAATAAAATATTGTATAGTATTAGTTACATAATAATTATATAACAGTGAATCCACTTTCATGGGCTTAATTAAAAAGAACTGAAATAATTTTGCTTGTCTTTTACAAAATGACAATTGTAATTTTGGTAGTACCTACCATTATTAAGAGAATAACATTATAAGTCCAAATAGGTCTTTATGGATTGAACAATAATTACTATTGTATATATAGGTACTGTATGCATATAATTACCATTTATTTAGCTTATAATAAATCTTATCACAAAAACTATATAGACTTTTATTTGTTCCTTGAAATAATAAAATCGTTTTATTACATTTTAGCATGTATATAGTGGTGAATTCTTAGAATCCTTTCATAGTGACTGTGAAAATACAGTCATAGCTGCAGTAGTTACAGAGTTCCATCATATTAATAGATAATAAAATAAAAAATACAGAACATAGAACCTGCCCTTTTTTAAAGTAGGTTAAATAGTAATTATATTGTATTTTTCTCTTAATTTAAATATTTACAAAGTGACTTTTACAAAATATCTTATTTTAACTTATATTGCTAATTCAAACTGAAAATTATATTTTATTTAATATTATCAATCTGTACTGACTCTATACATATTTTTTTTTTTAAATCAATTAAGTGTTTTTTGAGTTTATCCATTCCGATTTTAAATTATACAATCAATTTAGACATGAACAGTTTACTAAAGTAGGTATTTAAAATTCAGACAAAGTAGCAATTTGTACAATTTATTAAAAATGACAACATTGTATCTTAGATTTAAACAACTGGAATGATTCAATCACCACCTAAGTCCTTTCTCATGTAAGTCTTTTTTAGCCTCAAGTATTTCCTGTTGAAGCTCTTTGGCTGCATCTTCACAATTATTAAATGTAAAAACACGATAAAGAATAACAGTGGGTGCATATATGGCAAACAATACAATAAATATTAAAGGCGAAAATAATATTAATGTCATATTATTTTCTATTGCGGGATGCTTCACGTATCCTCCTACTAAAGAGTACCATACAGCAAACACCGCTGAGATGACTGATATCCACTCTATTAGCTTAGTCATGGTTCTGAAATCAGAAATAAATGTTTTTTAATGAAAAAATAAAAAAAATTATCTCTTCAGATTTAAATGATAATTATTGATACCTTGTTTACAAATTTTGTTCTTTTAAAAGATATAAATAACATATAAATACTAATGGAATGCTGGTAGTTAGTAATATTTTATCTAATTATCCCATAAGACAGTGCATATTAAAGATTTAACACAATAAAGAAATATTGCATTATTCACTGCACAACCAACTATTTATAATTTATAACCAAACCCAAAACGAAAATTTAAGATTTTTGTTTCAATATTTCTAAAACAAAAATATTAATGAATCAACACGAACTGTGAATATGTCAATAATGTCAAGTTGATATTAGATGACACTAGATTATTAGTTGAATTCGTTGTTGATACAAAGACTGCAGCAAAAGTATATTATTATACAGCCATTTCTAATATTTTTCTCGTTTAGTTTTATTTTAATCAAGATATGATATATATTAAGCTTTTAGCAGTTACCTACTATTAAATCATTGATCTTTTATTATTCTCCAAAATCAAAAATAATTTAAATTTATATTTTATAATTCTTTATCTACGGTTATTCATTTCTTTGTTGGTTACTTCTAATTCTAATTGTAAATAAATTTTAATTAAAGCAATCATTCATTTCTTTTTTATAATAATTCACAATGGTAATTATTTCCCCATAAACACTTTTGTTACATATGTTCGACTCAAAAAATAAAATGTATGGTAGTTTTTTGTTTAAGAATAAATATCTACCTATTTCCGGTATGACGTATAGCAATTAATTATAATAGCAACACAGACTCTTGTGTCGTAAAAGGGTGAGTGAACCGCCTCATTGTTATTTATTGCATTTGTCTCTAATAATACATTAATTAGCCGTTTTACGGACACAGCGAGTGCAATAACATAGGCCGCGACAGCCATGCCAATGTGAGTAATATACAAGAGGTGTGGCACGTCGCTGGGGCGTTGTTTCTTGGTGCAGTGACATTGTTGGTGTGAAAAATATTTTGCCTATCTCGACGCAACATGACCGAGTACAAATTGGTGGTGGTAGGTGCTGGAGGCGTCGGTAAATCCGCATTGACTATACAACTTATACAAAATCATTTTGTGGACGAGTATGATCCTACTATTGAGGATTCGTATAGGAAACAAGTGGTGATTGATGGTGAAACGTGCTTACTGGATATTCTCGATACGGCTGGTCAAGAGGAGTATTCCGCAATGAGGGATCAATACATGCGGACGGGGGAAGGGTTCCTGCTGGTGTTTGCGGTGAACAGTGCTAAAAGTTTCGAGGACATTGGCTCGTATCGAGAGCAAATCAAACGCGTCAAGGACGCGGAAGAAGTGCCCATGGTGCTGGTGGGTAACAAGTGTGACCTACAGGCGTGGGCTGTCGACATGACACAAGCACGAGAAGTAAGTATTTCACACACAGTTTAATAGTATTACAATAAGTGACACATTGTTTATGTATTTGATTTACAAACTGAAGGTCAGTTGGATACAAAGACCCATAATATATTAGTAATATTGGTCAGTGGGGCGGAAGTATGTCCTTTTACATAAGTTATTTTTGCATCTAAAGAATTAATATCTAAATAAAAAAAAAAACTAAATAATAAATATAATTGTTTGTAAATACTAAGAAAGATAATAAAATATAAATGATGAATAGGATCTCTGGAATTCGAACAATGTAAATATTGTAATCTGAAATAAAATGTGTAAACAAGGCATATTCAACAATAAGTTAAACTATTAAATTTATTTTAAATGTTCTTATATTTTTTATAAAACAAATGCCCTACATACAGACATGTCTGGTTTTGATTACCATTTTATTATATCTGTTTAGATATGTAATAAAATTTGAAATTTATATTGAATATCAGGAATATCATCAGGTTGACTAATTATTTATAAAATATGAAAGCTATTATTATTCTTTTATTTAATTGTATATCTATATTAAACCCAAATATCTCATTGTCTGATTGCTAATGGTATTTACTATCATATCTTGGAGAGTAAATATGTCCACTATATGTAATGACTATCCTATAATGTAGAACAGCTATTTTGAACTTTTTTCAACATTACTGTAAAAATACAAAACTCTATCAAATGTGATGATATATTATATGCTCTTAAAATTTAAATTTCATAGACCCCAGACGAGGAAAGTATAATAATGACAATAGTCTATTTCAATAGAACTTAACGAAAATGTGAACAAAAAAATTAATTGACTCAAGATATATTAACATAAGATAATTTGCCATTGTCCAATAGTATTTCAAATAAAAAAAAAAAAACAATATTAGATGCATAGATAGGTAAACACTTTATTTGATTAATCTATGACATAAATTCTCAACTAAATTAATACAATCAAATAATTACATAATTATAAAAAGAAAACACTATAAAATATGTTTTTGCTATGTGTGTCACACACAAATAGACCACAACTCAATAATAGTATTAATTGATTGAATCTTCCAATTTGCTACTAATTTCATATTGAAAGTGTTTCTGTGATAATTTCAACAATACAAACCATAGAGTATAATATGTTTGAACAGTATCATGGAATTGAACCACTTGTTGGTGATTTAAGAATATTGTTTACACAACAGTTGTAGTTGTGTATCTAACTTTTGTTTGTATACATTATTTGTATACCTAGACAATTGAAATGTGATCACTTACAATTTGTTCTTTATATATTGATAACTGGGCATTATTTACTAAATAATTGATATTGAACAAATAATAACAGAAAAGGTTTTGTATTTATTGATTATATACTAGTATAATGATCTTTTTTTTTTTTTTAATGAATGAAATAAAACATCAGCAATAAAGAAGCAGGTATTTACCTGCAAAAAATTTTTCATTACATTAAGTGCCAATAGTGCATTTAAATATAATTAAAACAACTTCAATAAAGACTAACTGAGATTGTTTAATACAATTGAATATGTCAAGTGTAAAAAAGTATCATACTAATAAATGATCATCAAATTTTCTTAACCATTTTAATAATTTAATTATGGAACATATCTAAATTTCATAATATTTTTTTTAATAACTTTTAGGCTTTTGTCTGCCTCTTTTTTCTTTTATAATATATATAGCATATATATGCATAGCTTACCTGAATAATGATATCATTTCCGGCCTCTTATTAGTTTTTTTTTTTTTTTTTTTTTAACTTCTATTTTAATGAAGTCAAGTTTTAATTTTTATATAACTTTACATAGATAAAAAAAATACTACTAGCAGTATAGTAGTAATATATTTTTTTATTCAACTTAGAATAGCAAACAAGCTGACAGCTCACCTGATGGAAAGTGGTAACCGTCGCCTATAGACATGAGCCTATAACTGAGGTTTACTAGTGACAGTGAGTAGTTTTTCATATTAGGTGTACAGGTTTTCATTGATACTAGGGTATGTAGCAGTAGTCAGTAGGCATGAGCAAATTTGGTATCATTCCAAAATCTATCATCTTTTGGACATTGATAGCTAAAAAAGGTAATCACCCATTTCAATATCTCATCATATCATCCCAGTTGGATATCTATATTCATTTCTATGGGGTCCTTCATTTTGATTTTATATATTGTTTAAGTGAATTTACTGGGTACAGAGAAATAACACCTGAGTCCTAAGAAATGACAACGCATGGGGGACCCCCCATGGTGATCATCATGGGTGAAACAGTATATTTTGTTATGTCCATGGTACTGCTCATGTCTATAGGCAATGGTTACCACTTTCCATCAGGTAGGCTGTCAACTTGTTTGCCATTCTAAGTTGTATAAAAAAAAGTAATATTAATACAATTATTCTCATTTATAACAATGATAAAGATGTTTTATAACTTCCACAAGGTAACACTTTAACAGTGATTCCTGCTCTAAACTTTAGGCTTGTATCACTGTAATCTTATTAAATACAAAACAAATAATTACAGATGGACAGATACATTAAAAAGTAATAAAATAGTCAAATAGTCTTCTATTATTACCAACAATTATAATCATATTAAATGATCAAGTCATTGAATCATTGTTGCTGTATACTCTGCATGGAGTATAATTTACAATGTAATAAAGTAGTTACAATTTTATTTCAACAAATAACAATGTTTGTTCATAATGATTATAGTAAAATTCCTTTATTTGATTTAGATTTATGAGTAAATAAAACATTAGGGGAATTCCCATAAAATTTATATAACTTTGTCATGTCTGTATTCTTAAACCTTACTAATATTATGAATATTAAAATGAATATGAGTATGTTTGATTGTTTGTTACCTTAACAGCTTAACCAATCACTGATATTTGGTGTATACATACTATATGGGATGGAGATAGATACAGGCTTCTTTTTATCCCAGTTAGTAAACATATCCTGGTGACGCAAACAAAGTCGCAGGTAAAAGCTAATATATATGTTACAGTCAAAACTCTTAACCAGTCAAAAGTACTATTGACTAGCGAAATCAGTCAAAAGTACTTTTGACTGAACAGGTTAGTCAAAAGTGGTTTTCACTGAAAGTTATTGGTTATTAGTACTTTTAACTGCAAATTTGCGGTTAGGTTAGGTGCTTTTAACTGTTATTTTAGTATTATTGACTAAAGCATGCGGTCAAAAGTATTCAAATATATATATAAGAACCCTATGTTACAATATTTGTTCACATTAATCAACGAAACTGCTCAACCAAATTTAATAAAATTTTGTAATTGTAAATGTGATACATACAGTAGTTTTTATCCCGATTAGAAAACTGGACGCAGTAGGTGGCGGTAGGGAGCAAAACAATGTTAACCGAGTCAGCTAGTTTGTATATATAAAAGAGATTTTGTAAACGACAACGTTGGCCAGAGAGATAGTGCATAATATGAAGTGACTGCAAATAAAGATGATAGAGTGCCCTATCTCCTCAACCAAAAACTTCGAATGGTCACAAAGAAACTTACCGCTGTTTTGTTTTCTCAGGAACATCATAAATGTGTATATTGTTACATTATACTTTAGAACAACGGCTGACAGTGAAGCGTTAATGGTCACTTGATTGGACTCCGAGAAGCGATCTAATAATTTGCTTAAAGATGCCTCGTTTAAAAGTGAAACACGTGTCACAAAACATGCGTGGACGAAATGACAGTCTGAGATTAAAGGCTAATATAGAAGGTTGTAGATCTTCTGATATCAATAATGGTGATCAATCTTCGAGTGTTGGCGGTCACATACATACTAATGGTAGCGGAATTAAACAAAATAATTCTATTCGAATAACCAGTGATATTGTTTACAACAAGATAACACTTATTTTAGTAAAATAGTGAAGTATTTATTCAATTCACACACTTCACTTGTGTGTCACATACAATATTGCACACTACACTATACCAGCTAGTGTTCTAATTTTATTGTTATTCTACAAAAAAATTGGCGTTCTTTACAAAAAGCGTTTTTGACCTTTTCAATTTTCTAAGTACAGAACCTTTACAACGAACGAAAGTAGTAATAGTTTCTTGCTGCTGTGAAAAAAGAACACCCGAAGCACTATCAAAATAAATTACGCGTGCAAGAATTAGAATAGGTATTAGAGATTTATTCTGTATCAAATCGCAGCTTAAGTCAACTAAGACGTTTCAGCTAAATACTCATCTCCCAATCGCGAACCAAATAATTTTGGAAAAAAAAAAAAAGTAGTAATAGTTCAAAATAATACTTTCCAGGTGGCGCGGAGTTACGACGTACCCTTTGTGGAGACATCGGCCAAGACGCGGATGGGAGTCGACGACGCCTTCTACACCCTAGTCCGCGAAATCCGCAAGGACAAAGAGAGCCGCGGCAAAAAATATAGGAGAGGAAACAAAAGGGGCACCCGGGCCCCGTTCAAGTGCATACTACTGTAAAATATATAATTAATGTAACAACTGATATTTATGGATATCATCTATTAGAGTCCATTGAACTTCGTTTAGTACTCCACTCGTGAACCATATCCTAGCGCTGGAAATATTGCTTAACGGTAAGCTTGTATTCATATATTATTAAAAGTACATGTTATTGTGAATATGCAATAGTTCATTGTTGAAATAATATCTCGTTTAAGGAGAAGTAAAAAATTGTGCGGCGCGTGTTGCGAAGCTTTGTGTAGATTACGACATAGGGCTGTCAAATGCTCAGAACCTGCCGAGGTTTTCCATAAGTAAGAGTGTATGAGGCTCTTCAGAAAGAGCGTATTTAGGTTTCTTTAGGGTTGGCAATGCGCACTTGACGTCCCTGTTGTTGCATACGTCTGTAGACTACGGGCTGAATGCTCATTTGCCACCTTTGTGGTATAAAAAAAAGCGTTTATCAATATAAACATAATCGTCTACACATACCATCAATTTATATAATTTTCTCCTCGCACTACACGCCTCACTATGATTCATAAACGAGACCAAAAAGATAGGCTATATAGGCCACTTTCATTCTTGTCATGGAATCAATTCCCCATTAATTCTGAGAGCCCAAAATCTTTCATTGTCATATGGAAAAAAAATGTGGCATAAATGTCTGGTTGACTAATTTAATCATATTATTATGTGTACAATATATGTCTGTCATGGTCAGCAGTAAGTTATACAAAGAAAAATCAGGAAATACTACTTGGTCAACATCAGTCAAACACAGTTTTGACTTAAATATAGCTTCCTTGTATTATTTACTTTTGACTTTACCAATTCTTTATTTATTTTATTTAATTCTCTATTGTACACACCAGTTATAAGAATATGACAGGGATAATCAGATGTACAAAGGCGAGCATAACTCAAATAGAGTTTTCTTCCTTTATATATTATATTATAAATTAAATTTCACTACGTTATTAATAGTCTCTTCTCATAAAAACGTCTATGGAAATAGATAAGAACAAATTTTATTTTCCAGTATCTAAGCTACCGGAAGCCCACAAAACCAGTTCAATTAATTAAGCTAGGTGTATCTAAGAAATTGAGGTGTAAATCTCTGAATATTGATATATGAAAACTAATACGATGAATATCCGTAAACATTAGTTACCAGCATACAATGCATATTTTTATGTCTAGCAGCCAATCGTTTGGCTTGGCAACAAGTACATTTTGATAGAAAGAGTCTCGTTCAATTGACGGGATGGTTCGGGCTTAAAAGTGAACTTGGAGATTGAGTTGTATGATATGAGACTAGATACATTAATTTGCATTAAATATAAAATATCGTACGGCCGTTAAAAGTACTGTACTTTTGAGTATAGCAGAAACGCCGTATCATAAATACGATGTACTAATTGAATTCACGTAATAAGATTCGTGTCGCTTGGCAGTCAGTGTACTTTTACATATAAAATATATTGACGAGAATGGCGTGTATATATATATGTATGTTAAATTTTGACATATTACCTTGAAAATGTGAAAACTCAATCTCTGCCTCTATCGCCAACCTCTCAAGGTGCTATTAAGGGTCATAGTACACTTGTGGCGAGTCTGATTTGCCATAACACTATATTAAAATAACAATCAACATTCTGAGATGGGAATATTTTACACGTCAATAGTGATAAGCTTGCAACACACAAGGCTATCTATATATAAATATGGATAGGTAGAATAGAGAGACAAGTGTTTATTCTAATGGAAAAAGTTTGTGTTTATTTTTCATTTTACGATTTGTTGCAATCGACATTCGATATGTTTGAGAATAGACCATTCTATAATTCGTGATTGCGCATGATTCGATTGATTAGAAATGGCTAATTTAATAATATAACATTAACAAAACTGACATTACTCATCTAATTAATAAGTTGGTCGTAAACGCTGAATGCCTGCGTCTTCGTAGAGTCCGATTCAATGTGCTGGATACCAAAATCGCTCGCTACTATTTTATTATTAAAAACATTTGTTATACAACAAGATACAGAGCATGTCAGTGATTACTATTATATAAATGCCATAATCGGGATAAGATTATCGCTAGTGATAAAATATTTATTTATAAAAATACAATTTGTATTTTATATTCGAATCGAGATTTTAATAGTTTATTTTTAACACAATTCTCTATGGTCGTTACATGAATTGACATGAATTAATTCAATAAAATAATAAAAGTGATGTTTTACAAATTTCCTGCAGATTAGATATATAAAACCAAGAACTCTAATGACTTTTTCCCTGTACTGTTTGCCCTCTAAAGATCATAGCATGAATATATAGAGAGATAGGTAACCCGGCAGCTATATGCATAAAATGCGATCTGAAATCACTTTTTCTTAGTCAAAAACGCCATACCTTACTAGAATTGGAGTCGTCTAATTTCCATATTTATTAATAACCTAAAAGGAAAATTATAAATCTTATGAACAAGATGTTTCATAATACTTTACAATTCTAGGTATTTATATGACAAATAGCTTGAATACAATATTAATAGAATGAGCGCATTTAACAAAATGAATCATTCTCATAGTTTTATCTGCCAACTAACAATGTACCTACTTTACTATTTTCATACATATGTTTAGTTAAATAAATATTATTACCAATGCAAAAGTTACAGGTGATTTTTAATAATCAACAATTACAATCTATCTATTAATCATTTAATTTTTAATTATAATTTATATAGAAATAAAGTAACCTAAAATTGGTATCAAATCAAAATTACAAATTTTAGAAATTTGAAAGTGAATGACTTTTTGTAACATTTTTAATGCTTTGACCACATATTTAATATCTAATGTGTATTGTTGATCTAATATCATAATGATCTAATGTAAATACAAAACTATTAAACTTACATAAAGGACCCTTTAAACGATCAATGTCGAATTTTTTTTTTATGAATTGGATTTAATTAAAGTTTAACGAAATAGTTAAAATGTGTTTTTTTAATACAATTTCATTTGTAATATACAAGTTATTCTCTATAAAACTAATATTTCAATTTGATACTACGCCACAATATTATTTTAAAGACAAAGTAAGAACTGAATAACAGAATTGAGTCAAATATACTTTTTTAAGTTGATTGTCGATGGATAATCCATTCTTGGCATTTAAACTGTACTTATTATTTTTTTTTTCTTTTTAGAGATTGGTTAAAGCATCGACCCCCATTAACTGGTTAATGCAAAATAATAATGAAAATGTGTCGATTTCTAACAAATAAACGATAAAAATATGAGCATGCTTTTGCTGCTTCTTCTGCTTATATGCGTCATAGTGAAAATCTTTATTTCTGTTTATTTATAATCAGATAAATGTACAAAAACGTTCAATGAACTTAATTTATACCCAATAATATTATACAGAATTGATAATTCTCATACGCAATTAACAACTTACTATATTATATTGTATAAGTTAAGAATAATATTCAACTTATGTTATTTTATACATAAATGTAACTATAAATTTGTTTAGCTCAATAATAATTGATATACTTGTAGGCTACAGAGAAAATTGTTCAACCATAATGCAGATCTATTACGCACACACAGTCTAATCGAGTTACACTTAATCAAGCTCTCTTGCCCGGAATCGCAGTGTCACCGCGCTTCTGTCATATTTGGTGGTTTTACCGACTGCTCAAAAATGGAGGGTAATGTTTTTCACGTTGAATATAGCGGCCATAGTTCGTTAATTTTAGAGTAATATTTTACTATAATTTAACAATCGGGTTTTTTTAATGTAATAACTACCGGTTTAACTTACGTGTAATTAGATCGAGAAAGACCGACTAGTTGCACGATCAATTCGAGACCCTTAATCACGAGCGGCTATGACGCGAGCGCGAGCCTGCTTATGAAACTTTAAACAATAAAATCGAGGTTTTTGTAAATGTCACGTTTGTCTAATTTTTGTCATTTTACATAAGAGAATGACCTTCCCCTTGACATGTTCCCTAAGTCCTATAACATCAGATTCTTCAAACGAATTATAAAAAAAGCACTTAGTAAGCCGGCATAGTGCGGCCAACCTTTGAGAGTAGAACATTCATTTTTTGATTGACCGCATTCATGTTGTCTCTGTGATCGCTCAGGATGGTGTAGTCACATGTCGTACTATTATGGGGAAAGTCTTCAAAATACAGTCAATAAATACGTACATAATGTATTAAACTTCAAATCATCTATCTATATAATAAATCATCGTGTTTGTAGTCCCCAGTCATAAGCTACTTACGATTGTAACAGTAGATGACGCTCTGTAACATAATGGATGCAGACATGCAAAAAGAAAATGTGAACATTTCTAAATTTTGACATTTATTTGTCATTTTCCAGACATTTGTTGTCTGGTTTCTCATAATTACAATATAAATTTGGAATGTTGTATATAAAATAAGTGTAAAATACAACAAAATGATAAAAAAATAACCACCAAATACAGAAAATTACTACGTTGCGATTATTCTCAGAATAGGCTTCTTAGTGGATGAAATAATGAAAGTATGCGTGACATGAATCACGCGCAAAGTTCTGCGTACACTGCACATGTGGCGATGGCTTTTCGTTGTGTTCGATATAGAAAGGTTATAGCGTAATATAAGGGTCATTGTTGAATGTTTTCTACTGTAGCTAATTTTACTTGTAGTCAAAATATGCTCGAACTCAATTATAAGCGGAATCGTTTTGTAAATCAAAATAATAGGCAACTAATTTTCGAATAGTAATATATAGAAAAAAAAATATGACCATTAAAATGATGCCGGACATCTGAAAACTGACTGGTTTTCCTACTTGACATTTTTAAATAGTCTTTATATATCTTTTTATCGAAATAATAAACGCATAAAATAGACAAACCACAGAAAAAGCACATTTAAATTAAAAAAAAAAAACCCCTATTGTTTATGTTTATAAATTCTCATATATACGCGCAAAAAATTTATCGATATATTGGTGATACATTACGAATAAGATGTTATGTCCTACGCGTTATTCGCAATTAATTGTACCTCTTTTAAAAATGTGTAAAAAAATGGACAGTCAATATGAATAAAATTGAAAAAAAAAAATTAAAAATGGTAACATGTATAATTTTTGAAACTATCATCAGAACCATGTGAATAAAACACTGGTACATTACTACACAAACGTAATAAAAAAGTATTTTTGTAACAATTATAAGTAGCCTTTGTTTAATTACAATGTAATATTGTAATATTCTGTATCTTTGTACACATAAAAATTTGTTCGCGCCTCTAGGTTAATAAATATATATATTTTTAATCTTACAGGAATTAAAAATGGTGCGGTTTTCTCTATTGCCAATAAATTTTGTTATAGTCGTCAAATAATCAGATTTAAACTCGCAGATTTGCCGCCAAATTACCACATCGAAAAAAGATTTTGAGTTGTTTTATCTTCATGGCGTTTTTCGTACATAAAATGCTCTATAACCTATCTATCGTCATATAATTTCGACCACAAAAAATAATTTAATGAATGAATTCATTCATTGAATCAGTAATTTGGCAGAGAATCAACCAGTTTGGTAATAAAAGAAAAATATTCCCACTTAAAAATACTAACAATGAGTTATCTATTGGTATCTCTATTTACATAATTACTAGAACAAAAAAAAATAAAGTTGTAAAGAGATACTGATAGATATTTAAATTGATCAGAAATTTATTTTGTAGTAAGTATCCGTTTTACACCATATTATGAATGTTCTTTGTCTTAGTATAATGTACATAATATAGATAGTTTCCTTTCCAACAAATAAACAGTTCGCGACAAATAACTCGAACATAAAGCTTGCGCAAGTAGTTGAACGCTTTTATACGTATAATTGATACTATGATAGCAGGCACGTGGTATTAGTAAAGTGTTCAAGTTATTTGCCGGTATTTAAACACATGTATGCTAAGTAAATTGTTTATAAGTTATTACATAAGTATGAAACAGGAATTAGAGTGCAGTACCTATAAAATACGATCATAATCATTGTGTGACCTAATTCTTTTATTTCCTAGGCCCAGCGCTCACCAATTGATTGATACATTGTTATAATAAAGTATAGCCTTTTATTAATTGAAAAAATTCTAAAATTTTGTCACTGTGTGTTTAAAATGTAGATAGAACACGGCCATACTTTGGTGACTAGAGCTTATTGCACATCGTGTTGGTTAGCGCTGGCCCTTGTTCTTACTATAAATACAATACAATGAACTAACCGAAACGAATTTTAATTACGCAACAAATAAACATGGGTTTTAATTGACAGTTTGCTATAGGATTTAAGTTATTTTATATAATTAACTAAGTAGTACGATATAAATAATACCTAATTTGCTTTTTATAGATTACGTAATCGAATGATGTCGAATGCTGCCATAAAAAATGAGGTACCTATCCAAAATTTTTAATTGCCATAATAATATTTTTGTCTGCCTTCAACTTTTTAAACAATCAAATGTTTAAAGCTTTGCTCCATAATGTATATGGTAACGGAGATGACGTCATATTAAGCATTTTAATCGACGAATATTTTGAAATATTGTAATAAATCAACTTTGATGCTAGTGCACAATTTTGTTGGAAATAGTAGATATTTTACAATTACTTCTGTAACAGTATAGCACAAGAATGTGTGCTAATTGAACTAAATAAAATTGACAAGCCAACTTTGCTTTTTTTATTTATAATCTCACTTCAAAATACCTACAATAATATAGCTAAGTACTTATACTTAATAGCTTCATCATATCATCCATTAAATGTCCACTGCTAAACATAAGACCCCAGTAAGAAGGGGCTTTGCCAGTAGTTGCCAAGCTTAGCAAGCGGGTTTTGCAATCGCAGTTAGGCTTTTGATAATGTGAACATTACTTCAACTTATCACAACAATGAAAAGCCTTAATCTGTTATATAATTATTATTTATATATTTTTTAATTTAGTATAGACTATGTATGATTATTTATATATGTATTGTATTTGATTTATGTGTGTATATTTTTTGTAAGTTTGTATGTTTATTTATCATAAATTGTTATCTCTTAAAATATTTATTTAATTTACTATTTTTTTTTTAATCTGTTCACCGCCATTTTCTCTCTCTCTGTTTGACGTGGTGGTTGACTGGTAGAGAATGCCATCAGGCATTAAGTCCGCCCTGTAGACATTTTTCAATGTGTGCAAAAATATAAATAAATAAATGTTTTAAGAGGGACGCTGCTGCCTGTCCCCCGACCATTAAGTTCCTTTAGTCGCATCTTACGACACCTACGGAAAAGAAAGGAGATTGCCTATTCTATTCCGAAACCACAGGCCTTCATACCTTAGTTAATTCTTGTTCACATCAGATGCCCAGATCATTAAGATTGTGTGCATATGACTGTTAAAAAAAATACCAAAAATATTCCTACGTCTAAGTCCTTAAATATCGTCACGAAAGACATGCCTAATAAAGTATGATTTGTATAAAGTGTTATTTAGGCATTATTTGTAAAGAATAAGTGGAATCCAATACGTCCAATACGTTACAGTACGTACCTATCTTTGGTAACGGTCATGACGTGAATGCTATATGACGTGACGTTAAATGTCTCACGAAAGTACTCTGTGATCTCACGTCAGTTCGTAGGTAGTCGACGTATATTTTTTATCTAAAAATCTCTTAAATTTACAAAACATAATGCAATTTTTTTAAAAACCCCAAATAAAAACAAAACTAATACAATGGAAGCTAAAGATGTATGTGTAGAAATAGAAAACGATGCATTTTACAGCAAATTTCTGGAAGACAATGTGAAAACTTTAATAAGCGAAAATCTTACTGTCACCGATCAAGTGAATAAACTGGCATTAGGAATCGAGAAACTAGGAAAAAGCTTAGAAAAACAGGTCTTAGCGAAACACAATGATTTGTTAACTCAGGCAAGTCATATTTCCGATTTAGAAACTACCTTAGAATCCGTACAATCACAAGTCCAAAGCTTATTACGAGGTGCTCAAAAATTAAAAGACCGTGTTGTCACCCCTTATCAGGTGCTCGAGAATCAGACTTTAATGTTAGAAAGAGTACAAACCACGTGCAATTTACTGAGACACACATCCAAAATCATCATGCTGTGGAATAAGTTGATAAGCGTAAAAGAAAACCCAGCAAAAGAGGCAATCATACTTTTCGAACTTAACGAGCTAATAAATGATTATAATTTCGAAGGCATCGTATTACTTGACGAAATTTTAAAGGAAGTAGATCATAAAAGAAAGGCCTTATTGAGCAATGCAACTGCATCACTACAGGCTAGCTTGCTTAATGGTGATAAAACTAAGTTACTGCAATGTTTCAAAGTATTTCATAATTTGCAATGTACTGAAGAGCAGATCCGCAACACTGTTGAAAACATATTAAATGACTTAAAGAAAGAAATTGGCAATGCCTTACAAGTAAAAATGGAGGGATCACATTTTGAATTAAAAAAATCAGGTTCAGCTAAGACAACACCAGGGAAAGCCAATATGATGAGTTCATTAGATTTCAAAATAATACTTTGGGACAATATTGAGAAACTGTTCAAAGAAGAGATTTGTAACTCTTGTTCAAAGGTGATCATGTTGCAGAATGTAATAAATGAACTTCATGCTATTGGCAATTTCAGAAACATAGCTAAAAATTTTTGGTCTAACCTCTCACAAATATTCAGCACAGAATTAGAGAAGAGTCCATTGGCAGTCAACCAATCTATTGAGATTGATTACCCAAAATTACTGAAATGCTTCAATGATTTACATTCTAGACTAAAATGCAAAGATTTAGAAATGAACCGTTCATGTCTTTCCAAGTGGGAGAATTCCTTCCTTTCCAAATCACTTGGTAAACTTCTAGAGCCAGTTAGAAGCATGTGGCATTTAAACCAAGTACCCACTATGGATCAAATAGATAATGCTATAAGAGTTATAACTGAAGCACTAAGTATATCTCTTGGTGATAAACAACTGAGCATAAGCTTGGCTAATAGTGTTGCAAAGTCTATAAAGCAGATGAATATGGAGGCAGAACAAAGACTGTCAATGGATAGTGATGTCGCCCAAATTATAGAATCACCGACAAGCTCCCAGCAAAAGAATGCAGAGCTCTGCAATGCAATGTACTACTTTTCGTCACTCATTAAAAGAGTTCTGATAAATATGAATGCAATGTTGCCTCCTGAAAGTATTCAAATTGTACAAAACAGTTTGAAAGATATATCCAGTTTACCTGTCCTTCAGTTATATGCTGAATCAATTAAAAACTCACTTTATATCATCCTTATGACAATGCATGATGAACCTGATTTAACTAGAGCCGATGATCCAACTGGGAGATCTTTGTCTTGCTCTCCATACATGAAGGAACTTCAACAATTTGTCTCACGATGCAAAGATATATACTTGTCCATGTTCCGTGAGAAGTCTGCTCTTACAGAGTGTTGTAATAATATTGCTGTGGTCTGCATTGAGAGGTTCATACAACATGTGTGCAATGTTAGGCCCCTGAGCAAGTTTGGTAGAGTGAAACTACAAATGGACTGCAAACATTTGGAGACAGCTTTGTCTCCTTTAGTAAGTGACTTCACTGAATTAGCAGATTACTACAGGCAGTTGAAAGCATTGTATTTAATATTGGAGAAGTCACCTCAAGACATTGCTAAGAGTCAATCTGAGGGTGCATGCTTACCATATTCTCTAGTTATGATGTATTTGTTCTCGCATGCTGGGCCCCAGTTGATGGCGCCACATACATGTGCTGGATGGAACATACAGAAATTAATGCAGTGGCTGGAGACCCACAAGAATGAAAGGGAGAGGATAGAATTTGTTGCTGGCGCTTTACAAAGATACCAAAACCATGTGAGAGATAATCAGATCACAACTTATGATGAAGTTTACCCAGTATTATTGCAGCTGCTTGAAGATGGTAGAAAGACGTTAAAGAAATAAATTTAAAATATATAAGTAATTAATTGTTATTAATATAATTTATATAAATAAAACAAATATTAGTAAAAAATAACACTATATTTAAAATAAACATTTTTACAATTACAATTTTATTTTCCTTATTTTTATTATATATCAGTGATGCTTCCTCTTGCTTCCATATTTAACGGAAAAACTTTATTCTATACTATGCCAGGTTTCTTCCGCAATTCTCTATAAAAATGTAATAAATAAATAAATTTAAAAAATTATCTACTCAATTTTTATCAATTAAATGCTAAACGCTAATGAATTTTGGTTACCAAATCATAATTCATTATAATGTAACAATAAATTGTGTCATAAAATTATAAACATTATTATTATAAAATTAAATTCCATATAAGTAACCAGCCATCAAGTATCTGATGGTGACTCACACAAACGTCCAAACTTAAAAATATTTACTAAATTGCCTTAACCAGGAATCGAACCTGATCGTACGTCTAGGCCGCGGAGGACATAACATTTGTGGTATGCATTGTTTTAATCTCTACTATTATTTATTTATTTAACTGTTTATTGCACCCGAAACAAAAATAATGACATATAAACAATTGAAATACAGTAGCATAAAGTACAGATTAAAATATATGCATAAAGGTACATCGGGTGTTATCGCTAGGACAATCTCTTAAAGACAACTTTTGGTTAAAGGAGAACACATAGAAGTGGGTAGGTGGCGCAAGAGTGAATTAATAATTTTTACGTACAATACATATTATTTATTAAACTACCTATTATAACAATATATACTACATATATATAACGAATCTAGTAAAATTAAAAAAGAAATAAAGTAAGAAAGGAAAAAGTTAACTACAGTGAAAGAAAATGGGCTTTGACTTGTCCTTTAAACGAAGCTAAGGGTAATAAATGTATTTAGTGTAATAATAAAAAGGATTTGGTTTAATTTGTTTTAAAAATAATATTTATATTATTCAAACAGCAATATTTCCTTCAGAAGCAATGTCTAATAACTTTAAATTCATCTATTAATTCATATATTCATAGATAGGGGACATGAACACATAGATAAGTAACCCTACAGAACCTAATCTGCATACACGCGGTCCGCAATATTGTACATACTCGATGCAGTAATGTAATAAGAATTAGTTTACACCACCTTTGTTCCAGTGTGAACGCGAGGACTGTCAGCAAAACACTTGTACACAGCTTGAACTCTGTAGGGATACTTATTCATATAAATGTGAAATTATAAACTACATAATATAAAAAAATATTTACTTTAATAATCCAACTTTAATATAATATGATACTGCCCACATTTAACTATGTTACACCAAAATTATCTTGGACATTGCAAATTTAAGTGTGTTTATATTAGATATTGTAATGTCTTTTATAAATATTTAAGTCAAAGGAAGTTATTTAACTATCCACAGAGATACAGGCTCGGCCTAGTTCGGTGGCTAGTAGATCTAAGTAAATGTAATTTATTATTTAATAGCGGCAGTTATTATTATAAAAAAAATATATAAATGAAAATTTACACTCATATAACAACTTTCTTACAAACTAAAGCAACAATTTAAGGTTAAACTAAATCTAACTTAATTACTATTATTTACATTCTATCATACGACTAAGATTTTTAAAATGCATGACTGTAAGTTGTCCGATTTGAAAAATTCGATATATTTAAGGAAACATACAAAATTCCAAACCAAACACAGCAGTCATTTAGGAATAATTTTAGATTTACACGAACAATTTATTATTTCCGCTCCATTGCATGTTCAATTTTAAGTCTTTTGTAGAAATTTGATAATGACTTTGCCAATTTTATCCAACATTATACAGCATATTTGGTTTTCAACCTTAAAAGCATTTAAAAATGTAACATTTTACAAGACTATTTTTGAATCAAAATTTACAACATGTTTTTAAGACAATTTAAATAAAATATCTGCTCACTTAGTTAAGGTTATGAATTGTACCCCCACTCTTTTGGGCTAAATTGATGCACAAATGACACACCCACAGGGAAAACAAACGCACTACATAATTATCGTCAATATCTACATAATAAATACAATCTAATTTACATACTAACAACTTTAGACGACTCATGGCTGAACAAACATTCGATACTCTGAACTGTGACTAACTACAATACAATAGAGTCTAAATTTGCATGAAACTAAACCTGCTGTTGGTCGAAGGCGATTTTGAACACGTCGTCGTACACATTCACGAAGTGTATGTCGATATTCTCCTTTATAAAGGATGGCAGGTCGTCGAAGTCGCGTCGGTTCTCCTCCGGCAATATCACGCAGTTTATACCCACTCGTTTCGCCTGAAAAAAAAAGCATGTGTCACTTGCCATGATTAGAACTGAGATATTGTTGACTAAACGTTTTTTTTTAAATGGGTAAAAATGTAATGGTAACCCTGCCTTCGTTATCGGTGTACACTAGCGAAGCATGAGGAATGACAGGTGAGGATAAAGGCAGTTCAGTTAGCCCATCATATTTTACATGAATTAACCATAATAGTTTCCAGAGGAACTGCGTTGTGGTCAACCTGAAGGGGTGGGTATATTGTTAGCAATGGAGTTGTTAGACTCCACTAACAACCCTCCCCCCCCCCCATACCAAAGGGTTATTTAAAAAGCGCAGTAGGTAGTTTTTTTAAATTATTTAGTAATATAGAATGGCATAAAAGTTGAATACCCATTTATCGAAGAATGGTAACTATTATCTATAGACATAATCCCCATGATACTCATAATGCGTTACCATTCGTAATAACTACGGCGTTATATTACCATACGCTGTAACTTCGCCATATTTCACTCGTGAAATCAAAATATAGCACACAACTGTTTTAACAGCAGAGAGATCTGGGCATATCGCTGTCTTTCTCGTATATCTGGCCATAGACAAATTTTGAATTAGTAATGCTGCTGTGTGAAATGTGCAGTGTGGTGCACGCTACTGACCGCGATGATCTTCTCCTTGATGCCGCCGACGGGCAACACGCGGCCAGTGAGCGACAGCTCGCCCGTCATGGCCAGGTCGCGGCGCGTGGGCCGCCGCAGCGCCAGCGACAGCAGCGCGGTGGCGATGGTCACGCCGGCCGACGGGCCGTCCTTCGGCGTCGCGCCCTCCGGCACGTGCAGGTGCAGGTGGCTGCGGACCACATCAGAGGTATTTGAAAATGGAATGGTTAATGCCTAAGCAAAGTTATAATTCCATTTAAAAAAATCTACTATTTCACTATCGATTTACGCTGGCGTTGACGCTATCTTATTGATGGCTATTATCTCTTATCGATATCCAGTAGGGATGGGCAATATCGGAACCCCTTTGGTATTTATATATTGGATTTCTCTAGACCGGTGTTTCCCAACGTGGGGCCCACGCCCCACAGAGGGCAATTTGACAGTTAAGGGGGGGGGGGGTCAATTAAAAAATGGATTCGAAGCGATTTTAACCTTTAAATGCGTTTAAATGCAATGCTACGAATAGATATCGGTGCCAAATTTAACAAAAAAAAAGTAAATAAAAAAATATGCTGTAAATATTTATTAGGTATAATTTCATTTGACATTACCAAAATATCAACTGGGCGATAAGAGTCGTCAAGTAAACTTTGTCGGGAAAAATTGTGTATGGGGGCATAAAAGTTTAAGAAATGTTCAAGTGGGGCATGGCACAAAAAAGGTTGGGAAACGTTGCTCCAAACCCTGATGGTGAAGAAAAAGGTCATCACCAATTTCAACATCACCCATACTAGTCGGAGATATATATTCTAATCCGATTAAAAGCTTCATCTGACAAAGTATAATGCTAGCAATGGGGTACTATTACCTATTATCATTACAAGTATTCTCTTTCTTCCACTAATTGGAAATGCACTGACCTGGTGTTGAGGAAGTCGTTGTCCGAATGATGACTGGTGAGGTAGTTCCTGGCGACGGTGAGCGCGATCCGGGCGGACTCCTTCATCACGTCGCCCAGGTGACCCGTCAGTTCCAGCGAGCCAGACAGCGACTTGTCGTCCCGCTGCGTGTTCCGGAGGGCCGTCTCGATATATAGTGTACTGCCACCTGGGTGCCATATTTCGTTGTATAAATTGCAATAGAAAAAGAAGAACTGATAGAGAAAAAAAAATATGTTGCATTCCTGAAAACCAAGATGATTTGCATCCATACTGCGTAATATCTTGGAACCACTTTAGTCAAATATCAATTTCATTGATTTTAGCCACATTTTTGTTATAAAAATGTTTTTGAAACAATTTAAAAAAATCATATCTTTAATATAAAATAACAAACTCTATAATTCTTTGAAGAGAACAATAAGTTTCCTTTCATTCATGTATTAATTCTCTTTTAAACATTCAATTTATATGCGGCACTAGCGAGTATTGAAGTTCAGAAGCAACTGTCTCTATATGTGATTCCGCAAGCGCCGCGTAAAACCATGACGAACTCGGGGGAAAGGGATTGTTAGTAATGGAGACTGAGAATCCCATTGCTAGCAATATACCCAACTAGGTCGACCTCCTCGCTGTTCTCCCTGGAAACTGTCATGGTTAATTCCTGATGAATTTATCATGATGGGCTAACTGGCCTGTTTTCATTCTCATCTATCACCCTTCACTGGTGCTCCGCCAGCGTATACCGTTAGCGCAGGCGGGGTTACCATACCATTTTCACCCATCAAAAAAAAACCACGACGAACGATAGTGTGTGTGTGATGTACAGACCCATAGCGGTCCAGGCGAGCCCCATGACAACTCCAGGCGGCGTGTCCTCGTACATGCGGTCGTGCTTGAACGTCGGCTTGCCCACCAGCTCGCTCAAGTTGGCATCCGTCACTGTCACCTGCTCCATCTCTTTCTTCACTATCTTGTATGCCACTTTACGCGCGATCTACAACCATACTTTTTATATTAAAAAAATGTCAAATAATCAAAAGATTTCAACTATTGTTTTGTGTTTTACTTTGCTGAATTCGTAAGAGACAAAACCATACCATGCATCAAAATAAGTTTTAGTTTTAAAACGACTGTTAATTGAATCTAATATGAATAATAAAGTATGCTGAATAAGTTAGCATAATGATGAGCTGGCTATAATTTAACTAAGGCTCAGCCCACCAATCAAACCAGGATGATCACAAAACTAGTAGAGAATTCTCGAAGTAAATACACGTAAATCAACCGAATTGTTTTTTCAATGAAAATACTATATTATATATTACTAACTGATCCTACAAACGTTATTTTGTTTATTTATAAAAATGTCAAAAAAGATCTATTTAATTTTAAATAGATATTAAAATAATAAAATTAAGTATGAAAATCTTTTATTATTAACTTTTTTTATGCAACTTAGAACGACAAATAAGCAGACAGCCCACCTAATGGAAAGTAGCATCTGTCGCCCAGTCTAACCTCGTCTGAACAGTAATACCATAGACATAACTCCGCCAGCGTATCCCGTTAGCGCAAGCGGGGTTACCATACCATTTTCACCCATAAAAAAAAATACCATAGACATAACTAAGTATACTGTGTCACCATGATACCACCATTTTATCTGTACAATTTTTACCCTCAAACGTTCTATAGTTTTATTTCAGCTTCTCAAAAATTGACTGTAAGAGAACACTCTGTGATAAATCGACCATTGTATACTAAATCATTTTATTATGTCCAATGTAATGTACAATAATAATTTTACAATACAATACAGCATCTTATAAACCTATTTTCGCTATAAAAGTGATTTGTTTCTTCTTTCTAATTTAATTCTCAAATCTTTGCTTCTTTAATTCTCAATTTAATAAAGTAAGTAAATAAAGTGAGCGAAAACATTGTAACAGCTATATTTGTTTGTGAGTTTTAGTTTTTATAATTGAGGGGGGGGTGAGATGTTAAAATTACCTTTTCGATATGCTTCTGCAAGTTCCTAACGCCCGACTCCCGGCAGTAGGAACGTATGAGTGTGTGCAGCGACTCGGCAGTGAGATCCAACTGCTCGGCAGTGAGGCCACAGTTGGTGCGAGCGGTGGGCACCAGGTACTGCTGTGCTATCGCCAACTTCTCCTCCGCCACGTAACCTACAGGACAATGACAGTTAGAGTATCCGCTACTTATTCCTGTCAGTGACAAGAATTTTATGATATTCTTAGAAGTAATATTTTTTAACTCCTCAGGATATGAAGTACATTTTCCAAAGGGGATATTTTATTATTTGCCGTGTCGGTCCCGGCTTAGAATTTTCCAGAGGGAGACTTTGTACAAAAGTCGTTTGCTTGGGTACCTCTGTCCCACTCGTGTTTCAACCGTAAAGCAGTTGTGTTTGCATGGCTGTGTTTCGGTTTGAAGGGTAAGATATGGCGTGAATTTACAGGGTACAGAGGAATAACATCTGATTCCTCAGGAATGGCAACGCATGGGGGGTATCATGGGCGAAACAGTATACTCTATTATGCCCATGGTACTGCTCATGTCTATAGGCGACGGTTACCACTTTCCGTCAGCTTGTTTGCCATTCTAAGTTGTATAAAAAAAAAGAATGGGCCATCCCTTCCTTTCCCGTAGGTATCATAAGAGGCGACTAAGGGAAGCCGAGGGATAGGAAGCAGCATCCCTCTTAAAACATATCTAAAGCCTAACTGCCAATCCGCCTCCCAAACATGGCAACTATTGGCAAAACCGCCCAAGGGGGAGACTTATATTCAGCAATGGACAGTTAAAGCGTGATATGCTAATAGCTATTGTTAATTTTACAAATTTGCAGGTATATTGTTTATAATTATTAAGAATTATGTGTTGTCATGTTTCTTTATTATTGCCCTGATAAAGTAGTATCCATAATGTTTCTGTAGTCAAATATAAGAGTGTAAGCCTCACCAGACATATCGATCAGCTCCATCCTGTCCCGGAGCGGTTCAGGTATAAGGTCAACTACATTTGCTGTGCAAATGAACAGCACCTTGGAGAGGTCCACAGGCACGTCCAGGTAGTGGTCCAAGAAGTTGGCGTTTTGCTCAGGGTCGAGAAGCTCTAGTAGCGCTGACGATGGGTCACCATGGACACCTCTGAAAGAAAAAAATCAAAACCTAGTTTGAAGCCACTTTAGACCTATCGTATTTACTTCAGAATAGTTATAATTTAAGATTGTGTATCAGAAAAAAAAAACCGACTTCAATTACGGTAAAACCAATTGATTTAAAAACTTAACAACTGAACTAGCTTTGATAAAATTTCTACGGGAATCATCTGCAAGCATATCCTATCAGATAAAAAAGAATTTTTAAGGTAACAAACATAGAAAAAAAAAACAACCAAATAAGACCCACTTTCTTTTTGAAGTCAGTTGAAACATTATAATCCCTTTCAAGTAGTTTACGCGCCCTCTGAAGTACGAAATAAAATTAACAACTGAGGCCTTTGTACTTCGGCCACCAGAGGGCGACGGAGTCACGCGAACTATGGCAGTAGTAACAAGCGGACTGACTTGCCAATTTTGTCGACCTCGTCGATGAGCACGAGCGGGTTCTCGGTGGCGGTCTTCTTGAGACACTGCACCAGCTTGCCGGGCATGGCGCCCACGTATGTACGGCGGTGACCCTTGATCTCTGCCACGTCCGTCATGCCGCCCACCGAGAACCGGAAGTACTGGCGATTCAGAGCTCGCGCGATCGACCGTGCTGCACAGGAAAACAAAGATTAGCGATTAAAAAAAAACACATAAAATATGTGGTCCTGGGATAGATTAGGCCACCACACTAGGCCATTCCATTCTTGGGGATGTCGTAAAAGGCGACTAAGGAAACTTAATGATACATGGATGGGCAGCAGAATCTCTTAAAACATCACCAAAGCCTAACTCAATTGCCAACCCACTTGCCAAGCGTGGCAACCACTGACAAAACATTCCCTTATGGGGGAGGCCTATGTTCAGCAGTGAACTATTAACGGCAGATATGATGAATGGGGGGCAAGAGCCCATTACTAGCAATATGCCTATCAGGTCGACCTCCACGCGGGTCCGCCTTGAAACCATCGTGGTTAATTCCTGTTGTATTCGTCACGATGGACCAATTGACTTCATTCTCACTCACTATCACTAGTGCCATGCCAACATATACTGATTACGCAGACAGGGTTATAATTCCATCATCATATATATTGTAATATGCATAATAAGATATTTATATTAATTCTATAAAATATTTATACGATACTAACCTATACTAGTCTTGCCCACACCAGGTGGACCATGGAAGCAAAGAATCTTGCCCTGGGTGCTGCCCTTTAACTGCGACACGGCTATGAACTCGAGGATCCGCTTCTTGATGTCCTCCATACCGTAATGGTCTTCATCGAGGATAACCTGTGCATCTTCCAACTTCAGGTTCTCTTCAGATGTGATGCCCCATGGAAGGGAAGTCAGCCAGTCCAGGTAGCATCGTGTCACACTGCATTGTAGAGAATGAAATTATATAATTTAACGTTTTGTATTATATAATTTAATAATTTAACGTTTGAATCGGAAATAAACAACACTATAAAAGATATTATACAATGGTTGGTTGACAATAATTTAAAAATTAATATAGGAAAAACTAAAATTATGACATTTGAACAAAGAATAGAACGTAATAAACTTGAAATTCAATATGCCGGACAAAAAATAGATGAAACGAACACGACAAAATTTCTGGGACTGTGGATAGATAATAAAATGACGTGGAAAATACACATTAACAAAATATGTAGCGAATTAAGTCAGTACGCAATTGTACTATATAAACTAAATAAAGAAGTTAACCAAAATACAGTACTACTGGCTTACCATGCTTATGTAACCTCAACAATACGCTATGGTATAATTTTCTGGGGCAATTCTACTGACCGAAACCTTGCTTTTAAAGCTCAAAAGAGATGTCTAAGGGCAGCTTGCAATATTAAATCGGTAGACAGCTGTAAGCCTCTATTCAAAAAACACAACATATTGACATTACCTGCGTTATACATTTTTGAGCTGGCGTTATTTGTTAAAAATAATTTAAATAAATATAACAAATTAAAAATGATTTATACCAAATTAATTCTTGTTCTATTATATTTTTTTTTCTTTTATTCATTGTTTTTATACTTGTTTATTTTAGTTTTTGTATTGTTCTCTTTTATTTTTTATGTAATATCTACATCAATATATATAAATATTTGATAATGAAACGGTGCCCCGTGTAGGTGCAAACTAAAAATCAGCGCTGAACGAACATCAGTCCAGCAAAAGCTGAGTTTGTACCTATTGCCAGGCGCATACGATTAATGGACAATATATTGATTAATTAATATATGTACATTATAATTTGTGAAGAATGGCAATAAATTTTATTATTATTATTATTTTTTAATTTAAATTTACGATATCTCGGCTTAAAACCGGTTTTACAGGTGTACACGGGCCTAAGCCAAGTGCATAACTGTGTGCTATGTTTTTTGTATAAATGTAATTTGTCTGGTAATCTGTTTGTAATATTATGTTAACCTGTAGATGTATGAATTTTAAGTGTAAAGGTTCAAGATAATTCTTGGTGTCGGTGTGTAATGTTGTTAGTTGTAGATAAGTGCGCAGTATAAAAATATTCATTTCAGGTGTCCATCGCCTGCGCGTTCGGTTAAGACCAGAGGTGGGTGCAAGCTCATAGTTTGTAATGACATCTCGCACAACACCATCTAGCATACTAGAAGAAGAAACAGTAGATGTTCTCCGTGTCATGTATGAGGGGCGAGTTATTATTATTATTATTATTATTAAAAAAATAATAGACAACACCACAAAATCATTTCAAAACAACATAGATTGACATTATTTACTAAAAGTGTCTTAGGGATGGCACCTAGAATATATAATAAATTACCTAAATCCCTCACAGACATAGATGACATAAAAAATATAAAACTAAACTGTACGAATACCTAGTAAACAGAACATACTATTCAATTGACGATTTCCTTGAAGATAAATGTAATAAAGTTCCATAATTATATTTTTTACTATAAATGTGACATTGCTGATTTTCCTTTTTATATAATATAATTTTTTTCTTATGTAATTGTAAATTTGTATACCTCGATAGATGGGGTTGATCATAGAGGACTTATATTGTTTTACCATCCATTGTTACCTATGTATCACAAAATAAATAAATAAATAAACGTATGGACTTCAAAATATTGTTATATATTCTAAGTTCCATAAAAAAAAATTTTTGTATGACGAAAGTGGCAAATCTGGGACAGTACATCAAATTCGGGGGGAAAGGGATTGTTAGTAATGCAAACTACCAGTCGCATTGCTAGCAATACACTTAGGTCGACCTCCACGTGGTCCCCCCTGGAAACCATCGTGCTGAATTCCAAGTGTATTCATCATGATGGCATAACTAACTGACCTGCATTTTCATACTCATCTATCATCCCTCACTGGTGCCCCGCCAGTGTATTAATTCTAATTACTGTCATGAGGAATATTATTCACAATAAATAATCTTTCTAAATAGTTCATACATTATTAGATTTAAAATATATTTAAGATTTAAAAGTTTCGACACTGAAGAAACGGCTGCTCACGTAATCCTGGAATGTGAGGCTGTGGCCCATCAACGTTTAGAAATCCTAGGAACGGTGAGGTCGCTCCGTGAGGCCTGTGAAGAACCCAGGAAGCTTCTGCGCATCTGGGCGGAGCTAGGTTGGCTGTACTAGCCACAACTCATACGCACAACGGCCCAAATGAGAGGCTAAGCGCGGAAAACAGAGTCTTTCTCACATTCACATAGATTTAAAATACAAGACCCAATGTTGTTAGATAGGGATTTGCCTCAACCTTTGTGACCATTTTGTGTTACTGTGCCGTATCCACGAGAAATTGTATAATCTCGTTAATTTACTTTCTTTTTGTTTTTTTTTTTCTGTCTACGTTTTGTTTTATTTCTTTTTAAATATGTACCAATAGTATAATTATCTATATGTCTAGTATTAGGTACATATTTAACGTGTGTGGGATTATATATTATATATAGGTAATCACTTTATTATTATTATTTTTTATTTGACTATTATTTATTATACTGTTTTATTCTGTTAATTTTCTTCATTATACAATACCTACTTGTACAAAAATTAGTCCATTACCCTAAGGTTGTCTTGAAAAGATTGCTCTCAGCAATAAGACCGCCTCACTGTACTTATACAACTGTATCGTTATATTTGTTGTCTTTTTTTTTCCCCTATACTGTACAATACAAATATACTCATTTATTCATTCAATAATTCAATAGCTAATGTTATTTGTGTGCTAATAAGTAAGTGATGCAAATAAATTATATATCTATATATCAACACACTTTCCACTTAATTGTGATTAAAATATAAATGGCCAGTGTTAATAATGACAATGGCGTGACACTAACTTGAACTCGGAGCTGTGGCTCTCCAAGAAGTTCAACTTGTTGAGCTCCTCGTCGATGACGGTCTGCACCGCTTGTGGGACGGTCTTGTCAGCGAGACGCTCGCGGAACTTGTCCCCTATCGCGTCCTTGTCGTCCTTCTCTAGGCCTAGCTCCTTCTTAATAACCTGTTCATATATACTGAATGAAACGGGCACATCACTATATTAATACCATCATCAAATCAGAATCAACTATAGTGATTCTAGGTTCATTCCTGGACAATTGACAAAAGAATCTGTTGATAGATATGTTACCGTTAGCATACGCATGAAAAGGAACACGATGCCAGAGATAGCTTTCTCGTTCTACCTCCCAGAAGGAAAGTTTGTAAAAAAAAAAAAAGTCGTTTGCTTGGACACCTCTGTCGCATTCGTGTTTCTACCGTAAAGCAGTTGTGTTTGCATGGCTGTATTTCCGTTTGAAGGGTGGGGTATGGCAGTGAATTTACAGGGTACAGAGGAATAACACCCAAGTCCTCAGGAATGGCAATGTGTGAGTGAAACAGTAAACTCTGTTATGTCCATGATACTGCTCATGTATATAGGCGACGGTTACCACTTTTTATCAGGTGAGCCGTCAGCTTGTCTACCTTTCTAAGTTTCATAAAAAAAAAAGAAACAGGATACCAGAGATTGCTGTCTCGTTCTACCTCATGTAATGTGCAGTGATAACATATCCATGGAGTTGTTGTCAGTCTAAGGGGCATTAGAGAAAGCACCAGTACATTGCTAAAATAATATAATTTGGTAAAGAGACCATGTGCCTAAATTAAACAGATCAACATGCAATTTAATTATATAGAATCATTGCAGATAATTTTCCTTCCTTTCCCGTGATTTTCTTAAGAGGCGACTAATAGAACTTAATGGTCGAGTGATGGGCAGCAGTGTCCCTTTTAAAACATTACTAAAACCCTGTGGGTATCAAGCCGCCTACCTTATGGTGGAGGCCTATCTTCATCGCTGGATAGTTAATAGCTGATATGATGATGATAATTTCAGATATTACGTGAATCTTTTGTTTTTTTTTTTTTTAAATCAGGTTAAATAGAATTCTATTTAATAAAACTGTGATATCAACTGGTTGACCAGACATACAAAATGGACGAATTTAGAAGCATTACCGACTGCCTTGTACAATGTTGGTGTGCACTAAGAAAAAGTGCATAAGTTAATTTTGAATTTAAACATACGAGAGTTACGTACGTCAATATTTTCTTCTATATACATATATTTATTTATTTATATACATACATACATACATACATATATATATACAATAATTAATTAAAGTAATAAATAAATGTAGTTTTTAATACCATAATTCGTTTATTATTTAATAATTAATCCTACATTTTTTACGCTACTTTTTATGGAAATGTAAAGTACTGACTCAGTTTTGCACCTTACTATATATATATATATATATATATATATATGTTATAATTTACCCATTAACGTGTTTATCAATTCTAATATATGCATGTTGAGGTGCTTACTTTGAGCTGTTCATGTAGTATATATTTTCGATGTTGCTGCTTCACTTTCTCCTCCACTTCCTTACCTATCTTCTGCTGTAGTTTCGATAGTTCATACTCTTTCTTCAGCAGAGAGAGTGACATCATCAGTCTTTTTGGTATCTGTAATTATACACCATGTAATAAACATTGTAAATATATTTTTATATTTTTCTCGCAGAAAAAAACAGCTTTAAACTTTGTAGAAGCTATAATAATTATTTTAGTTATATTAGGTAACTATACAAAAACAGTACTTGGAGATTACCAATTTGGCAGTATAAATAATCATCACTACATAGTATAAAACAATGTCGCTGTCGCTGTCTGTCCGTCCCTATGTATGCTTAAATCTTTAAAACTACGCAACGGATTTTGAAGCGGTTTTTTTTAATAGATATAGTGATTCGAGAGGAAGGTTTATATGTATAATACATGCATAATATTGCAGAGAAACACTGATAAATTTTTCTTTCGCGGGTAGTTGGTATACGCACAGTAAAAATTTGTGGCTCCTCATTTTATTTAATTTAAAATCCCATCAATCACAGCTCCCCATCACTTCTCGACCTAATTATTGTAAACAATCCTGATAATGTTAATACCTCTGGACAAATAACTGCTCCTTTTTCTTATCATGATTTAATCTATGTATCGTATCGTGTGCGTACACCTAAACCTTCTTCCAAATATGTACTTCTTAGAAGCTACAACAAGATTGACTTGGAACAACTGCGTTCAGATGCTAATAAAGTTGACTGGAATCCAATTTTAGAATATTCTGACATAAATGACAAAGTCAGTAAATTTAATAGTGTCTTAAACAGACTATATGATTCTCATGCTCCCCTTAAAAGAGTCAAGATTAAACATCTTCCTGCACCTTGGCTTGACAAACGTATCAAGTGTTTAATGTCTAAACGAGATAAAGCCAAGAGACGCTATCGCATATCACCAACGGAGGATAACCTGACTACTTATAGGAGATTACGCAATCGCTGCACTAGAATGTGTAGGGATTCTAAACGTCGCTATATACATAATTCAGTAATTGACCACAACCCGGAAAATTTGTGGAAATTTCTTAAATCACTCGGCATTGGTAAGTCTACTGGAGAGATCTCTAACAATTTTAATCCCAATGACATCAACAAACATATATATATATATAGACAATAATATATATATATATATATATATATATATATATATATATATATACAGAGTGTGATGTTAAGAAATGTCTCCTCAATATCTCTTCCAAAGCTTCGGGTGCAGACGGTGTGAGCATTCTAATGATACGACCCATTGTTGATGAACTATTGTCAATAATTACTCATATAATTAATTTTTCTTTAGACACATGCTCTTTTCCCGAGCTATGGAAGAAAGCACACATTATTCCTATCCCTAAAACATCCAATCCCACATCTATTTCTGACCTGAGACCTATCTCAATACTTCCCACCTTATCTAAAGTATTGGAGCACATTGTGCACAAGCAACTATCCGTTTATTTGTCTGGCCATAACTTGCTGAGTCCTTATCAATCTGGTTTCCGTATATAGTTAGTGCACTTGTCAAAGTAACTGATGATATACGCTGGGCTATGGACAACCACTCCCTGACACTCCTTGTTCTATTGGACTTCAGCAGTGCCTTTAATTCTGTTGACTATGACATTCTTTTAAGTATCCTTTCATCTCTTAACATATCTCCACCTGTAATCAATTGGTTAGATTCATATCTTCGGGGCCGATTGCAATGCGTACGCTATGATGAGGTATACTCAGATTGGTGTGAGGTTGCATCTGGAGTCCCACAAGGCGGCGTTCTCTCCCCGCTTCTTTTCTCAGTATTTATTAATGCTATTACTCAAGTAATTTCTTCTCCCTACCATCTCTATGCAGACGATTTGCAACTATACCAACACTTTGAACTCTGTGACATCTCTGAGGCTATTGATCATATAAACCATGATTTAAATAAAATATCCCATTGGGCAAAATCCTACGGACTTCTAGTCAACCCCCGTAAATCTCAGGCATTAATAATCGGGGGGCATCGGAGATATAGTGCTCTTGATATTGATGTTTTACCTTCTATTTTCTATGAGCAATCTCCAATTCCGTATGCTAGAAGTGCCAAAAATCTTGGAATCATGTTCGACAGTAATTTATCCTGGGGTGAGCATATCAATGGAGTAAGTAGGAAACTATACTTTTCTTTTCACTCGCTCAAACGTTTTCAGAAATTTTTGCCCATTGAAACGAAAATCACACTCGCCCAAGCTTTATTACTACCTCTTCTAGATTATGCTGACGTATGTTATCTAGATGTCACAGAGGAACAATTAAATAGGTTGGAGCGGCTACAGAATTTATGCATACGTTTTATTTATGGACTTAGAAAATACGATCATGTCTCCTCTTACAGAAGCATATTAAAATGGCTCCCAATTCGTCAACGTCGTGATTTTCATCTTTTATCTTTCCTGTATTCTGTACTGTATAATTCTTCCTCTCCATCTTATCTTTGTGAACGTTTCACTTTCCTTGACCCCACTGGCATGTCCAGTAGGTCGAGTAAATCCCTTATTCTTAAAATCCCTCCTCATACCTCCTCATGCTATAGTGGATCATTTACGGTTCATGCGGCTAGACTATGGAACTCTCTTCCACTGCATATTCGTGAAAGTCAATCGCTGAATATATTCAAGAGCAGATTAAAAGAGCATCTTCTGTCCTCATAAACTTATTATGTCTATGTATGTATATGTACCTATTTTTTTGTATGTAAAGAGATATTTTATGTCTATGTATATATGTATATGTATACAGATATGTATTTATTTTGATTTTAATTGTATGAGTTATTTATGTAGTCAACATATTTCATATGTTTTAATAGAAACATCAATAATGTTTCCTTCTATTATTGTACGCATACTGCCCGCTAATAAATAATTAATGCTCCTTTCCACTCAGGGTTTGCTGGAAGAGAACTCTTACAGAGTTAAGCTCGCCTATTGTACACCTTTATTTTATATATATTATATGTAATATTTTTTTTGTGTACAATAAAGAATAAATAAATAAATAAATAAAAATAAATTTAGAAATTTCTAATGTGATGTCGTAAATAAACACATTTTTTGCGCTTACATTGTAAACGCTGGCCTCACGAGATAAATCAAAATAATGTACTACAGTATTGTACACCTTAAAAAGGTCAATAAAAAAATCCGTGATAGTATATGTCTATCTCTTAAGGAGAACTCACAATAACCATTTTTTAACCTTTACATTTTACGAGAAAAATGGCTTATTTACGAAGTGATTTTAAGAAATACAGCATTAATTTTTATCGTATTAAGTACCTTAAATACATTGTCCATTTAATATAGATCAATATGGCCCTTTACAGCATGTAATTTAAATGATTATTTCCGAAGATATTACAGATTTAAAATGCAGGGACATAGCGTTGCGACATTGCACCCGTGCGAAGCCGGGGCGAGTCGCTATTAAAATATAAACATTTATATTTAAAGATTAATATAACTTACATCCATTTCTTCAAGTACGGCTTGCAGTTCGGCGGTGTCGGCGCCAGTGAGCGCGGCCCCGAGGTCGCTCAGGTACACAGGATTGTCGACCACGCGCTGGCCCTGAGCCAACATGTGGTGAAGGGACTCCCTGCAGGTGAACAAATAGTTTATTCATCCTCATTTACAAAGTTGAAATTACACACATATTTAAAAAGTTAAATGTTACGTGAAAATCTCATTTGAAAATAGAACGTTAAGTCGAATGTTAGGTTCACCACATAGACAATAATTCTGCAACTATTTATGGTATATTGTTGATAAAGTTAAATATAGAAATATACATTATCCTAACATACAATGCACACATTAATCCATTTAAACATACCTTTCATCCATACTTCACGTACACAAACATACTACACGCCGTCATTTAATGTTTTATAATATAAATATTAGTAAAAAAGGAATGTAGTTTTTAGTTCGCCATAAAACAATGTGCTAAGTAGACGTGTTATTTTATTTTCAAACAGATTATGCAAAAATATTTCTGAAACTTAAGTGCTACAGCTCCCTTGCGTCTATTTTTATATTATCTGTGTTCAACAACACTCTTAATCATGTTGCTTTTTATCATACACATTATTGTTTATATTTACAGAAGACCATAAAGGAAACGGAAAAATATACAATAAAATTATGTTCATTTCATTCTTTTATTATAAAATATTTCTTAATTTTTTTTTTTACTCCCAGAATATAAATTTTTTATTGTTTTTAGCTTCTATTTCCAGATTACACAAGAAAGACGGGAATATTAAAAAAAAAAATGGGAACATAAATGTATTTATGCTTCATTTACGAAATAAAATGAATATACTTATAAAACAATAATTCAGTGTAATTCTTCTTTGTTTTGAAATATTTTATTATTAATTATTGATAATTATAAATTAATTAAAAATGAATAACGAAACAAATAACAATGTTAAAGAAATAGGAGAGTTATATTCCAAAATTCACCAAGAATACATTATAAAAGCATAATATCGAATGATGCAAACTGAAAATTTACAAGGCGTTTCTGTTATACCATCATATGAAAACTCATTTTTATGTTTTTTTTTTTCATAACAGAAAGCTCAAAATTATATCAGTCGTTTGGATATAAATTTCATCTACAGTACAAGCCTCTTTTACATGAGGTTGGCAGAAATGGTCATAAAGATTTGAATAAAGAATTGAAGAAAAAAATAAGTTCCTATTTCACTATATATAATATAAAAAAAAAAAAACTAAATTATAATACCTATATAGAGGATTCAAATTGATGATATCCCGTATAGTTTTGATGACTTCTTGAGTCAACGCCTTCACTTCTTCAGTCTGTTGGAACTTTTGGTGCGTCAAGTTCTCCACTTTCACCATCATGACCTGGTCTGGCGGAGGTTTTTTGGGCGCCTCCTTGGTACTGTCAGCCTGTGGATCGACCTTTTTCCTCGAATTACGGTACTTCCGTCGGCGTCTCTCGGCATCTGTCTCTTCACGCGTAACGTCAAACTCCACGTTAAATAAGGGAAACTTCAGCTTCATTTCTGAAATGTGCAAACATTTCAGAAAGGAAGCTGATTCATTATTGCATAAATAATTTAATAGCTGTATGTAAAATTTAAGAGCTCATGTTTGTTCAGGCCGTTTCAAATATAAGCTATATTTGGTCTAGGTCAGGGGTCGGCAACCTTTTGAGTCGGAAGAGTAAAAAATTACAATTTACAAAATTTTAATTTATAAAGAGCCACAAATTTTTTTCTTGCTAACAATAAATAGTACTTACATAAATAAAGTTTGGTGCCTAATCGTCGTTATGTGATTCAGAATGATTTTTAAGTTTTTTTGTTTAATAAATAATATCTGCATAAAGAACCACAGCTTCAACTTCAAAGAGCCACGGCTTCAACTCCAAAGAGTTGCAGCTTCACATCCAACGAGCCGCATGTGGCTCGCGAGCCGAAGGTTACCGACCCCTGGTCTAGGTGGAAAACTTGGGACAGTTTAACATTTAACAGTATCTCCCAAGTTAAAATTTTACAGGAGACAGTAAAAACCTAACCTATTTATTTTAAATACAATAAAATCAAAAAATTAAACAGTTCAATTTTAAGATTAAATCTCAATATACTCAATTAATGATTATTTCTCTATATGACAAAGAGAAAAATATATTTAAAAGATTCTTTCTTTTTTATACAACTTAGAGTGGCAAACAAGCTGAGGGCCCACCTGATGGAAAGTGGTAACCATCGCCTATAGACATGAGCAGTACCATGGACATAACAGAGTATACTGTTTCGCCCTACTATTCTATAAATGTTAAGTAGTAGATATTGATGAAATGTAGAGTTGTAAAAATTATTTTCAAAAGAGAAGTATTATGTAAATAAAATATAGTAAGGAGATATTACATAACTGACAATTCTAAACAATTCATTAAGTTCCCACTACTGAGCACAAAATTCGGCCATTAACATGAGGATATTAGCTTACTTAATATACATCACCAACAGGAATTCACTTTGAGCTACCAGAGGGAGATTTTGGACAGAAGTCGTTTGAATGGGTACATCTGCCCCACTCATATTTATGCTGCGAAATATGTTCAAGTGGCTGTAATTTCGTTTTAAAGGTGGGATATGGCAGTGAAATTACAGACTATGGTGGTTAATAACTTATCAATGCCAATGGGTGAGGGATAACATGGATCTTGCAGTATGTTCTGTAGTGACCATGGTGCGGTTCAAGTCCATAGTTTACCACTTTCTATGACAATCAAGAAATATCATGGAAAGTGCTAACCTATGGATAAGAATGATGAAAAGCAAATTGTCTATCCATGAGTTTTTTTGTCAATCCAAGTATCATAATAAAAAAAACTATTGCAAGACTAAAAAGTTATTTATCTATTTAACAATTTATTGCACCAATATTACAGTAATTTGAAGGATTTTCAATAAGCATAGTGTAGTACAAAAGGCAGTCTTATTGCTAAGCAATCTCTTCCAGACAACCTTTGAAGAACCTTTTTTAGAAGTAATTAAAAAATATATGGGTAGGTGGCACATTGAAAAAAATAAATGTAAAGCTAAATATATGTAAATAAACACAATTATCCAAACATACAATGGTTTTTCATTTTTTTATAATACTTGGATTAGGCAATCGATTAGATTAGGAAATCTTATTGATTCTTTAGTCTACCCTCACATTTACAGATGTGAATTGAACTTAAAAACTACTCAAATTGAACAGAACAAACCCAAGTTTTAAGCTTCTATAAACATACTTGCTACTGATACCAATAAACTGCTTGGCAAAAGAATTGAAATAGATAAAACACTGATCATGTATTCATATTTAAGACTATATTTCAGGGGGTCAGACTTTTAAAAAAAGGTATGTATAATCACTTATTTTTTTGTTTTGCTCACAGCATAAAGTTCTACTCATGACCCTGAGGTGGGCATCAGTCTATTCCAGGATAGGGATGACCCACCCACTTTCTCTTCCTCTTAAATATGCCTATGTACCCATGTATTCAACTCTGCACAAAGTGTACCTCTAGTAGATACTATTATAGTCCAATCTATTACAATCTATTATCAAGCACTTAAAATTATATTACCTGCTGGACCAGTTTCTATCTCCTCCTCAACAAACTGGCCTGTAATCTTGATCCTGCGGTGTGCCATCACGACCAGCCTCAGCTTATAGTCCATATCCTGCATCTCATGTATTTGTGCAAACACTCCAACATCATGCAACTCATCCAAACTGGACACTACATCAGATTTGTCTTCTTCTTTCTTACGTAAAAATATACCAACATAAGGTTGATTTAATTTTACTTTACGTCTGATTAGATCTATTAGAACTGGATTACTGATCTGTAAATAAGTAACATTTCAAAATAATTTGTCTTTTATGAAAATAAAACAAATACTATATAATAATATAAGAAAATAGTTAAGTAATAAAACTTTACAAAATTTGATTGAAAATTGTATAAAAAAATAAACATTTTTTAAAATATATTTACACTTGCTTAAAATTTATGCATATTTCATGTCTACTTTCATGACAAGTTGCTTATAACGAAGGCAGAGAGCATAGAATATCAAAGTTCACTTTTATAATTCCTTACATGAATGCACACTAATATAAATACAAATTACATAATTAATTGATGTAGCATCATTGCAATTTATTTTTGAAGACTATGATTTGAAATATTATATTTTTTAATATTTCAATGAAATTCAGGCACAATGTCACAGTCAGCAGGAATAGCAACATATGAAAGGTACCATGAACATAATGGTGTATTCTGTAATATCCATAGAGCTGTTTAAATTTCTATAGACAGTACCATGTTCAAGGGTTCCATCACATCAGCTGTTGTTTTATTCTAACATAAAAAAAACTAATAAATTAAATAAATGATTTAAAATTCCGGTATATCGTGATTTGTTATATTTCGACAACTGTAAGAAGCTAAATTAATTTAATTCAATAAATATTTGTACCTCAATTAATTTTATAAATCTTGGAAACACTGGATTTCTATTAATAGCAATAACTGGAACTTGTGGCCAAACTTCAGGCACAGCAACTGTGGCCGGAAGCTGGCTTGAGAATAAAGGAGCATCATCTTTCCCCTCTGGATCACCCTCCGGGGGATCATTTTTATTCCCTGTAGAGTAAAATCTCGTACTCGCTACCTGTCGCGATGTAGGAAAATAAATCTCGCTATGGCAGCAACTGCGACTGTTCCGTAACCCGTAAATTCCATAACCATACCGTAATACTTTGCCATCAATTTCCACCGGCTTACTATGTGATGCAACTTTTGTAAAGTTGCGAGGTAATCTTATAGACAGATTCTTCAGTTTAACACTCAAAAAAGAGTTTCTAGCCAAACGACTGGCAGTATGCATTTTATTTTATGAATCTATTTATTAAATATATAACAAGACGAGTTTCATTTAAAAATAATTATTTTATTTAAAATATTAAAAAAATAGGTTATTTTTCCAGATTATTCAAATGACAGTAGCGAATATTTAAGTTTTCCTATTGACGTGACTGTGACTTTTGTAACAACACTTGACAGTAGCAGCCCATCGTACACGTGCTACTAAAATATAACGTATTAAGAGTAGATAGTAAGTTCGCTATCCTAGGGAATCTATTTTTTTATCTATGTGATTAGCATGATTGCTTCTTATCTATGTGGTTTTTTGTCAAATGTCAAAACAAAATAAGTTTCGCATGTGTTACAGAATTTACTATTTCTTTCGTATCCAATATCTTATTACAAGATAATTCATAATTCGCTTATTATTGTCTTCTTATATAGAATACAATCACAATATTATTATAATTATATTATTTTGAAGAACTTTCATTAAATATTAATGTTGATCATTTCTATTTATGTATATCAGAAGATATTTAAGATTTTTTAATCCTCTTTTTCAGGTTAGTACCTATATCCATCAAATAAATACTAGGTACATTAACCGAAATTTCATATTGCTTTAAGTCATAGATAAGGAAACTTTCTACGCTTCAAATAATTTTTCTATTAAAACATTTGTCTTATTAAATAACGTATTTATAGGAAGTAAAAAAAATGGAAACATCTGTTGACCAAACCCCAAAAAAAAGTATAAAAGAAGGTAAAGCTGAAATCTGCTTAACTACTGAGAAAGTATTCTATAACCCTGTGCAAGAATTTAACAGAGATTTAAGTATAGCTGTACTTAGTGTGTTTACTGATGACTATAAGACTGAGAAACTTGCTAAGGCGGAGCTAAAAAAGAAAAGTAAAAATATTGGACAAGAGGAATTCATTTCGGAAGACTGTAATAATTCAGAGGTTAGTTTCCATTTGTTATAGTGATCTGGCCCGGCTTCACATTCGTAGATAAAATTTGCAATAATAATATATTACTCGCTGGTAATGTAGGTGGTGTTTCTATAGGTGAAAGAATTTTGAAAATCTGTTGAGTTGTTTTTGAGTTTATCCATTATAAACAATCAAATCATTCCTCTTGATTATAGCTTTATCTATAATTAATTAACATATGGCTGAAAAAAAAGTATATCATTAATGTTAAATAAAGTCCAAAATTTAAATTTTAATTTATTATATATTTTTTCTCTATCTCTATATTATTAAATACCAACCAAATTAAAAAACTCCATAACCATTGTTATGTATAAAAATAATGGGTAATTTGATTAAGTCAATTGATGTGGGTACCTGTATAATAGTTATGACAATTAAAATAGTTTTGCTTCCAATCTCAACCAAGTTGTATCTTTTAATGGCGACTGATGAAAATAAATGTAATTATGCGAAAATGACGTCAAATCTTACGAATATAGTGCTTCCGGGACATTTTAATCCAAAAACAGATAAATGGAGGGATTATAAAGAGCAGTTATTATGTGCGCTCGATGCCGCGGGTTATGGTGAACAGAACATCGATAAAGCGCGTTCATTGTTTTTATCTCAGTGTGGAAAAGACACTTATGGCTTAATTGTATCTCTATTAGTACCAAATCGACCAACTGAAGTGGAATTTTCCCATATACTACATGTTTTAGACAAATTTTATGAACCGGAAATTAATGAAATTTTACAAACGGAAAAATTTCATAAACGTCATCAATTACAAAATGAAAGCGTGCAGGACTTTGTAGCAGCTATAAGTTTATTGGCTGTTAAGTGCAACTTTTCGGACTTGCAACGTCAGTTGAGAGACAGACTGGTGTTAGGGGTTTGTGATATACGCTTGAAAAGAGAATTATTGAAAACAGAAAAGCTAACTTATGAAAGTGCTTTACAAATGTGTCTCAATTATCAAGCTACATGTTTGGATTTATACCCTGATAACATCCTGCAGAAGCAAACTCCGTTCCATGTTACGGAACCTATGGAAATTGGTAGGATAAAGTCAAATGACTGTCGACATTGTGCAAGACTACATAAAACTGGTGAGCGCTGCCCGTTTGTGAAAGCAAGATGTTACTTTTGTAAACGTTATGGGCATATTGCATCTGCTTGTGAGAGGAGATTGGCGAAAGTGCATCAGACTACAGAATGTGGGGAGGGAAGCTGTAAGTCCTTGCCCGAAGAGATGTTGGGGGTGTATAATTGTACAGAAAAGTACCTTCCAGCAATTAGAGCTGATGTGATAATAGATGGTGTGAGCCTTTCCATGGAAATTGATTCTGGAGCTTCGAGAACAATTATTTCAGAGGAAACTTATTACAAATTATGGGTAACACCACCCCCACTGAATCCTACCAACATAAAATTAGTGACATGGACACGTGAACCACTGAAAGTGCTGGGACTGGCTAATGTACGGGCTAGTTTAGGTAACAAGGAGGCACAATGTGAGCTGTTGGTGATAACAGGCAAGGGACCAAGTTTATTAGGAAGAAATTGGTTCAACCCTCTGGATATACATGTTTCTGGATTGTGCTGGTCTAATGAAGAGTTAGCATCCTTCATAGACAAATTTCCTGATTTATTTAAGAATGATTTAGGAGAATATATTGGTCCAGAAGTTTCATTACATGTACGACCTGAGATGGCACCGAAGTATTTTAAAGCTCGACCAGTACCATTTCCACTTAAACAACAAGTGGAAGCTTCTTTGAAACAGATGATTAATGATGGCGTTTTGACACCAGTTAAGTATTCAAAATGGGCCACACCAATTAGAGTTGTTAAGAAAGATGATGGCACACTCCGTATCTGCGGAGATTATCGTGCCACTGTTAATGCTGCTATAAATACAGATACATACCCACTGCCCACATCAGCTGAAGCTTTTGCAAAGTTAAGTGGAGGACGTGTGTTTAGTAAATTGGATCTTAAGCAAGCTTATACACAGGTGAAGGTGGATAAGGAGACAGCTGAACTGTTAACGCTTAACACTCCTATGGGACTCATGAGGATGAATCGTTTGGCCTTTGGTGTGAGTGCGGCACCAGCAATTTTCCAGCGATTAATGTCAGCAGCCCTTGTAGACATGGAAGGAGTAGCATGCTTGCTCGATGACATTGCTGTATGTGGGAGAAACATTGAAGAACATAATGAAAGGTTATGCAAAGTTTTAAGCAAATTGAATTCAATGGGATTTCGTCTTAATGTAAAGAAATGTGTATTTGCATCAGACAGCATTACCTTTCTGGGACATATGATTGATGGTGAAGGACTACATCCATCTCCAGTAAAGGTCAAGGAGATTAAAGAGAAACCAGCACCTCAGAGTAAGGTAGCGTTACGGGCATTTTTGGGTCTTTATAATTTTTATGAAAAATTCTTGCCTGACAAAGCGACGATTCTTGAACCATTGTATAGGTTATTAGATGCAAAACGACCCTGGATATGGGGTGAAGCCGAACAAGTGGCCTTCAACAAAGCTAAGAATCTTTTATCATCAGATTTGACATTAGTTGGATATGAATTAAACAGAACACTGCTATTAATTTGTGACTCCTCTGATTATGGTCTAGGAGCTATGATTGTCCATGTGATGGATGATGGATCAGAACGACCGATTATGATGGCTTCACGAACTCTTCAGCCACATGAGCGGCGTTATGGACAAATTGACAAGGAAGCCCTGGCAATTATATTTGGTATCACAAAATTTCATGAATATTTGGCAGGACGTAAATTTGATATTATTACGGACCATAAGCCGCTTGTTGGTCTGTTTAACCCTTTAAAACCTATACCTGACCAAATATCACCAAGAATGTTACGGTGGTCGCTGAAGCTTGGTTGTTATAATTATAATATTAAATATAGGCCAGGGAAACTTATTGGAAATGCAGACGCCCTTAGTCGATGGACAGTGCCTAATACGTCTGCAGGGGAAGAGGAACGTCTAAGAGAAGTACTTTTACTTGATGAGCAGCCAGAGGGGTGGGACCTTGATGTAACACGGATTGCAGTAGAAACTAAGAAAGATCCAATTCTACAGAAAGTTATGTTTCATATACTACATGTCTGGCCCCGTTCTAGTCCAAATATGGAAGTGGAACCATTTTGGTCTCGCAGAGAGGCTCTTTCTCATAGTAAAGGATGTTTACTATGGAGCAACAGAGTTATTATACCCAAAGCACTGCAGAGTAAAGTTTTGGAATTATTACATGCTCCCCATGCTGGCGTTGTTCAGACTAAGGCTTATGCTAGAGGATATGTTTGGTGGCGTGATATGGATCTACACATTGAGAGAATTGTGGCAGACTGTGTGCATTGTCAACAAGTGAGAAATAATCCACCAAAAGATCCACAGGCTTGGATACCGTCGGAGAAACCTTGGGGTCGGGTGCATGTAGATTTTGCAGGACCCTTCCAAGGTAAAACATTTTTTGTACTGGTGGATAGTTATAGCAAGTGGTTTGAAGCCGAGATTATTCCATCAATGAGCAGTGAGACAATTATTAATGTATTAAGGAAGATTTTCGCTGCACAAGGATTGCCTGATATATTGGTATCTGATAATGGCAGGGCTTTTAGTTCTGAAGAGTTTAACTCTTTTCTGAAAAAAAATGGTATAAAGCACAAGTATTCACCCCCGTATCATCCTGCGACTAATGGGCATATTGAACGTGCTATACAAACATTTAAAAATAAACTTAAGAAATTTTCATATGCCAATTGTAACATATCTTGGCCTGAAAAGCTATCGAAAGTATTGTATCATTTACGCACAGTACCGAATAGCACTAATAAAACACCAGCGGAAATTCTAAATGGCCGTCGATATAGAACTGCTGTTTCCAATTTACACCCTAATTGTGTACCAGATGATGCCCAGAAGCAACTTGAAGCTGTAGCCCAACAGTCTCGAAACAGAACGTTTAATATAAATCAAGCAGTGTTAATTCGGGTTTATGAGCCAGGACGGAAATGGCTCAGGGCTACCATTGTGGAGGTTGAAGGTCCAACCACATATAGGGTGAGAACAGAGGATGGGGAGATACATAGGCGCCATGTAGATCAGATTTTATCACGTGGTAGCAAAGAGCATACTATGCGCCAACGTAGACCATCCTGGGATCAACCAGATGATATTGTACCTGAGGCTTCGCCTGAGATTGAAATACCAGACCCTGATTCCTGGCCAGATATAATTGGTATACCTAGGGAATCTGTGTAGCGTTCATGTGTTGTGATTAATATAAAGAGTATCTTAGTCTTATGTGCTGATTTCTGTATTTGTAACTATTATAGATATTAATTGTACTTCAAGATTATAGGGGTGAGATATGTTATGTATAAAAATAATGGGTAATTTGATTAAGTCAATTGATGTGGGTACCTGTATAATAGTTATGACAATTAAAATAGTTTTGCTTCCAATCTCAACCAAGTTGTATCTTTTAACCATGACATTGACAGAATTACCAAACAAATTTCAATATATGTTTTTGCAGCTTATATGAATTAAAAGCAGAAGAAAATGTTTACTTGATAGAAAACGATAATTAGTCCACGATGGTATACAAATAGCCCTAGTATTTATATATATAATAGTATTTATATTTATTAAAAAATAATGTGTAATTAAATAGAATATTGTTTACACATTTTAATAAATTATAAATTTATGCATGTGTCTATAAATATAATTCATAACAGAAAATCAGTTATTTGTCCAACAAGGCAAAGTACACACTAAGTTAGGCCTTTTTGTGTTGCTGAGGCATACACAGGTATAATTTTTTTTCCCATAATATTATTGTGGAAACTATTATTTTTTTAAAATTTTTATATTGTGTTTGACTAAAGTCCACAGATAACCTTTTTATTACTATAATATCATGCTAAACTAATTCATCTTACAACATTCTCTTTTAAAAAATTATATTATCTATAGAACTATGTATAATTATAAAAATAAAATTGTAGAAATAATTAGAAAATAAAAATTACACCAATTGCCAATATATAACAATTCTATACCTTCCTTTTTTTCTTCAGCACTTTATTGTGCCAAAACTATGAGCAGATTGTTTATATATCATACTGTATAATTATGTTAAAGAAAATACTGTGAATACCTTTTAGAAAGCATATGCATTAATATTGTATTATATTTAATGTTTATTATATATGTTATAATGCAATATCATGTTCCTATAAATAAATATATAAGAAGATGACGCATGAGGCAATGAAGAAACTACCTCTTAACTCCCGGATATGATGGTGTTTGAGTTTTTTTACTCTTGTAAGTTCTCTTAGTTCTACATAATCAATACAATTTAATCTCTATTATATTTTACAGATTGAAATAACCATCTTAGAAGCCCTATCTGCAACAGGCCTAAGGAGCATCCGTTACGCTAAGGAAGTGCCAAATATTACAAAAATTGTTGCCAATGACTTTTCCATACAAGCCGTTGAAACAATCAAGGCCAATGTAGTTCATAATCAGGTGGAGAAATTGATTGAAACAAACCATGATGATGCTTGGTATGATGATCTTTTCTAATAATCTAATAATTAAATAATCTCCATCTAGTAAAAATACTATTTCTCACCGATCGTCACTTTTTATTCAATGGATTTAAATTTTTTTATATATGAATGTTGTTAGTCAAAATTTATTTACCAAATGTGCCAAATACATACATATATACATATTAACGTATTTGTAAAAACCATATTCATTTATTTGACATTTTATTAACATTTATTATATCAGTATGATTTTTAACATCAAGTGAATGAAGCTGTCTACCCTATTGGTGTTAAGTTAGATTTCTTTTTTATAAGGAGTAGTACTACATAATCACACTGATTGCTTAGTTCTTGAAACAAATACCCAGGGGAAAGGGATTGCTAATAATGCTGGCTGCCAATCCCGTTGCTAGCAATATACCCTGTGTCACGTCGACCTCCACACAGACCCTCCTGGAAACCATCGTGATTAATTCCAGGTGTATTCACGTTTTCATTCTCACCTATCATCCCTCACTGGTGCCCCGTCAACGTATATCGTTAGCGTAGATGGGCTTACCATTCCATTATCAGCCATTAAAAAAAAATACAATACCCTGTGTTATGAAAAACCCCATAACAAACATCTGAAAATGTAGCTAAAAATCCATTCTGAATGCACAGTAGAATAATAAAAAATTACTATAAAAAAATTCTTAAATTTATAACAAAAATAGATTAATGAGATTTTAATATAGGACAGAATAAAGACTTTTTAAATTTACTGCAATATTTTTTTAACCCAAATTGCAGAATTATAACTCATTACTGTTATTAACATCCCCAGCATGCTTATGTACAAACATAAACACCCGACAAAGCGGTTTTCCGCCATCGACCTGGACCCATATGGCTGTCCATCTATATTCCTCGACGCGGCCGTACAGAGCGTCAGCGACGGGGGACTGTTACTCGTCACAGCTACAGACATGGCGGTATTGGCTGGTAACTCGCCCGAAACTTGCTACTGTAAATATGGTGCTGTCAGTTTGAAGACTAAATGCTGCCATGAAATGGTATGTGTTTTTTTATTTGTTTTGCCATATATTTCCATTAAAATGGTCTAAATTACTTTTTTATTTTTTAAAACGACTTACAATGGCAAACAAGCTGACGGCCCTGTCCATGGTACTGCTCATGTCTATAGGCGACGGTTACCACTTTCCATCAGGTGAGACGTCAGTTTGTTTGCCATTCTAAGTTGTAAAAAAAAAATTAATGGCGGAAGCAATGTCATCACTCATTTCGATATCGCCCTCATCGGTCGGATATCTAACTTTGAATATATTACAAACCATCTCTAGTTTCTTGTAATTATTTATATCGATTTTACTCACTTTTTAAATTCAGGGATGCCTGACTAGTTTCAAACTTATTTATTACAGTATGAATCGCATTGATTATTATTCAACCCTATAATTTATATTATTTTTTCAGGCTTTAAGGATACTACTACAATGTATAGAGCAACATGCAAATAGATACAGCCGCTACATCGTTCCACTTCTGAGTATATCAGCAGATTTTTACATCAGAGTCTTTGTCAAAATTTACTCAGGAGCTATACACTGCAAGAAGACTACCAGGTAAATTTATTAGATTCATTTATTTTTATTTGATTAATAAGCCCAATAACACAAACATCTCACATCCGTTATTTTCGCCAATTTTTGTTTTTTTTTAAAAAAATTATTACAAAACTCTGTTGAGAAAGTGCAGCTGAATAATATGAATGCTTTTTCTAGTTACATAGCTATAGCTAGAATCGAAATAATTCGTGCCATTTATGGAGGTATATTTACTGCCAGTGAAAGCATACTCTTACATGAGTTATTGAAAGCCCCATAACTTTTTATATATTTTTGTCATTTCGCAACCCATATTTCCCTGGAAAAATTAAAAATTATTAAAAAATATTATTACTTTTCCAATTTAAAAACTCTTCACTATTCAATGGGATCCATTCTGAGACGCCATTTATTAAAAACTATCTAAAATTTGAATTTATTTAAATACAGTGAAATGTGTAATATATCAACATGAACAAATTTTCTAACAAATATAAAACAAATTTATTATTAAAATTAATAGTAAATTTATGAAATTTTCAAATTAAATTATTAGGTTAAAAGACAGATTTAGAAAAATGGCACTAAATAGCAGAATCGGGCCCCAATGTCGTTTATCTCTATACTGTACATTTTATCAGTTGTTATTATGTACCTTTTTCATTTGAACAGCAAGCTGTCAATGGTGTACCACTGCGTGGGTTGCGACCACATAACCCTACAACCGCTTGGTGGCTTCAAACCCAACCCCAGTGAAAAAAACCCAGATCAAATGAAGGCATACTTACCTGCCGCGCCGACAGTCGGCGAATATTGCGTACATTGCAATCAGAGGCATCATGTAAGCTTACATTAATTTACAATATTAAATGCATAACATATTACAATGAATATATATCAGCTATGTTTTTACATATATAATGGAGGTGTCCATCAGGTGGACCATTAGCTTGATTACGATTCTAAATTGCATAAAAAAATTAAAAAGATGGCATTGAAGCATACGACATATCTGTTTTATCGATAGCTCATTGCACATTCAATTCTTGTGTATATCATATAATATATATAAAGTGTAAGAAACCTATATTTTTTTGGTCCTTAGGGCCGGATATTTTTTGTGGCGCTCAATGTAACCCACATTAAAGTAATGAAATTTACATCAGGAGTGTATTTTTTATGCATTATATTGACTATATATTATTGTGTGACGAAAACGTTTGTTACATTGGTAAAGTAAACAAATATAAATATTATGGTAACATTTGAAATTAAACACAGACATACTCACAATTACAGATGGGCAAAGCACCGGGTTTAAACCCGGTGCTTTGGTAAAAACCCAATAAACACCCATAAACTCCCATAATCACCCAAAAAAATAGGTTTTTACGTATTTTTTTGAAAATATGTAAGTAATACCAATAAATTATTTTTATAAATTGTATTGATCAATTCTACAATATTAAATAAAACGTTAACTAATAATATTTCAGGAAATTTTAAAAATCTATATATAATAAAATGAAAGTAATTAATTTTCAGTGTTTTCATGTTGCAGTTGATCAACATGTTGGCCTTTTGCTTCCCGTAGATACTTTAAAATTTCTTCATAACACCTCGTTCGCACACATGGCCGTATATATTTAAATTCTTGAGCCACTAACAGTCCGAAATACTAATTTCTTTTATCCTCTTCTCCATAAATTAAGCATTTAGAACAGTTTGTTTCTTCTTTCAGTAAATTTTCTTTTACTTTATCCTCGTTTTTTTTCTTTGTTGCGACGACGCTGGGTAAATCATCTGGACACTGGGTCTCACTATCGCCAAATATATTTGGAGATCGGCTTCGGCTACGGCTTGGCAGACATTTTTTTCTTTCTACAATTTTAAATTAAATTTATTAGAATAAATGCTTCGAACACACGCGATCTAAGTACCTTTTGTGTTTATTATACCTTACCTACCTAGGTATAAAAAGAGTACTTACGTAGATTTTCTTTTATTAACTGTTTTATACGAAGATCTTGATCTCTCAAATTAGCATCCATTTTACTTCCAGTGATTATCAACTAAATTAATAATCCACAAAGTATTAAATAACGTTTTTATGAAATATTTAGCACAAAAACAATACCCTTTAAATATCGATCGTCAGTAACTGTGGCTGACTTACCTATATTCTAGCAAGCAGGACTGCCAGATGTGAAGGGGAAATCCCCAATAAATTGTTGCATGTGACTGATGATGTGAGCATGTTCGTTTCATAATAAAAATGTTGCCAGGTAACCAAAAAGTCGTATGTTTTTGTGCGAATTACGATCATAATCTTTACGATCGTACATTAAAAAATAGACAAATAATAGTATGAGTACGATTTAAATCGTATATCTGTCAACCCTGCTAGCAAGACAGCGACAAAATCACGTTGCATAACAATGTAGCCCAAGCTTATATCTTATGAAATATACGGAAGAGATACGGACTTAGAAAAAACAGAAATGTTGTTCTTTGTGGAAGTCATTGATGAAATTCTATGTATTTTAGCCCGCAAACTTTCTTCAAACAAAAACAGCGCCATCTAGTATCGAGTTCTGTAATTATCTCTTTGTTTATGGATTTGAAGTAAGACCGCCACGCATGCAATACATTATGACTGGGGATTCCCCTATTCGTCGACGCTGAATATGAGGCGACGACAATCACTGTCAAACGTGTTCACTATTACTCTGACTCTGGTAACGTGACTTCCTGGTAACGTGTTAGGTAGGAAAAGCAGTAAAAAAGTGCATATTAAGGGAGCAGATTTGAAATAATATTTATACTTAACAAGAAATAATTAAAGGTAAGTGGATTTTTGAATGATACAATTATATCATGATCACTTAACAATTTTAACTTAAAATTAGATGTATTATTACAAGCTTTTATTTAGCTTGCGTTATGTAAATAAAAGTATGTAGGTATGTTCGTATGTTGATGCAATTATCCTCAATCCTCAACCGACTGGGATAAAATTTTCCATACACGTTTATTTTGGATGATAGTGCATAGTTAGCTGAGAGTCGTCATTGGATAATAATGGTGGATAGCCTAAGATGTGTACTAGATATTTATTTTTAACATAATATGCGTAAGTACCTAATCGAATTAAAGAAGTTGCTGAGAAAAATACAGAACAATACGATAATAAACTAGCGTCTGCGTTTAATCCTCCGAGGAGATGTAATTTTACAAAGGTTTTTTGTATTTATTTTATTATTTTTTTAATAAATTTATTGTAAATAACAAGAAATAATCATTGTAAAAAAATAGGCACTCTATTGTTGAATGTTCGTCAGACCAACTAATCATCGTTCATTTTTTTAGGTTCAATGGGGAGACCTAAAGATTTACGCATATGGGAGCACTACCGTACTTTACCAAACAAGTCTGTTTCTTGCAAGCTTTGTAATAAGGTCTACAAATTCAGTAATGCTGCCAAAATGCTTCAACATCTTATCACTTGTCCAAAATCTCCAGAAACATTAAAAGACTCTATGAAACTTATAAAAGATAGCTCGTCCAAAACCAAAATGTCTGGACTGTCAGAGATAGAGACAAATGATTCTTTTATAAGCCCCTCGTCGTCTGCTAACACTACAATAAATGCTGAGTTTCAAGACACCGATGATCATATAAAAACAGAATTAGCGAGAGCTATATTTGTAACAGGGACGCCATTATCGATGGTGCAACATCCTTTATGGATACAATTTTTCGAAAAATTGCAACCAAAATTTAAAATACCTTCACGTAAAGCTTTAGCGACAAAATACTTAGATAAAATATATAGAGAAATGCGTTTTGAGTTAAATGAGGAACTAAATGCTTGTAGTTACTTACACCTTCAGTGCGATGGCTGGTCTAATTTAAGAAATGAAGGAATAATAAACTTTCTTATATCAAAACCTCAACCTGCATACGTTAAAAGTTTGAATACAGAAAGTAATCCTCACACTAGTGAATACCTTAGCCAAGAAGTTGAAAAAGTAATGAAAGTGTATGGAGCAAATAAGTTTCTTGTACTTATTGGCGATAACGCTAGAAATATACAAAAGGCATTCGAATTAACAAAACTCAAATATCCACATGTTGTTCCTCTCGGTTGCTGTGCACATATCCTTAACTTGTTGTGCCAAGATATTGTAAAGATACAAGAAGTAACTGTGTTTATTATGCAAGCCATAAATATAATAAAAACTGTTAAAAGGAGTCAACGATTAAGTTCCTTGTTGATAAAATCAAGGCAGGGTGAAGATTCTACACAAACACTAAAATTGCCTTGTGCTACAAGATGGGGAAGTCATGTTACTTCGTTAAAAAGTTTGAAAGCAAATAAGATAGCTTTGCAAATATTAACAGTTAGAGAAGATGTGGTAATTTCAAGAGATATTAAAGATTTAATTCTAAGTGATGATTTCTGGACGAAGACAGGGGAATGTATAAGTATTTTGGAACCAGTCACTGAAAGCATATTTTACTTAGAGAGCGACCAGAATCGTTTGCATCGCACATACATTACATTTAGAGATGTACAAGCTAAGATACGTTTTGCATTAAATGAGATTTCGACATTGAGCGAAGAAAGCAAACAGCAGATTCTAACATCAGTATCTTCAAGATGCAATATGGCAATGAGGCCAATACATTTTGCAGCATATATTCTAGACCCCATACTCTAGGAGTCGAACTTACTCAAGAGGAAGAACTTAAGGGTATGGAGTTAATCTACAATTTAAGCCAACACTTAAGTTTGTCAAATGTAATGGCAGATTTGGCGTGTTATAAAGCTAAAGAAAACTTTTGGGCCAGAGGATTTGTATGGAGCTCATTAGATAGCATTGAGCCCCTAATATGGTGGAAAGGTATTTGTGGTTCCACTGAGTTAAGCAAAGTAGCGATTCGTATTCTATCAGCTCCCTGTACTTCGGCAGCCACTGAGCGTTCCTTTAGTATCCAAGGCTACATACATAATAACAAAAGAAATCGACTTACAACTGAAAGAAATGAAAAAATTTCATTCATTTGTTATAACTGGAATCTTAAACATAAAGCTGAATGCGAGGACATTCAGTTTAATGAAGAAAATATCTTAGAAGCTTTCATTGAGCAAGTAAATGAACATAACAGTTTAGACGAAATAGAGCCTATCGAACCTATACAATTCATCGCTTGTAATAACTCTGAATCTGACAGTGATTGACTGTAGTTTTACATTTTACTTTCATCTCTTTCTTAATAAACTCAAAATCAAATTAAAAGTTTTTTATTCTGTAGGCTGCATAATAATATTGTCTATGTCCAGTATAGTGGACGTCTTGCGGCTGAGATGACGATGATGAAGTACAAAATCATAAACACCCAAAAATTTGGGTGTTTATGGGGTTTAAACCCAATAAACCCAAAACACCCGGTTTTTACCCACCAGACTTTAAACCCACCCAGGTGGATTGCCCATCTCTACTCACAATACATTTCGTTATTAATTTGTTTTAATAAGTAAAGCTAAGGGATTACACCCATGAGTCTACTCTCGACTACTGATTTTCTGTGACAGCTTGGTGGTCCAATCTGGTCAGCGCCCATACACGATGAAGCCTTCGTATCCAGGGTTCTAATGCACGTGCAAGGCCACCCTGAACTGTTTGGTACAGCAAAGAGAATAGAAGGCGTGTTGTCTATGGTCAGGGAGGAGCTACACAGTGTACCACTCTATTACACTCTAGACAAGATGTTTGGGAGAGTCCACTTGGAGACAATGCCTATGATGGTTATGAGGTGTGGTAATATTATATATTAATTTTGTATTGAATCAATATTGTTAATATTATTTATATTAAAACATGAATATGTTTTGGTAAGTGTATAAATCCAGCTTTACATTTACTCCTTTATTCATAAAAGCTAAAATATTCTACAATTGAATTTACAGGGTACAGAGGAATAACACCTGAGTCCTCAGGAATGGCAACGCAAGGGGGGGATCATGGGCGAAACAGTATACTCTGTTATGTCCATGGTACTGCTCATGTCTATAGGCGACGGTTACCACTTCCCATCAGATGGGCCGTTAGCTTGTTTGCCATTCTAAGTTGTATAAAAAAAAACCTTTAACATTGTTTTGTCACTTTCTTTCAAATTGGGAATGTAGTACAAACGAAAGAGACAAAACCGTCCAATAGCCCAAATAGGTTTATGAGACTTTTAAAGTTTTTATCAATAAGAGGGTTAATCTATGGAAAGAGTCATCAAAATCCTAAAAAAAAGTTTTTCTAAAAGCGTAAGCATACATTTTTATATCAACGTTAATTTCAATACGTTCGTTTTTCAGGTCGGCGATAATGAACGCTGGATACAAGGTGTCGTACTCTCATGCATCCAAGATGTCAATAAAAACAACTGCGCCCGCGCAGCTCATATGGGATATAGTGCGCACGTGGGAGAAAACGCATCCTGTAAAACAGGCTAAGTACGACTGATGGATTAAACCAACCCTTAACTTTATTCAGTCCTGTCTGAGCTTTCGGTGTATGTTAGTAAGTTTGAAAGACGGTAGATCAGGGCCGACCTCAATGTATCTGACGAACCTGGATATTTTTTTTACGGTGCGCTGGGGCGCATACACATCGAAAATACTGATGGGTCAGTATTTTCGATGTCGCCTACACTAGTTTCAAGGTGTTAAGATTCCTGAAAATATTCTCATGCATTTTAATTCCTTTTCTGATTATATAAGAATTTTGACTTGTCGAGGCAATAATTTTCATGCATTCTCTTCAAGCCAGCTCTATTCCACGCCACACATTTGACCTCCCTATTTGACACGGCACCTAGTGTTTCCTTTATTTATCCCATGTAGTTATTTCTCGGTCTTCCCTTTCATCTTTTACCCTATATTTTACTTTCTGGTATGCTCTTTAAAAAATCATCATGTCGTCAGTATAAGATGGCGCAGCTTTTTGCCTCTTCTATTCCGATATCACCCATATTTACTCAGCGCTTCTTTTACATCTCATAACATTACTCTGCGTCTCCGGGCATCCCCCGACCGCGCCGTTCCCTAAAGCCAGTACTGCGATAGGTGAGGATAAAAGTAAGTTCCTTTGCCTATACTGACGAATTAGCCGATATAAGTGTAACTTACTAATAACTGATTTCAAATAAAAACAATATAAGATTGTTTCCTAAATATATCAAGTAAGGAAGAACAGATATATATTAATAATATGTCAAATGTTAGCATAATATAATCGTTGCTAACTGCAGATTGGAAGCAGACCCGGCAGCCAAGTATATCCTGTCGCAAGCCATCCAATCGGAGGTGGATCTCACTGAGCGGCTAGATGCCAACCCTATCAGCCGGAGAGACGGTCAGCTTCGGTTTCAGTTCAATCCTGCACCGTATTGGGGGCCTGGTTCCAGGGCTAATGTCAAGTAAGTATTATAAATTGATATAAAACCTATCTCTAGAATTATAATTTCAGTCACAGTTGCAGCTTTTTTGAAGCTAGAATGGCAAACAACCTGACGGTCCATGTGATGGTAAATGGTAACCGTCGTTTATAAAAATTGATGCACCATACAGATCACAAAATCGTTTCATCATGACTCTATTTACTTTACGCGTCAATTTTTTCCTATAAAAATGTTTCTACATTATATGGAGTCTAAACCCAGTCAACTTAAAGTATATTTTTATTTTTACTTTATTAATAAAGAAAATATTTTATTTTAGTGTGGGCGAAGAAAAGATGTCAAAGGCGATACGCAATCAAAACAAACATTCAAATAAATCGAAGACGAAACGTCAACACTCTCCCCAGAGTGATGAAGATCAACGCAAGAAATTAAATGTTGAAGAAACCGTTGTATAAATGTAAATAAATAATATATTTTAATAACTCTTTTAATTTAACTATTTCATTTTTCGCCAGAACACTAATATTAATGATGTATCAATGCTCTAGATCAGCCTTTCCCAAAGTAAGCGATAACGCCCCCTTGTGGTCGCTGCAGGTCTAAAGGGGACGATAAGAGAATCAGAAAAAAATGGGGGCGTTGTGTAGAGGCTCGTTTAGAATTAATGTTAAATCTCCGCTAATGTAGCTCTGTAATAAGTAGGTGAAAAAATGGGAGCGCTAAAAAATAATTTATTCTCAAAGTGGGCAGTAGACAATTAAGTTTGGTAACCCCTATTCTAGACAGTGAATTTAAACTTTAATCATAAAATAAGCTGCACTGTGCATCTAATTAGTTTCGTATTTTTTTTATTATGTATTATTTAGAACTAATATAATGGCATTCAAGTACATTTATTTATTTGTATATCTGAAGTTTACGTGCAGTATCAAACCAAATCCGAAACTTCATTTCTCTAAACCTATCTCTTAAATCCAATGCTTTCATTTGGAAATTATAGTTTTATAAACTAAATATATAATAGTTTTTACTTAAATATATTAGAAATTCAATTCATATTAGTCCTTAGAATAAAGATTTCGTTGTTATATTAAATTAAAATTTTAATTTTAGCGTTGATTTAAAGAAATGGCGCATAAGAATCGACTCCAATGTACTTTTTATTAAATATTGAAAAACCTAGTTAAAGCATATGCTTTAACTAGGTTTTTCATAAATAAATAAAAAGCAAATTAGAATAATTTAAACTGCAGTATTGCAGTTTAAATTATTCTAATTTGCTTTTTATTTATTTACCATCTCATAAGTCCTGCCTCCTATGCAAAATAATTATTTTTTAATAAGTAGGGTATAGTATTATATTATCTGTGGTAGTTTTAAAGAAATTCAAAACTTCAAAATTTCTAGACGAAAATATGCACAAATTGAATTGACAGATTTGACATTAGGTTTTCGAACGATCAAAGAATATTAACCGACTTATTTCCATACGACAAATCATAGCATTCTATCTCTATTCCTCATATGTGTTAGTATATCTTTTCTATTGAATTGTTATATAAACAATGATATTTAAAATTAAGTAACCTATTATCGTATGTATGACGCATACAAAATGTGCATTTCTTTGAAAGCTATTTTCACTTATATTACTACAACATTCAAGGAGCTATAAGAATACTTTTATTGAATTGCAAGACAATGATTTTTTATAATTATTTATTTTTAATTTGATAAATCCACTGGTTTAAGAAAACTCAAGAAAAGATATTTATGAAAATGTACTTACCGGATTTGACAAATGAAATATTGAAGATTATGACAATAATTGAAGCGACATTAGAAAAATAAAATTCCAGACAAATTATCTTTTTGAAGACTAGGCAGCATGGTCTCCGACCTTAGCCTGTTCCAAACGGAACAAACGTACTAAAAAAAAAAAAAAATGTGCATTTCTTTGAACTTGAAAGAAAATATTATGTGCTTGTAATAGTCTTATCTCAATATTCATGTAAAGTAGTCTTTTACGCACGTGCTATATTTATTTATCTACTATTATGTTCACAAGTGCGTGAACTTGAAAACTTGAATCATAACAATAAATCAACAATAAAAAGAAACATATTGTTTTATCGGAAATAATGTTATTTTTAACGATAAAAATGTACTTTTCAACATTATTGTTTATTTTATCGATATCCGTCGCATACAGTCAAGATAGAAAGGTAAGTGCTTTAATACCATGTCTTAAATTTGATCCAACAAAGTAACCCTCCCCTTTTTTATTAACATTTCATTTTATTAACATAAAATCATCCCTCTGTAATATATGATCTTATAAAATTATGATTTTATGTATTACTACATTTAGTTTTATAGGTACAAATAGCTTTTATTTGTATTTAATTATATTTATCATAATCACCATGTGCCCATAAACACATTTGTAAATAATGTGAAAGTTTCAATTACTCTAAGGACTTTTATTACTATGTGATGACCATACTTTTGCATGTCTTTGTTCATAATAATCCTTGTAGGTTTTTATCTCTCTACTTATCACAATGGATGTCATAATGAATTCTTTGGTGACCATATCACTAAATAACTGTTGCCACTTTGTGGGCTGTCAGTATGTTTGCCATTCCATCTTGCATAAAAAAAATAAGTGACTTGGTTAGAGAAAAAATAACCACATTTTTTTCATTGTCTTTTATTTTTTAAAAAGAAATTACAATTCCATGCAAGCAAGGAAACAAATTGAAATAATAGTCTGCTAGTTTGTATACACAGCTTTGTTCTCATCACCAGAATATATTGTTGTATTAGAATAAAAATTAACCTATGCTTTGTCCTTCTCCATCCGTAGTGCTATCTGTATACAAAATTTAATAATGATTAGTTGAATGGTTAAGATGCCAAGAGATAACAAACAAACACACTATTATATTTATTATATATTACACTATTATATTTTATTTTATTTTTATTAGATTTTACATAGGACTTTGTCCATGTGACCGGGATATGTTTATTGACCGGATTAAAAAGTAACCTATATTCTTCTCCATCCCGTTTAATATGTGTATATCGAGGGAAAAGGGATTGTTAGCAATGCAGTTTGACAGCCCCATTGCTAGCAATATGCCTTATTAGGTCAACCTCCATATGGTTTCCCTTGGAAATCATCGTGAACAATTCTTGTTGAATTCGTCATAATGGGCTAACTGACCTGCTTCATACTCACCTATCATCCTTCACTGGTGCCCGTCTGTGTATACCGATAGTGTGGGTGGGGTTACCATTCCATTATCATCCATTAAAAAAAAATGTGTATATCAAATTTCATAATTGGTTAAACTGTTAAGGTATTATAATGTTACAAACTCAATTTCACATTTATAATATTAGTAAAAAATATTAGATGTGGAACCTACAGCTTATATCTAAGACAATAACCTTGAAATAGTACATGTTTATATTAGTCCTTATTATTTTACAGATAACATCCATTTTAAATCCCGACTGCAATGCGTGCACCGATTTTGACACATTATTATACATCAGGGCTGATGGTGCTCATGACTCGATCCATCAAGTGTGGGACTTCACGAGGAGAACACCCACAGTCATATTCTTAATCTCAAGTCTCAATTTGACTCTGAACGTTACATGGAACAGTGAGACACCTAAGTTTACATTTTCTGAAGAACCCAAGTACAGTTTTGCTATTGCAATTGACAAGGTACGTAAGATGATCATTTTTTTAAGTTAACAAACAGTAATACAATGTTATTAATAATGATAACAGTTTTACATCTAAGTATAATTAAGAGTACCACCAACAATACAATGGCTTCCAAGTGGTATCAAACCCTTAAGTCATAGGAGAGAGTTTGCCTCACTCTGCATGTTCTGCCACTTGTACATTGGAATGTGCTCCGAGAAATTGTTCAGTACGATGCCCACGACCACCTTCTATCATTGTACAGCTCACCATCGGCAGAGAATTCACCCTTATATCTTAAAGCCTAGATGGTCGTGTACAGCGCTTTATTCGCGTACAGAGTTTCCATAAAAGAAAATTAATATATAAACATGCAAATATTCCAAAAAGTGGAGCTGATAGTTATATCTATATGTATATGATATTATAGAAATCATTAGAAATAACATTACATGTGGAGTATCATGGGCATCATAGTATATTCTTTGACATTCATGTTTATAAATGACGGTTACCACTTTCAATCATGTGAGCTGTTAGCTAGTATGCCTTTCTCAATTGTATAAAAAAAAACTACATACATATATTAAATACATAAAAACAGGTATATCAAATAAATAGACAATTATGAATAGTACAAATCACAAAGGTCATCATTATATATGTAGGAATACAAGATATGTTTGTGATATCTGTTTTTTTTTTTATAAATTACTATCTAATTACCATATGTTAATAAATATTCTATTACAATGCTTACAAAAGCCATTACTCATCTGTCCCTATGATCTCGCATTATCAACCTAAATATAAGGAAATTGATGTCAAATGTTATACAATAAACATTTATTGTTATCCAATTAGGTCACTATATTTCTATCATAACATATGTGTCTGAGTCACAGGTCATATACATAAATTGTTTATACAGAACTGTGTGTCTAACCTGATTCCTATGCTTTGTTGATAATGAATTATAAACGCATTTATGCACGAAATATCAACAGATTAAATAAAATAAAACTTATTTTTTATTAAATTGCTATCCTATAGAGCTGCTAGAATCAATAACTGAGAGGAATAAAGTGTCTTACATGGCATATTGACTCCTTGAAATAATAATACAATTTCTATATGACAAGCAAAAGACATTGCTTTGGCATAAAGAAGCCTTTATACACCAAACTGTGTACAAAATTCGTCTGCTTGGACGATGGAGATTTCACGTCTGATATGATGATGATGATGTTTGTCAGCATTGAAGCAGTTTTTTTGCAAATCAAAATGTACTTTTAAATGCATGCATGTTAAATAAATGCATGTATATTAGCTACCTATCAATATAATTTTGCTACACCCAAATAGGGTTTCATGTACTTACTCATCGTACGAACATTGTAACAACTCTATATTATGTACATGAATGCATTATAATAATAAATAAATAAATACTTATCGTATTATTTTTATTATACACACACTGCACAGACAATCACCAAAAATATTGCTCTTTTTATTTTATATTTATTTTAATTATTATTTTCACGTACCCTCAAATGGGTTAAAGCTGAAAATCAGTGTTTTGTTCCTTGAACAATGTTCCACGCTGAGCTTCGACCTTTTTGTATTGCTGCAGATCACACATAATAACACAATTTTATAAATCTTATGTTGTTTTATGTATTATCTATTCTTATGTACATGTTGTGTATGATTAGTAACAAACAAATAAACGATATATCTATCTATCTATCTATCTATCAGATTGATGGTGAACCATTGCCTGCTTTGTTTCAGATCTACGAGTACAACGACACAGAAGACAATGGCCACTTCGACGACCGGTACCCCCAGCGGCCGTACCCACTCAACGACTTGCTGTGGATTCGCCAAGACTTGGTACAGTCCAATAATGAGGTCAAGCTCATAATGCGGGCACACCACTTGAACGACTACCAAAAAGGCACCATTGAAATTAAGGTTAGTTGTTTAAATAAAATATACTAGTTTTTCCCCGCCACTTCGTTCGTGTGATCGAGACACGTTCACTGACCGGAATCAAAAACAATCTATTTTATTCTCTATTTTATATAGTATGTGTATTCCAAATTTTATAGTGATTGCGATGAGGTAACTAACAAACTCACTTTCACATTTATATTTTTTTTAATGGATGATTTTGGAATGGCAACCTCGCCCATACTAACGGTAGACATTGGCGAGGCAGGGAGGAATGACAGGTGAGAATGAAAAAGCAGGTCAGAGTTAATCCATTGTCACAAATACACCTGGGATTCACCACGATGGTTTTTCAGGGGAACTACATGCAGGAGAACTTGACAGGGTATATTGCTGGCAATGGGACTGGTAGTCCGCATTACTAACAATCCCTTCCTCTCATATAGTGATTGGTTAAGCTGTTAAGACACGTTGAAGTAACTATCAAACTTCCACAATTACAAGTTACAATTTAATTATCAAATTAAATGGTAACCCAGCCCACTCTCTCTGTATATGCTGGCGGAGTACCAGTGAGAGATGGTAAATAAGCATAAAGTTAGCTCAATTAGTCCATCGTGACGAATTTAACAAGAATTAAAGAGATTGCTTTACAAAGAAATTGTCTTGCAACTTGAGAATTTAGCGTATAAGAAAAAGACAAAACACTTCAATAGCTAAAATAGATTTATGGAACGTTTTTATAAATAAGGGAGTTAAATTTAAATCCCAATGAAAGCCTGCAATTTTAACCAATTAATCGTTTTCAGAAATTAAAATGCACTAATCTAATTTCAGCTGGATCTGCTCCCCTATCAAGATTACGCCGTGGACCTCCCCCACCTGATCCATACGTCCAACTCGACGCTCATAGACGTGAACCTTGTGAACCTGACCTGTTCTGAGGACTACCAAGCGTCGCGGTTCGCGCTTCACTTTTTACTAGTCAGCACTGACAGGAAGAATGACACCATGAATTACACCATGAGAAAGAGCTTGGATGATGAGCATACGCCCGGAGTTTTCGAGGTATACCTACTTTCTATTCAAGTTTTTTTTTATACCACTGAGGTGGCAAACAAGCATACGGCCCACCTGATGGTAAGTGGTTACCGTAGCATATGAACACCTGCAATATCAGAGGCATTACGCGTGCGTTGCCGACCCTGAAGCAACCTCTTTACCCCCCTTTTGAAGAAACCCATGCTGTAGTCTCTTGGGAAAACCTCGGCAGCTCACTATTAGCTCTTTAATATCAAAATCATATATCACATGGGTGTTGCTGAAAGAGAACTCTATTAGAGTTAAGCTCGCCTTTGTACATTTACTTATCTCTGTAATATTTTTATATATTATTATTTAAATGGTTTATCCCAAGTAATAATCGAATATCAAGACTTCGCTTATGTACAGTGATGTGTCTGATTCATTCAAATTAAATTAGTACAAGTTTTTGCACTGAACAATGACACAACAAGGTGACTGATGGCGTATTCCGACATTTGTTAATTTTAAATTCAAAATACGTAAACGCCGAGACGTTAAACTCTTACCGGGTACTCATCTGTTGCGGGCAGATAGTGGAGATAGTGACGCCGGCGTCCCGGCGGCGCGGCGTCGGCGGCTTCCTGCAGTTCCGGCCCGTCGCGTACACGCAGCCGCAGCGCGGCGTCTCCGTCTCTACCAGCGCACACGTCTCCCACTTCAACAGGTTGCCACACTTACCATACCGATAGATAGATACTCTTTATTGTTTCCCCCAAAAGATTACAATAGTAAACTTATTATAAATATAAACAATTACAAAATAATCACTTTATTAATACCAAGATTTGCCACACGATTTGACATAAAATGATGATGAGCAAAAAATAGATTAAAAATATTTTTTTATTTAAACTTTAATTTTAGTATGTAATATAAAAATTTTAACTTGACAATGGGCCCAGTTCTGAGGCGTTATTTCTTTAAACCTATTTTGAATTCATATTTTAATTTAATAATTTCGCAAAGTTACTGTTTTATTGGCTATCATGAAATAAATTTCCCCCCAATGGAACAGTGGACAGTTAACGGCTGATATGATAATGATTGTTGTACAGAACAAATAAAGGGGAAAAATTGGAATACTGTTTTGTAGTTACGTAACAAAAAACATTGCAAAGTTTCTTGAAATTAATATTTGTAAGAAACCCCCGGTGTGCAAGTTTAACTCACATTTGAACTGTTTTTTTTTTTTAATATAATAAAAAGTAGATCCAAATGGATATATTGCCTTTGGTGTCTTCACTTATATAACAATAATATTGTTTTACAGAACGGAACTGCGCAACGATAGTACATTGAAAACGTTCTACCGCCACTTCGACCGCGACAACGTCCTCGTACAAGACATGGTCGTGTCGTTCGGAGACGCCGCGGACGGATACTACAAGCAGCAGAATTACACTTCATGGTTAGTTAACTTATTTAATGCATATCACATTTATTTATTAACACCTTTAATAATAATATTATATTTTTATTTTCTATGTTTTTGGGTATAAAACATTGAATTTTATAAATTAAAAGTACCATACAAAATCTACTTAGATCAAGCGTACAAATATTGAAAACAAAAATTACAATAATTTAATTATTAATAAAAATGTCAAACCATTTTTTTTTTAATATTTTTCATATAACTTAGAATGACAAACAAGCTGACGGTCCACCTGATTGAAAGTGGTAACCGTCGCCTATAGACATGAGCAGTACCATGGACATAACAGAGTATACTGTTCTGAGTGAACACAGAAACAATATGCTGTACATGAATGTAATACTATTTTATTATTTCATACTTTTTAGCGTGTTTCTTTTTTCAATATTTTGTTTTTAATTTTCGAAATTACTTTTTATTTCTATTTTAAATTTACAGGTCGTTCACAGTCGGCCACGGTACACCTCCGAAGGAGGGTTTCTCGCTGTTCGTGATCATGATTATATCCATTGGACTGGGAATACCAGTGACACTGGCTCTGTCCAGCGTCGTCTACCTGGTAGTCCGAAAGTACAAGCACAGGAATCCGCCCACGAGGCTGCTGAACGATGAATGACTCGGCTATATGTTCACGCTATTAGAAAATGAATAAGGGCTATGATATGTGTATATAATTATTTTTAAATGTCCTTTTTTATGGTTGAAGATGGATTGGTATTACCTGAGTTATTGGTATACGCTGGCGTGTCACCAATGGAGGTAAAACTATGAGGATCAGGTCACTTGACCTATCGTGGTAACTTCACAAGGAATTAAATTAAAGCTTCTAGGGGGGTACCGCGTAGTGGTCGACCTGACCTGTATATAACATTATAATTCGTGTGGGATAGATTATCTTTAACCCCCCCCCCCCTAATCTAGTGTTTCAATTGCCCACATGTATTTGTTGCTTTTTTTATAATAGTAAATATCCTAGCTTGAGGACAGGGCCATATTATTATATACGTAAAGCAGATGACTCCTACCATCTTAGAAAAAATCTACGGGCTTGTTGGCACGTAGTTACGTTTACATTGTCATCCCAAACTATTGATTAATTTTCAATTTAATCCCGTTAAAAATAAAAATAACAATATTAATAAATATTTAGCTGTCCTGAATGCAGGGTAAACATTAAATGGAGGAAGTTATGCAGAAAGCAAGCATATCTAATGGATATCTTAAGAGAAATGGCCGTTTTCTGCATCACTACTTCTAAATAGTGTTCTTATGTTTGATGTATTAATTGTGATTCTGTGAATCGCTTAAGTCGTCGCTGCGATTTGCACTTAGGTCCTATTTTGCGTGCTCACTTGACGTAATCGATTTGGTGTCAAATCGAAATCACATCGAATCTATTTCAAATGAACGTTATCTTATACTTGACTATTTAAATCGACGTCAAAATAACTTTAATATGACTTTCATAAACGTTTTTAAGATTATACTCCAGAGGGCGCTAGCCCCTTATAAAAAAGACATATTATGTACTATTAGACATGACTTTTTTATGCAACTTAAAATGGCAAACAAGCTGATGGCCTACCTGATAGAAAGTGGTAACCGTCGCCTATAGACATGAGCAGTACCATGGACATAACAGAGTATACTGTTTCGTCCATGATACCCCCCATGCGTTGCCATTCCTAAGGTCTTAGGTGACTGCACATAGTTAAAAGCTCCGTTCGTATCCTAGGGTGGGTATCGGACAATTCTGTGGTGGGCACGGCCCTCCCGGCTCCCCTTTAAATACTCTAATGATCACTATTCGATGTGATTGCGATTTGATCTCGATTCGATTGCATTATAAGTCACTTTGCCAACTGTGTTTATATAATACCATGTTAGTTTTAGTTTAGTCAAATTTAATGATTTCATAAATTATTATATAGTCAAAAGATTAAGGACTTTGAAGAAATCTGATTGCATGTACATGTTTATATTGTTAAGTAAAGGTATTGATACATATGAAATGAAAAATGCACTAAACTAATTATCAAAGGAAACTCTTGTAGAGTTATGCTCACCATTGTATATTTGCTTTGCATTGTCATATTTCTTTATGCATTATTAGTGTGTATAATAAATAAATAATAATAAAACAACGGTTAACTTAGAATTCCAACGATATGGACTAATTTACCTGTAATAAAGGTCTGAGTAAATATGTATATACGGGTTGTGAGAATGTTTCAAAGTGTACAAGTCTGAAGCAGAAATTAAGGACATAGACAATCTAGAGATTTAATGAACAAAAATATGACTATTATATAATAATAAAAACATAATAATATTTTCCAACATGAGCATAATTCAATTGATAAACTGTAAAAAAATAATGTATAATTAACTATATGATTGTTGTAGATTTATCTTCTTATTCGTAAAAACGGAAAATTTTACAAACCTATTTTAACTATTACACTGGTTTGTCACTCTCTTTCAACTTGTGATAATTCCAAATGCATAATATAATAGTGCTAATGCAGAAAGGCGAAGGATGGGCAGCAGCGTCCCTCTTAAAACATCTCTAAAAGCCTAACTGTGGTTGTTAACACGCCTGCCAAGCGTGGCAACTACTGGCAAAACTTCCCTTATGGGAAAGGCTTATGTCCAGCAGTGGACAGTTAAGGGCTGAATTAATAATAATAAAATGTAGAAAAGAAAGAGATAAAACAGTTCAATATCTAAAATAGGTCGAGATGTTTGACGTTTTTACGAATAAGAGGGTCCACTTAAATCCTGTGCTTTAATCAGATACCTTGCTTTCCGAAGTGCATAATACTCTAACATTGTCTTCGTCTCTATAAATGTGAAGATAACATTTGATATAAAGACTAAGCCCTTACGATTCATAAAAATGTCAACCCTGTTTTATCTCATTATTTTGCACTGAATTCCCAATTTGAAAGAGGCAAAAAAGTGTAATAGTTAAAATAGGAACGTTTTAATTTTTATGAATAAGATGGTGATATGTTTATAACATCTAGAATAAGTTTTTATATATTTATAAATAATATACATATACATACGTGCCTATAAATAGTTTATTAAATGCATGTCAGTGATGAAATTTTATAAACAATCATAAATGTAATCCCAGCCACCTAGATAGGTAGCAGACAAATCTCTTGATAGATACGTTATCGCTGCGTATGTACGAGACAAAATCAGACAGCGACGTCCTACTTCTTTCTCTTTCATTTGCATGCGATAATAAAAACGTACCTATTGATAGATTTGCTTGCCCACTTGTCTAGGAGACCAGGTTTTTACATTCAGAATTATAAAATTACGAGGCCTTTCCCATAAAGAATAAGAAAATATTTTTATTATCGCCGAATAACCACAAAAGTCCATTCATTTAAGTAAACAAAAATGATGACAAGAGATTTATGTATGTAGAGGAATTCAAGAATGTGTGACGAGTGTTTCATTATTTTGATAAAAAGTTAAAACGCAATGGATGTATTTATTGTTAATGTATAATATTTGTAGTTGACTATATACTAAATAGTGATATGTTAGTATTATATAATTGCCAGTACCTAACACAATTGTTAATTTATGTGCAGTGTGTCACCAAAATTAGTAGTAAATTAGTTTTATGGGAATTTTCTGGAATATTAATTCCAGAAAATCCTCAAAAAACATTACTACAATTTTTTTACTACGAATATAATTTTGTTAATAGAACTACACATAATTAGGGTTAAATGATTCCAATAAATGGAAACACTGTCTCTTTGGTAAGAAGAAATGTTTGTTACTGCGACTAGTAGATACATTGTTTTGACTGTTAGATGTAGGGGAGAAACAAATAGGTTATAGTGACGACATAATATTTTATAACAAATAAATTACTGTACTGAAGAACTACCACTATTATCGTAGTGATTAACTCCGTTAATAGTCCACTACAAATACCTAAAAATAAAATAATAAAATCAATTGGTGGTTAATAATAATCCACAATAATTTTATAATAATTTACAAAGATAACTTTTTTTTATAGCAATATTTCTTTACAGTCGTCACTCACATTATACCAACTAGATTTATAGACAAATTTGTATATTTTTATAATTTTTATTGTTTAAGTTATTAGCTTGTATTTTCAATGTGATATTAATTTGATTATCTGTTTATGTATAAAGTTCTCAATAAAGTATTTTACTATTTACTTTGTCCCTCTCTCTCTCTCTCCATTTATCAAAGAAAATTTTATACTAAATTTATCACATGAGACTTTGTACTAATTGTCTGCAAGAATGCCTCTATCTTGCTCATTTGTCTACCGTTTGCGATTGGGCTATTTTAATATAACGATATAATTTTGTCAGACCGTCACCAAATCTAAAGGGCTAATACAGGACTGGCATTTCAAAACAGGCGTAAAAAAAATCAAGAATCAAATGCAATTTTATTTGATATAAAGATCAGTAGTCAAAGCCAAATGTCGTCGTAATACGTAGAGGACTCCAAACGCTTCAAATTCGAGATCAATATTAAGTAGTCACAGCCCTCAAGTCAGACAATCCAATATGGCACGCCTGTCGAACTTGAAGTTCGCCCACGACGGTGCAACGAAATCGTAATACGAATTATCTTCCTGCACCTCGTCATTTGGACTGCTGTCTTTTTGTACTGGCGAGAAATTGTTGGTATGAGTATTTTGCGGCGTGAACAACTGTCTCTTTGTTCCTTTGCGATCTTTTCTATTACTATTTACGAATGTATTATTATTCTTTGTATTACTCCCGGAACCGGCATGGTTATTCCCATGATTGGTGTGTCCATTACCATGGTTGTTACTATGGCCATTCTTATATTTAAAATTACTATTATTGGGATTTTGTTGTTGAAACTCTTTAATCTCATTCTCTAGACCTTGTGAAATGGATTTGCTCTTACCCTTACTAGTTGAGGCCTCAATATCGCCCATAGACTTGTGTCTAGTGCGTCTTGTACTATTATTAAAAACTTTCGAGGTCCGTTCAGACGCCCACCGCCTCATTCGTTTTACAAATGGTATCACCATGAAGAAAGCATTGGGACTGACCCCCATCTTGACTTTAGGCGTCATATCTTTTTTGTTCGAGGGCAAATCGGCTAGTGCGAACCATTCACAAGCTTTTATTTCATTCCTGGTGCGAGGTTGGAATTTAGTGTCGCGGGGTATGTACCCAATTATGTACAAGCGGACAATTTGATCATGAATGGTTGCTTCTATGTAGTCATTCTTGCTAATAAGTTTCGATATATCAAAGCCTGTTTCTTCCAATACCTGTAACAAGTATTATTAGGTATATTTAAAATTATACTCTAAAAAAAAAACTAGAGGAATATGTATGTATGTAAAAAAAACTAGCAAAAAAGGACCTGTTTTTATTCCATTTTTGTCAACACAGTATATCTCTTTTCACTGATCCCTATTAGCCATCATATCTGCTACCTGCCACTATCCACTGTCTGTAACTTTTGAAATTATCACCTGCTCCCATATACATACAAAAATTCTATCAGCCTTCAAGTGTTTGAGCAATGACAAAGTTAATTAATAGTGATAAAGTAATTAAGTGAGTGGCATAAGAGGGAGCCTGGCAACTACTGGAAAACTAGGGAAAGGCCTATGTTCAACAGTGGACAGTTAAAAGATGATGATGATAAAGTAATTAACAGTGATTTATAACTCTTAAACACAATTGTATTTGATTATACGTGTTGAAGTGCCATGATTTGTTAATGAATAATCCTATACTAAAAATTATTAACTAACTTCCTATTTATTAACTTAACAATTTACTAACTTCTCTGGCAGCACATTTCCATGGCTCCTCATCCTCGTTGACTTTCCCTTTTGGAAAACCCCACGAGGCCTTTGTCCAATAGGACTGCACCAACAGTACATGAGTTAGTTCTGTATCCAACAGTATGGCACCATATGTCGGCACGGTTTGCTTATATTCCCTCCAGTTGTCTAATACCTCATCGAGACTGCTCACATGCTCTCTCAACTGTGGAACATGCTGAAAAACAAATACAATTGATTTGATAGTTATATTAAAATATATTTTGTTTTGTATAATATTGTCCTTGATAAAAAGATTTAATTAACCTAACTAAGGTTAAGCAGATATATCTGATGCTGATAGTGATCCAGGCATGCTTAAATCTCAATAAAAATAAGTATAAAAAGAATTATTGTTAATACTGTTACTTTCTAGTGATTGAAAAGTTCAACTAATCATCATAGAAATTGGTTTAAGTATAGTGTTTGAGGTGGAGAAGACACTTTTTATTGCAGCCACACAGACGAAGCTTTGGACATAACTAGTTTTTTATATTTTCCTAAATCTATTTATTATATTAAAGAAAATATATAAAAAAAATCTAAGACATTTATTATATTTTTAAACAACTAAAAAAAAAGAGGTTTTCAATTTAGTAACATTTATTTTATGGTTATGTTACCTCAGAATGTTATCTTTCACAAAATGATAAATGAAATTATTCTTTTCATCTGAAAAGTTATACTTTCTGATTAGTCCCACAAAATATTATCTAAATTGATTCATGAGTTCAGTTTTAAATCAAAATAACTGGTTTTGCTATAATTAAAGTTAACATTTTATTTTATGCAGAACAAAATATTAAATTATTTAAGAAATTTAATGTTCTAATAATAAATTCAATATTTAGCACCCAAAAGCAATGGACAAAGTAAACTTTTTTAATTAGACTTTTTGGGTAATACAAACATATATGTATGTAGAAAAAATATAATTGGGCAGTATAGATATATATGGAATACAATTACAACTGTTTTTATTTTATACACCTTCACATAATACTTGATTATACTTTAAATAAGTTTAATCAAAAATCTAACTTATCTTACTTAACTCAACCTTTAAATAATGATTAAATATTAATAAAAATATAATGTTTTTCTAAAATAATGATCTAGGTAATTACAAATAATTAAAAATATACCTGAAATATATGTGCCGCAAATTCTCTTATTCCACATGGATTGAGCCTATTTGATTCATCTGTGCAATAATAATCCAAATAAAACCAATGGGCCAGTTCAATTTGAAAACAAATTCTGACCAAGTTCCCTCTGTCTTCTGGTGGTAAATTTATTATAAAACGACTAAAAAGAAAAATATTTATAAGTCATAGAATATCTAAAGTTATAAAAGAATACACTTACGTCTAAAGAATGATAGATCTTCTATTTACAAACATATGATTTTAATTGGATATTGTTTTCTTAAAATAGCGGCCTGTAACTGAATTTTTTCCTGACCGAAGTTTGTTGTTTCTTACATACCTGCACAAATCATCTAATATATCTATAGGTATAGAGTGTTTTGCTTGATTCCCAGATGTAGATGCCATTATAATTTCTAATAAGTTAAAATAATCTAATATGATAAAAATCTATATGGAACAAACAAAATATGACATCCAAATGGACGAAGCTGACACTTGACAGCAACAGTTAGAAGTAAAATTATTTGACAATGACAATGTGCGAAATGGTGAAAAAGTAAAGGAAATAGTGAATATTTCATTTCATTTCATAAATTAAACAGCTTTAATTTGAGAAAACATAAATACGCTACAGGACAACGCATAAATGTTTGTTATGATTATGGTGTACTTTAAATGTTACTTGGAGAAAAATAATAATTTTCTGGACACGAGCCTCTTATATAAAACGTTATTAGAAATGATAAAACAAAATGGTGATTGCCATTAAAAAAAGAAGAAAAAAGACGTACAGACTTATATGTAACGATAGTATTTTAAAAAAAATTTTTTTGGAGCATACTACAAAAATTATTATGGCCCTAAGACTTTAAAGTTTAGAGAGCCTGGTTTAGACGATCCTAACTATCGTTTAAGGATTTTTTTAATATTGACAAAGAGGCAGTATTGCCTATTATGACACTAACAAGAAGGAAACGAGATAGAATATTAGAAAGGAACAGTAACAGTTTCTTTCTTTAGTGACATATTTAAATAAGGAAACTACAGTAATAGTAAAAATATTTGACGCTAATTTGGAAAGGATAAAGAAATGTATACATGAGAACATATTATATAGTGTTATTAGAAATAATAATAATGCCTAAAAACAAGAAATAATAATACTGACTGGTTGACTGATGGAATGACATATATCATAATTATCAGATAATAACGATTACTTGCTCTGTGATAATAACAGATGAGGTGATGTGGGTGCATTCAATATTGGAATTCAATACTTAATTAATTTCTTTATTTCATATTATACTACATATCTCGTAATTTCATTAGTAATAATGGATATTACGCCATTATTTAAAGCTTGTATAAAAACAGTGAAAACTCGTAATAAGGCTTTTGGTATCCAAAGTCCTGGAATCGAAGATAAACAGCGTATACTGAGAAGTAAACCGAAAACTGGTTTTACTACAACTGCTAAAGATATTACTTCCCAAATAACTAGATTACGTGACTTTCTGTTAGAACATAGAGAAAGGTATCTAAGTTTCTTCAACAATGTCACTGGAAATGAAATGTCTGAGACGGAGAGAGATCAGATCGATACAGGGGCGCAGAGAATCATTAATACGTGTTCCCATTTATTGAAAGAATTTAGGAATGACAACCGCAAGTTATCTGTCTCACAACAGACTAGGGAATACATGGATGCTGTTATTAGTTTAATAGATATGTACTTAAAGGCTGTTTGTAAAATCCACAGTGAATTAAAAGCCTTAAGGGTGAAACGAGCACTTGATATCAGAAAGTTGTCACGCCTGGAACTACCACAGACTAAATCAAATATTCCAAATCCATTTTTAATTGATAAAGTTGAAGAGAAAGATCCTGAAACAGTGGAGACAGAGGAGACAGATACTGTAAAAAGAAAATTAGATTTGTCTGAGAATGAAATAGCTGTCATGTCAGATGAAGAGGAGCTAAGCGCTGAAGAGTTACAGATGTTCGAGTCAGAAAATGTACAGTTGTTGAATGAATTGAATAGTATGACGGAGGAAGTTAGGCAAATTGAAAGTAAGGTACTCCATATAGCAGAATTGCAGGAGATATTTACTGAAAAGGTAAATAACAATCTGAAATCTTAATAGCAAACTACTTCCTACTATTACCATAAATGTGATAATTTATAAAAATGTTTGTTACTCATATCATGAAAACATAAAACAGTAGAAAAAAGAATTTCATTCAATTCCAAATCATAATAAAGTGTTAGTAATGCAGGCAATCGTAAGAATATACTATATGCAAATATAGAGTTAATCTATATTAATATAATAGAGTGAAATTATTTGTACACATCAATATCTAGAAGTACTAGTCAGCATTTTTTGTGTATTCAATATTATTATATCATCATAGTGGTAGAATACTGACAGATCTGACGAATATTACATATAAAAATCTGTTAGTATTCTACCACTATGACAATATGTTCTTAACTTAAGCTGTGGAGAACTGTTAATTATAAATGTACTTTAAATACCTTATAATCACTAATATATAACAGTCACTATGTAGTAATAACCTTCATAGTTAAATAAAATTGTATATAGGATAGTGTTCAATGTACTTATTAAAAAAAAATTAAACCTATTTATAAGAAAGAATTAATTTTGATTGAATGATCGGTATCTGAAGATATCTCTTTTATTGTCTTATGTGCCTATTTAACAAATCATCATTATCAACTGACAATTGTTTTGAATTTAAATACAAATTGAATTTAATCTTTGTTACAGGTTTTACAACAAGAGCAAGATATTGACAGAATATCGACAACAGTTGTAGGAGCTACAGAGAATGTGAAAGATGCAAATGAACAAATCAAACAAGCTATCCAGAGGAATGCTGGTTTAAGAGTCTACATATTGTTCTTTTTACTAGTTATGTCATTCACCCTATTATTCTTAGATTGGTATAATGATTAAATAAATCATAAAATATGTTTTTAAGTATACAGATTTGGATTTTCTTTTATATTTAGATATTTATGTCTAAAAACAACAGCAGATCTTATGTATTAAAATGGACAGTATTGTGGTGCTGGTGCATTGATCAAATATTTAATCGTTGAATGTAAATGCCTTGAAATAACTCGCACTAAAGCATATGCTTTGATAGTTATTAACAAATTTGTTTTTTAAATCATTTTACGAAAGTGATCAAGTAAATGGTTAAAATCTATTGTAAGATAAGAAAGTAAATACTTTTTTGTAGATTTGTTCTGCATTTCGTCATAATCATATCAATCATTAAGTGTCCACTGCTGAACTACTGAATACAGACCTCCCCCATGGGGGTTTTTGCCAATAGTTATCTCGTGTGGCATGCGGGTTAGAAACTAGTTAGGTTTGGTGAAGTTACACTGCTCATGCATTTATCATTAAATTCCTTTAATCGTCTAATACGACACACATTGGAAAGAAACGGCGGCCCATATACCGCGACCAGCGGGGCTACAAAGATATAATTATTTTAATTTATATTTCTCAACTATTATTTATCTTCATTCCATATCCATACATAGTAATTAGAGTTATATGGATACTTGAATTACTGTTATTCATAGACCACAGAAAGAGGAAATGAATTGTCAAGTCCTATCCTTAATCTATATCACTGACATTTGCCGTCATAAATCAAATCAAAACGCCGTAAAAGTGTTGCTAACTTATTTCTTTTATTGCTTATCTAGCTCCTTTTGTCTTTTCCATACATTTAATATGGCGTCTAATAAAAGGATTGTTTTTAGCAAAAATTGTCACCAAAAAGGCATCAAAATGATTAGTCTTTAGAACCATTAAATTTAAAAATATGTGTATATTTCAATACTTATTTACTATTGTAAATTCTATAAAAGTAAACGTGTGTCTAAAATTTTAAATTATATTCATATGGTACATGGCACGCATGAATGTCTTGATAACGCACCGACATTGCGACAGTGGCATTATACTCACAGTAATACATGGCAACACTGCGCATTTCGCGAGAAGATAAACACGAATTGAAAAAATTTTGTTTATCTATTCGATAATTTATTTGTTTTTCAATTCTTCAAATAGTTTATTTAACTTGCTCAGACTTATACGCAGAAAATATATTCTTATATTCAGTTTTTACTTTTTGTTGGAATTCTATGTACATGACGTTAAAATACTTAAATAAACTCATTCACTCAAGACATTGGTTAACTACGACTAAACAAGTTTTTGTACAAAAGCCGTATTGTACAATAGTTGCTAAGAAGATGGAATCAATAAAAACCATGAAAGATTTAGGCTATGGATTCAATATTGGTTTGTACATTATTAAAATTATTATTTTCTACTCTAAAAAATTTGCTTGTTGGATTATGTTAAAATAACTATGGGACCAACACTGGGAGTAATAATTGAAAAAAGAATTACCGAAATTATTTATTACATAAAATATAGTACATACAATAATACGGGTGAATTGAAAACTTCTTTTTTGTAATTGCTTAATAATCATGTAAAAAATTGTTGTACATACATTATATATCCTATATGTACATACATTATATATCGCCCATTGTTTTCTCATTGTGATTATTTCTTGTAATTATTTATATTTATAATAAGTTTACTATTGTAATCTTTTGGAGGAAACAATAAAGAGTATCTATATATAACAATTGTATTAATTTTTTAATCTACATAAAAATTATATTAACAAAAAACAATATTTATAAAACTTATATATTAATAATATTATATTATTTATTTTAAATTTCAAACTATTGTGTTTTTATTGTTGTCTGGGCTTTAAATAAATATTTAACTATTATTACATCCGTCCAGATGGGCAGCTTAGAAAATTGGATACAGATGGCCAACCAGGTGATGAACCCTTCCAATTTAATGTCAGTGACCAGCATCAGGAGTGCCAGGCGCACTATGAAAAACTTGGTGATGCTATAACAAATTATGTGTATCACATCCTGGAAACACAGGAGAAACTAATCAGATTGCCTGTACCTGAAGGCTCCAGTGATGGTACATTCATATTTGTATCTAAAGATTATGATAAGAAAGACACACTGATGATTCTTATAAATGGTTCAGGGGTTGTAAAAGCTGGCCAATGGGCAAGATCGTAAGTAATTTGCTTTGCTTCACAATTTTTTTTAAAAATTCTAAATTGTTACTATTATATATCAAATGAGGAATAACACAAATTAATCATGTTTTTTATTGTGAATGGCGTATTACAACTGATGATAGGTTATGTGTTAGTATCCTACATAATAATAGCTTTTTCCATAAAAAGTTATAACAGTGAGGGTGGTTCTAGAAAAATTCTGACACATTGAATTATTGATATACAACAGTTGCTATAATTAAAAAAAAATATATATTTCAGACTAATCATCAATGAAAGTTTAGAAATGGGTACACAAGTTCCTTACATCAAGAAAGCATTATCCAAAGGCTACGGAGTTATGGTCTTGAATACAAATGACAACTACTTGCCTAATGGAAAAAAAATAAAGCACAGTGGCACAGCAGAGGAGCATGCACGCTATGTGTGGGACACTTATGTTACAAAATTAAAGGTTTCATCAATAGTAATAGTTGCTCATAGTTATGGAGGGGTTGTGACTCTCACACTGGCAGACCAGTTGAAAGATGCATTCAATGATCGAGTAAAAGCTATTGCATTCACGGACTCTGTGCATGCATTCTCAAATATTAAAATATCAAAGAGTTTTAAAGAGGTAAAATTTTTGTATTATTTATATGATTTCATTTATAAATATAAATAAAAATATAACAGTTATGTGATAGTGATGTTCCTGCTTCAGATTTCAAGGAATTGGATATCATCTGCTGCACCTTTGGATACTCCAATGAATACACCAGATTTTGATTGTGCCAGAGTATCGGCAGGTAAATAAATATAAACATTTATAAGTAAAAGTAATAAATCTGGTGGTATATTTACATTGTTCAATTTGTTTCAGGTCATCCAAAACATGAAATGACTTCTTATGCATGTATAGACTCTGTGTTTAAGTTCTTCGAAGAAAAACTTGGCAAATGATTGGTCCTGACTTTAGTTTTGATGCCTTATTAAATCAAACATACTAATTAAGTTTAATTGTTTTATTATTAATAATAAATATACTCTATTTATTTATAAAAACCATATTTATTTTTTTCCTTTTGAGTAATTTTTCATCCAATATTTAATATCCTGTTTGTTAGCTCTCACTCCTAAAACTGCTGACTTTGAGTTTACATCTTTCATAACAAATGGTGAGAAACCTGCTGTGTAGTCAGGGTCCAATGCATTTGTTTTGTTCCTTGCCATTTTTGTTGCAAATCTCTTATGTATGTGCTGATCTTCAGTCAGTATTGGATATTGGAAATGTTGACCTCCCTTGGGTGTAGGTAGACTGAACCTCTTGCCTCTGGCTGATAATGGTTTCCGTCCATTTATATGTATATGTTGATTACCATGCTCATCAACACTAACAGCAACTTTTTTCAAAGTGGCATGACCACACTTTGGACAAAATAGTTTTGTCATTACACTAGTGGTTTTGAAGCAGGTGGTGCAACGAAAAATAAAAGTCCGAAGTTGTCTGATTACTCTTCCGTCAATTGCAGTAACATTGAGGCCTATCTGTTTAAGTACATTCTGCATAGCAAAGTCTGAAGTTATGCAAGCCACTTCAACAGATTTCTCCTCAAACTCTCCCATATCCATTTCTCTTTTCTTCTCTGATAAATTTCCTGGTGTTATCCACTCTCCACCATCACTGTCAGATTCCTCCTCACTCTCTGTTTCCTCTTCATCTTTGTCTGAAACTTTAGTTATAATTTCATTCACTTCTTCATCAGCCAAGTTCATATTTTTTAAATTTTCTATTTCCTCTGCTAATATTCCATCATCTTCTACATCTAACTGTATTTTTTTAGTATCATCTGCCTCTACAATTTCGTTTGAATCAGTGTTGATGTTTGATGATTCTGATGTGTTCTCATTAACTCCAACTTGTGTATTAACTAATTTCTCATCTTTCTTATTTTCAGGATATAGATTAAACCCTCCAATTCCAGTCACTTTGACAGTTCTTTGCATTGTAGGCTCAGTGTGCAGATGTTCTGTGCCCGCCTTTTCTTTTTCCAGTTGGTATGTTAACGCCATTACCTTGATATCGGTTGCCGATAGGCTCGTATAGTCTCCAGTTTTCTTCGCAAAGTCCGTAATGAATTTGATGTTCTCAGTAAATACATCTTTGACCTTTAAATCGTAAGGAAGAACTACTAACTTTCTGCGCTGTCTATCGTTTGTTATTTCGTCAATTACCTCTTGCAATGTGTAAATATTCTCCGCTATATCCTGCAGGTTAGCTGCTTTTATGAATGCCGTTGTGTCCACTACTAAATGTTTTATTTTCTTCGACATGGTCTTTGTTATTGTCAGTTTTGCTATAAAATCTTGTTAATTAATTTTGTAAAACAAAATTGTGGTATAAACACTATATTATTTATACACGTGCAATTGAAATAAAATTCGCAAATGTGAACAAATGTATAATCAATTGCTCTGTTAACAACTGACAAAAAATGACAATTCTCTACTACAGAATATAACAGACAGCTACGGAACAAATGTCTATATTTAATAATTCAGTAGACGGTTATGTTTTATGTAACATAGCGATTTGTGAAGAATTGTTAGTAATGGAGATATTTGTTTCCATTACTAACAATATACCATAGGCACCAGAGAATTCTGGTTCACTCGGTTGAGTGTACTAGAATCATTCTCTTACATATGCCTATACACAACACCTATGTTTACTGGTCATAAGATCGAGAAGTCTATGTCTGTGGTAAAAGTCAAATTTATAGTTTTCATGTTGGCAACATCACCTTATATATCTACCAATTTTTTTTATCTAACCTTATAGAAAAAAAATTAAATCTTGTCTGCAAACAAATTCTGAACATATTATGATATATTATAATTTTATATAATTCAGCAAATTTGTGATAAAGATGAGTTCTAAGAAAGGGAAGCGGAATTTAGGTAATAAACACTTTCCCATAGCGGAGTCTGTGAGTATAGCCCTCAAAATTCAACTGGACAAGTTTCTGAGTGATGAAAATGAAACGGAGCTCAAGTTTCCTACGTTTCTGTCGGCTCAGGAGCGCGGGTTCATCCATGAAACTGTCGCCAAATTGGGCTTAAAGTCTAAATCTCGCGGGAAAGGTAGGCTCCACATATTATTTTTCTCTCATTATAATCTTAGGAGACTCCACAATAATTGTGAAGTCTTTCTGCATTGTTTTGTAAATATTTAAACAACGACATTTTTATATTTATATATGTAATAATAAACTTGGGCTCAATAATAATAAAGGGTTATCAACATAAATTTTAAGAGTTTTATATATGAGAGTAGTTTTTGACCAATATTTATTCTTAGCTTTTGACATTTGTATAAAGATATGACAATGAACAAAAACTGAATTTTGGTGAATTTGATAAAATACCCAAAAGTTTAATATTATATATATTTAGGTATCATAATAAAAATAAACTTGTCTCTGCTTTACAGTTATTATTCAGTATATTTTATTATATTTTATATGTAAAACTGGCATTTCTATAAAATAGAATATAAATTTAAAGCTACTATAAAATTACAAATTTGTACAAGATAATGTCTTGTAGTGAACTGTAATTAATTCTATCTATAGTCTTTATAACTAAAAGTGTAATTTGACTTAGTATGTAATTGTATTATTAATTAATATTTTATTAATAATTATATTATTTTTCTTTATTTTATATATTATGTGAATCTGTTACAGATTCTTATGATTAGTCAATTATATCTGTGATCTTTCTAAAAACTGTTATAACTATAATACAATCTTATAATCTATACATGAGGGCCTACCATAAACACAGAAATTTGATGTTAAAATTATATAATACATGCTGTTAAAAAATATTAAAAATGTTAAAATATCATTCCTCTGGATTATTAGTATAGGATTTATGATGAATGAATTATTAAGCTCTATTTACTGGCTCAATTTCGGTATGAACAAAAATATGAAATTTATCCTGAAAATTCAAAATTCTATTTCATGGTAGACCACATGGTTATTATATTTACAAAAAATCCTATATGATGTGTCTAAAAATCTTTAATAATATTCCTATATAAATAATATAGGAACTTCCAATAAATAAATTCAAAATTAAATTTCATAAATGACTTGTAAAGAAACATAGATAAATATCTAGTATAAGTATTGTTGTTGATGTATGAATTAATCAGTTCCTACCAAAATGTGACATTTGCATGCTATTCTGTAAATGGCTGAATAAGCTTAAGAATCTTTATTTAATATAAGACTATAGATACCTACCCTATTTAAAGCAAATAAATTTATTATTATATTAACTTGAGAACCATTGAATAGATCTCATTTCAATAGATACATATCTAGTTCATATTTAGCATATGTTTTATTTGGTATTTCTTTAAACAATATTTATTTATAAACATTGTAATGTTACAGGTGTCAACCGTTATATAACAATTTACAAAAGGACCGGCTCGACTATAATACAAAATGATGCCAAGCTGATACTAGATTCAAACATGAGATGTAGTATTGCTGAGCTATCAAATGCTTTCCCCATTACTAGCAAGGAGAAAGATGATTTGAGCTGTTGTCCTGAAAAAGAGAGAAGTCCTCAGTTGACTCATAAAACACTTGGCCAACTGAATAATGGTGTAGCTCAGGTGGGGGGTAACCATAACTTATTGTTAACAAGCCTCATATAATTTTTATTTTAATATAATACAGATCATATTACTTACTGATAATGTTGCTTTTTATTGGAGAATGAATTTTTAAATTCGGCTAAGTATTTTTTGTATTTCTCCATAAAATATTATTTTAATGTTATTATTTTATTTTTATTGTATTGTATTGTGCAAAAAAAGGTTTTAAAATTATTTTATTTATTAAAAAATTATTTATATTTAGTGTATCTCATGTATGGCACACACTTGGCTAGAATTAAGCTACAGATTACTTTAGTCTAAAAATTTCCAGGTAATAGTCAATCTAAAAATTTTGAATTTACAGTTTCTTATTTTGGGTTATTAATTCAGTTAGTTGACTATCTTAATCTAACAGAACATGATGATATAAACAATTATTTGCATACCATAAATGAACCAATGAATAAACCATTGTTAACTATGAACCGATTTATATTTTGTTACACATAGAATAGAATAGAATAGAATAAATTTATTGTGAGCTGTATGTTACAACATTTTCCTGAATTATAAAATCTCCGAGGAAAACAGCCTACCCATACAACAGAGACAGGACTTAATTACGATTAATTACAAAACATTAATTATTTTAGAGTCATACATTAAAATTGTGTGTCAATAAAATTGTCAATAAAATAAAACATGTCAATCCATTATTTCAAACTAACTCATGGTCACCATTAGAACATATTAATTATCATCCTATATATTAATTAAATTATTTATAATGTCAATGTAAAAAACTAAAATGTCAAATGAGCAAAGAATTCATTCATATTATAGAAAGCATTTGCAAGTAGCCATTTTTTTAATAATAATTTAAATTTTGATATATAAGTAACTTCTTTTAGGTTATTTGGCAAATGATTATATATTTTGATGCCATTATATAACTACTTTTATTGTATATCATTGAGTTAGTAATGCAAATATAAATGATCATATTGTCTCATGGGTACATTTCTAAGTCGAACTTCAGATTTCTTTTTAAATAAGTGCATGTTGTTTACTACAAATAAGCTGATTTCTAATATATATATGCATGTCAACGTAAGATATTCTTTATTTTTAAATAATGGTAGTACTGACTCATCATTTTTTTATTGTATATGATTTATATTATTTCAATAGAAAGGTAATGTACAGTGGGATGAGTTACCCCATGAAGACAATTCCATATGTTATTGGGAATCACACATGGATAGTGGCTTGGGACTGTCTCACTGATGACACATCAACCAGGGATAGAGCATAACAGTAACTGGCAATTTTACTATTAATTTTATCAATATGTGATTTCCAATTTAAGTGAGCATCTACAGATATTAAAAGTCCGTTGTTTCAACATCAAAAACCTTATTGCCTTTAATATTAATATTTAAACACAAACTATTTTTTTTATAATTTCTTATTTGCATAATTTTCGTTTTCGAAGAATTAATTTTTAAATTTAAATTATATAGCCAGTAGTAATATTGTCAGATAAATATTGATCTCAAAATAATTTTGTAAACTTGAACCATTATTTGTGAATAATAACGTTACATCATCTGCAAATAATACACATTGATGATCTGAATGTTAAAAAATGGTCATTGAGGTAAATTATGAACAATAAATTAATATAGATACAAAAGTGGACATATCCCAGTTCTGTAGTTCCATATATAGATTCCACGTTTACCAATGTTTTTGAGTTTTTATTATAGTGTATTAATGTTGTGGCTTGGTATCTATCATTCAAATAACTTTCTAATAGTTTGTATTAATCGAATTCCTAGTTGATCAAGTTGATTTAAAATTATTAGTAGGAACTACAGAATCAAAATTTTAGACATATCCAAAAATAAAGCAGTGACGATTTTTTTTTTGATCAACAGACTCACATGTCTTAATAAGTATATTTAAAATAGCCATTACAGTAGAGCGATCTTTATTCGGAAACCAAATTGATTATTATTGAGTAATTTATTTTTTTCTAAATATTTTATAATTCTATTATATATTACGCGTTAAAAAAATTTTCGAAAATGGTAGTAATGCCACAGGTCTATAGTTATCTGCAATGTCCTTCAGACCCTTTTTATACAGTGGTTTTAGCCCGGCTTACTTTTAACTTACTTGGAAAGCATCCACTTTCAAGCATAAGATTAGTTAAATATGTTAAAGGTTTGACAATATAGGTAGCACTTGATTTTATTATTTGCATTGATATGCCATCTACACCGCAGCTTTTTTTGTTTTTTAACTTTTTTATTATGGACATTATTTCTTGTTCATCTGTAGGAGTTAGGAAAATACTACCTGTACTATATTTTGTGGGTTTGCGATTTTTTGATGTACTCGAGTAATTATTTTGTTGTATAAAATGATTATTCAATATATTAGCAATTTCATTTGGACATGTTATCACTTCATTTATTCCTTATTTGTTTTATCGTTGACTTAATTCAAAAGTTTGTTCAGTATTGTGTTTTATTAACCCCAAATAAGCCTTTGTTTTGTTTTACTATTCTTTACATAATTTAGAAAAGATAGTCAATCGTCGTAAGATCTTATTGATGATGCCAAATCTTTTATATGTCTTGTAATGAGTTGTTGTTTGATGTGATGTATTATTTTGTATCTGCAGATAGAGTTGTCTTTTTCGTTTACTAGATATAATTAATCCTTTACTTTTCCAATTATTCGGAAAAATTACACCGTTTTAAAAACCTGGGCTTTTTTTTTAATGAAATTTTCACTTTTTCGACTGGGAATACACAAGTCATGTATCATTTTAAATAGTTCTAAAAAAATACCATAAAACAGAATCAACGTCGTTTGTTTGGTATATCCAAAAAGACACCACAGATATATTTCAAGAATATGTTCAGGTTAACATCAACTTTCCTTTTGTACACATACCAAAATTTGTTATTATAATTTAGATACAGGGCAAATAAAATCTGGTCAAATGGTCTGATAAATTATTCAACAACATTAGATTTAAAATTTTTGGTATTGGTTATAATATTATCTATACAAGTTTGGGAATGAGATGTAACGTGTAGGTTCTTTTATAGTACATTTTATGTTATATTTATTTAATGTTTCATTGAAAACAACGTATTTTTATTATTTTCTAGAATAATAATATTGAAGAAAATAACACAATGATTAGCTTTATATTAAGACAACTAAACCCAGCGACAAATTCTATATAATGTTTCATCCAATTTGTCAATAAACTTATTTATATTACTATTTGGAGGCCTATATATACATAATACAAATTTTTAACACTGGTATGGCTATTCCACAACATTCAAATATTTTTTCTATAGAATTATCTGAAAGCCAGTCAATTTTATTATATTGTAGTGATTTTTTTACATAAATAGAGACTTAATAAACTTATCAAATCGCCTTGTGTAGTAAGATGCAATTATAATTTTCAATTTTAATATTACATATGTTTTTCATTTTACTAACAAACAAGACTTAAACAAAATATATATATATTTGATGTCAATGTATCTAAATAAAGTTCAATGTCATTAATTTTTGATTTCATCTATAACAAAACCGTACGCATTGACTACAGAATTTATAAAAAATTACAAGTTTATTATTAACAAAAAAAGAAAAGTCTGGTGGTATGTTGAGTGCCAATTGTGACTAACGTTTTATAGAATCACATTTCATTTGGTTTTCTATTTAAATATTCAAAATATTTGTTTTAAATTATTAAATGAAGAATATTAATATATATGATTTGAATACACAATAAGAGGCGATTTGTAATGAATATAAAAACTGTCATTTTATAGAATGTAAATATTATCATAAATCATATAACATATGTAAATTAATTAATTATATAATTGACTATATTGATTAAAAACAAATACTTAAATGCCAATTGGAATTAATATAAGCTGGTATAAATTAAATCGGCGTCCATAAAACTCCGTCATTTGACCCTATCTCTACAGTATACTCTAAAGGAACGATTCCATATTATTTTATACCATTAAAATCGGGAGTTAATAGATCTGATGCAATGATTTAAACATGAATTTAAAACAATCTATGATTACACTTTAAATTTTAACTAATAATGACTGTAGAATCTTGCACAAGCTTTTTCCTTCATCATTTGCAAATCATTTCTATCTTATGACCTTCAATCAGAACGGAATTTGGTTGTTGTCAAATGTATATTTTTTGAAAAGCTTTGTTTGTCTTTAGTTAAAGAATTCCCGATATGAGTTTTGCCTCTCTGAAACATTTTTCAATTTGTTTCAATAAAATATGTTAATATTTATAATCGTCTTGACTTTGATCTCTTCATTGTGGATGATTGCAGCTTCATTAAGTTTTACAGGTAGTTTATTTACTTTTGGTGTAAAAATGTTATATTTTACCTACTTAAATGTCGGAAAAATATATCATTATTGAAAAGTAAGAGAGTTCGAAGTTTGTGGTATTGAAATATTCGCACTGGATTAATAATAATATGTTTTAAAGCTTTTATCGTTATATCATTTAATATATTTTTAAAAAAGTTAGATGAATTTTCCAATGATATATTGAATCGATTTCAGCGTGTGCTATGACTAAGTTCCTTTCCACTGTATTCAATTTAACATTAACACATTAATTTCAGTATTAAAATCAAAGGTCATACTTGTGTCATAAGCTTTTCATGGAACTATCCATTAACGGAGAGAATTATAATGACATATTTTTGATTTAAACTGTGGGATATGTCCAATAAAGAAGTTTCTGAGTTACATTTGTCTACGATCATGAGTTACAGTCATTTTTACTAATGTTAGCCATTTTTGATAAACTATTTTTGCATTAATCTATATTCACACTATATTTATAAACAGTTTTTATTGTCATGATAATATATTGTTTTGTCAAAGAATATTTTTTAAATAGTACAAATTGGTCATCGAAATATATATTTAACAGATCTTTAAACAAAGTGAACATTTTATAAATAATTTTCATGAATGATTTCTTTGTTATACATTTTTATGCTTTTATGAAAAAAATTAAACTAATGAATCAACTTTAAATATACAAAAATAATATACTTAAATGTAGTTGTCGAACTAAGAGATTATTTATTTAAATATTATAAAAATAAATATTAAATAAAAAAAATACACATTTATATTCTAATATATTAAAAAAATGCATTGACCACTCAAAGAAAAATACAAACATGAATATATTAACAACAGAAGAACAAGTGTAGAACAGAGACATGGTCTTAATTAAAAATGAAACTATTACACATAAAAGACACTTTTATAATAACATTACAAAATCAATATAAATAATAAAATGATATTTGTTTGACGTATTAGAAATTGCTTTTAATGATTACTTCATTATAACAAATACAGAATGGATCATCAAATCTCAACAAACAAAAATTTATAATACAATAATTAATGTATTTGACTGAAGAAGAAGTATAAAACTAATATTATAACTTAAATAACACCTCCGCTGAAGGTTACGATGGCATAATACAAAAATAAAATTGATATATGTATACCTGAAATAGTATACTATATGGGATGCACCTAATTAACCTTTCATTTATATGGAATTTCCTAAATTGTTATATATCCATACTTTTTATCCCATTACATAAAGGTGGTAAATGGAAGTCACAACAACTATCGACCAAGTCAAAGTTATACCTATCATATCAAAGATTTTTGAGAAATGTATGTATAAAAGATTGGTAGACTTTTTTAACAAATATAATATAATTAACGAGAATAAATTGGGGTTTAAAAAACAAAAATCGACGACACTTGCTGCTTTTAATCTATTAAATACAGTTTTGATAAATATTAATGACAATAATTTGACTACAGGATTATTTCTTGACTTATCAAAAGCGTTTGACTTTGTTGACCATAATCATTTATTGCAAAAACTAGATGTACTAGGAATAAGAGGAACTGTCGCTAAACTGGATAACCTCATATCTAACCCACCGAAGTCAATGTGTAATTATTGAAGAAATTAAAAAATGACTTAAAGTCTTACACATCAAATTACAGAGAGAACAAATGTGGAGTCCCTCAAGGAAGTGTATTAGGACCAATTTTGTTTTTGTTATATATAAATGACTTGATTAAAGTAACAAAACATAAATGTATATTATTCGCAGATGATATTACCATAATTGTGACATCTAATAAAAAATCTGACAATTCAATCCATAATCATGAAACAGATATAAATAATACAATTGACAGCATTATAAAATGGTTAGAGTGTAATAATTTAAAAATAAATCTTAATAAATCACAATTATATTCAATTCAAAAAATCAAAAAATACAAAACACAACTTCAAACTAAACATAACTAAAATTAAAGAGGCAACACAAATTAAATTCTTAGGCATATATATTATTGACCAAGACTTAAACTGGAAATTACATATAGACAACATATGCACTCGAATAAATAAATTTGTATATGCACTTAAAAAGTTAAGAAAAGTGACGAATACCAAAACTGCTATCACTACTTATCGCGCATATATAGAATCAATTCTACGCTATGGACTGATAATGTGGGGTAATAGTGTAGAGATAAAAAGAGCATTTATTGCCCAAAAAAAGTGCATTAGGGCTATATGTGGCTTTCCGCCTGGTGTATCATGCAAACCATTATTTAAGAGCCTTGGTTTACTACCACTACCATCAATGTATATCTATGAAATTTGTAATTTTGTAATTAAACATAGAACATTGTTTAAAAAAGCAAGTGATATGAACTATAGATTAAAAAGAGAGGACAGACTTGTACTTACCGAAATACCAAGATCAGAAAATATAAAAGAAACTGCCTTACTATGTGCGTTCATATATATAATAAAATTCCAAATGAATTTAAAGATTTGAATGTCACTTTATTTGGGAAAAGATTATATAACTGGTTAAAGGAACAGAATTATTATGACGTAAAAGATTTCCTTGGTAGACGTGTTTTTGACATTTAGTATTAACAAAAATTTTGTATATCTAACGATGATTGATAATGGGAAACTTAATTTGCATGCTATATGATTTTAGCAAGACATGTGCACTCTCAAATATAATTATAACATCACTGTATACCATGTTTAAAGCAAATAAATATTATTATTATTATTATTATTATTATTAATGGTCGAGGGATTGGCAGCAGCGTCCTTTTAAAAACATCATCAAAAGCCAAACTGCATTTGCTAATTTTCCTTTGTCAAGCATGACAGCTATGGGCAAAATCTCCCTTATGGGGGAGGCCTATGTTCAGCAGTGGACAGTTAACAGCTGATGTGATGATGATGATGATGTAGAAATCCGCCACATTATCTGAAATGTCCATAAAAAGAGATGGCTGTTTAATGCACAGCTAACTTCCAATTATTTGAGCATTGAGGTTAAAGGTCTGTCAAAAATTCACATATTGATATCATAGTAGAAAAAAAATCTCATTTTTTACATTTTTATATACTCGAAGAGAGTGTGCAGCGTGTCCGGCGTCCTCCGCTCGGAGGGGATTTTACGCCACTCACTAATGTTTTATTGGCTCAGTTAAATGTGATAAAATTTATTACATACCATTGTATTTGGGATGAAGATATACATGTGCAAACACAGCCATGTCATTAAAGCTAAAAGCTAGTATGGAAATATTCTTTTTATTTTATACTTACTTCATATTTTTACTAAATATATAACTTATATTATGTATATATTACTTGTGCAGAATGTACACAAAGTTTTACTGCATTTGATCATGTACACTACAGTATAAAAGTTTATTTTTCCTTGTGTTAACCATTTTTATTCAAATACATATGGTAATATGTTGTGCGGCGCAGGCGTGACGCACGTGTTCGTGGACGAGGTGCACGAGCGCGACAAGTTCAGCGACTTCCTGCTGATCGCGCTGCGGGATGCGCTGCCGCGCCTCAAGGACCTCAAGCTCATCCTCATGTCCGCCACTATGGACACGCAAATATTCTCCAGGTCAGTGCTGTTGCCACTCTTTATGTTGTCTTCATATTTCGCTAGTGATCCAGCTCGAAGGACCAAAAAATTTTAACTGCCCATTAGCTGAAGATAAGTTAAAAAATACTAATGTAATGTTTGTGCATAAATGACAGTTGCAGTGAACTGTATAAGTTTCTGCTGGCTGTAGGATTCAATCTTATTGAAATTTACTTTCAGGTCCGGTTATCTGATACTGCCTGATTCAATACCAAGTGACCTACTTGTAACTAAACTCTTAATTTAGTTTGCGATATGAATTCACGATATTAATATTAATTTCGATACGAAAATGACACTATTTTTAATTATGATGAATCTGCTTGTGACCCGATACGACACAACGTTTTTTGACGAATCAAACTAAAAATTACTTCTTTCTTTTTATAATGAAATTGTTGCCAGGTGAAATATTTACTTTTTCAATTCTTATATAAATAACATAATTATGTTTAAAAGTATCTTAAATGTCTGAATTTGGGCATTTAAAGTTATTAATAGGAATAAGTGGTTAAACATTTTTCGACTGATAGTATTCCTTCTGTGGTGTTAATAGTATTTCTATCTAAGTAAAAGCAATAATTGCCAGGTACTTCAATAACTGCCCAGTGATCACTATACCCGGCCGATTACATGAAGTACAAAGATTTTACCTGGAGGACATTTTAAAGATCACACAGTATCGCACAAAGAAAATGATACAAGTGGAGAAGGAACTGAGGGCCAAACTTAAGAGCGGACAGAGCTATTGGTCTCATCTCGAAGGTAAGCATAGGTTTAAACTTTGCATAAAATGACTGTATTAAATTCTTTGTTTGAACAGTATATTGATAAGAAATAGGGTTTGAAATTGAATAACTAATCGGCAAATGATTATTGTGTTGCAATTTATTATTATAGGACAAAAGTCAAACAGAGACGAGAGCCCAAGCACCAGTAAGGATAAAGAGGACAAAGAGAACGAGGTCGATCCCACGGTGCAGGCTGATATGGATGAGTTCTTAGATCAGTGCTTCAAGGAAGGCAGCCTTGTATGTATTATTAATGTTCACTTTTCTGTCCATTTCTTTTTGGAATCATAAAATATCACAAACCAATTTTGTCAATATCGTTATAGTATTGGGAGAATAATATTTCACTAATACTTAAAAAAAAAGATTCATTCTTAGATAACGATATTATTTATTTATTATTATAGACTTTGTTTATAAACTTATTATAAATATAAACAATTACGAAAAAATATTATAGTTAGTTTATTTACGGAAATAAATATTTGAAAAGTACTTTATTTCTCTTAGACTGACTCATTCATTTCATGGCGTAGGTTGGTAGTGGTTGGTGACACAGAGTACGCGACGTGGCTGTGTGTGCGTGTGTTGCAGGACTCGTTCTGCCAGATCCTGTACATGTACCTGTCGGAAGGTGTGCCCGTGCACTGCGCGCACTCGCAGTCGCGCCGCACCGGCCTCATGGCCGCCGCCGCGCACGGGCTCGCGGAGACCGCCGCGCAGATACTGCACATAGGTACGCCTGCATAGTACGCCACCACACTACACACCACACGCCGCACACGCTGCACACGCTGCACACGCTGCACACTCGCGCCGCACCGGCCTCATGGCCGCCGCCGCGCACGGGCTCGCGGAGACCGCCGCGCAGATACTGCACATAGGTACGCCTGCATAGTACGCCACCACACTACACACCACACGCCGCACACGCTGCACACGCTGCACACGCTGCACACGCTGCACACTCGCGCCGCACCGGCCTCATGGCCGCCGCCGCGCACGGGCTCGCGGAGACCGCCGCGCAGATACTGCACATAGGTACGCCTGCATAGTACGCCACCACACTACACACCACACGCCGCACACGCTGCACACGCTGCACACGCTGCACACTCGCGCCGCACCGGCCTCATGGCCGCCGCCGCGCACGGGCTCGCGGAGACCGCCGCGCAGATACTGCACATAGGTACGCCTGCATAGTACGCCACCACACTACACACCACACGCCGCACACGCTGCACACGCTGCACACGCTGCACACGCTGCACACTCGCGCCGCACCGGCCTCATGGCCGCCGCCGCGCACGGGCTCGCGGAGACCGCCGCGCAGATACTGCACATAGGTACGCCTGCATAGTACGCCACCACACTACACACCACACGCCGCACACGCTGCACACGCTGCACACGCTGCACACGCTGCACACTCGCGCCGCACCGGCCTCATGGCCGCCGCCGCGCACGGGCTCGCGGAGACCGCCGCGCAGATACTGCACATAGGTACGCCTGCATAGTACGCCACCACACTACACACCACACGCCGCACACGCTGCACACGCTGCACACGCTGCACACGCTGCACACTCGCGCCGCACCGGCCTCATGGCCGCCGCCGCGCACGGGCTCGCGGAGACCGCCGCGCAGATACTGCACATAGGTACGCCTGCATAGTACGCCACCACACTACACACCACACGCCGCACACGCTGCACACGCTGCACACGCTGCACACGCTGCACACTCGCGCCGCACCGGCCTCATGGCCGCCGCCGCGCACGGGCTCGCGGAGACCGCCGCGCAGATACTGCACATAGGTACGCCTGCATAGTACGCCACCACACTACACACCACACGCCGCACACGCTGCACACGCTGCACACGCTGCACACGCTGCACACTCGCGCCGCACCGGCCTCATGGCCGCCGCCGCGCACGGGCTCGCGGAGACCGCCGCGCAGATACTGCACATAGGTACGCCTGCATAGTACGCCACCACACTACACACCACACGCCGCACACGCTGCACACGCTGCACACGCTGCACACGCTGCACACTCGCGCCGCACCGGCCTCATGGCCGCCGCCGCGCACGGGCTCGCGGAGACCGCCGCGCAGATACTGCACATAGGTACGCCTGCATAGTACGCCACCACACTACACACCACACGCCGCACACACGCTGCACACGCTGCACACGCTGCACACTCGCGCCGCACCGGCCTCATGGCCGCCGCCGCGCACGGGCTCGCGGAGACCGCCGCGCAGATACTGCACATAGGTACGCCTGCATAGTACGCCACCACACTACACACCACACGCCGCACACGCTGCACACGCTGCACACGCTGCACACGCTGCACACGCTGCACACGCTGCACACTCGCGCCGCACCGGCCTCATGGCCGCCGCCGCGCACGGGCTCGCGGAGACCGCTGCGCAGATACTGCACATAGGTACGCCTGCATAGTACGCCACCACACTACACACCACACGCCGCACACGCTGCACACGCTGCACACGCTGCACACTCGCGCCGCACCGGCCTAATTTTTATTTATTTTTATTTTTATTTTTATTTTTGTGATACAACAACAGATTACAAACAAAACTTTTAACAATAGAATACAACAATAGCATTATAAGTTTGCAATCCAATTATAGTTGTACTCAACATTCACAGAGATGAAACAAAATAGGTTAATTTTTACTACAAAAAGAATTAATGATAAAAACTAGATACAAAACAAGAATCAAAAACAAAACTACCAAACTATGCATAACAACTATTAAGTTATCAATGTATGTAAAGTGCTTCGATACAATGAAAATTTCTGATAGAATATGTCAATATCCGATTTACAATCAATGTCGTTGTACAATTTGCACATTCTGTATATTGGATTATTATATGACACATTATTGTTTGCGAACGGTATAGAAAAAAGTTTAGTTGTACGAGAAGAGTGTTCAGTGGCTCTCAGGTTAATGTACTCCAATAAATTACCCTCCAATTCATTATTTACAATTTTATATAAATATGTTAGATCAATAATTTTACGACGCGCAACCAAACTCTTCATGTTAAAATGTTTGAGTCTGTTCTCATAGCATGTCAATACACGTTTGTTGGCATATTTTTTTGTGATATGACGTATAAAATTTTTTTAGATCGACTCAATTCTGTCCTCATGTACAGAATAAATTGGCGACCACACTGATGGACAGTACTCAAGCACACTGCGAACTAGCGTGACACGAAAATCATACGATGATCACGAAAAGATAATTTACTGTCGAATATTATTCCCAAATCTTTCACAACCGTAACTCTTTTTAATGATTTGTTTTCTATTTTATAGTCAAATTGGTGTATATTTTTATTTTTCGTAAAAGATTTTACACAACATTTAGCAATATTCAAGGCCATATGGTTTATTTCACACCAGTTGTACAATATGGAAAGATTTTCTTGTAACTGTATGCAATTGTTTATAGTGTTATTTCGTTATATAATTTTATATCATCCGCGTATGCCAGACAGTTACATTTAAATGAGTCTAACAGGTCATTAATAAATATAAGAAAAAATAATGGTCCCAAGTTCGAACCTTGAGGTACGCCTGTGGATGCCATAAATGGTACGGACTCATATCCATAAACTGCCACGAGTTGAGTTCGATTCTTTAAGTAACTTTCAGTCCATCTGAGCAGATCTCCCTGTATACCAATATGAAATAATTTCTTTAAAAGAATCTGATGGTTGACACGATCGAAAGCCTTGGTAAAATCAGTGTAAATCGTATCGACCTGAGTTTTGCTATTAATAGTCGAACAAATGAAATTTGTATATACCAAAAGATTGGATGCGGTTGAGCGCTTTTTAACAAATCCATGTTGTTTATTACTAATTAAAGTAGAGATATGGCTATACATATGTGGGTAAATTAACCCTTCAAAAACTTTCGCAAAACAACATAAAATACTAATGGGTCGGTAATTCGATACATTAGCTCTGTCACCTGATTTATGGATTGGAATAATTCTAGTTAACTTCCAGATGTCAGGAAAAATGCCCTCCTTGAGAGATTTGTTAAATATAATTGTCAACGGTCCAACTAATACAACTGAACAAAGCCGAATAAAGACTGGAGGTATACCATCAGGTCCAGCACTTTTATAAACTTTTAATGCCCTAAGTGCTTTACACACTTCATTTTCGGAGATTGTAATTGTGGATAATACTGTATTAACAGTTGGAAATATAGGTTTATAATTATTAGGGATACAGGTACCATACACTGAGGCAAAATATTCTGCAAACAAATTTGCAATATCATGACCATTATCAGCCTTTTTGCCATTATAGTGCATGGAGGTCGGAAGAGTATTTGTAATACGTTTACTTTTAGTGTAACGCCAGAATGACTTTATATTTTCATTAAGATCTCGCTCAATCTTCGCTATAAAATTCTGATGACACTTATCTATTTCCTTTTTTACTCTAGCTCGTAATAATTTATACGAGTCCATATCTCTGGGATTTCTTCCTTTACGATATTTAATCCTATATTTATTTTTTTCCCTTATCATTTTTTTAAGCGAAGTCGAGTACCAAACCGGGTAGTCTAAATTATTGTTTTTAATTTTAGGTGTATATTTTTCTATTATGGACCAAATATTATTGTACAGTACTTGGAGAAATTCGTTACCATCTAGATGAATATATTCATTCCAATCAATAATAGCTAAATCATTAATACATTTATCGTAATCTGTTTTATGGAAATTAAATCTCTCAATTGTTGACTCGTTTTTAAGATTCAGTTCTGAAGGAATAGTCATACCTATATTGATTGGGGGATGGTGCAAGTCAACACGACTAATGGGTTCTACTTGAGTTATTTTATAACTCAAGCAATCGTCAACCAAAACAAGATCTAACGTTAAATTATTAAAATTTTTTAAATGATTTAGCTGTGTAAGTCCTGTTCTATCAAGAAAATCTAAAAAATTATTATATTTAGTGTTCGTTTGTGATATATTTTTACTGTAAACTGGCGTTAGCACTGTCATATTATCAACCTTGTTCCATGAAATATTGGGAAGATTAAAATCTCCTATAATTAGAAAGTGCTCGTTTTCAGAAGCGCATAACACCAATGATTCAATGTTAAATATGAACTGAGTGTACATATCATCTGGAATGTAAGATGGAAGATAAACAGTACATATATTTAACTTGATATTTTTAAAATATACCCTTATCCAAATATCTTCAACAACTGTTTGCTGCGATATACAACTATCCACTGTAAAACTTTTGGACACTGCTATGAGAACGCCCCCCCCCCCCCCCCATGTGATTTTCTAAACATATCTCTGAATACCACATCCCGATCCCTTCTGTAAACTATATATCTACTATCAAATAACTCAGAGGATAATATGTTATCATCAAGCCAAGTTTCAGTCAAGCATATTATTTCATAGTCATTAGTAAGAACAGCCCTCTGTATATCATACAACTTCGATTTCATACCGCGAATGTTTTGGTAGTAGATATTTATGTCGCTACAAAGCATAAAATAATAATAATAATAATAATACAAATGTAAAAAAAATATAAATGTAAAAATAACAAAAGAGAGAGACAAAAATAAATGTTATTTTCCTAGTGTATCCAAAAATGAAATTGAATTAACAAGAAAAGCAGGAGTATTTTCAGATTTTCGCATATAAATGCGACCGTTGCGAACCCATACAAATTTATAATGCAAATTCTTCGCCTTTATACGGGCAGCAGCATGGATAGCTTTATTAGATGGTGATAGATGTTCAGAAATGAATATTGGAGATTTATTGCCACCAATATTTAAAAGCGACGAATTGAGCTTTTCACTAGTATGGGCTTTGTTGTAATTAGTGACAGCAGATAAAAAATCGTCTCTGCGACGTACATTACGGAATTTTGCAACAACAGTACGTGGTTTCTTGCTGTCTCTGTTTCTTTTGGCTACACGAACACAATGATTTATGTCCATGTCATCCAGCTTGCACTCAACTACTTCGGCACATTTCTTAATAACATGTAGTAAATTTTCAGAACGGTTTTCCGGTATGCCATGAATTTCTACATTACACTCGCGAAGATGCTGCTCCAAATAATTTATGCGATCGCTAAGACTTATCACAGTTTCTTGTAATGCGTTAGAGTTTTTCTGAATATCATCAGTTTTTTTGGACAAAGTAGCCAATGTTGCTTGAAACTCGTCATTTTTGTGAGTAAGAAAATTAATAGACTGCTGAAGTGCTGCCAGTTCGCTGCGTATGGGAGATAGCTCCGCTTGAAACATTGGTTTAATAACGTCATGCATTTCTTTTATCAACCACGGTAGTAATTGCTGTTTTATAGATTCTGTCAATTGATGAACATTGACTGAGTCCCTGTTTATATCAACTGTTGCTTTTACCGGAGTATCCGAATTATCCGCCTTAGGCATACTCGATTTACATTTCGGGCATATCCAAGAACTTTTTGCCTCCTTAGAAAGTTTTTTATAATTTACAGTTGAAATATTCAAACACTGATAGTGATATATAGAATCACATTTACAGCAAGATATCTGTTCAGTACTTTTTACTTTTACCTTGCAAGCCTCGCAGTCAGCCATTTTTAACGATAATTTCTTATATAGACGAAACAGCAAATTAATGGATAATAATTAATATGACGAAAATATTTTTAAGTTCACCCACAAAAAAAAAAAAAAAGATCTTTCCATCACTAAAACTATATTTCGTTTTTTGCCACTATCACTTAATGTTATGCCGTAATTATTAGTTACTCAAATTGCGCAGACACCAATCTATCACTAGATATTAAATTAGCGTGCAAACTATAATTGTTTCAAAATATATGGAATTTATTAACGGAGCTACAAATAACAAGTCCATTGACAAGACCTGTCATCTCATGGCCGCCGCCGCGCACGGGCTCGCGGAGACCGCCGCGCAGATACTGCACATAGGTACGCCTGCATAGTACGCCACCACACTACACACCACACGCCGCACACGCTGCACACGCTGCACACGCTGCACACTCGCGCCGCACCGGCCTCATGGCCGCCGCCGCGCACGGGCTCGCGGAGACCGCCGCGCAGATACTGCACATAGGTACGCCTGCATAGTACGCCACCACACTACACACCACACGCCGCACACGCTGCACACGCTGCACACGCTGCACACGCTGCACACTCGCGCCGCACCGGCCTCATGGCCGCCGCCGCGCACGGGCTCGCGGAGACCGCCGCGCAGATACTGCACATAGGTACGCCTGCCGCAACACACTACACACCACACGCAATATTTATAGTAATTCATCTGTATAAGTTTGAGATTACTCTCATCAGTACATGGACTATATATGAATTCAGTATGTCTTTTAACAGGTGCTGATCCCAGTTTTAAAGATAAAGAAGGAAAAACGGCCTACGATTATGCGGTAGAGAATGGTCACACCGAGTGCGCCAAACTGCTGGCCACGTACAATCATGTCGAGGAGTCCAAGGAGAACGCCGACGACTCCTCCGACTCGTTCCTCCTGGACGTCTACCACCACACCTGTTCCGAGGACCTCATCGATCACGACCTGATGCTGGCCCTTATCAAGTACATACACACGACTTTACCAAAGGGGAGCATCCTCGTCTTCCTGCCTGGGTACGACGACATCGTTAATCTCCGCGACATGATCCAGGGGTGCACCGAGATGAACGTCCAAAAGTATCAGATATTCACGCTGCACAGCAACATGCAGACGCTCGACCAGAAGAAGGTGTTCAACCCGCTGCCGAACGCGCGCAAGATCATCCTGTCGACGAACATCGCCGAGACGTCGATCACGATCGACGACGTGGTGTACGTGGTGGACTCGTGCAAGGTGAAGGAGAAGTACTACGAGTCGAGCGGCGGCGTGTGCTCGCTGCAGTGCGTGTGGTCGTCGCGCGCGGGCGCGGGGCAGCGCGCGGGCCGCGCGGGCCGCACGCAGCCCGGCCGCGCCTACCACCTGTGCTCGCGCCGCCGCCACGCCGCGCTGCCGCTGCACGCCGTGCCCGAGATGCTGCGCGTGCCGCTGCACGAGCTGTGCCTGCACACCAAGCTGCTCGCCGGCGGCAACACGCCCGTCGCCGACTTCCTCGCGCGCGCGCTCGAGCCGCCCTCCTTCCTCGCCGTGCGCAACGCCGTCGCGCTGCTCAAGACGGTCGGCGCGCTCACGCCCGTCGAGGACCTCACCGAGATCGGCCAGCACCTGCTCGACCTCACCGTCGAGCCCAAGCTCGGCAAGATGCTGCTGTACGCGTGCGTGATGAAGTGCCTCGACCCGGTGCTCACGATCGTGTGCTGCCTCGCGAACAAGGAGCCGTTCCAGATCTCGATGGAGGCGGAGAGCCGCAAGCGCGGCGGCGCGGCGCGGCGCGAGTTCGCGGCCGACAGCCACTCGGACCACATGGCGCTGCTGCGCGCGTTCCAGGCGTGGCAGGCGGCGCGCGCGGCGGGCGGCGAGCGCGGCTTCTGCGCGCGGCAGCTGGTGTGCGGCGCCACGCTCGAGGCCGTGGCGGCGCAGCGCGCGCAGCTGCTGGCCCAGCTGCGCGCGCTCGGCCTGGTCAAGGCGCGCGGGCCCGGCGACATCAAGGACGTCAACCTCAACTCGGAGCGCTGGCACGTCGTCAAGGCCGTGCTCGTCAGCGGCCTCTACCCCTCCATCGCGCGCGTCGACCGCGACTCGGGCGCGCTGCGCACCTCCAACGAGGTCAAGGTCGCCTTCCACCCGAGCTCCACGCTGCACCGCGGCGGCGGCGTCGCCGGCTCGCACAAGGCCGTGCAGGGGCTGCCCACCGACTGGGTCGTGTTCGAGGAGATCTCGCGCGCGGGCCGCTTCTGCTTCATCCGCTGCTGCACGCTGGTGACGCCGCTCACCGTGGCGCTGTTCGGCGGCCCGCTGCGGCTGCCGGCCGGCGCGCTCACGCAGCGGGCCAACCCGCCCGGCCTGTCCAGCGACTCGGACAGCGAGGCCGACGAGAACAACTCGTCGCCCGACACGGCCGTGCTTACACTCGACGACTGGATGGCCTTCACGGCGGACGCCTCGGACGCGATCAGCGTCTACTACCTGCGTCAGAAGCTGTGCGCGCTCGTCATCCGGCGGATGTCGAACCCATCGAAGCCGATGACGCCGCTGGACGAGCAGATCTTGAGCACGGTCGTGCACGTGCTCGGCGCCGAGGAGAAGAACGTGGGCCTGAATCAGCCGAGTGGAATCGGGCAGCGACCGAAGCCGTTGACGGTCGACTCGCCGAGTTGGCGGATGCGGGTCGAGAACGACGAGCAGTACCGACACGACAGTAACAAGTATTACCCGCAGTACAATCAGAACGAGTACCCGGGAAATGCTTTCTACCAGAACGCATACGGGTACAGGAATGGCCAGCCGCGGCCCGGGTGGAGAGGTGACGGACCCGCGCAGGGCTTCTCGCCACAGTCCTACAGTGGCCCGAAGAGTCCTATGTCCCCGAACGGAAAGACGCTGCTAGCCAATATAGAGAAATATGCAGACAACGGCGAGAGCTCCACGCGGTACTTCATAGTGAAGGCTGACGACCTTCAGAGCGTGGAACAGGCGCAGAGGACGGGCAGTTTCCCGTTTACGCAGAATACAGCGAAAAAGTTCCAAAAACTTAAACAGGTAAGAATCTTATTTTGCAATCATGTAATATTATAATATAATGAATTATTTATATACATTATAACGTCGTACACATCGCCTATATAGGCGACATATGTCGACTTTTTTTTACGATGGGAGTATCTCAGGGGTCAATTTTGGGACCTTTTCTTTTTGTAGTCATCACTATGCGATATAATTTGATATAAGTATGATACATACGTGGGACACTCAGAAAGTTTTGCGACACTAAAAAAAGTTCTATAGGTAAATATATTTTTATCACATCTTTTCAATGTACTCTCCACCAACCTCTATACAAAGTTTCGTGCGTCTGAATCAGTTTCCAAAACACATCATCCAGTCCGCCGCAGACACCTCGTTTACAGCCTGCTCTAACGCTGTGAGCGTATCATCCGGCGACGAAAATTGTATCCCTTTGTGTTGATTTTTTTATTTTTGGGAATAAGAAGAAGTCACACGGCGCTAGGTCAGATTTGAAAGGAGGGTGACCCAGGAATTTTACCAGTGTACTGTCTAGGAAGTCCCTAGTTTTAATTGCGGTGTGGGCGGGTGCATTATCGTAGTGGAGCAGTAGCCCGCGGAGTCCTGTGTTTTTGGTCGTTTGTTGTTCACAACAGAGAAAACTTCTGCCAAGCATTTGGTAGTATACCATACGGTGTTAATGTTTCTTTAGTTTAGTAAAGGAATTGACACCAAGTAGTCAGTCAAATTGAATAAGCTCGTGATCAAAATCTTCCCTCCGCATCTAGGTCGCTTTACTTTGGTAGGCGTTGATTCGTTTTGAAACACCCAAACCGTCGACTGGCGCTTTATTTCTAGATCGTATTGATAAATCCAGGATTCATCACTTGTAACGATGTCGAAAACGTGCCGAGACGAGCGTGCTTCAAATTTGTCTAACATGTCATGGCACCATTCCACCCTTGCCTGCTTCTGAACATCGGTAAGGTTGTGCGACACCCAGCCTAAAACTATCCTCCGCACCGGTAGATGCACGTGTAGAATCTCGTGAAGGCTTCCTGATCCAATCTGTAGTATATGCTGAATCTCTTGATATGTAACTCGTCTATTGTCTTGGATCAAATTTTTCACTGCTAGCACGTTTCCTTCCGTAACAGCCGTCAAAGGGCGACCACTTCTTTCTTCATCCTCCAAAGTTAGTCGACCACGCTTAAATTCATTATACCAACGATACACGGTTGCCTTAGAAAGGCCTTCATCCATGAATGTTATTCGAAGTCTATCGTACGATTCATCCGGTTTTAGGCGATACTTAAAGTCGTAAAAAATCATAGCGCAAAAATGTTGTCGACGCAAATCCATTTTTCAATGAGACACGGTAATTTTAATTAGCTCGCAAAAAATGTGGAGGGAAGTTTTGAATTTAGAACGTACCTATTTTTACTTATAAGTTATCATATTTTTAAATAAATTATAATTGGCCAGTCACACATATAAACTTTTTCTCGCAATACTTTCTGAGTGACCTGGTATATAGTATAACAATAAAAAACAAAATTGAAATATTTTTTTACAGATATTTTTTTATAAATGTTGTTGGCATCTATAGACCTCTATCTCACTCAGGCAGAAACCTAAATAATTAAAAACTAAACTATTGAATCGACTTTGATAATATTTCTATGTTATCAATTTGTGATAATTTTTTTTTCTGATCGGTTTATAACTGATGGAGTTAAGAGGGAACAAACATAAAAAAAATACAACTGAATTCAGAACCTTGTTAAGGTAGTGTCTGTTGTATGTCTTTGCTGTAACAATGTCTTCGTGTAAAAATAAAAAAAAAATATCCTATATGGCGTAAAATATATGGAAAATTATATCGGAAAGTCCGCATTTTTTAATTTATATCAACCTCGGATTATATATATCTTTTTGTATTTGGTTGAAAAACGTCTTTTGTGGTTTTTTTTATACAACTTAGAATGACAAACAAGCGGACGGCCCACCCGATGGAAAGTGGTAACCGTCGCCTATAGACAAGAGTAGTACCATGGACATACAGTAGTGTTATTCGGTAAGCATCACTTCGAAACTCGATAGCTGAATCCGGAGTGAAATTATATCATGGCATTCTGTAAAACTCGATTGCGACTGCAGCGCCACAACGATGAGTACGGTGGCGGGATTAAACATTCAAAAGTGATATTTTGACGTTTGGTGCAGTGTATTGACATTCTTATAAATGCCAATCCAAGGTCAAGTGATTTCGCTATCGAAGTGAGAACGGTCACCTGAGTGAGATTCGATATCGAGTTTGCATTTTACAGAATGGCACTGCAGTATACTGTTACGCCCATGATATACTCATACGTTGCTATTCCTAAGGAATCAGGTGTTATTCCTCTGTATCTGTTTTGCAGGAGGGCCACCAGGTGGTGGTGATGTTCACGTGCGCGGCCAAGTTTGTCGGTTGCGCCGCGCTCACCGACACAGGACTCGATTGGCTACAAACACAGCACCTGCCCTTCCACGCCGTCAGGTAATTTATTTATTATTGAACATTTTTTGCCATGTGGTCCCGGCGTAGAATAGGCCTTCCCTTCTTTTCCGCTGGGTGTCGTAAGAGTCGACTAATGGAGGGCGAGGCATGGGCTGCAGCATCCTCTTAAAACATCTTCAAAGCTTAGCTGCGGTTGCTAATCCGCCTGCCAAGCATGGCCCTAAAGAAACCTTAATATATCCTTTTTAAAGAAGTCCATACTCTAGTCTCTAGGGTAAACCTCGGCAGTGTGGGAAAAATTCTTTGAAAGCGCACTGTACGTGACCATTTAGGTTCAAGCGTGTGAGGATGAATTCCCTGTCGATGGCGATTAAAGGTAGCTGTAGATTGTACATTGAACTATTTCAGAGGAAATATGTAAGAGAAACTTATAAGTGGCCATAACAGCATGGTTCTCAGGAATGGCAGCGCATGACGAGTATCATGGGCTATTTTGTAACGTCGATGAACAGCATATTCATTTCTAAATGTGATAGTGATATTTTATCTCAGGTGGCCTGCATATGTCAGGTGTCCAATGCGATGCTATCTCAAACAAATATTTAAATGCTGTCAAGTCAAGGTCTATGGAATTTAGATAGACAGTTTTTTATATACAGTAATTTCTAAGAGAGGTAGGGCACAGCGGGACTCTGTCTCATAAATGGAAACGCCCGCCTGGGGAAGGACCTCCACCTTGCAGAAGTTCGCAGCCAAACAACGCTGTTTTAATAGCGTTGTGTTCCTGCGGTGAGTAAGGTTTCTATTTTCATCTTGTGGAGGGGTTGTGCCGATATTGGAGGGACCAGCGTGTTTTAATACTGTCTTTGTGTTCTATCGAAATTGCCCTACTATGGACTTCCAGACAGCCTTTGTGAATGGGTTGCCAGTTTTTTTGTCCGGCAGATGCATAAAAACTGTTGTTGATCCGAAAGCATGGATATTAACGCTGGCGTCCCGCAGGGCTGTGTGCTATCCCCGACGTGGTTCCTGCTGCATATTACTGATATGTTGTCCTTAGATGACATTCATTGTTATGCGGATGACAGTACTGGGGATGCCCATTATACGGGTCGTACCAATGTCCCTCGTTCCATTGTGAAGGACGATCGTGAAAAGCTTGTGTCTAAAATTGAGAGAACGTTTACTAGTCTCCGATTGGGGACGACAAAACTTAGTCCAGTTTAACCCCGCTAAGACACAAGCTTGCGCGTTCACCGCTAAGAAAACCCCATTTGCTGTGGCCCCACAGTTCCAAGGCACGTCTCTTAACATCTCTAAAAGCATTGGGATCCTTGGTGTCGACTATATAACAAGCTAGCCATAAAATTGAATATAAATAACTTTCTATCTAAATTCCAAAGACCTTGATTTACCACTATTTAAATATTTGTTTGAGATAGTATCTCATTGGACACCTAACATATAATATTACTGTCACTAATAGAAATGAACGTGCTGTTCATGGACGTCACAAAATAGCCCATGATACTCGCCATGCGTTGCCATTCCTGAGGACTCAGGTGTTATTCCTCTGTATCCTGTCAATTAACTTTTATATCCCACCCCTTAAACTGAAACACAGTCATGCAAACACAACTGCAACTGTAAAAAAAAGACAAATCAACACGCTTTCCATCTGCGGTAATAGTTCTTTATTTAAAACAGTCGGTACGTACGTTTATAAGACGACCAGGCCCTCTAGACAAGTGGCAAGCGAATTCGTCGATGCAATCGACATCGCTAGCGAGTCCGTGAGTTGAAACTAGTCATCTGGTGTTGCTATCTCACTCTGTCATGTGAGGTAGTGGACGAATTCGCTCTGGCCTCGTGTAGAGGGCCCGGAGTGTGTAGCGAGAATGTGGTCGCAGGCACATAGTGAACTCGGCGGCACTGGGCGCTCGGGCGGCGGGCGCGCGCGAGGGGACGGAGGTCCCCGCGGCGGCGGCCGGCGCGCTGCTGGCCGCGCACGCCGCGCGCCCGCCGCGCCGCCACCCGCGCCCCATACAGAAGCACGCCACTGACCACCACCACTAGGCAGGCCGAGGGGACGGAGGTCCCCGCGGCGGCACTCCTCCCCACCACTACACCACTACACAGGGCGGCGGACAACTCGTTACTCGTAAGTAGTACTTAAGGAACTTGTTGCACTGTCAAATGTTTGGACATCATATAACGGTGTGAAGTTGAAGCTATCGGTGTCCTTTTATAAGACTGTGCTCAGAGAACATAAATATTTTTCATAAAGGGGTAATAACAGTGACATTATTGCAAAAAAAAAAACAATCTAACGTGACAAACGAAGCACGCAGTGCCAGTTAGTATGAATAATTTAATTTTTTTTTATCACTCTTTAACCCATGTTTCTTTGAGATACATTCTATTTTTCAACCAATTTCAAAAAAAGCGGTGGTTATCAATTTGGTTGTATTAATGTTTGTTACTTCATTATTACGTAATTTTGAAACCGATTTGTCAAAATATTTTTTTTTATCTGAAAAGACATACTTTTCATGGTTCCACAGAAACGTCTTTAAAATCCATACAATAGTTTAATTTTTAAATCAAAATAACTAGTTTTACTACGATTAAATTATCTAGATTTATCTATTAAAATACTACTTATAAAAGGAGACTAATAGTTTCAAATTCATTCTTTGTAACGTCTAATCTATAAATTTTTAATAAATCGATAGATACTCGTCTCTAATAAAATTTTATAGTATAATAACTACTAAAGACAAACTTTTGAGACAGGTATTTGACAAACAGTAGCTCAATTGATAAAGCAGCCGCCCCAATATGGTAAAAAGTTGTAGAGTTATAAAGAAAAAAATAAGGAAAATTCGCAAGAAAATTATTATTTGATAAAATCCTGACAATCTTCATCATATCAGCCATTAAATGTCTGCTAAATATAGACCTGTCCCATAAAAGGAAGTTCTGCCATGCTCCGCAGGCAGGTTATCCTTTGGTGATGTTTTAAGAGGGACACTGCTGTTTATCCTTCGACCATTACGTACAAAATCCTGATGTATATATAATACTTTTACTGTGAATATACATTCATATTCACAGTAAAAGTATTAGAAAACAGACTTCTCTTAGAATTTTAATGAAAAACATTAATCATTCTCAGAGCCGAATTATAACTTAATATGTAGTTTGAAAGGTTATTACTGTATGTGTGTTTAAAAGTCGTTTGCTGGGCACGTCTTGTCCCTTATGTGATTCTACTGTGAAGCAGTTGTGTTTGCATGGCTGTGTTTCGGTTTGAAGGGTGGGATGTGGCAGTGAATTTACAGGGTACAGAGGAATAACACCTGAGTCCTCAGGAATGGCAACACATGGGGGGCATCATGGGCGAAACAGTATACTCTGTTATGTCCATGGTACTGCTCATGTCTATAGGCGACGGTTACCACTTTCCATCAGGTGGACCGTCAGCTTGTTTGCCATTCTAAGTTGTATAAAAAAAAAATGGTACATGATCTATTTCTTACTTATTATATGAATCTAAAACATCAATCACATATTGATTGACCATTTCCCACTTTTATCTTTCGGCGTTTCCTTCTCAAGCAGAAGGGAATTTCGGTATAAAAATGTATCTGTTAAGAACAAAGTACACGCGTATCATACAGTGGGTGGACTCTTTATAATTTCTAATTTTGACGAAAAAACAAGAATTCTGTACATTTATTGTACCTGTACAACTACCCGCAATATGATTATAGCAATAACGTTCTCGAATATTCAAACTGACATAGTTAACTTTGAATTTGATTCTAATTATGAATGAAAATTCACGTTTTAATATATAAATACGAACTTTATGAATTGAAATGTATTGTATCCTTGTCATTAGTGCTCTTAACTCAAAATAAATCGCTGTATTGTATTGTATTTGTATTTCCTTAACCACAACGTTGACTTAATATCAGAAACAAGTAATGGAAGCCATTACGTTAAAAATTATAAAAAAAAAATACAATAGAAAAAAAATAATGCAAATTAAATATTTGTCGATCATTTCTCTTCAACTTTAAAAAGAAATTTAACTAACTCAAACTGTCTACACTGTCTATTAATAAACTTAATAATTTAGTCTAAGTAACGTCTAATTAGACTGATTGATAAGAATAAGTAAATTGATTGATGTTGTCCTTAATTTTATTAATATATGTGATTGAAATGAAATGTTAAGGATTGATCCACAGCCACCGACGATTTAGGCTGTAACTTACGAGTATGTGATTGAGCTCCATAGATACCACTTGTTTACCGATAACACGTTTATTTTTTTGAATAATTTTAAGCTTTTAGTTAGATTAGTTTATTATTACATGACAGATAGAGAATACAATCCCGGAATCTCAAATGACAAAGGCCATTACATATGCAGCCATAATAATTATATAAAAATTTATTATATAAATTAAAACAAATAATAAAAAAAAACATTTTTTTAATGACCACAAATGTAAAAAATAAATTTATGTCATCGTTAATCAATTGTAATACAAGATTTTAATCTAATAATATATATAATATAGAAAAAAATTGTTTTGTTGGAATGTGGATTATATAATTTTATTTATTGCATCTGTGGTCATTCAAAAATTTTTTTTTAATTATATGTTTTAATTTATACAATAAATTTATACATAATTATTATAGCTGCATATGTAACGTCTATTGCTTTAGTCATTCGGGATCCCGGAATTGTAATCTCCAATGACAGAGCTTTTAGAAAGAAATTTAAAACAATAACCTCATTTAAACTTGAATGTAAACGATGCGTGTATCAATACGATTAAGTGCGTCATAAGTGAAATAAAAATGGAATACATTTTGATTTTAGTTAGTAAAAGAGTTGAACTAATTATTATTGTAACCCGACAGTTAATTATTGTAATTGAACGTACAACTTGCCTTTAAAATGTTCAATCGCTATTTGGAATCGTATAGCGTATGTAATATAATACGTGTTATAAGAAATATTATGTATGAGAGAAATATTGTCATGATATATCATCGTCATCTTGTTACCCTTATCCCAATTATTATTTGGGGTCGGCGTAATATGTTTTTTATTTTATTTATTTTTATTTATTTTACACTTTATTGCACCAAGTAAAAAGAGAAATAACAAATACAGTAAATATTAATTAGAAGTGATACAAAAGGCGGCCTTATCGCTAAGCAATCTCTTCCAGACAACCTTTGGGTGGATCCATATTACAAAAAGATTTGGCTTATAGTTATACGACCGGCTGCCTGCCTGACGTCAACCCTGTTTGGGAATTGTCATGAAATATATTAATATATAGTAACAGAAGTCATATTTTAATATCTACACGATGTATGTTTGGTGAAAATTTCTGTTCTGACATAAAACGTTGGAGTTAGATAACTTGTCGAAATAAAAAAAAACTGTATGTAAAATTCTATGTACATTTGGCGCACTTAACACCGGACGGTGTTCTCTACCAGTCAACCAATATCTATATATTGGGTTTCACTAGAAATTGGTTGCGGAAAAAAGGCGATCAATCGAGGCATTTCGATATCGCCTATAGCAGATATGTCCATTCGTATCAATCGGGTCTTAATTTCAATATTATATATTGAACAACCAATATATAACATATTCTTTATTGCGTCTATATATATATATATATATATATATATATATATATATATATATATGTATATATATATATATATATATATATATATATATATATGTATATATATATATATATATATATATATATATATATATATATATATATATATATATATATATATATATATATATATATATATATAGTAACCACAATATATAGATGTTGCTGTATATTATCCATCCCTAATCTGAAGTGGAATCGGTCTTCACACTTCGAAGTATTGATAATCAATGTTTCTTGAATAGAGGCCCTAAAATGACGGTGATGAGGTATTGAGAAATTTAATTTTACTAAACCGATGGCATTGGAGAAATTACCTAACAATAAATCGAAATAAATAATATAATTTTAAATACGACTGATGTTTTTCAAAAAGATTTACGACACATTTATACCTCTAATATATACTACATGACAAAATGTGGTTTGAAATTTAAAAAAACCAAGTTAATGTTAATTTATTTATATGATTGATATAATCTTTAGTGAATGTAGTTTGCTCAGTGTATTTGTACATACATTTTAGTGAAATTTGTTTACTTCGAGTGCAATAAATGCATTTTCATTGCTTAAGCTTATATAAAGAAATATATCTATATAATTTAATACTGCAAGAAACAAATGAATTATTATTTATTGGGTTTAGATATTTTAAAAATATTGTTTGGTTTATAAAAGGTAGTGATAAAATTGATTGTATATCCGTCTCAGTGTTCGTTACGTTTCTATGTAAATACATAAAGATATTAGTGGAGTGCGGCAACTTTTTTAAACTGAGAATGTTGCCATTTTTCTATGTACCTAATATTTAAGAGCATTTTCTGCGATAAGATCTAACAAAATAACCAAATTTTGTGGATCTATGAGGGTTTTTTTTTAGTGTGTGAAACCTCCATCTCCGCTTGCGGTATACGCTGGCGGAGAACCAGTGGTCTGATGGTCTGCAAAAATTGGATAATCCTAATATTTTGGATATTTCTTTTGTTAGATTGTAGTCACAGATTGTTTTTATAATATTAAGCCTAGTGAATACAGGTTTGTGGACAGTGTACTGTTTTGTAAGTTATAAACGAATGCAGTGTCCTAATTTTTCATAGGTGATCTCGTTGTTTAATTTAAAATTTATTTAATCAAAATTTTATTCCTCCATGTTACGAAGTGTTTACTTTTATTTTAATATTATGTCCACAGTTTAATAAATAAAGAAACATTCTATTTACGATGTCAAAGTACCTTGTAATGTTGGGCCATAAATTAGTTTATTATAGCTCCTATACATTTTGCATTTTCAGATTAATAACATCATTTTTATTGTCAATTTTATGAATCATTACAAGCAGATGACTGCATCGTCGTGTTTTATTTAAAGTACTGCATGAGTTTTAAACTCAATATAAATTTGTTGAAGAAGTAATGTAGAATAATGCTTCCAGGGGTACCTTATAGGACCAATTGTAGAGGTGTTTTCGGATATTTCCATTGAAGCCATAAAATTTATTGGAATTAAAATTATAAAAAATTTGGTTTGAATAGTTGATTTGAAATTGAAAACGGCGTTCAATGTACTCGTACTTATTCAGTTCCAATAGACACTATTCCTGAACGTCATCTAATGAATTTTCTTGTGACTAGTGTCGTAACTTATTTTAGTTGATTTTTGTAGTCGAAGGGAATGGTTTGATAAGGTTAAAATGTTTGCAGTTATATTATTATATGCAGAGTCAGCTCACACTGACAGATGGAGAGACGAAGAGCCTAATTCGTTATCATTTAATAAGTATTTTTTCGGAATTGGTATAACAGAAACAGTTATTCTTGTAGTCGTATCGGCTCGACGAGAGGTCTGATCCTCAGTGTACTTATCGGCCTATAACTGCCCTTCGTCCACATTCAATCAGTGTGCGCTGACCCTTATACCCACTCAAGTATTACTCATAAGCAGTGATAAAAGAACTCAAGATGCACAAGTGTCACTAACCAAATTTTTCACTCATTGCTAACCAAGCTAGTTACTTTAGCAAACGTTCCGAAATGATTTTACAAATTTTGTAAGATAATGGGATATATAATGTAACTTTTGTACGGTGTGTGCATCTTTAGTTTGAATAAATAAATGTTCATAAAGAACAGACAGTCTTATTATCTCTGTTGTTTTTATTGTGTGCAGTTTAAACTGACCCTTTGTGTGACTGCTGCAGTAGGTCGATCGAGTCGAATTGCGTAGAATTAAATATGAGCTCATGTATATGTAAACGTTTTTAAAGACACGAACTGTTTGAATGAGACATCGTTAATGCAATTTTTAATAAACTATGTACAAAAAATTTTGTGTAGTTTTTTATATTGCCCTTTTTAACAAGCCATTATAATGATATATATGAAAGGTACCATTATCATACCTTTCATATATCTTCGTATATATATATATATATATATCTTCAATTCATACCAGCTATTAACTATTCACTACTGAAAATAGAACTTCCCATATTGGAGGTTTTGTCAGCAGTTGCCATGCCTAGCAAGCGGGTTGGCAACCGCAATTAGGCCTTGGTGATATTAAAAGAGAGCTGCTGCTGTCCATGCCCTTGACCATTAAGACCCCCCCCCCCCCTTAGTCGCTTCTTATGAAGCCCATAGGAGAGGAAGGGATAGGATATATTTTACATGTCTTGGATTTCAGATTTATAAATAATCACAAGTTCGTCATAGAAAAATTTTTAATAGAACAACAATGATCAATATAATCTTGTTGGTACTTGTATTACTGGCAATTCAATCATGCTAAAACATGAATTAAATTTATTATTGTACATATATACCTAGACCACATTCTTGGTTATTTTTTAATAAACGCGCCGCAAAGCCATAAGTTAGCTAATAAACAATTTTATAAAACCGTTCTATTAACCTATTGTTTACCAATAATACAAGCAACTAATGACATTATAAAAAGGTACGCTTCAGTTACAAGCGAATGCACAGCATTCCTTGTTTAATACAATATTTATTAAACACGAGCATATGCAATATGCAAGGTCGTCCAATCAAGGTCAGCTAACTGAGGTCGACCAATCAAGGTCAGCCAAATTGTATTCAATCGCATCGAGTTTTAACGTTGTTTTAACAAGGGATAGTCATTCAAAAATTCAATTTGCATTGTATTGTAATAAAAAAAAATCCATGTTAAAACCATGCAAATAATTTTTAATACTAATACAAAATTCACAATCAGCGTTCAAAAACGTCTTCACTAAATCTTACAGCATTTTTTTAGCATTACTGTCGTAATGTGTCCTTGTTACACCCTGGTCAACTTTGGGACACCATTGTTTATGACTGTAAATGTAGTTATTAGTGTTCGATGTCGTATACAGATCCTTTTAAAGGCCAGACTGCCTATTCTTCCACTGTCTCAACTCCATAAGAGATCCTCTAAATTTTATTTCCGTTCCTCATTTCTGTATGACCTGCTTCTCGATTTTGTCCTGTTGCTCCTGGGACTGCAGTTGCTGGAGAGTTAGCAGGGAAACACCCAGCTGGTCCTCCCGCGTGAACGGTTGCGCCATCTGACGCAGCCACCGTTTGCATATCTGAACAGTATGAAAGTATAATAAATACTTGGATTATATAGATAGTGTCTCCATAGAAATGCTTCGAGAAAAACGGGTCAACTTTTTCATACAATTTTGCGTGACAAATAGTTGAGTGACTTCTTTAGAACTTTAATATTTATTTTGTTTTATAAATTCTGTATCTTTTTAATGCGTAAATCGTAATTTTATTTATTAAATAATACGTCAAGATACATTTTAATGCGTAAATATATAGAATACTGAGTAAAAAAATGCGTCAGCTAATTTGACAATTAGCTGACAAAAAGTTGACCCCTTTTTTTGAGGTTCCATGCTCTATCTATATAACCTAAGAATAAATACTAGTTATTTATTATGAAATCCACATCGTCCAATAGATATGGTAGGGACCATTGGGGGGAAAGGGATTGTTAGTAATGAGGTCTATAGGCGACGATTACCACTTTCCATCAGGTGGGCCGTCAGCTTGTTTGCCATTCTAAGTTGTATAAAAAAAAAACATTACACCCCTCCCCTATTTATAAAAAACTTTTGGAGAAAGAAACCATGAAATGGCATGTCTTTGATAGATAAACTAAAGTGAGAATGTTAAGAGATTACTATTAACTTCAACGACGGATTATACGAATTGAATCGTATTGTGACTTTTATAAAGTGGCAACTTTTAGGATAAATAAGTATATGGCACATTACCTGTACAGCCTCCTCGGTGCTGAGGTTGCACAGCGAGTCCTTGAGGTGCTCCTGTATCCAGCGCGGCAGCTTGGTGCGCTTGTCCGCGCGGCTGAACCGCTTGTCCGCGAATATCATTATGCCGTAGTCGGTCTTACCGCTGTCAAATAGCAAGCATTTTTAAATATCGCGGATTTCTAGAGACGAATTGTCAATTTTTTTTATTACGTTAATACGCTTATTTGGTATATAATAAAGGATCAAAACTACAAAATACATACATTTTGCTTGAAGGGTAGTAAAATGTACATATTTAATATTGTGTACTCTTCACCAGAATCTGGCATGCAACAATTAAATGTTGAGGAAACAAAATGGACTTTATTCCGCAAAAAAAAAAAACAGATTACAATTACACAACATTAAATACTAGTTATTTTTATTTAAAAAAGTAAACTACTAAACAGATTTTGATAAAATTTCTATGGTATCAGTTTGCAAATATATCCTTTGAGATAAAAAAAGAAACCGATTTTTAAATAAGGTAACAAACATGAAACCCTTCTTTTTGAAGTCAGTTAAAAAATGGCTAAACATCACGAGCAAAAGTACCGATCTGCTGTCTCGTCCTCTCCTAAGAAGAGGTACTTATATTTTTTTTTATTGGATGATAATGGAATGGTAACCCCACCCGCGCTGTCGGTATACACCGGCGAGGCACCAGTGAAGGATGATAGGTGAGGATGAAGTAGGTCAGTTAGCCCATCGTGACGAATTCAACAAGAATTGTTCACGATGGTTTCCAGGGGGAACCACGTGGAGGTCGACCTAATAAGGCATATTGCTAGCAATGGGGCTGTCAAACTCCATTACTAACAATCCCTTTCCCCCCGAGGCGCTTATATTAGGTGGTCAGGCTCGTCTCTAGTTTGGTTACTTACCGCAAAGCTCTGCCGACACACTGGGCCGCGTGGCGCATAGCGTCGAACGTCAAGAAGTCGTTTTCGCGGATCTGTAACATGGATGTTATTGTATAATTCTTGTTCGGGGGGAAAAGGGATTGTTAGTAATGGAGACTGAGAATCCCATTACTAGCAATATACCCAACCAGGTCGACCTGCTCGCGGTTCCGCCTGGAATCCATCATAGTTAATTCCTGATGAATTTATCATGATGGGCTAACTGGCCTGTTTTCATTCTCATCTATCACCCTTCACTGGTGCTCCGTCTGCGTATCCCGTTAGCGCAGGCGGGGCTACCATACCATTTTCATCCATCAAAAAAAAATTCTTGTTCGGTCGTGAGATGCGTAATCACGCCTGCGCCAACGGTACTTATACGCTGGCCTCTTCCAGGATGCTGGGGTACCAGTGAGCATTAACCGATAAAGATGATATTTTACTGAATTAGACGTTACTTTGTGGTAGTCGAAGATGATGATGTTTCGTTTAAAGGTGGAACATGTGTAGCAACATGTGCGTGGTCTAAATAACGGTCGGAGGTTGATGACTGAAATGGAAGGTCGTTGAAACTTTTACATCTTAACAAAATAATTCTAATCGATTAACCAGATGAAGATGAAGTTAGTTTACTTGGTTAGTCGCGCATTAGGAAAAAGCATCGATATGGTAGATAGGTCGGTATTTTAAGTAGCGGGGGAGGGAGCTAGTGACGCCATTGCTATTAATATCCCTTTTGGAAACCAGCGTCGTTAATTCTTGATGAACCATTGGACTCGGTGAGAATTGTTAAATGAGTCAACTTGGTTTTTTTTTGATGAGTGAAAGTGGTATGGTAACCCCGCCTGCGCTAACGGGATACGCTGGTGGAGCACCAGTGAAGGGTGATAGATGAGAGTGAAAACAGGCCAGTTAGCCCATCATGATGAATTCATCAGGAATTAACCATGATAATTTCCAGGGAGAACCACGAGCAGGTCGACCTGGTTGGGTATATTGCTAGCAATGGGATTCTGAGTCTCCATTACTAACAATCCCTTCCCCCCCGAGTCAACTTGGTTGAGCCACATATCAATTGTCAGTGGTAGTAATCCCGTATGTATCGGCTAGGTGTGAGAACGGAACCTGGAACTGGTCGCGCAGGTAGTGCAGGCGCGCCTTGAGGATGCGGCTCTGCGTGAAGACGTAGGGGATGCCGAACATGAGCACGGCGCGGCCGAGGTGCTGCTCGAAGTCCACGCCCTCCGACACCTTGCCGCGCGCCACCGACAGCAGCACCGCGCCGCGACCGCTCTCGCACGCCTGCAACCCAGCGCGACCACTGCACTGCACTACACTCACCACGCCACTACAATACTATATATAGGGCTGCCATCTGTCCGGAATTCCCCGGATTCGTCCTAGTTTGAAGGACATTCAGGGGGTGTCAGTGGGCAGGGGCTTATCAGGGGAAATCCAATTTTTTTATATAGGTAGGCGATCAATTGCAATAAATCTTAGTTACAAATTCATCCACAATAATCCTGTTTTTATACAACAAATTTTCAGAAGTGTCCGGGAAACAAAAACCATATTTCGCCCAAATTTCCGAAATTTTTGCCATGTTTATCCGATGTCGATAATTTAAGTGATGGCAGCCCTAATTAGGTATATAATGATATTACAGGGTACAGAGGAATAACACCTGAGTCCTCAGAAATGGCAACGCATGTGGGGTATCATGGGCGAAACAGTATACTCTGTTATGTCCATGATACTACTCATGTCTATAGGCGACGGTTACGGTCAGCTTGTTTGCCATTCTAAGTTGCATAAAAAATATTATCTCTTTCATTATAATAAAACGAGAGCAAAATGTATGCAGTATCCAATTGTATGCTTGTAATTTTCTACGACAACACCGACATTATTTTTTTATTTGGCTCCCCCTGGAAGGAGCCAGCCCAGATATCAAGTTCTAGGTTATAATCAGTACCGACTTTACAGGGTGGCACTGTCTTTTTTTAACCCAAACATACATATTGGACCTGGTGAACCTAGGAGAGCGATATCGAATGCAGCGTGGACGACAATCGTAATAGTGACGGCTTGATATCGGAATGGGTGAAAAAAAAAATTTTTTCATAGTAAAGGAGGTCGTCATTAAAAAGTTGTCTAGTATATAGATATATAGATAGATAATTTATTTGCATTACTTACAGCACACAAATTACAATAAAAAAAAAACATACACATAATACACAGTAAAAGAGATAAAAGAATGAAAATAATAAAATCAACAAAAAAAAAAAAGCAAAATATATAATACAACAATTTCATTTTTTTCCTTCATGCGTGTGCCATAGTAATACAAAATGGTCACAACTCAGTTTATTGCTTTGCCCTCAAAAGAGCAAAACACTGATATTCTGTTGTGGCCAAGAGTCAGTCGCGAAATTCCTTATTAAAAATAATTAAAAATAATAATAAAAGAAATATAAATAAAACGCATTATGTGTGTCCATTACATTTGCCTCCATTTGATATTATATTCTAAATAAATAAATAAATAACAGATACCATTAGATGAGGGGTAGTCAGAGGTCACTTTCTGTCACATTCAGGCAAAAAAGTAAAAAAAAAATGCGTAAAATCCTATAGTGAATTGATGGATTAACACTGCACTAAACATTTGTATGAATGTAAATTGGGAAAAAGCTTGTCCAACATTAAAAATAAAATTACAAATTGCGTATGTACCTTAATGTAATTAATGAGCGCGAAGCTAGTCTCCGCCGAGTCTTGAGTCTCAATGAAAAGCAGCTTGTGCCGCTGTAGACTCGCCACCACACCTGTATTTTTTACAATACAGTTCATTTAAACTTATTCGAAAATATTTTTAATATATAACTCTGTATTTGGGAATACTAAATTACATATTAATAGGTTTTTTTTTAATAGGTGATAATGGAATAGTAACCCCACCCGCGCTATCGGTATACACTGGCGGAGCACCAGTGAAGGATGATAGGTGAGGATGAAGTAGGTCAGTTAGCGCATCGTGACGAATTCAACACAAATTGTTCACGATGGTTTCCAGGGGGAACCACGTGGAGGTCGACCTAATAGGGTATATTGCTAGCAATGAGGCTGTCAAACTCCATTGCTAACAATCCCTTTCCCCCATATTAATAGGTTAAGAAAGTACCTTGCCGTCTTAATGACGTCTTATTTAAAAATAAGGTTTTAAAATTTTATTGCCTCACCTTGGTCGTACCAGGCGCCTACGACGCTCTCCAGGTAGAGATACGACGTGAAGAAGCACACCACACCATCGGGCACGCACGACGATATCTGATACAACATTAATATTAAACTTAACGTGTCTATAGGCGACGGTTACTCTTTTCCATCAGGTGGGCCGTCAGCTTGTTTCTTTCATTCTAAGTTTTATACAAAAAAAAAGGATATATTTTGGCGTTATTGTCGCATTCATAAAAGATTTTTATTTTCCTTTGGGTGCCAATACACCAAAACTATTTATTGTATAACACTACGCTATCTATGTTATGATATTAAAAAGATGGCCGGAAGTAGATGCGAAAAGTTTAAGATCGCATTGGCAGAAGGTCTATGTCCAGTTATGGTCTATATATCATCATCAATCATCATATCAGCCTTTAACTGTCCACTGTTGAACATAAGCCTTCCTCGTGGGGGGTTCTACCGGTTGTTGTTGCGCTTGGCAGACGAATTGGTAACTGCAGTTAGGTTTTGGATATATTTTAAGAGGGCCGCTGCTGCCCATCCCTTGTCGTCCCTGAGTCGCTTCTTATGATACCCATGGGAAAGGAAGGGGTGGTCTATTCTATGCTGGAGTCACACGGTGATTTTTAATTATATAATTTAAAATTAAATCTAATTTAATTTAAAATTAAATCTAATTTAATTTAAAATTAAATCTATTTTTTTATTTTAATTACTAAGTAAGGCGGGTTGGCAACCGCAATTAGGCTTTGGAGATATTTTAAGAGGGACGCTGCTGCCCATCCCTCGCCCTCCTTTAGTCGCCTCTTACGACACCCACGGGAAAGGAAAATGTGGCCTATTCTATGCTGGGACCACGCGGAAAATATTTACTACAATATAACTTAAAGGCTACAGAAGTAAGGCGAGGTCCATATATTGTATCAACACACAACTTGCCTCAACGAGCAGCTGTCCATAATTTCTTATGACGGCCACGTCCTCTCTCGTCTCGTATTTCGACGATATAGCCACTTGGTCGCTTCCTTTTGATACTATCTGAAAACAATGTGCATTAAGTGAATTTTAAACTCTTAGCACCGGGCCCAATTTTCAGAACCTCATAGGGCACAATACTAAATATATTTCGAGCAACAAGGATTCATTTCTTAGAAACGAACTTAAAATAACACACACGATAATGACGTAAATTTCATCATCATCTTATCAGCCATTAACTGTCAACTGATGGACATAAACCCCCCCCCCCCCCATTATGGGAATTCTACTAGTAGTTGCTACGTATGACGACAGCAATTAGGCTTTTAGTGATATGTTAAGAGGGACGCTGCTGTCCATTTCTCTATGGTTAAGTTCCTATAGTCGACTCTTACGACGCTCACGGGAAAGGAAGGAATGGCCCATTCTATGCCGGGACACACACGTAGAAATGTAAATTTACTGTATAAAAATTATTATGTGCGTTTAATTTTTAAATATCCCAAAGAGGGTTGACGTCAGGCAGGCGGCCCGTTGTAAAACTATAAGCCAAATCTTTTTGTGATATGAATACAAAACAAAGTGTTCCGTAGCCGCAAACATCTTGTACTGCCCGCGTGAATTAGGATAATATTTATCGTTTACTCAAGCACCAAATTTTATTCTAATACTAAAAGGACTAGAATACAATTTCTAAACACGTTTTAAACATGAATAACAGGTACCTTAACACCCCAATATTGTTTAAAATATACACATTTATACTATAAATATGGTTGATAAGGAAAGAATACATTACCATGGGTAGTATGCAGGGCCGCGCGAGGGTCATGGTGAACGAGCTCATGATCACCGGGTTGAAGTCCAGGATTTTGGGGTACATGTCCAGTGGGGACAGGGTTCCTGCCAATCAATAGTGGTAGTTGTAAAAAAAGAATATATATTTACATACAAGATTATGTATGGACATACTAAAATTTGTGTGGAAGAATAAAATCTTATTTTTTTTATACCCTTGAGGTGGCAAACAAGCATACGGCCCACCTGATGGTAAGCGGTTACAGTGGCCTATGAACGCCTGCAATACTAGGGGTATTACGCGTGCAATGCCGACCCTGAATAAACCTCTTTACCCCCCTTTTGAAGAACCCGATTCTGTAGTCTCTTAGAAAAACCTCGGCAGGGAACTCATTCCATAACCTGAGTGTTCGAGGGAGAAAATTTCTATAAAACCGCACTGTACGTGACCATTAAGGTTTAAGCGTGTGAGGATGAACTCCATGTCGATGGCGAGTAGAGCGATGATAAAAGGTGGCTGTGGGCATCTAATTTGCGATACTATAAATTTGTTAAAAGAGAGACTGACATTGCACTGGGACACACAGCATCAGCTGAGCCAGTTCCTTTTGCCTAATATGAAACACTACTTATATATTGTAATTGTGTTTTTCTTTTGTAATTGTGTTTTTCTGGCAATATTTTCTATTCTATTCTAAATAATAATTCCCTAGACCGAGATCGAATAGCCTAAGGAGGGCCATGGCTTGACTATAATGATGTCGATATATTTAGAATCAATACAGACATTACCTGATGTTATGATGACCGTTTGGAACCTGGCGAACACCGGCCGCATTGCTATTGACGAGTCCATGCACCTGTCACGGAAAACTCAATTATGACACTGGCTTTTGTATATTTTATAAAATAAAAACAGACTTGTTTCTCAATTAACTGTTTTCAACCGACTTAAAAAAATGGAGGTTCTCAATTTGTTGTGTTTTTCCTGTTCATTATAACTCCAGCAATTATAACTTAAGCAAGAATTTTCCAAATAGGTTAACCCATTTGGAAAATTCTTTTTTAACTGAAAAAATGTATTTACAAATTGGTCCCATGGAAATTTTATCAAAGTCAATTCAGTAGTTTGGTTTTTAAATCAAAATTACTGGTTTTTGCCATAAATGAAGTCAGTTTTTTTCATGGAACACAATCATATATATATATATATATATATATATATATATATATATATATATATATATATATATATATATATATATATATATATATAAATAAAATATACACATATATTTCATTAGGTATATTTTATTTTATTACGTATATTACGTATATTTTATGCGCGGAACCCACGAGCAGAGGGTTTTTTTTTGGTGGGTGAAAATGGTATGGTAACCCCGCCTGCGCTAACGGGATACGCTGGCGGAGCACCAGTGATAGATGAGAATGAAAACAGGCCAGTTAGCCCATCATGATGAATTCATCAGGAATTAACCATGATAGTTTTCAGGGGGAACCGCTAGGAAGTCGACCTGGTTGGGTATATTGCTAGCAATGGGATTTTTAGTCTTCATTACTAACAATCCCTTTCCACCACACGCAGAGGGTTATAGGCAACAACAAACCTAATTTATATTTGACCAGTTTTTTATGTACATTGCGCGCCACTTTTGGTCCATAGAGAAATAGTATCGGAAGTGATCACTGGCAATGCATGAATGATTTTGTGTTTAGACATTAATTATGTCAGGAAACAGATATGCCGATGTCTATTTTCATTATATTAATGAAACGGAAAAGAAGAAAGACACAAACCCTGTACGGAGCTGGTCGATATGGCACTTGTAAGCTTATATCGTCCACTAAAGAAGTCCACTTTTTTTTAAAATTTACTGTATTTATTAATTTGAGCAATAGAATGTAAATAAATAAATAAAGAAGAAAATAATTATGATCCTGCTGCTACATTTTGCACAATATGGTTTAAAAACTTTCACCATTTCAGCTGATGACTGTCCACCTCCTCTAAACATAGTCTTCCCCTATAAACTACCATAAGCATTGGGCCTGAGCCAATGCATCTAATGGTAGATCGTCCTATACTTCTGTGTACTGTAATCGAGGATATTCCTTGCCTATCAGCTATCAGTTCTTTCATCTATGTATTCTCAGTAACCTTACTTACGAGAAATGTAGTATCGGATTGGAGACGGTGGGCGTTTTGTCATCGAACGGCTCTATGATGATGGTGAAGCCCTTGGTGTAGGTGGAGACGAGGGTGGCGAGGTGCGCCACCAGCGTGAGCGAGGAGAAGTTGGACGGGTCCGGGATCTCCAGCGTCCGCATGAGGGACGTGAGCCGCGACGCGCAGAATCGCAGCGGTTTGCGTTCGATGCACACGCGGGACGCTACGTCTTTTAGGAAACCTATTAGGAACGTTCAAAGTTTTAGCTTTTTTTTTTTATACAACTTAGAATGGCAAACAAGCTGACGGCCCACCTGATGGAAAGTGGTAACCGTCGAGTATAGACATGAGCAGTACCATGGACATAACAGAGTATACTGTTTCGCCCTTGATACCCCTCATGCGTTGCCATTCCTGAGGACTCAGGTGTTATTCCTCTGTACCCAGTAAATTCACGCCATATCCCACCCTTCAAACCGAAATACAGCCATGCAAACACAACTGCTTCACGGTTGAAACACGAATGGGACAGAGGTACCCAAGCAATTGACTTTTGTACTAAGTCTAAAGCTTACTGACAGTGTGGCAACGTCGCAATTATCTGTCAATTTTCAAAAACAATTGAACACTTTTGAATGTTTCTTATAACGAACGAACGTTATAATAGTCGACAAACGTATCGTTATATAATATGTATATAATATGGTCGAGGAATGAGCAGCTACCTACCAAGCGTAATAACTATTTGTACCCCCCCCTCTCAAATAGGGGGAAGTCTATGTTCAGCAAAGGACAGCTAACGGCTGATATGATGATATTATTATATCATACGTATATGTTACAACCACGACACAGTTATTTTAACTAATGTGGCAGTTAATCGTACACAACCTTACTTTTGTAATTTGTAACAAAGTTTTTATGGTTCCAATAAATAAATATTAAAATTATTATTCCGAGAATATTATATTTTTAAAACATTATATTATTTTACCACAGTTAATCGAAGTGTCCAAGCTAAGTGTGGCAACTACTGGCAAAACTCCTATTATAGGGAAGACTTATGTTCAGCGGCAATAATTGGTCATTACATAGGGTATTATACCTCGAGAAACAGGCGTTAGTGTGATTGTATAACTTGTTTGGGCAGTTTAAACAGACATCAGCAGTGGACATCTAATGGCTGATTTATTCATTCAATCCTAGTGTAGTATATAAGGTACATACCAGCCGGAGACTCCTGCACTACGTGCTGTATCCTCAGCCTAGTCTTCAGGTACTCTATGAACCGCCTCAGGAAAGACAAGAAGTGCTCTGCGTTCCTTATATTGCCCGGTACCACCTCTGCAAGTTAAATGAAGCTTGTTCACATGATACTCCCACTTGGATTAGTAGGCTCTTTCTTATATTTAAAATGACTCTTTTGGACTCCCTAGCAGAGAAATTAAAAATATTATTGATAATTTTCATCTACTATATATATATATATATATATATTTACAATTTGTATATGTTTATTTTATTTGGATTCTATTTGCTTTGTATTCCTTTCTCTTTTGCGCCTTTTATATATTATATATAACACATAGATATAATAAGTATGTACATCAGCATTGTAAAAGGTAATAATAATTCTTCAGACGCGATTTAATTTTTTTTTATACAATTTAGAATGGCAAACAAGCTGACGGCCCACCTGATGGAAAGTGGTAACCGTCGCCTATAGACATGAGCAATACCATGGACATAACGGAGTTTTAACATACATACATACAGACATAACATTGTTTCGCCCATGATACCCCCATGCGTTGCCATTCCTGAGGACTTAGGTGTTATTCCTCTGTACCCAGTAAATTCACGCCATACCCTACCCTTCAAACCGAAACACAGCCATGCAAACACAACTGCTTCACGGTTGAAACACGAATGGAACAGAGGTACCCAAGCAATCGACTTCTGTACAAAGTCTCCTTCTGGTAAATCCCAATGCTTGGGCTATTTCTAATTTCATGAGGAAGTGTGTTCTTTCCCCCGTGCAGTGCAGTTTAAATATTTGTATGTGACATTGTGGTGTAAGCGAGGGTGGCGACGCGGCGGCTCACCGTGCAGGACCTCGTCGGGCAGCACGGGGTTGGCGAGGAAGGCGTCCGCGTCCCGCGCCAGCGCCGCGTCCCGCAGCCCCTCCACCAGCTGCTCGTACTCCAGCGTCAGCCGCGCCGCGTCCTCCTCGCGGATCCTGCGCACACACCACAGTACACCACAGTACACCACAGTACACGCGCCCATGTATTAAACACTAGCTGTGTATCGCGGCTTTACCTTCGTGAATTACCACATAAAGCAGCGTTTCTTAACCTTTTTGAGTGGCGACTCAATGTATAAAAACATTTGAAGCCCGCGACCATAATGTTTTATTTATCTTCCACTGGTAATAGAATAATAGAATTAACTAAAAGTCCTTGTTTTGCCAAATTAATAAAATACTACATAAATGCCAATTTTTTTTCATTTATTTATTTATTCATTATTGACCACATTACTAAAAAAAATTTGGTACAAAAGGCGGACTTAATGCAATATAGCATCAATCTACTAATCAACCCCTTTTTTTTTAAATCACTAATTTCCAAATTATTAATATTTTTTTCTAAATATCTTCAATTTTTTTATTTATTTCTTATAATGACATTTGGAGAACTCCTACAACCCACCCCAATACCGTCTGTGACCTGAATTTAACCAACCTGAGGTTAAGAAATGCTGATATAAAGTATCTTATCTACAAAATTAGGATATAGCCTATCCGTGAACCAAATTTCATTTAAATTCGTTCAGTAGTTTTTGCATGAAAGAATAACAAACATCTATTCATCCATTTTGACAACTTCCGAATTTATAAAAAAGTTACGGACGATCTCATCATCTTCACTCTTAACTTCTCTGACAACAGAATGTACGAACATCTGTAAATTTATTATTTATTTATTCTTTTGCACATATTAAAATATGTACACAAGGTCAAGCCCACCTTGACATTCTCTACCAGTCAAATGTTATGCTAAATATGTATACATGTTGATATATACTCTTTATTGTTCCCTCCAAATGATTACAGAACATTACAATAACACATTGAGAGAAAAAAATAAAATTTATTGTCAACTGACTTCAAGAAAAGAAGAGGTTCACAATTTTATTGTTTTTTTTTTTACTATTGTCTATGGTCACACAGTTGAGCACAATCTCACCTGATGGAAAGCAAAGATATGGTCTAAGATGGAGCTTGTGGGTCCACGAACAGACTATTCACATTTACCTAAAATTGCTCATATTTTTTTATCGTTGTTACCTTATAACTCTATCATTCAAAAACAACTTTTTGGAAAATACTTTTTTATTTGTAAAGATATACTTTCAGATCGATCCCAAAAAAATTTCATCAAAGTCAGTTAAGCAGTTTGATTTTTAAATCAAAATAAATAGTTTTGCCACGATTAAAGTTAGTATTTTTTTTTGTGTAACACAATTTTAAATTATTTAGTTTTATAGCAAAACATAGCCTTTATTAAATGGTAAATAATTAAATATATATAATTAAAACACATAACTAACAGCCATTAAGTTTTTTAATTTTATTTTTTTAATTCTAAATCAACTTACTGCGCGACAGTTTTCTCCAGCTGTTGCAGAGCACTCGTACTTTTGTCGATGGTCCGTCGTGTGATTTTGACACTGAGCGAGTCTATGCACACATTGTCTATGTTGTGGGCTTCATCAAATACCACCACCGCCTCCCGGTTTAGTTCTTTAGACACTACTTCGGCAATCTTCGGATCCAGTAGGTAGTGGTACGAGTATACTATTATATCTGCGTGGATTATCTGGTAATAAATAATTAATAAAGCATTACAGAGCGCCATCTAGTGACAAACTAACTATATATTGCATGAGGTGTACTAGACAGGTGATGGACACTGAGATGTAAGGTATGTATAGATTGTCTATGATAACATGGCATGATAACTCTAAAACTCAATTAATTAAAAATGTGTGAATAAAAATATTGACAAGGTTTCGACCAAGGAATATAATACTCTCTGGTTGGACAGCTACTGAAGGTGTTTCTTAACAAATACAAACAGAGCACCCATGTGTGCACTCACTGTGGTCACTCACATTCAACAAAAAAATTGGAAGGAGAATGGGGAGGAGGATGCCATGTTGACTTAGACAATCTATACAAATTATGCGAAGATAGAAGCAATCATAGTAATAAAGAGATGCGATCTCTTTATTACTATGATTGCTTCTATCCATCATATCCCATCATCATAGTAGTAATTAAAAACATAGGATAATTTGTAAACCCTATGGTATTAGATGTATGTAATGGTATGTAATCTCTATACATTAATTTTAATTGACTAAATAGATAAGCAGTTATACATACAGCAAACCGTGCTAAGAAGTATGGGCACCAGTTTCTATCAGCACCGTACTGCTTGAGGTCGTCTATGGTGTACACGCCGTAAGGTAACATCGACTCTTTGCCCTCACGGTTGAATCCCTCATAAAATTGACCTTTAATCATAATTATTTTAATAAGATATAACAAAAAAAATGTAGGTTAAGATAATATTATTTGTTATAAGTGTCAAAATTTGATTTAATAATTTATATTTGGTACAAACTAATATTGTTAAAATTTTGTGGGCCCTGGTTGCCTTGATTAAACAATTTATTTATTTATTTATATTTATTATAACCAAACAAAACGAATATATTAAAATAAAATAAAATAATTAATTTAATAAAAAATTACTAAATTCCATTATCTTACAATACGAAAATATATATTACGTGCAATTAATCATATCATGTTTAGTCATGATTAAGAGTTCTGGATAGTTCCAAAACTAGTTGAGCATTTTTACAAAAATATAATAATTGTAATTGAAGTCGTATTACATTCAAAATAAAAAAAAAAAAGAAAAGGAATAGGTACCTGGCAGGGAATACACATAAAACAGGATGCACTTTGCCATTAATGTAAATAAAGCACGCTCACCGAACTTGGTAGGGTTTTTTTATGGATGATAATGGCTGGTAACCCCGCCTGCGCTAACGGTATACACTGGCGGGGCATCAGTGAGGGATGATAGGTGAGAATGAAAAGGCAGGTCAGTTAGCCCATCGTGATGAATACACCTGGAATTCAGCACCACCGACCGACAGCAGCACGACCGCGGGGCGGTTGATCTACCAGTATTGCTAACAATCTCTTTCCCCCAATTTGGTAGGATTTGCGCGTGGGATAAATTTAACAGACTTTAATTACTATGGATTATGATAGGTACCAACTTACAAACAGGCACGCTGGAGTCCCGCGCATTCCTGTCTCGTATGTAGCTCGCTGTCAGTGAATGGCATTTGCCATCTACTAGCTTGCCCTCCCTTTCTCTTGATACCTATGAGGACATTAGATATAGAAATAATATTTACAATAAATTTAATTTAAAACAATTTTTATCAATTTGCAATGAAAAAGATTTAACTGGTTTCTGGTTTCAAGTAAAAGAAGAATTTTACAAATGCATGCTTTTGTCCTTCTTTCCCCTTGGGTGTCGTCAGAATCGACTAAAATTTAATGGATGAGGAATGAGCAGTGTCCCTTTTAAATCATCAACAAAAGCCTACAGTTGTCAACCTACCAAGAGTGGCAACTACTGGCAAAACTTCCATATGGGAGAGGCCTAGGTTCCGCAGTGGACACTTAACAGCTGATATGATGATGATGATTATGCTTTTGTGTATTAATGACACGTATATGAACTCATAGAATATTTACTTGCAGTTAAAACTATGAATTTTTTTTATACAACTTAGAACGGCAAACAAGCTGATGGCCCACCTGATGGAAAATGGTAACTGTTGCATATAGACATGAACTACAAACTGTTCCATGGAGATAACATAATCTGTTATGTTCATAGAGAACTATTATACTCATCATTTATTGTCATTTCTGACAACTAAGGTGTTATGCCTCTATCCCTTGTAATTTTATTGCCATATTGTACACTACAAGCTGAAACACATGTGCAAACACAACTACTTCACAGCAGGAACATAAATGGAACAGAGGTACCCAAATAGATGACATTTCTACAAAATCTTCCTCTGGTACACAATACAGCTAGATTATTAACAAGATAAAATATTTAGAATTATCTTATTAGAAATCTTACCTCAGGATGAATGCATAAGTTCTTTCTAGAACTGAGCACTACACCTGTAAGACTAGGAATCTCACCCTGGCTCTTTTCATAATATTTCATCAAATTCTTCAATTCTTCCAATACTTTTTCTATTTCTGGAAGTGTACGAGAACAGTACACTAGTTTTCTGAAATAAAAAAAAAAATTAAGATTTAAAATTATTATTTATAAAACTAATATATCAAGCATATTGAATTAATTCATGAATAAACCGCATTAACTGTACAAAGCCAACTACTATTTCAAAAGGCATCTTACACATAAAACAGCAATAACCACATTTAATCATTGGGATTGATTGCAGAGACAATTAAATAGGTAACAACTCTGTGGTTTAATTTAATATATCATTTATTTCATTCATCAAGCATATACATCATAGATAAAAAAAACCTACCTGACATGATGAGGATTTTGTATCATATAGGCTACAATTAGCGAGAGCAGTGATATAGTTTTCCCTGTACCTGAAGGCATTTCCAGTAAACCATGGCCCTGAAATAATAAAATCAATTACATTATTGAATCATTCACATCTCATCAGCCCAAACTAGTACTCTAAATGGTTGAATTTCTTTATAAAAAAATATATCTATGTCTGTACAAATATAAAGAAAAAAAAGAATTTATTTCTTGTGTGTTTGTTTGTAATGACCAAAACTCAAAACTACTTAACCAGTTTTAAAAATTATTTCCTATATAGTGAGTTATATTATCAGCAAGTAATATAAAGTAAATAGTAACATAAGTTATATATTATTTTCTATCTACCAGCACAAACTGGGGTCGCAAGTACATAAATATAATCTTATTCATAAACAAATAAATTCTTCTACAAACCAATATATTCAATGCCAAATAGAACAATGTAGCCTTGTATGTTGTTTAGGACTATGCCATTAATAAGACCTTTCAAAGGCTCTTATTCAATGATTACTGTTTGCAAGTTATTAAGATAATATATATATCCTTTGTATATTTATAATATATAGGGTAATGATATCTACATTTTAACATAAAGTTTATGTTATCACTGGTTTTTACCAGTTCAGGATAAAAAGTAGTCTATATCATTTTCAATCCCTTATAAACATATAAAAATGAATTTAGTTATTAAGCCGTTGTCTTTTCTTTTGCCCTAATTTCTTAATTTTAAAAAAGAAAAATACATATTAAAAACTTATAAGATATTTATAAAAACAGTCAAGCGTGAGTTGTTTTAGTCAATATAACCTCTTATAAAAATAAAATGTAAATATACCCAAGTAAATCTTAATGCATAATTACCTTTGCATCCAGTGCACGTTTTAATTCCAACATGTAAGCATACTGCTCAGGATAAATGTAATCGTAAGGAAAATAAACCAAAAGACCATCAACGGTTAACCTAAAAATATAAAAAATAGTAAAAAAAAACATTCAAAATTTTGATATAAGCGAAGTAAACTAAGAAAACGCATTTCAACTCACTTCATGTTTAAATTTGTAAATAATTAAAAGATAACAATTTTTATTTTTAAGAAGTCTGTGAAACGGATTTCAACATACAAACACAAACAATAAAATAATGTAACATTATATTGACATTGGCAGTTGCCGGTATAAACAAGTGACAAGAAAAAGCGCGGGAAACGTTTAAAAAAGCGGGAGTGTTTTTTGATCTTCTTTAAATTAATTTTATTTTTATTTATATAAGGATTAGTCTTTTTTATATATTGTGTATTAGATTGTATATTTAATTGTATATTTTGTAGTAATAGTGTTTGTTGCTGTAAATATTGGTAAGTAAATTACCTATATTAACATTATGGATCCACCTATAGACCCTGGGGGACAACCCCCAGGTGTCTGCAAATATAACTATTCCATTCAATAATAGTTTTGATATATTGGGTGAATCTAGTATGGACACAGATGGTTCTAGCGTTGCAAGTTCTAAACGTAAGCGAGTACGTGGTGAACGTCGCATTTGCAAACATTGCAATAAAAAACGAAGGAGGCACACCAAGGGTCTTGAATCTAAAATTAAAGATAGTGATTGTCAATGTATTGAAGATGAGAATCAAACTCAAGTATCAATACCAGTTGTAAACAATACCGAGTCTGTTAAACCTGCTTCTCCACCCAGTACTTTAAGCAGAACTTTGTACAATGCCGAGGATATAGCACCTTATGTCGTTCATGTACAAAAAAATGAAACACATCCTAATGATAACACTACATTACATCCTATTGCATTTGGTCGCTTTTTACACACTAATAAGATAAATAATATAGTGAATGGTAGCCTCAAAAGAATAGGAAGAAACTGTTTATCGCTTTCTTTCTCAAATTTTGAAAATGCAAATGCATTTTTAAATAATAGTAACTTAGTGACACATAATTTTAAGGCATTTATACCTTCTTTCCATGTAACCCGTATGGGAATTGTGAGGGGTATTCCTAAAGATTGGACAGAAGAGGAAGTAATCCAAAATATATCAGTACCGATAGGTTGTGGGAAAATTCTAAAAACCAGAAGAATAAAGAAAAAGACAATTAATGAAGGACAACCAAGTTTTATTAATACTGAAACCATTGTTATTACTTTTGATGGACAAATATTGCCAAAAAGAGTATTTATGTTTTACACATCATTAACTGTAGATTTGTACATTTACCCTACTATCCAATGCTATAACTGCTGTAGGTTCGGACATGTCAAGATGCAGTGTCGTTCAAATCCTCGGTGTTATAAATGCAGGCAAAATCATACAGGTGATAAATGTGAAGTAGATGAGGAAAATGTTTCTTGTATCTTGTGTAATGGTTCTCATTCAGCAATTAGTAAAAAATGTCCTGAATATGCATGTCAGAAAGCCATTAAAGAAACAATGGCCCATAGTTGTGTTTCTTATGCTGAAGCATCAAAATTTCATCCTCCAACTTCTAAACTATATTCAGATGTATTAACATCATCATCTCCTTCCAATAAATCTCATTTTCAATCTTCTTTCCTTAAAGAGAAATCATCATTACCACATATACAATCATCATATAAAAAAACAGTTACACTTAAACCACGCTCTCCTCAAAAAATACAACAAGGATATGATCGTTCTGCCCATGAAGCCATAGTTAAGGAATATAATATTCCTGCTCCCTCTAATGGTTGTGCATTATCATCAAATAATATTGACAATAATCAATCCATCATTGATATTATTCTCATGCTTATTAAAGTGTTATCGCAATCAAAAATGATACAAACAACTTTACCACCGTCCAACGATGCCATGTACAATGTATTTTCTCAATTATTAACTTCTCACAATGGATTACAAAGTCCAAATAATTCAGTGGAACTGTCGTAGCATAACAAATAAGAAATCAGACTTATTTTATTTGATTAATAAATATAATCCTTTTATAATAGCTCTACAAGAGACTTGGTTAAAGCCAGGATATCCTTTTAGGATTTCAGGCTTTACAAGTCTCCGTGATGATAGAGCTGACGGATATGGCGGTGTTGCCATATTGGTCAAAAACTCCCTTCTTTTTTCTTCTTTTTCGCTTCCTGTATATAGCGGCATTAATGCAGCTGCTATAATTATAAATGGTATCTGTTTTGTTACTTTATATATTCCTGATCCTACATGCCAAATATATTCACAACTAGAACAATTATTTTCAATTTTACCTAAACCTTTTCTCGTAATGGGCGATTTTAATGCTCAGCACCAATCGTGGGGCAGTTCTACTTCTAATTTTTATGGTGGAAAACTCCTGACGATAATTGACACTTACAACTTATGTATTATTAACTCAGATGTACCGACACGTAGAACTGCACCGAATGAAGGGTTTAGTGCTCCTGATATTTCAATATGTTCTTCTGATTTAGCTTCTTCACTGTCGTGGTATCCTCATTCCTCTACCTTTGGAAGCGATCACTTTCCCCTCATTCTTTCTTTTCCAATTTCCATTCCCTCAAGTCGAAAGAGTGGTCCTCGACTTAAATATAATTTATCAAATGTAGACTGGAATATTTACAAACAATATTTAGATAATAAAATATCGGAGTTACCTATTGTTTATCATGGAAATGAACATCAATGTTGTAATGACTTGATAATTAATATGAAGGAGGTTGCTGATTTATTATTTCCTGTTAAAAATAGTGCTTCAGGGAAAATTCCCTCCCCACCTTGGTGGGACAAAGATTGTACGGAAGCAATTAAAAATCGTAAAGAAGCTGAAAAAAATTATAATAATTACATGACATCAGAAAATTTTGAAATTTACACCGCAGTTTCACGTTCTACTCGAAAACTACTGAAAAAAAAGAAATTGGAAGGTTGGAGAAGATTTTGTTCTTCTATCTGTCCAGAAGTTAATTCATCAGTCGTTTGGAATAATATTAAAAGATTCAGATCTGCCTTTAGTGATCATACATCACGTTCTGCACTCGATTTAACTTTAGCGAATAAATTTTTAGATCGCCTTGCTCCTAGTTATGTGCCGGAATGCCTTTACAATATTTCTCTATCCGTCTCTGACGAATTATCCGAACTTGAGTCTCCTTTTACTCTTGTAGAACTTAAAGGTGTTCTAGCTTGTATTAAAGACTCTGCACCGGGAGAAGACGGTATACCGTATTCCTTTTTTAAAAATGCTAGCGATGCGACATTAATTTACTTTTTAAATATAATTAATTCCATAATTATTTCGGGAAATATACCTACTTCATGGAAGTCTCAGATTATTATACCATTTCTAAAGCCTCATAAACCACCTTCTGAACCATCTTCATACCGTCCTGTTGCACTTTCCTCTGTCTTACTAAAGCTAGCTGAACATTTAGTGAAGAACCGTCTAGAATGGTTTTTAGAAAGTAATAACTTACTATCCCCGAACCAGTTTGGTTTTAGGAAAGGTAAGAGCACCTTAGATAATGTGAGCATTCTTATTTCAGATATTCATATAGCTTTCTCACAAAATTTGTCAATCCTCTCAGCCTTTTTAGATATAAATTCTGCCTATGATAATGTAATAATTTCTATTTTAAAAACTAAATTACAAGATTTAAATGTACCGGTAATGCTTTCTAATTTCATTATTAATATTTTATCAGAAAGAACAATACATATGGATCTAGATGAAGATACCAAATTATCTAGAACAGTATGGAAAGGCCTTCCACAAGGATCTGTTCTCAGTCCAATTTTATTCAACATATACACATACGATCTAGAATCATTCCTTGATAAATCCGTCAAAATTTTACAATATGCTGATGATCTCTTATTATATTTTATTGCGAAGTCCATAGAATCTGCTTCTGCCAAATTATCTGATTCATTAGATTTGTTAAAAACGTGGTTAGATGCAAATGGTCTTAATCTTTCTGTAACCAAGAGTAGTGTAGTTTTGTTTTCAAGAATGAGATCACCGCAACAAATTAAGGTGCTTTATGATAACTCATACATTCCTATAAAGACTGAAATTAAATTTTTAGGTATCGTGCTAGATAATAAATTAACAGGTCTGTCCCACTGTAATTATATTTCCACGAAATGTGAGCGTAACCTCAACATTCTTAGGTGCCTTGCTGGAGTTTGGTGGGGAGCACATCCCGTTTCACTAAAACTTGCTTATAATGGTCTTATAAGGAGTGTCATTGATTATGGAACTTTTTTGTTAGCTCCAGGAAGTTCATTTGCTTTTAAGAAATTGGATTTAATTCAATCAAAGGCCTTGAGGATTATCTCTGGAGCAATGAAATCAAGTCCAATCAATGCTTTACAGCTCGAAGTCGGTGATCCACCTTTGGTTTTAAGAAGGCAATATTTATCTGATCGCTTCTTTTTTCGTTGTTTACAATTATCTGATCATCCGCTTATTCAAAAGTTATCTCAACTATATATCTTTATTTCGTCTTCATCTTATTGGAAACATAAAAAACCTCCATGTTTAATACAAAGTTATGAAAAATATAAATCCATAGAATCTCCCACTTTTACATCGTCCTGTTTTCCCATTTATAAATGCTCATATCAATCTTTAGTTTTATCTCCTAATATTAAATATGATTTTGGGTTATCAAAAAATGATTCAGAATTGAATGCCAAATTTATGTTTATAACTGACATTGAATGGAATGAATGGCACTACATCTTTACTGATGCATCAAAACCAGACAATAGCGGTTGTGTAGGTGTGGGTGTGTTTCATTCACAATTTAATATCGTTCAAAAAATTAAACTTCCACCGGAATCTTCAGTTTTTACCGGGGAATGCTATGGTATTTTAAAAGCTGTAGAATATATACTTTTAATGAAATTACATAAGGCAATAGTTTTCACTGACTCTATGAGCTCTTTGCAAGCTCTAGCCAAATATCCGTTTAAATCAAAACCAGTTTATCCCATTATTTGTGACATAAGACAAAGTCTTTATCTTTGCATGTTGAGAGGGTATTCGTTTCTTTTGCCTGGTTACCAGGACACAGTGGTATTAGCGGCAATGACAAAGCTGACCTTATTGCAAGAGAGGCTGTAACTTGTGGTGATATGTATCCGTATCATAATTACTGTAGTGACCTAGCTTGTCTCCCAAAAATATATTTAAGGTATGCCTGGAAGGAATATTGGGAAAAAACAAGTACAATAAAAGGAAGATTTTATCGCCTTATACAACCCGATATTCCTTTCAAACCATGGTTTTGTAAATTAAAGCTTGGAAAGACCGCAACAACTATTATAACTCGTATGCGTCTAGGTCACGTATGCACACCTTCTCATTTATACAAGCTTGGTATTGTACAAAGTTCGTCGTGTAATTGCGGTGCTGAAGTGGCGGACTTGAATCATATATTCTTCTCATGTTCTAAATTTGACCACACCTCCCTTTTTAATCATCTCCGATCCATCCGTGTTCCATTCCCAACTTCTATTCTTACTCTACTTTCTTCCAATGATCCTATTATCTATAAAATACTATCTTCATATATATATGATAACAATATTAAGATTTAGTTATATTACATGAATACATTTATAGTTGCATCAATTGCTTTTCCTATATATTTATAAGTATATTCTCATATGTACAAGTATATCCTTCATATCCTATAAATATCCTAGACCTAATCCTTATCCTTTCTAAATTCGTTTGTGTTAGGTATTTTTATTACTATTATCGTTTCCCCGTTTTGTTCTTGGCAAAATACCCTAATATCGGGGTGAACGCCACAAAAGAAGAAGAAACAAGTGACAATGACATTGACGCTTGCTTTTGTTTTTTTCTTTTGGCTTTGGCTGGTTGTGCTTTTTTAATGAAAGACAATTAAATGGTAACCCCGCCTGAACTAACGGTATACGTTGGCAGGGCACCAGTGACGAATATCATTCCATCGTGATGATATATATGGTTTTCAGGGGGGACCACATGGAGGCCGACCTAACAATGGGACTGGTAGTCCACATTATTTACACTCTCTTCGAGTCCCTTCTCCCAAGCTCAGGTTTTATCTTTTATAAGTACAATTTTGCCACCCGGAGTCCCCGGGGAAGATTTTTTACCATAATGGTGCCAAACAAGTATACAGTCCGTCTGATGGTAAACGATCACTGTAACCTATGGACGTCTGCAATATTATGGGTGTCACGTGTGCGTTGCCGACCCTAAAGAAATCTTAATTTACCTTTTCTAAAGAACCTCATATTGATTGTCAGTAAATGACGATAAAAGTGGCGCAACGGAAAATTAATTTATGCACTTTCACGCTATATAAAATCGTGAAACGGCGGCCCTTGGAATAGAAAATGTAAACAGCCTTTTAGATATAAACATATTTAAGGGATTCAAAAGAACTTAATAAGCCGTCTACCTATGATGGTAAGTATAATTTTTTTAAACTGCATATTAATACATACATACTCGTATTGCCCGCTTGATGGTAAGTAATGTAAATTTGGTATGTATGATGCTGATTCCAAACAGACAAACATGGCTGTGTTTTGGTTTGAAGGATGGAATATGGCGTGAATTTACAGGGTACAGAGGAATAACACCTGAGTCCTCAGGAATGGCAATGCATGGGGGGTATTATGGGCGAAACAGTAGGTATACTCTGTTATGTCCATGGTACTGCTCATGTCTACAGGCGACGGTTACCATTTTCCATCAGGTGAGCCGTCAGCTTGTTTGCCATTCTAAGTTGTATAAAAAAAAAAACTTTTACGTCGAAAAGCTGTTTAGTAAGGAATAATCATTTACCATATTTAAGTGTTTATTAGGTACACTTATATTATCTGTTTGGTTAAATACAATATAGAAAATATTATTCACCTTTGACTCTTGATAAGAAATTAAAGTATCCACAACATTAAACTTTAGATATCAACTGCATTAACTTATTGTAACTTATATTCTCAACTTGATATTGATTTCGGTCTATAATTTAGTAAATTCGTATTTTTACAACGAACGTAATATAATGGTTAAAATAGCAGTTATTGGTGGCGGTATTAACGGTTTTAGTAGTGCGGTTAAAATTAAGGAAAAATTTAAGGATGCTCAAGTAAGTTTTCTTTATAATTATTACAAAAATTAAGTACTTTTTCAGAACAATTTTAACATTTATCCTTTTACAAGCATGCACACTTGGTACAAATCATTGTAGATATTTGAAATACTACGATGATAAATTTGTTTTACCTCAGATTGATCTGATAGGATTCGATTCTTGCTACCTCTAATCTCAATGATTCTTGAATGTAGAATTACAAATTAAAAAATAATAAAAAAAAAAACATTCAAACTGTATATCTGTTTACATAGGTAGTATTATTTTCGGACGAGTTCTCCCCAAACACGACAGGCGATGGATCTGGAGGGTTGTGGTATCCGTATCTTTGTAGCAACACACCGGAACACTTACTCATGTAAGTTATGTTAATAACGCGTGACATGAAAATAAATATAAATAAATAATAAATCGACTGATCATTAATTTTTTTTTGTGATTAAAATATTATTGCATGTTTAAAAAAGAATTAGTTTTGAGAACTAATATACGAACAAAAATTAAAATGATTATTAATATATATTAATTGCTGTTCTTAAAAAAATGAATCATAAGTAAAAGTGAAATTTATATTTTAAAATGGTTATGATACCTACTACTTTTTTTTTTGTTTTCCTGATAAGTAACAATCTTAGTAGCTATGTATGTAAAGCGGTAACAAATAATATAATATTAATTAATAAATAAAAAATAAATAAATAAACGCCTAATATTTGGTAATAGCAAAAATTTCGACTTTTACAAAACAAATTGCATCTGTATTCCTATCATGTTTATTGACCAGTAATAAACCTAAATATCACGTAGATATCATATCTTTATAATTATTATTCTTTGTTGGGTCACTGACCCAGCAATTGTAATTTCTGTTTTTCTATTTTAATGGATGATTATGGAATAGTAACTTTGGCGGAGGTTTTTTTTTAATGGATGACAATGGAATAGTAACCCCGCCAGCGCTAACGGTATACACTGGCTGGGCTGGTGCCCAGCCACTCTCACTGTTATGAGAGATGATAAATGAGAATAAAAAGGCAGGCCAGTTAGCCCATCGTGATGAATTCACCTGGAATTTAGCATGATGCTTTCCAGGGAGGACCACGTGGAGGTCGATCTGGTTAGGCATATTGCTAACAATGGGACTAGTAGTTCGCATTATTAACAATCCCCTGCCCCACTTTGGCGAGGTTACCTCACCTGTGCTACCAGTGTACGATGGCGGAGCATTTGCTAAGAATGATAGGTGAGAATGGAAGCCGATCTATTAGCCTGTCATACGAATTCAACTAGAATTAACCATGATAGTTTCCGTGGAGACTCGCGTTAACCTGACAGGTTTTTAGCAATTAAGACACTAATCTTTATTACTAACAATACCTGTCGCCGGAGTTCCCAGGTTCGATCTCCACCTGAATCAAAGACAAATAACAGACATTAAGAATCGATTTCATTCGATTATAATGCGTATGTATTTTGGTTTGACACATCAGTTTAACCTCATTTGCAGAAAATGGGGGATAGAAACGTATCAATTCGTACATGGATTGTGGCGTAAAGGTGGGCATGACATCAACTTAATGCCAATGTATTCACTATATAAAAATAAGGAGAGATTCATTCGGCCCAAGTGGGCTAGTATGGTATTCGGTTACCACGAACTCGAAGAGAAGCAGTTGAGGTATCTTGGCGAATTGTATTCCTCTGCGTACAGGTATTGGCAACATACTTCATTATTAGTTATTTAAACAGAATTACTTTGTTTAATTCCGCTACCATTAGTTCTTCCTGATGCCATTAAAAGACTACCGACTATACGTCTTTCAAAAAAAGCGTTCACGCTCACTTTCTATCTTTATCCGAGCAGTAAGTGCTTTATATTATTCCCAATTTCGTGTATAATATAGTATATATCATATATGTGTAAGTATATTTGTTATTCATATATATTTATTCGTTTATATATGCAATTCTAGTATGTATGTATATTAATAATTAGTAGTACCGCATTCGAGTATTCTGACACTTCCCTATGGTTGACTGGGAGAGAATGCTTTTAGCATTAAGTCCGCCATGTACACATATTTGTACTCATGAATAAATAAATAAATAAATTAGTATGTGTGTGACTGCCAACACTCGAAGATTGATCGCCACTATTACTACCAGAAATTCCAAAAGTTTAGTTTAAGACTAATGTGGAAGGTTATGGAACTTCTGGTAGTAATAGTGGCGGTCGATTTTTAAGTGTTGGCAGTCACACACATATTAATAATAGCTGAATTGAACAAAGTAATTCTATATTAAATAAACATTGATATGGAATTCCGCAAGATAGGAGTAACACCTAGTTCAGTAAAATATTTCATTGCTGTTGTAAGTTGTAAGTTTTTTCTTACTATTTCGTCTGCGTTGTTTTTTAATAGATAATAATGGAATAGTAACTCCGCCCGAGCCAACGGTATATGCTGGCACAGGTGCCCGTGAGGGATGATAGGTGAGAATGAAAAAGTAGATCAGTTAGCTCATCGTGATGTATACACTCGAAATTCAGCACGATGGTTTCCAAGTGGGACGTCGTGGACTTGACCGAGTATAATGTTAGCAATGAGACTGGTAGTCCGTATTGCTAACAATTCCTTCCCCCCAGTATAATATCAGCCTATGTCCTTCTCCATTCCAAATAATATGTGTAGAACAAATTTTATTCAAATCCGTCCAGAAGTTGTTGTGTAAAATGATAACGATCATTAATTTGTATATCCTCACAAACCTCATGGTTATGTAGAATCCCGGCATGATATAAAAGGTGCGTGTTCAAATCCCGCTAGCTTCTAAATTGTTTTATCACATAATTATTGATTGAATAATAATTTGCATATTTTTTATAGCTTTTTATAGACTCCTTAAAATAAAAAACTGTGAATAATCACTGTTTCAGTGCCGGGGAAACTTTCTCTACATTTGTACTGCTGCCACCTTCAATGATTAAATATATGGAAACTCGTTTCAAGAACGCCAACGGCAATGTAATCAATGCTCGGGTGGGCTCGCTTCACGACGTCATACTTCGCGACTATGACGTTATAATTAATTGCACCGGTTTGGGATCAAGAGACATGGTGCCTGATGACGCAGTTTTTCCGATAAGAGGACAAATTGCCAAGGTGGATAGACTATCGGTCTTCGACCTTTCTTTGAGTCACAGAACCTTGTAACTTTATGTTTGCCTGCAACCTTAAAAGCCATTTATTTATACACTATATATACATTAGTTGATATAGTCAGCAATTCAAAGCTTTTATCGAGAGATTTTTTAATAGGTGAAAACATGGCCGTAGCTAGTGGCAGGGGGGCATTGAGGGGAAATATCCTACCTTAAAATGCTCCTATCCTACCAAAAAGTTCTTTTACCCTACCTTAAACTTGCGTCTAGCTACGACCCTGGGTGAGAATGATATAGTACCTACATTATCGATATACACTGGCAGGGCACCAGTGAAGGATGATAGGTGAGATTGAAGCAGGTCGTTTAATACATTATGACAAATTCTCTAATAATTAGCTTTAATGGTGGAAACTATGTGTGGAAGGGAGAACTGCTTGGAGCTCGACCTGATTGGGTATTTGCCTCTGACTACCCCGTCAGTGATTACGGTCGTGAGCGTTGGTGAGAGAGAGTGTTGGTCAAACTCTTTATGAGTTTTCACGACTTCTGAGGGTCAATTTGTATGACTATAGCCGTATAGACAGCTTTTAAGTACTTACCAGCTCTGTTTGTTGGTTCTAGGTCGTGGCGCCGTGGGTTAACCAAACAATAATGGACGACGACCGTGAAAATTACATCATACCCAAGTAAGAATATAATAAAGATCCGTTTATCCAAAATCCGCTTTATCCGAACAAATTTTTCCGAATTTTTTTCTTACACTCCTCTTCATATTTATTATTATATTAGCCCTCATTGTTCACTGTCGAACATAGGCCTCCACTATAAAAAGAGTTTTACCAGTAGTTGCCACGCTTGGCAGGCAGGTTGGCAACCGCAATTAGGCATTGGTGCTGTTTCAAGAAAGACGTTACTATCCACCTCTCTACTATTAAATACCTGTAGTCACCTCTTACGACATCAACGGGAAATGAAGGAATGGCCCATTCTATGCCGGGACTATACAGTAATAATATACTGTATATTAGTGTGGTTTCATCTTTATTAGTATTTAAAAGAGTAGATAATAAAATTTAAACTTCTGTTTTTCTCCGCTGCCAAATATGACGAATATTTTTTGTAAGAAAGCAAAATAAACAAGTTGTTCCTATTGAAAATTTATTAAAAATAAAATGTTGTTAAAATCTTACTAAAAGTCATAAAAGGTGCAATAATAATAATAATAATTTTTATTTCGGACTTTTTTGGTGCATTAAATATTTATTAGTAACAATATTCTTAAAAACTAATGTTAGTAAATTTACATACACAATACACATACACACATACAATATATTAAGCAGTATACAGATAATCACCGCTGCACAATTCCATTGGAAATTGCGCAGCAGTGATTAACGTACACACAGCCTGCTTGCTATCATACTCAGGATGCTGTTGGCGCTGGCATGTACTCTGCGCACCAGGGATGCACATCTTTTTATGTTATTAAGTCTGCTTGGGTCTAATCTACACCTGACAGAGTTGAAATTTTGCGTATATTTATAGTTTTGATAATAAATATGATACAATATGTAATGTGATAGGTAGTCATGTTTGAAATGTACCCTGCGTCCTGACTGTAGCAACGCTGTTATATTTCAGTGTAAACATGTGTGTATTAGGAGGGACACATCAGGAGCACGATTACAACAGGCAAGTCGATGAAAAAGACAAGGAAATGATTCTGAATGGTTGTCAAGCGATACTACCCTCGTTGAAGGTATACCTGACAATATATTTAACATCTTTCCGAAGCCTGCATTCATAAAAAAAAAATAACAACTTAAAAGTGCTTGTAAACAAGTTCATTTAAATTTATACCACTGCTTAATCTTCCAATATGTGCGATTCTCCGTCGCACTGGGGGCTACACATTTTTTGTCCTTTTCGTTGGAGAATTTGTTTATTTAAATATTACATTTATCCTCATAAGTCACTACGATGAGGTGTACCAATTGGTGACTGCATTTTTTGGAATTCTGAGTGGATTTTTAAAGGGGTTTAGGGTACGGGATAAGATGTCACTATGTGCGAGGGCGTAGGATACGATAGTGACAGCTTTGGTCTCCGAGGGAAATATCCACTAATAAGAATAAGAATATAAGAATACACTTTGTTTTTAATATATCTACGAATAATTATACAAAATGTGGCGCGGGGGGGGGGGGGGGGGTAAGGTATTATGAATATCCCCTTGTAAAAAACTCTGCGTAAAAGCATGCAGCTTTACCATATTTTATTAAATCAAATGCATACACGATTAATCTACAGAAAGTGTTATGCGACCCGTGCGTTCGAATGATAATAACTTCTTTTGTACATTTGTTTACAGAATGCTCAGTTGGTGAATCACTGGGTGGGATTGAGACCCGGCAGGAGCGAAATAAGACTCGAACCAGAGGTGATAGACGGTAAACTGTACATACACAATTACGGGCACGGTGAGTCCAATTTCAACATTATACGATTCTTGATAATATCTCACTATTAGAGGGATTAAAGAATTATTACTAATAATTTCATTGCTAGCAATATCTCGGATTAGGTCGACCTCCACGTGGTTCCGCCCGGAAACCATCGTGGCTAATTCTAGTTAAATTCGTCAGGATGGGCTAACTGACCTGCTTTCATCCTCATCAGTCATCTATCACTGGTGCCCCGCCAGTGTATACCGATAGCGCAAGCGGAGTTATCATACCATTATCACCTATTAAAAAAAAACCTTCCTTTTCATTAATCATCTCTCACTGGTACCCCGCTAGTACTCCAGTGTATACTACCGGCAGTGGTTTGCCATTCCATATATCTCACTATCGTATGGTCTTATTTATTATTGCATTGCCTTTGTCCCCATTTGGGGTCTTTTTGTGAAGTGGTGGATCTCATCTACTGGTGACGAGATCTTACGGTGTAGTAGTTAATGCAAAGAACCTATGTATCATTGGAATACGTTTAAAAGTGTAGACCTTAGTACGTTATACCACAGATAATGTAATTACCAAGTCTATGGGATAGATCTTAGATTATGGATATAGTACGTTATACCAAAAATTTCTTGTTCTTAGTGTTATATTAAGTCTATGTGACAGACGATATAAATGGATGGATAAGACGGTGATTCCAATCCAAATAATTAGTTATTTTTTGTTCTTAGCTCCAATCAATCACCCACTTGACAGCCCGCCATTCAATGGGGTTGATTCTCGACATTTCTTTAAGCCTACCCCTAAAATTAAAATTTCAATTTGAAATCACATTGAAGCCTATTATCGAATTCTATATAAGTTCTAACATACACTTAATTTCTTAAAATTATCAGTCAAAATTATTATAAATTAAGGTTAAGATATATATATATATATATATATATATATATATATATATATATATATATATATATATATATATATATATATATATTTATGCATTTTAGAATCGATCTTATTATTTGGGATCGAGAAGAGATTTGTTTATTAATAATTTAAAAATAAAAATAATACTGCTTGTTTCAGGTGGTAGCGGCTTTACCTTATTCTGGGGCTGTGCGACCAATGTTGTGGACTTACTTGAAAAATATTTAAATAAAAGTCAATCAAAACTTTAACAAATATATTTGTGTAATAATATTAAAAAAATAGAATTGCAAGTTTTAAATCTTACAAATACCTTAATGTGTCGTTTTTATGTTAAGTAATATTTAAACAATAAATTGATCCCTTGTAAAAGAGTCATGAAGAAAAGGGTGCATTTGTAATATTTTTAATATGTTTCTTAATGTCTTTCTATACATTTATTTAAAATAAAATCATATTATTTACAGTTTAGATTTTTTGACTCAACTATCGATTTAATATGGGAACTCTATTCTTTTTTAACCAACTGTCAAAAAAACGGCGATAATGTCTTTTAGAATATAATATATACGAAAGTTTTTGATGAAGTAAATTAAGGGATTACATTATATATGTATGTCTCCTCATTTTATACCAAACATTTTCATCATTAAAGAGAATTGTGTAAATTATACAGTTTACACGATAGTAGCATTAAATAAATATGGCGTCGAAAATTTTTTTTTAAATAATCACACTTTGGATCTCAGTCTGATTTTTTTTTGTGATTTTCATTAACTGTTATTTCAATTCAATTGACAATCTTATTAAATTCATTGTTCATTCGTCTTTACTTAATTAATTCAATTATTTATCTTATAAAATATTATTGCACATCATCATTCATGTTTGCAGTTTCTAATTAGCATTAAAATGTTTGTTGAAAAATAAATCTATATAAATTTTTCCCCTCTGCTATTGAACAGTGCTTGTTGCACTTATCACAGATTATACAAATGTATAATTTAATCTGTTTGGCATTTATTTGTTTTATGTACAATTTCGTAGATATCATTCCTCTTCTGTCTCCTTACAGGTATTTGGCTTCGTACTTCTTCTACTGTATTCAGATCTGAAAAAAGAAAATATAAAATAAATAATTAAAAAATTGTTGAAAAGTAAATTGGAGGTTTGAGTATAGTTAGGATAAAATTATATATGCATAGATACAATGCAATACTACGACTTTTAAGACAGTTTTTATTTTTAATATCCACTTTTTGCATTGTGAACGATTCTATTACTGGTTGATTCTAGTACTGGCCTGCTCTTCTGTAGGCAAAGTGTCTACAGGCGTGTCATGCAGTGTAATTGTATGTATTCTAATTGGATGGATAAAAAGCATGCCACCGACTCGCTGAGGGGAGACAGTTGCTAATGGTGCCTCCTTTGGCAATATCATTTAAAAAAGAGTACACAATTTTTTTTTTATTTATTAAGTTCTGTATTAGTTCCTTACAAACTCCTCTAATATTCACGCAGGGTTTTTGTGGAATAAAATGATAAATGATAAAACATGATTGTATGAAAAAATATTTCACGAACCCCCTTTTGCTTTTTTTCCATGTATTTTTTCATTTCAAAGATGTTGTAGGGACTGAATGCTTCAATCCATATAAGTTTTTTATTCATTTGCATAATTAGATTTTGAATAAATACAGAATTAAGTATAATAGTATCTATCTTTATAATTTTGTTTTTTTTTTTACTGAAGTAGTTTTCGCAGCCCTTCTATAGAGACTTCACGGCCCCCCAGAGGAGACTTTGTATAAAAGTCGATTGCTTGGGTACCTCTGTCCCATTCGTGTTTCTACCGTGAAGCAGTTGTGTTTGCGTGACTGTGTTTCGGTTTGAAGGGTGGGATATGGCGTGAATTTTGAATGGCAACGCATGGGGAGTATCATGGGCGAAACAGTATACTCTGTTATGTCCATGGTACTGCTCATGTTTATAGGCGACGGTTACCCCTTTCCATCAGGTGGGCCGTCAGCATGTTTGCCATTCTAAGTTGTATAAAAAAAAAGACTCACATGCTGAAAAACACTGTGATAGATAATCTATGAATAATACAAGCAGAGTGGCATAATAACCTATGTCGGCGAGCAGCGTGTCGGGTTCGTGGCCGAGCGTGGCGGCAGGCTGCCCCCAGGGGTCGACGAGCAGCGAGTGTCCCCAGGCCACGTAGTCGGCCGCGGCGGCCCGCGCCGGGCTCACCAGCGCCACCCACAGCTGCAGGTCGGAGGCCCGCGCGCGCGCCAGCACCTCCCAGTGCCGCGGGCCCGTCGTCATGTTGAACGCGCCCGGGTACACCAGCAGCGAACACCCTGCACGACACATCCGTATGGATACTCCTATCCGTGTGCTTGTAAGGCAGCCACCAGGAAGGGTGGACAATGACAGGGTACAAAAGTGAAATTATAGGGTACTGAGACATAACGCCATCATCATTATATCTTTAACCGTCCACTGCTCAACATAAGCCTCCCCCTTGGGGGGTTTTGCCAGTAGTTGTCACGCTTGGCAGGCGGATTGGCAACCACAGTTAGACTTTAGAGATATTTTAGGAGGGACGCTGCTGCCTATCCCTCGCCCTTCCTTTGTTGCCTCTCACGACACCTACAGGAAAGGAAAGGGGTGGCCTATTCTATGCCAGGACTACACGGCTATAACACCATAGTTCTGAATAATATCTGACTGAAGAGACCCATATGGTAGTCTATGGAAAACGAGTAATTAGAAAGTTCGTTCTACAATATGCATGCGCGAGGATAAATCGAGCTCAATGCACGCATAGAGATTATGTGCTATGCACTTACAAATGTGAAAGAAGTCTGGTTCTTTAACTTAATATGGTAAGGAACGTCATTATTATGGACATTTATCACGTCCCGGCAAATATATACCAATTTAGTTTTTTTTTTTTTTTTATAATTTAGAAAGCTTATACCTGTGTCAGCCTCTTATAAATCTTAACAAAATTAAAGACTGCTTACTTAAAAAAAATACTACATTTTCCATTCCTATTTTTACCCATTCTTTTCAGATAAAAATGCATTCCGAATTTGACAGTAGAATCATAAGAAAGGACTATTGAAAAATACTTAAAATTAAGTTTACTTCAACAAAAATTTATTTACGTATGTTTCCAACTACAAAAATACCTACCTTGATCGGCCATAATTTGCGCCATCTCCGGGAACCGCAGATCGTAACAAATGCCAAGTCCGATCTTTATGCCGCCGTACTCGAAGGTGGTGATCTGGTCACCCGGGGACAACACGTCCGACTCTCTGAACGTTATCTTGTCAGGGATGTCTATGTCGAATAAATGGACCTGAGACAAATAATAATAAATGCATCTTTTATGCAATATAGAATGGCATACAAAGTATATATGTGTGTATATATATATATATATATATATATATATATAATCATATCAGCCTTTAGGTGAGGTTGCCACGCTTGGCAGGTGGGTTGGCAACCGGAGTTAGGCTTTTAGAGATGTTATAAGAGGGGCGCTGCTGCCTATCCCTCGCTCGTCTCGAGAAATAATTACATGGAACAAATAAATGAAACACTAGGTATCTTGTTATATAGTGAGGTCAAAAATAAGGGCTGGAATAGAGCCGACTGGAAGAGAATGTATGAATTAGTTGCCTCGACAAGAGAAAACTCTTAAATAATAAGAGAGAATAGTATGGGATGGAGAAGGAAATAGGCTACTTTTTATCCCAGCCTATGAATATATCTCTATTATGTGGAGGAAGTCGCGGGTGAAAGCTTGTAAGAAATAAAACATTAGCAGACCTTCCTGTGCTTGGCGAGCAGCTCGCCGGCGGGCCCCCACACGGTGCAGGTGTTGTAGAGGCGCGGCCCGCAGCGCTCGGGCAGCGACCCGCCCACCACGCACACGCGGGCCGCCGCCGCCGCCGCCGACAGCGCCGCGCTCGTGCCGCCGCCCGGCACCTCCTCCGCGTACTCCGAGAAGTACTCTGCGCCCACACACACCATCCATTGATACTTTTCGTGTAGAGCTAACGCTACATTCAATGGATTATCGGAATACTTACCGACACGTACAGTCAAGTGTGAGCGGGAGCAGTAAATTGTATATAATTTAATGCATTGGCGTTTCATCACGGATCACTGACAACCAGGGCCGTAGTTAGATCCTAGTTTAAGGTAGGGCAAAAGGACTTTTTAATAGGACAGAAGCCAAAATTGACTTTAAAAAACTAGATCTGTCTAATTTTCTTGAGGTCTTTCATTTTATGGTAGGGTACTGGGCTATTTAAGGTAAGGCATTGCCGCTTAATGCCCCCCCCCCCCCATTTCATTACGACAACCAAAAATTAGATTACTGTGGCACCAAACTATCAGCGTAGACTCGTAAATTGATGGAAAAGCAGTTATCGGTCGGCACTGTAGTGATGTAGAAGCAGTAAATAAATGGAGAAAAACAAGCATTACAAAAGACACCAAGCGATGATGCAACTCCAAGCCCATTTGGTTACGCCAACTGTAGCATATGCTGAAGTCAACTAATAAATAAACACGAATTAATATCCTAATCGTCATTCCATCGGTCAGCGCTTACTCTAAGATGTTCGAAGCCGAAAACTAGCATTTCCCTAGTAAATAAAGTTCGTGGCATACATCTTGGCCAGAAATACAACCATGATGAGTGAACCATTTAGTGAGCTACTGGCTTTCCCACTATGGTGACCGATTTTCAGCCATAAAGATAGTTTACAGTAAAATCTCATTTAAGCTTAAAAAATCCTTAAAATTTAGCACTCCTATAATAATTAATTTGACCACTTAACTTTTTAGTAATGACATATCCCCAGACTCAAGTCGGCACTTATGTATTGTACTTAGCTTTTATTTTAATATTTCTGATGAGGACAAACAGTTTTTAAAAGTATTGTAAATTTTTGTTCAATTTTCTATCTCTATTTTATTGTTGTGTTGATATAGAAGCAGTAAATGAATAAAAAAAACAAACAACTGAGGTTCTCTGTTAGATAAATCAAGTTAAAAAGTAAAAAAAAAACACCCAACAGGATAATTATAAAAATTAATAGTTACTACGAAAATGCCAATTGAAATATCTTTATCTGCTTTCATACGTACTGGTTCCATAAGGTGCATTGAAGCACTCGGGCAGAGCAACTAGCTGGGCGCCCATCTCCTTGGCCTTGTGGATCTCTCTAACTGCAGCCTCCACATTTTTAGCCTTGTCTGGACCCACTGATAACTGAACCAGCGCTATTTTCAGACCTAAAATGTAATAGGAAATTAAATACAAGTACTGTCTAAACAATTTTAAATAGCTACTTTTTTAGTTAGGTTTTTTAGTCTGCGACTTTTAGAAAAATTATTAGAAATAAAATTTACATTTAAAAGCAAAGCTAAGACATGTTTGCCACATTACTTTTGGTGTTTTTTTTTTTTTTTATCAATAAGAAGGACATTCTCAATTCTTTTTTTCTTTTGTTTGATAATTAAGCAGTTATTTTAATTTAAACACAACTGGCAAATTATTAATCATAAATTATCATAGAAATAATAAAACAATATGAAAATCATGTTCCAATAAAACTATTGAACAATTGAAAGTCAAAAACAGTGGGATTAAAACTTTGATAATGGTGTGGGGTTATAAACCTGTACTACCTATATTCATGTTAAAATTTGCTGACTTTAATATAACTGAGAAGATTGTACTCTCATGTTAGTCCCACAATCATTCTGAGTATATAGATAAGTAATGAAATATATAAAAATACCTAATACAATTACAAAGACATGTTATCTCCAATTTATTATCACATTTAACATGAGGCTGCAGGAAATAATATATTTACATAGTTATTATAACCATTATCTGTCTGACTGACTGTAATGATAGAATAGAATAGAATAGAAATCATTTATTCAAATAAACTTACATTGAAGCACTTTTGAAAAGTCATTACATTTTTTTTAATTTACCGCTCGTTCGGAAAGCTGTCTCATCACAAGAAGAACGAGCAAGAAACTTGCGTGATGCTCTTTTAAATAATTTTATTATTATTTTACATTTTTAAGTTTAATTGTGTGAATACAAACCACCAATTAGCACTAATTCAATTAAATACTCAAAAAGAAAAAAAAAATGAATACATAACCAACTGGTTAAACAATTAATAAGAGGAAATCAGTCATAGTGATTAGAGCAGACCAGTCCCTACAAGCAGCACCCGTTCACGAGTATGACGGATGAGCCAGCCATCACTGCGCTCGACCATATTTTAGGGAGCCCAATGACCCGGCCCACCACGCCGCCACAAGTCTGGACATTTCAGTGAGCATGACTACTCAAAACACTAGACCACGTCAAAGCTACTCACAATTGCCATCTGATAGTTATAGTATTCACATTTTACATAAGAATGCATGCGGCAATTAATACAAAAAACCGCTACGCTTTCATATTTCTAAAATTAATCAATTAAATCAAGAAAGCAATGAGAAAATAAAATTATAACGTTGTATGCTAATAAACTAATTATTTACTTGATATGTTGTCATCTATGAATTCGTCTATCCTGTAATAGGCTTTCTTACATAAAAATTGTTTAATATAAGATTTGAATTGCCTCTCTGTCAGATTTAATGCAGATTCCGGCAGTTTATTATAAAATCTTATGCAATTACCATAGAATGAATTACTGATTTTGTGCAGACGGCATTTAGGTAAAATAAGCTTATTTATATTGCGTAAGTTTCTACTTGTACAGTCTTTGAGTTTTTTAAAACTCGCTAAGTTCTTCCGTGTATACATAATATTTTCATAAATGTATTGTGAAGTAACTGTGAGGATATTTGAGTCTTTAAAGCACTGACGTAATGACTCTCTCGAACCCATACCATAAATAGAACGTATGGCTCTCTTTTGTAAAACAAATATAGTATTTATATCGGCTGCTTTACCCCACAGCAGTATGCCATAAGACATTATGCTATGGAAATAACTAAAATATACAAGTTTAGCCGTCGCCACGTCTGTTAATTGCCTAATTCTTCTAATTGCATATGCAGCAGAACTGAGTCTACTGGCCAATTTTGAAATATGGGGCCCCCATTGTAATTTCGAGTCCACTGTTATACCTAAAAAAACTGTATCATTAACAAAATTTACTATTTCGTCATTAAGCAATAACTGTGTATTTATTAGTCTTACATTAGGAAGTGTAAATTTTATACACTTTGTTTTGCTGGAATTTAATAATAGGTTATTACATGTAAACCAATTTAATATTGCAGACATAGCACAATTTACATCGTCTAATTGATTACTTTGACGTCCAATTTTAAACACTAACGAAGTATCATCCGCAAACAGCACTATATCTGCAATTTTCTCTACCATAAAGGGAAGGTCATTTATGTAGATTAAAAAGAGAAAGGGGCCTAAGATTGACCCTTGTGGAACGCCCATCTTAATATTAGCTCCCTTAGATTTTACACCGTCAATATCTACAGTTTGAACCCTATCCTCTAAATAAGTTCTCATTAATTTTAGATCATTATCTCTTATACCATAATGTTCGAGCTTGTACAAAAGCGTTTTATGATCCACACAATCAAATGCCTTTGATAGGTCACAAAAAACTCCGAGTGCATCCTGTGACCTCTCCCAAGATTCGAAAATATGTGTCATTAGCGCAACACCTGCGTCAGTGGTAGACTTGCCGGCGGTGAAACCATATTGCTGACTGTGAAGCAGTCAGTTAACCCTGATGATGATAATAATAATTAACCACTATCAATATACTACCAGAGGGAAATTGTACAAAAGATGTTTACCTGGGCACCTCTGTCCCATTTGTGTTTCTACTATGAAGCAGTTATGTTGGCATGGCTGTGTTTTGATTTGAAGGGCATATAGCGTGAATTTACAGGGTACAGAGGAATAACACTTGAGTCCTTAGGAATAGCAATGCATGGGGAGTATCATGGGAGAAACAGTATACTCTGTTATGTCCATGGTACTGCTCATGTCTATAGGCAAGAGTTACTGCTTTCCATCAGGTGGGCTATCAGCTTGTTTGCTATTTTAAGTTGCATAAAAAAATAAAAAAAAAGAATATACTAGGATTCTCAAGAGAAAAGTCGTAATATACCATAATTCCAAATTTCAGAGAATATCTCATTTATTGAAAAATTTATTGTTGAGATCCAAATTGGAGGATATTTAATAACTAATAGAATAGGTAATAAACATTGTTCCTTTGATACAATTCCATTGTATCAATATTAATAAATTGATATGATAAAAATAATAAAACTGATTTATTGGTTTCAATCTGTTATGATCTTATCTATTGGATATTGATGAAATAAATTTATTAACTTTTTCAATTTTGACAAAATTAACTCAAATATAATGCAACTAATATGCCTTTTTAATTGAGAATATTTTAGTTGCTTTAAAATTAAATATATATAATTTAAATTTATTTTACAAAAAAACTTCAATTATGGCCAAATTAATATATGGCAACATGGAGAGTAAAATAAGGTAATTATTTCAGAATTGACAAAGATATCATGGAACATACCTTTTTAATTCCTAAAATAAACAAAATTATGGGTAGACATATTTATAAGTACACTTTTTGCACAATTTCAATAAAAAATTATTTACTTAAATTCTGCCAAAAGTTAATTTTAATAATATAAGAATTATTCAACAGAAATATAACAATGTAAAGATTAAGCAATACATCTAATAGATATAAGAATTTAGACATATAGTCTATACCTACACCCATTGGAATAGTGTGAAATTTTAGTACAACCAGTAAAATATTTAGGTATTCATTAATAAATAGCAAGAAATGTAATAATAATGGGGGTTTTTGATAATTATATTTTTCCGCCTACTCTAAGCAATTAAGTTTTCTGCAGAGATAAATACTAGAAAAAAGAATAATTACTATAGGAACAACCATTCTAAAATAAACAAAGGAAAAACATGTTTTTTTTTTTTTATAATTTATAGGCAAAGCAGGCTATTTAATGTTTCCTTAGATACAATACCGCCAACTAAAAACACGGGTTTCTTTAGAAATCGTGGATGGACCGCGTCCGGCGAACTTGTATTCATTGTAGCACAGATATAATAAATGCGAACTATTTCGCTATCTATTAGCAATTCTATCGAAGTTGTCTAATTTATGTATCATTTACCTCTTTTAATCATTCTGATTTGAATTAATTACTATTATCAACAAAAATAATAATCACAGTATCAGCTGTTGAATCTACACAACCATATTCACTTCACAGCTGTCACAATCAAACCACTTATCAAATATCTGTCAATTGCTATGTTATTGTCAGTAATAGGAATGATTGACGGTATGGACATAGATAAAGATTATTCTCTAAAATTTTCAAGATTTCAAATATAAATACTATTAATAATAGTTCACCTAAGCTCGGTACCTATTCCTTTTAAGAACTTTGCATTGATATTACATTTATGAAATAAATAGAACATAAGCAAATTATTTATTAAGCCATGTAGATCCCAGCACCCAATAAAGTACTCTCTTTCACATAGAAGTCATAAAGAGCGAAACTGCAATTGTGAACTCGCTTGCCAAATGTGGCAAATCACCCCCCTCCTCCTCCTTATGGGGAGGCTATATTTAACAGTGGATAGTTAAAGGTTGATACAAGAACAACTAAATCACTCATACTCAACTTCCAATGCTCCAATCAAGTCATTTCATATATTATTTCGTTTTCTATTATTGATTTACGATTAAAGAACTCATCTCCCTATTCACACAATTGTTACAAAGACTCTAACTCCTCTCCTTCGGGGGAAAGCGATTGTTAGCATTGGAGTTTGACAGCCCCATTGCTAACAATATGCCTTATCAGGTCGACCTCCACGTGGTCCCCCCTGGAAATGATCGTGAACAATTCTTGTGGAATTCGTCACGATGGGCTAATTGACCTACTTCATCCTCACCTATCATCCTTCACTGGTGCCCCGCCGGTGTATACCGATAGCGCGGGTGGGGTTACCATTCCATTATCATCTATAAAAAAAATCTGCAATATGATGGTGTTGGTAATTAGGGTGCTCTAGTAAAAGAAAGAAATAAATTCAAAAGTTTCATATTTTATTTCTTATTATTAATGAATATATTTTAATAATAATATAAGCCACAATATCACTCACAATTCCTTATGACATGACAATAAATAAAAGTCGATGTGTGATAAGCAATTCTAGTATTCTAAATTATAATATAGTGTATTGTAAGGTTTGTCTAAAAGTATTTCATCTTGACTCGATACGAGTCAGCATACATACAAATTAATAAAAAAAATATGCTACGTATTTCTAAATTAATAATAATGCACTGACAATAACTAGATAATACCACTAAGGTGTGCCAATACTGGCTTTATATATATCTAAATTAAAAAAAAAAAGGAATGTTTCAAATTCTAGTTCTATTTGCTTTGTTTCCTTATACAAACAGGAATGACCCGTGCAAAAATTGGCACTACGCCCAGAGCAAAGGTTCGCCTGTCCATAATGGCGGGCTATATTATTCAGATGACAGGCTACGAATTTGATGGTATATATAATATGCCTGTTATATAAACGTACAATACAATATGCATCTTAATGCAATAATAACAATTTTTAATTCAGTAGTTAAACTCTTTTTAATATTGAAAATAGACAATTCAGATGTTAGGTAAGTTTCTGGCATGAACACAATTGTATGTAGTTACACAAAAAACAGCCACACAAAATGGGATGTATCCATATGAGATGTTCTCTGCTTGACTCGATCCAATTGTATACTTTTTTTTATAATAGCTCAACATGTGATCACATTATTCTGAGCGAATTTATATTTGCTCATCAAACCATCGTGATTAATTCTTATTGTATTCGTCACGATAGGTTAACTGGCCCGCTTCTATTCTCGACTATTATCTCTCATTGTTGCTCTGCCGACGTATACCGATAGCAGATTACGAATCCATTTTCATCCATTTATTATTCTATAGAGTCCATATTGTCTATAGTATAGACAATATGATCCATGAATGGGGTCAACCGAAAGTTCCATTTTCAGCAGTGCAGCCAGCACTGTACTGGTTTATTAATTGCTTTTTCATGCTACGTTAAAACGAGGTTATAAGTGTTTATTTACTTTTTATTTTGATGGGTGAAAATGAATTGATCCCATCTCTGCTATCGGTATAAACTGGCAGGACATTAGTGAGATGATAGTCGAGAATGAAAGCAGGCCAGTTGGCCCGTGGTAACTAATTCAATAAGAACTGAGGTCTATAAAATTAAAGGTAGCTAAACGCCATAAAATCTATTTCATTTTCACTCTGTGTTCAAATATAGGAGGAGTTCTATTAATTCAAGTTCAAATTATTACTAATACTAAAATTTTTTTCAATCTGATTTAAAATATCATTCCATATGTTTGACAAAATATTAGTTTCTGTAGTTTTCTGAACATTTGATAGACTTGGATTCAGCTGTCTTTGATTTTATAGGCCTCAGTTAATGACGATGGTCTCTAAGGGGAATCGTGTGAAGGTCGACCTCCTGGTGTATTTTTCTAATGGAATGGCAACACCGTCTGCACTTTCGGTATATACTGGCGGGGCACCAATAAGAGATGACAAGTGAGGATGAAGCAGGTCAGGTAGCCCACCGTGACAAATCTAACAATAATCCATCAATCCCGATGGTTTCCAGGGGAAACCACGAGAAGGTCGACCTGATATAGTAGATTCCCTTCTCCCCCGGGCTCAGTAGAAGGCGGCGTCCGGCTGCACGTCCTTGGCGGCGAGGCGGGAGCGGCGCTCGAGGCGGTCCTGGCGCGCGCGGCTGAGGTAGGGCGCGGGCTGCTTGAGGTGCACCGTGCGCACGTGCAGCTTGCGGCTGTTCGACTGCCCGAACGCCTTGCCGCACACCTCGCACGAGTACGGCTTCACGCCCGTGTGGCTCTGCCGGATACGCATAACATACATTACAATACTAAACTTATTATAAATATAAACAAGAAAGACACTATACAGTAAAATTTTCTTTTTATACAACTTAGAATGGCAAACAAGCTGACGGCCCACCTGATGGAAAATAGTAACCGTCGCCTATAGACATGAGCAGTACCATGGACACAACAGAGTATACTGTTTCGCCCATGATACCCCCCATGCGTTGCCATTCCTGAGGATTCAAGTGTTATTCCTCTGTACCCTGTAAATTCACGCCATATCCTACCCTTCAAATCGAAACATAGCCATGTAAACACAACTGCTTCACAGTAAAAACACGAATGGGACAGAGGTACCCAAGCAAACGACTTTTGTATAAAGTCTCCCTCTGGATCATCAAATCATCACATACAGTGCAATTTCAGAGAAATTTTCTTCTACGAACGCTCAGGCTGTGGAATAAACTCCCTGCTGAGGTTTTCTCTTAAGACTACTACAGTATGGGGTTCTTCAAAAAGGGTATATTAAAGTTTTTTCAGAATCGGCAATGCGCATGCGACACCCCTAGTATTGCAGGCGTCTACAGGTTACTACATAGTTACTGTTTACCATCAGACGGGCTGTATACTTGTTTACCACTTTTGTGGTAAAAAAAACGACAAACAAACCCACTTTCACAATTATGTGTACGGTAATGATCATCATCATTATCATAACAGCTGTTATCTGTTCACTGCTGAACTTAGGCCTCCTCTATGGACTAACATGAGGTACTATCTCAAGCCACCTGCATGCATGGTAATGCTGAAGGTATATCCGTACCCTGAAGTGGCGGTCGAGCGCGCCCTTGGACTTGAAGGCCTTGAGGCAGAGCGCGCAGGGGTAGGGCCGCAGGTCGGAGTGCGTCTTGAGGTGCATGTGCAGGTTGGTGCGGTTGTGGAAGGCCTTGCCGCACTGCGGGCACGAGAACTGCCGCTCCTCCGAGTGCGTGCGCTTGTGGTACACCAGGAACGCGTTGCCCTGCACACACGTTCGCTATTTTTAAACCACTTTGAAATAACTTTTTTTTTTTAATTTATTAGTCTTTAGCCAGAGGCCATCGATCACTCCCAAAGAGGTTGTCAATTCACCTATATTAGGATTTCGTACCAAAATGGCACAGAGCAACATTTATGGTGACTTTATGCATCCTTTGTCATAACACTTTATACCACGAATAAAAAAAATATCCACTTGAAATTAGGATATCGTTGTCACATACATATTAAATATAATTAATAGTGTGTGCGTGTGTACATGCGTGCGTGCATATGTGTGTGTATGCAAGCCTGCGTGTGTATAAATGTGTGTGCGTACGTCGCTATAAAATACACATACCCGGAATCCCTTGCCGCAGATGTCACAAATGTAATTCTTCTGTATGGGGTACTTCTTGTCGGGGTGCGCCCGCCGGAAGTGCGTCCAGTATTCACGCGCATTTGGTATCTCCTCCGAACACTATGGGTGAGTTTCTAATTATAGCAATCAATTAACGAATCTAATTATAAAAAATCGAAAATTCAAAGTTCAAAAATATTTATTCATTCTCTACAATACTGTATGAACAAACTATTTACTTAAGAGTACTCAATGAATATATTGTGGAGACTGATGGCTCAACTAGGAAAACCTGTGCTACAGCTACTAGGTCACTATAGCAGTTTATTTACGGTATTAAAGTGTATAGTCTCTGATTACAGCAGTCCACTTATGGTATTAAAGTGTACAGTCTCTGATTACAGCAGTCCATTTATGGTATTAAAGTGTACAGTCTCTGATTACAGCAGTCCATTTATGGTATTGAAATGCCCAATCTTTGACTATTTACGGTATTACCCTCTTATTCATAATAATTGAATATCGTATAAACGTATTTTAACTTTTACACTATTTCGTTATTTTCTTTTTAATTTATAGATTGGGGAAAAGAAAGAGACAAAACACTTTAATTTCATTGTTAAATGTTTCATAAGCATTCAATTATTAAAGTGTTTCTAATTTAATAACTACCGGTTTAACTTATGTATAATTAGATCGAAAAAGCTCGACTAGTTTCGAGCGAGCGCGAACCTGACTGACAGGCTCGTGTTCGCGTCACAGTCACTTATGATTAAGGATCAAGAATTGATTCCGAAACTAGTTGAGCATTTTCGGTCTAATTATACGTAAGTTAAGCTGTAGTTATTAAAAAAAAAAAAAAAAACTTTTATAATTAAAATATGTTAACGCGCCGCTGCACATGTACCAGAGGGAGACTTTGTACAAAAGTCGTTAGCTTGGACACCTCTGTCCCATTCGTGTCTCAACCGTGAAGCAGTTGTGTTTGCATGGCTGTGTTTCGGTCTGAAGGGTGGGATACGGCGTAAATTAACAGGGTACAGAGGAATAACACCCGAGTCCTCAGGAATGGCAACGCATGGGGGGGTATCACGGGCGAAACAGTATACTCCGTTTAAGTGCATGGTACTGCACATGTGTATAGGCGACGGTTACCACTTTGCATGAAGGTGGGCCGTCAGCTTGTTTGCCATTCTAAGTTGTATAAAAAAAAGTATGTGGGCGCGTGTACGCACGTGGTCGCAAGGCGCGGGCCAGCGGTGCGGCGCGGGCTTCTTGCCGTAGTTGCGCGGGCGGCGGCGCGCGTGCAGCCGCCGGTGGTGCAGCCGCAGCGCCTCCGCGCTCTCCAGCCGCTCGCCGCACACGCGGCAGCCCGTGCTGCGCCCGACACCGCGCCCGACACGTTACACATCATTTTAATGCCCAAATCACTCATTTTATTCATTAAACAATACCTCAAGACACATTTCATGCGTATGTATATAAAACTCTGATAAAAAATACCAGTCAATAATTCGATAATTAGCTGACAAATAGTTGACCCGTTTTCGAGGCTCGATGCTCTATCTATATAATCTACGATAATATAATACACATACGAGGGCTACACTGATTTTTTTAGAACTAGCTACTTGAAAGCCATATAATAAAAAAAAATCGTTAAAACTTTGAATATGGAACTCTTTACGAATAACAATGAGTATATAATTTATTCGTATGTCATTTGTTTTACGGTTTGGCGGCAAATTGAAAATAGTCTGTACACGAACTTAACACGAAAAAATTTTCGTGCGAATATTTTTTATGACTTTCTATGTCATCTAAATCAACAAGAAAGTTATGATAGACCACAATTGGCCTTTCACGATGAAGCCCCGTCTCGTGCCACTGTTCACAACTGGTTTAATGAGTTTTAAGATGATCGCACTAGCCTCACCAATGATGTGCGTGCGGGACGGCCTTCTACGGCGACGACTGAAGATAACATCAGTGTTGTGTGGCGTATGATAGAGACTGACAAACGAGTGACCTATTAGCAAATCCGAGCAAGCTTAGGGATTGGTATGAGTCAAATGTACAAAATCCTCCATGAAGATTTGGCGGTCAGGAAGCTTTGTGCCCAGTGGATACTTCATAATTTGACCAAGGCTCAAAAACTCCGTCGTGTTGATTGGTGCCGTAAAATGCATAAGAGATTTAACGGTGGTGACTCAATATCTGGGTTTGACATAGTTACGGGAGACGAAATTGGATTTACTGTTATGATCCCGAAAATAAAGAACAGTCAGCTCAGTGGGTGTTCCGAGGAGTTGCCAACTAAAGTGAAGAGAGGTCGAAGCGTGGGAAAAAAGATGGTGGCCTCTTTCTTTGGAAGGACAGGACGCGACAATTGTTTTAGAGAATCGAAAAACAGTTACTGCAGAGTGATACAGTAACAATTATTTGCCACGTGTTTTAGAAAAAGTGCGTGAGAAACGACCTCGCAGTAGGATCCTCCTTCACCACGACAATGTTTCGTCGCACACCATCAGGTAAACGATCGATTATTTGGCGACCTCAGACGTAGAACTACTGGGTCATCGGCCTTATAGCCCCGACCTCGCACTTTGCGATTTTTATTTATTCCGAAAAATAAAAGAAAAACTTCGAGGAAAACATTTTATGGACGCCGAGGAAGCTGTGGCTATGTGTCAGAAGGCCGTCGAAGAGATCCCTAAGGACGAGTGGGCAAAGTGCTTTTCTCAGTGGTTCTATCGATTGCAGCGATGTATTGACATGAATGGACACTATTTTAAAAAGATAAAATAAAGGTAAAAATTTGCTAATTTAATCAGTTTTTTATTTTCTAAGGACTTTCAGTTTAACCCTCGTATAGATACACTGAATTACGATCATTTCTAATGAAATATGACAACATCCGATATGTTGTCATATTTCAATTAAAATATTAAGAATATGCAATGTATCTGATTATTTAAAAAGTGCTCTCAACAATGTTGCCGTTACGGAAAAAGAATATAAAAGATGATATCAAGTTTTGTGGGTACATTATGGCTGAGGACAGTAAGGGATAGATCGAAAAATGGAAGACGCTGGAGGAGGCCTTCAAAACAAAAGAACATGTTGACCCAGCGACTGTTACGCAGCATAACTATCAATTATGTAATACACGGTTAATAAATAAAGGCTTTAAAATTTAATCATACAAAAAGGCGAATCGACCGAAACATAAATATCATACGGGTACTCACTTGAAGTTGGTGCTCTGCGCATGCTTGGCGGATGTGACCATATGCCTCTTGAATGCCTCCAATGATACGAACTTCACGTCACACTCTTTGCAATACTGTGTTTCTCCTTCGTTGTCGCCGTTCTCTTCTTGCTCTTTTTGCTATTATAAAAAGATATTAGGATGTTTGTTAATAACACTTAAATGGCTACATAGATTTCAGTGAAATTTGGTGTATAGGTAGTTTATACGCTAACAGATGCACGCGGAGAAATTCGGGAAAAAGCTAGTCAATTTAAAAGTTATAAATGTGAGTTTTTTTTTTATTTCTTAATATCGGTTTTTTAATTATTCATTATTTATTTATTTATTTAATACTTTATTGTACACATTAGTTATATAATATATAGCGAGCTTAACTCTGATAAAGTTTTCTTCCAGCAACACCCAAAGTGGAAAGGAGCATCAATGTCAGCGGATAGAGCGGTGTACAATTTTTAAACAGACAAAATTAAATTAATTAGATGATATTTTATAGTACAAATACACACATACATATACATACACATATACATACAATATACCTACATATATAGATAAATAAATATATATTCATAGAGATAGATCATATCAGTCACTAACTGCTGAACATGGGTCTTCCTCATAAGAGGGGGTTGGGCAATAGTTGCCATACATGGGCAGGGGGCTTGCCTGTCGTAGTTAGACTTTGGTGATGTTTTAAGGTCTCTGCTGCCCAGCCCATTAAGTTCCTTTAGTCGTCTCTTAAGATACTCACGAAAGAGGAAGGAGTGGCTCTTTCGTTAAAAAAATATTATCCCGGTAACGCGGATAAAGCCGGGAACAAAATTAGTTAGTGGATTTTTTATATTATTGGGGTCAATAGTAGGAATTTGATTTTTGATTATATCTTACTTACCACACTTGAATGTAAAGGGGACCCAGATATCAAAAGAATGATGGATACAGTCTATCATTCAAAGAAGAAGACATGAAAGAAGAGATGTCCTGCTGCTTCGGAGGACCACGCGTAAGGATAGCGAAGGAAGGTCTAAGAACTGTTAACACCAGAGAGCGCCACCCTCCTCCTTCACGAGTAGTGGCAGAGTACTGACCGCTTGTTCCTTGTGCATCATGGTCTTGTGCATGGCGAGGCCGAGCTTGCTCACGAACGAGTAGCCGCACACGCCGCAGATGAACTCCGACGGGTGTTTGATTCGCACGTGGCTCAAGTACGATGTCCATTTACTGCCAGCATATAATCATATTTTTAAACCACCTCCAAAAGGTAAGTTCTTAATTTGAATGTTTTTTTTTTTTGCGACTATGTATTTGTGACTATGGATTAAAATGCAAAATCTGCGTGCAAAATTGTAAACATATGATTCCGCGTTCTAAATTTAAATAGTTAGAATGAAAGATAACGTTTCCCGAGTTCCGTGCCCAAAAAGAAACAAAGGAACCCCTTATGGTGCGTCTTTGTCCGTTTATCTATTACAGCTGTAGCGAACTCCTTGCTACATTTTTATATTCTTATTGTCATTCGAAATTTATATATCTTTTTAACATATTGTTTTTACATTCAAATACATTTTTGCTAATGTCTGTCTCCTCATCTTTTCTGTAGTTTTCCATTCTAAAATCCTCTCATTGCATATTAAAAGTATTATCTCCGTTTCAACAGCGTTATATTTCAGCAACCACAAATGCTATTGATTCGAAATTTGAAGTAAATTTACATGTCTTACTGGCTCGCATAAATTTCAACAAAAATAATTATAAAAAAGAATCCTTTGCTGGGGAAGAAAAAAATCACTTAAAATTTCAAAACTGACCTATTAGTCTAAGTGGTGTATCATATCATCATATTATCCTTTAACCGTCCACTGCTGAACAGAAGCCTTGGGGCGTTTTGCCAGTAGTTGTCACGCTTGGTAGGCGGATTAGCAACGCAGTTAGGCTTTGGTGATGTTTCAAGATGGACACTGCTGCCCATCCCTCGCCCTCCTTAGTCGCCTCTTACGACACCCAAGGGAAAGGAAGGGGTGGCCTAATCTATGCTGGGACCACACGACAGTAGTATAATATGAAGGGGTTTTAATTGTGAGTCTTAAAACTAATTTTTATTTATTTTTATGAATCGAGAAACAACAAAAATGTTGACCCTTTCATACTAAACACAGTACAACGAGCTGTTAATGTGGTCACAGGCTAAAAGTAGATAAGAGAACTTACGTGGAAACCTCATCACAGTACTGACATTTGTAGGTGACGCCTTTGTGCCACCTTTGATGCTGCTTCGCCTGAGTTCTGGAATATTAAGTATTATATAAACTCACAGTTATATCGCTATCGGCATACACTGGCGGGGCACCAAAGAGAGATGATAGGTGAAGAAGCAGGTCAGTTAGTCTATCGTGTCGAATTTAATAGTAAATCAATCACGATGGTTTCCAGAGGGAACCGCGAGGAGGTCGACCTGATAAAGTATATTGCTAGCTATGTGGCTGTTAGACTAAATTACTAATAATCTATTATTTATTATACTTTATATTTGAAACATGAGTATAGAGCTCTCTCTGATAACTTTGCACTTTAAAAACACTTACGTTGTCTTCGATACGTAGGGGCACGACTTACAGGCGTACTTCTTCTCGTGATTCGCGGCGTGTTTCTGCAAGGTGCGCTTCGTTTTGAACCTGAACTTGCAAACGACGCATTCTATGTCACCGGCCGACTAAAGAAAAAGAAAACAAAAACTTATAAATTAATGAAGACTAAGCGTCCCAGCAACGTCTGCCTGCCAAGAGTGGCAATTATCGGCAAAATCCCCCTAAGGGGAGGCTTGTGTTCAGCAACAGAATATGATGATAATAATGATGAATGAAGAATAAGTTTAAAAAAAAACCATAGATACTTCAATCTCTTTGCAATTATTAGTGAGAATTACAATAAAAATTACTAAATTAATTTACACAACGCCATCTAGTTACAAACTAAGTAACTAATCGCATTATGAGTACCAGACAACTGGTACAAATTATTACTTTTTTGTACATAATATATTTAATAATATAATGCGATAGTTTGTAAAGAGGAATGAATGAATGTTTATTACTCTTTCACGGAAAAACTAATGAAAGGATTTGAATTGAATGGATGATAATGGTAACCTCGCCTGCGCTAATGGTATACACTGGCGAGCTACTAGTGAGGGCTGATAGGTGAGGATGAAAAGGAAGGTCAGTTATCCCGTCGTGATGAATACACTTGGAATTCAGTATGATGGTTTCCAGGAGGTCAACATGACAGGTTATATTGCTAGCAACGGGACTGGTAGTCCGCATTACCAACAATCCCTCCCCCCTTACACGGATAGGTTATATACTAACTTAGCATATAGGATACTTTATGTAATGATTCACGCAGACGTAGCTGCGGGATACAGCTTGTCACAGTATATAATGAGAATTTGGCTAAAAAGGTTATAAAAGGTTGCTACTTACGGGGTCGTGCTTACTGAGGTGGTGTTTCCACGCGCGGGTTTCTATGAATCCTTTATAGCACAGCTCGCAGCGGTACGGCGCGTTCAAATAGTTGGATGACTCCTGACGTTTGGTTATCTCGTCTATCTGCTCTTGTTCCTGTTCAAAATACATACAGACATTAATTTATTTTATAAGTATGTATAATAATAATAATAAACTCTTTATTGCGTACAATAGAAATGTTGTATACATTTCTAGGAGAATGTGAGTTTTTTTATGCAACTTAGACTGGCAAACAAGCTGACGGCCCACCTGATAAAAAGTGGTAACCATCGCCTATAGACATGAGCAATACTATGGACATAACAGAGTATACTGTTTCGCTCATGATACCGTCCATGTGTTGCCATTCCTGAGGACCAGGTGTTATTGCTTTGTACCCAGTAAATTCACTGCCATATCTCACCCTCCAAACCGAAACAGCCATGCAAACAACTGTTTCATGACAGAAACACGGACGGGACAGAAGTGCCCAAGCAAACGACTTTTGTACAAAGTCTCCCTCTGGTGGTGCATATACAAAAGGCGGCCTTATTACTAAAAGCAATCTCTTACAGACAACCAACCAAATAAAATGCAAAATATCATTTATACAAAAATAAGATTACAATACATAAACATATATGTATAATATAAATAAAATATACTAAATAGATCAAGGTAAATAACATGTAGTAAACATCAAGGTAAAATAGAGAGATAGGAAATGAGATCTTCCCTGCCTTTTGAACGAGGCAAGAGATTGCGCTGATCTAATGGAAAGAGGTAACGAATTCCAGAGACAGATTGCTTGGATAGTGAAAGAATAGGAATAGACTTTAGAAGAATGAATAGGTGTTACTAAACGAAGGGATCTCGTATACATGTCTTATATATCTATTAATATACTGTAGATTATATATTTTTAATGCCAAAATATTTTTTTTGATACTACAATCATCATCTTCCTAGCCTTATCCCAATTATTATTTAGGGTCGGCGTAATATGTTTTTTATCCATATTACAAAAAGATTTGGCTTATAGTTTTACGACCGGCCGCCTGCCTACATCTACCCTCTTTGGAAATCTTGTTTATACTACAATATAAAAAAAAGTTGGTTTAACAAGAAAATATAATTACCGTTAGTTTTATAACAGTAACGTACTGTTCCAGGTCATCCTCGTCAGACGGTATACCCTCAGCGTTGAGCGCGCGGCGGGCTTTCCGCGGCTTCGGCTGCGTTTCGGACTTCTTCGGACGGCCTCGTTTCCTCGGCACCACCGGTGCTACATCCGTTTCGGAAGCCCCGTTGGGTTCCTAGGTATATAATTAATGTTATAGATGCAGGTAACAATTGATTACTGGCTGCGCTTTTCCCAGCGCAGCCGGAGTTTACACCCCCTCCCATGTTACCGCGGAGCCATGAGGTTAGTGGTGCCGGAGTTGTAGGGGCCACGAGAGTCTCCCAGGAGGAGTTTGCAGCGGCTGTGGATAGGCTCCGGGCGAAAAACACCGCCCCGGGGCCTGATGGAATACCCGGCCGCGTTCTAGTCCTGGCCCTGGGCGCCCTAGGGGACCGTCTCCGGGACCTGTTCGACAGGTGCCTGGAGACGGGACGATTTCCCGACGAGTGGAAGATAGAGTGGTCCTCTTACTGAAGGAGCGGCACCCCGCAGTTTCCATTGCACCCTCGGCATTCCGTCCCATAGTACTACTGGGGGAGGTCGGCAAGCTGTTTGAAAGAATATATGTCCCAAGTAGGTCCCGGCCTCAGTCCGAGGAATTTGGCGTGTCTACGATGCCGTCGCTCGTGTTCGGGCTCTCTCGGATGAATGGGGTGGTTGGCGGTGTCGCTCGACATGCCTTCAACACTCTGCCATTTGCGTGCATTAGGGAGGCACTAAAATATCATCAAACGGGACGTAATGTAGGATAGCATGGGACATTACGTCGAGGGAGATCAGCGTGGTGTGGTCGGTGCTGATCTTGTATCGGGTATGACTGGAACTTGCGGGGTGCTCTACTTTCCGGCAGCGATGTTGTCTGCTATGCAGATGACACACTTGTTGTTGCCAAGGGGAGGACTTACAGGGAAGCTGCCCGTCTTGTCACGGCAAACGTGGCACTCGTCGTCGGTCGTGCGCATCGCCTTGGGCTCCATGTGGCGCTGGAGAAGTCGGAGGTACTATGCTTTTCATGGCCAGAGATTGGTCGTATGAGGTACTTAGGGCTTGACTTAGACAGTCGCTGGGTCATCCAGATTTTAAAGTTCTAAAAGCCCTGTTCAATATGGAATAGGGCCCTGAGCAGGCAAAATGTGGCTTGTTTAAACAGGCCACATAGGGCCATGGCAATCCGCATTATACGCGGTTATCTCCACGGAGGCGGCGTGTGTGATCGCCGCCCTGGGACTTGGAGGCCAATGCCTGTGCGTCGGTCTATGAGTGGCGTGCAGAGCGGAGGCGCCAGGGTGCCGAGCCTTTGGAAGTTGCGCTGCGGAAGTACCACATTCGATAGTGGGAACAGCGGCTGGCCGATCCATCGCCGGCCGAAGGACCGTCGAGGCTATCCGTCCACTTCTTAAGAAGTGGATGGATAGGCAGCGAAGGCCGCTGACCTTCAGGATGACACAGATACTGTCCGGGCATGGGTGCTTTGGGCGATATCTGTGTCATGTCGCGCGCAGGGAGCCGACGGAGGAGTGCCATGCTTGTGGAGCGGACCAGGACACGGCGGAGCATACGCTGTGCCCAGCGTATGCCAATGAAACCGATCTTGCCCGCCGTGGTTAGTGAGAGATCGTGGGAAGCGATGCTCGCCTTCTGCGACGCCGTCATGTCGCAGAAGGAGGCGGCGGAAAGGGAGCGGGAGAGTGCCACTTTCGCACCGTCAATCCGCCGCAGACGAGTCAGACGCAGAAGGAGGGGCGCGCCCAGTTCCGCCCCTCCTCCTTCCCCACTAGGGCCGGGGTGATACCTGTGGGAAGGTATTGTCCCAATGGTCCTGGGGGATGTGCTAATATACCGGCGCATCCTCCGAGTGGTAGGGTGAGCACGCCATCCACCCTATCTTGAGAGAGGAGACCTGTTCTTACCATCTGGGGGCGGGTCGCTGCCGTCTGAGATGTGGTGAGTGCGAAAGCGAACCCATGTCTCCGACATATGGCACCTCGAGGGTATATCGTCTGGTTTTTAGTGGGTACACCCCCACAATCCCACAGTAATTCACCTCCCACAAGGTGTATGGGTCTGCATAAAGCATTTTATAAAAAAAAAAAAAAAAAAAAAAAAATAACAATTGATGAATATTATATGACGATAAACGAATTTGGCAATGTTACAGTCAATGGTATATGTAAACAGACAATGTAGGTATATGTAAAAATTATTCCTGTGACATACATTGTAACATGTAACATGGCATGCAACACGTGTTTTTTGGAGCAAGTTACTCAGCTTTATAAGTATTACAGGGTCATAGATTTTAAAGTTAAAAGCTTCATAAGTATATCTTGTTTTTCATATGTAACAATAATCATATTTATTTATAACTAGTGACCCAGCCCAACTTTGTGTGGGTCAATAGAATTTTTGAATATATAGTCTATACTGCTTGCTGACAATGTAAATATCTATAAGAGAAAATTTTTAAATTGGTTGAACAGTTTTTGAGTTTATCCATTACAAATGAACAATAAAATACTTCCTCTTTATAATATTAGTAGAGATTTAGTTCATATTACTTTAAACAAACATTCCCCCCACAAATATATCACAATGCTACGCCCTTTCTATTATTTTTCGATATATATATGTCTGTTTTTATTAGTACATACATCAGGTATATTCCAATTATCAACCACAGCCTTTTTCTTCTTCCTTCCTTTCTTTTTTTCTTTATCCTTACTCTTATGTAGAGATAAAGGTTCATCGTCTTCACTAGACGATACTGTTGGTGATAAAAATACATCACAAGATTCTTCATTTTTGATAATTTCAATATTAACTATGGATGGTTGTGCAGTTTCTTCTACACATGGTTCCTGCTTAATTTCCTCTGGGTTATCTATGGTTGACAATTCACTAAAGTCACAGTTTATTAAGACATCCACCACAAAAGACTTTGTAATGTTTAAATTAGACTGCAGGTGTAGTTCATGTCTGTTTACACACATAATATCAGTCTTTGTTATCTGAAAAAAATATTAAATAATAACATAAATTGTAACTAGATGATGTCTGTATATGTAAAATATTAAAAAAAAATGTAAGGAGCTTTAAAAGATTGATGAATGTGGAAGAAGCGAAAGAGGTTTGTTTGAATCGAAGCATTTGGCGTTCCATTGTTTCTGCCTACCCTAATGGGAGACAGGCATAACAGATATGTATGTATGTATGAGTTTTAAAAGGAGCAATAAAAGCCTGTATGTTTGTTCCAGCATCACACAAAAACTACTACAGCAAATTGTATGTGGTTGTTCCTGGAGGTTTAAAAACTGATGTATATTTTAATTTGATATAGGTACCATCTAAAAGTGATCTATTCATTGGTTTACCTACTTCTGAAATCCATGCATACAAAGCAATGTGTAATATGTTAGTTAAGAAACCAGGCATATATACCATGTGTTTTTTTTTATGATTGATAATAGCATGGCAACCCCACCTGCACTAGTCATATATGCTGGCAGGGCATCAGTGAGGGATAATAGATAAGGATGAAAATCCAGGTTAATTAGCTTATTGTAATGTACATACCTGATATTCACCATGATGATTCCCAGGAAGGACCACATAGAGGTAGAGGTGACAGGATATATTGCTAACAATGGGGCTGATAACTCGCATTACTAACAATCATTTCACCCCACCTATACTAATTGTTATAAACTGCTAAAATACAGGGAAAGGGATTTTTAATAACAGGATTTAACAGCTTCATTGCTCGCAATATGCACCTTCATATGGTTCTCCCTGGAAACTATCATGGTTAATTCTTATGGAATTTGTTACAATCTACTACCTGACCCGTTTCTCATCCATCTTGTGTCTCACATGTGTCCTGCCAACATATATTGATAGTGCAGACAAGATTATGATTTCATTTAAACCCATCAAAAAAACATAGGTGAAACTAATATAAAATTATCCTCAAATTAATTAATTATCAATGTTTTTATAAATAACTTGATATAATTTAGAATGGTTCTAACTTGGATTGCAACTTATTCTTGGAATATTATGTAATAGTTTAAATACTTTCCAAATCAGAATTGTCTGGTACCCACAGGATGTAAACAAAATTTCACAAAGACATGTTTAAGAGTACATATATACTTTTTAATGGGCCAGGACTCCTTTGAAAATAATATGAAATACACCAATATCATATGCCCAATAGTGGGCTATTTCAAGCTGATGAAGAAGATAATTCTTACCTTTCCAGATCTACATAATATATCATACAGAGCTGCTTGTCCCCTTGTGCATCGCTCCTTGAAATAATAGTATTTTTTTGCAAGAGCTGTGCACTCATAGCAACTGTAAACTGGCATTCCCACTGAATTAAATGACTGCAAATAGCAAATAAAGTTATTTCACTTAAAAAAATAACAAATAAATATGCTTATGATAGTAAACCCTTATGCAGTATTCAGTGTACCTACTAAACATTAATTTTTAATTTAAATTTAACCAATTGCAGTAGGTATTCAAAAATTAAATAAGTTACTATATAATTATATTTGGAATATCTAGAATAATTATATTTATAATAGCATATATATTAAATGCTAAAACTTGTACTGTAGTTTAAAGAGTTTGCAACAGATAAAGAGAGGAATCAAAGTTATTTTAGTGACAATACATAGTGACATATATAGTTTATTTATAAAGCTATTGCATAGTGGAGTAAGGGTATAGTGGATACCCTTAGAGATGGAACACAAGAATAAATTATTTTATACAAATATAAATAAACATAAACAAAACTTACATTATTTCCAACTATAGATTCAAAGTAATTTACAAATGGATATGATTGTAAATTATACATTTTTACGTCCGTGATTAAGCACAACCTGCATACTTTCACGTCTTCCATTGTTTATAAAATTCAATAAATGCGAATCAAAGATATTAAACAAAGTATGAAAATTGAATTCATAGATTCGCGGGATAGAGTTATAAAATAATAGAACTTCTAATCCAAGCGCTATATATTTAAGTAGAAGTGAAAGTCGTTGTAAAATATAAATTTATATGTTTATAATATTAAATAAAATAAATCTACGTTAAAAATAACTTAAATGATTAAGAATAATTAAGAGAAATTATCATTGAAATAAATACTGAAAATGTCTAGTTTTACACAAGACGCCATAGTCTGCCATGTTTACTTGTTATTGGTCAATTTGACAAAGTTGACAAATTGACATTAGGTAATGACAGCTTTGACGAAACTGTCAATGTGACATGTTTGCGACCTAAGAACATGGAATTATATAGAAGGACTGATAAAATAAAAACTGTAAATAATATGATTGCCTTCTTTCTTCTTATGCAAATATAATAGAGTAAAAAGAAGATTAAAGATACACTATCAGTTACTATTTTTGCTATAATTCATGGCAGGCCAGTGTATAGAAAATGTTATACAGCCGTATAACCCTATCAAATTCAGATACAGCCTGCTTGCATACCTTCTAAATAAACTATGCCGAATATATAATCTAGCAATGTAAAATTTGTTATTGACATATTATATATATATATATATATATATAAATTTATACCTATATATTTATTAAAGTGACAGCAAAATTAAAAAAAAATATTCTATACGAAATGGCCACCTTTGGCTTTTATATATATTTATATAATAATAAACGTATTGCAAATTCAAACAATTAAAAAACAATTAAAAAGTTGAAAAAGAGAAAAGTTTTATGTAACAATATTTATGGCTAGACTAGTTATATATAAATATCAGAAGGAGTGAAAGAAAGAAAGATTTAGTACAAGATGGTATAATGAATAATATTTACAATCAATAAATTCAGTGATATAATAAGTAGCGACACAAAAAAAAAATCCGTATGTTAAAGTTAATTTTTTAAATAGATAACTTCAAATTACATATGGCAACTGAAGTGATTTTGGATAACTGTGGAAAAATATATATGGCAACACTGATATTGTTTGTGTATGTGTAGATAAAGTTTAAGAATTTTTTATGTTATCAATATTGTTAATTGCGTTTATATATTAATTTGTTCTACATTCCTTTTTTTGTAAATATCATTTATGTCTGCGACTGAAAGACTTGTATCCATGGTCATGAATAAATTAAAAAAAAAAAAATTGTGTATGTGTTCTAAAAAATTTGTAGTTGACTGATAATTTTAAACTACCATACTTTCATCACTCCAATAGACCTTTAAAAATACCATTGCGTATTATTTAAGAAACCAAATCCTAGTAGATTATGTGCCCAGTGGGAGTAATAAAAAGTTGTAAATGCCGTAAAAACAATAACAGTAAAATACACTAAGAAGATTCTTTATTGCTGTCCTATGCCCGTAAAAACTAAAACGAAGATCACCGTGGAAAAACTCTCAAATGAAGGATCCCATGCAATTTAGAAATTCCAAACGTAGACAGCACAAGATGTCGATAGTAAATGGCAAAAACCGGATGCACAAGCACAAGAAAATATTATACAAACAATCGAAAAAAAGGTATTGGTTCATATCATGAATTGTAAAACTTCAGCAGAAATGTATAAAAAAACTAAGCAATATTTTTAAGAGAGACAACAGCAACTTATGCATAATCCCTTAAAATTCTTTAATTTAAATTTCGACAAAACTCAAGATATCATGTCAAATACAAGTCCTTTACAGAATATAACTAATTAATAAATATAACTATTTCATCAATGCATGGGAGTCCACAGTTGTAAATGAGAGAACTTTGGAATATTTGATTATTCTCTTTAGAGCAGAGGAAATATGACACAAAGAAAGTGACACAAATATTGTTTTTTAAGCTGAAGCGGTATCACAGTGTAATAAAAGAAATTCAAGCAGAAACAAATGTAATAAACCAGGATGTTTTGCTTGGAATTTCATGAAGAAGAAAAAATACTGTCCAATTTGTAAAAAGGATAATCATTATGAAAAAGATTGTTTCATTAGATATAGTAAAATGCATGATACCTCAAATAACAAGACAACATTTTTAGCTACTCAATCTTTCTTCACTTCAAATACAACTGACTGCATTCTGGACTCTAGATCTTCTCACAAGAATAATAAGAAAAACATTTTATCTATGTCGAAACCACTGTCATCAGAGATAGGAGTGACAAAGAAGAATGAAACTAGACAACTACTGCTATTGGTAATATCAACACTAATAAGGTAAATCTTCAAAATGTCCTTCTTGTACCAGAATTGTCTAAAAATCTTTTGTCTGTTAGTGGTGGTGTTATGTAGTCATGGTGTACCATATAAATGTTTTTGGTAACAAGGTATCTATATGTAAAGATAATGTATTAATTATGAAAGGTTTTAAAGCTAATAATGGTCTATTTTATATTAATTTAGATATTGCTGTAGACTGAAGTGCCTTGACTACTGATAAAAATAAAAAGTTATTAATATTTGGCATCACAGATTAAGTCATGTCATATTGTCAATTTAATAAACTTAAAAATATAGTTTATGTGTGTGTGAATGAAATTTAATAAAAATGATTTGAATATTTATTTGAAAACCTTTTAATACTATAAGATCTAAAGTATCTAGATCCCTAGAAATTATACATAGTGATGTATGCGGACCTTTTGATACACTAACTTGGGATAATCAAAGATATTTTGTAACCTTTTTAAATTATTTTAAAAATTTTTGTTATGTATATCCTATATGCCATAAATCTGATGTTAATACAATTCTTAAAGAATACATATTTGGTCATGGCTGGAAAGAAGCCATATAGTATATTTAAAAAAAGAAAAAGAATGGATTGAATTTTTAGCATACCATTCTTGTATCTCTTTGTGTAATGTTTTATAACTATAATTTTGATATGTAAATAAATATAAAAAACACTAGTGGAACTATAAAAATGGTATCATTTTGGAGTATGTCATCTATGTTAGATGTTAAAGCAAAATGGAATTAAAAATTTCATAAATTTTGATGTGATAATGGTGTAGAATATGTGAATTATAACTTTAAAAGTTGTTGTAAATTTAAGGACATAAATCTTTCAATAGTCCTAAAAAATGAGAATGACAATAATCATTAATTTAAATTTCGTAAAAATTGTGAATGTCACTGTGAATCTCCAGACTATTCAGGTAAGGACACTAATGATATGAAATAGAAACTGTTACTGTAACAAATACAAATCAAGATACTATTGATATTCAAGAACCTATGGAAGAAGAAATTACATTTGATAATGAAAATAATGTGAATCTTGAAAATAATAAAAATAAACCACATAAAGCAATTGAAGAAATGAGAGTAGTAAATAATAAAACAAGAAAACTAAGATCAGGTAGAACAATTAAAACTCCATCTTATTTCAAGGATTATGAACAGTATGATAATTACTGTATTTTATCATACAGAGAAGCCATAACTGGTGCTAATCAAGAAAAATGGAAAATAGCTATAAAAGAGGATCTTTAAGTAAAAATAAAACCTGGACTCTAATAAATGAAGAAGATAAAGAATGAAAGATGAAGAATGTAGAAAATACTGGAATGAAAAATAATTATAAGCAGTCAATGGATTTTAAAGAGAAATGTAAAAAGGAAATTTAAAGCTAGATTGGTTGCTCCAGGATTCAAACAACTATCATCTTTAGATTATAATCTATAGATGGTATATAGATTTATTATATAGATTGTATAATAGAAGGTATATAGTATGGTCCCATAGTAGGAGAAACATCTTTAAGAGTTATATTAGCTATAGCTGCTAAGAAAAATTTTAGCATAAAAACATTTGATGTCAAGACAACCTTTTTAAATCATATTTTGACTGAAGAAATTCAAATGTATTTACTAGAGGATTTTTAAGAATGTAGAATTTGTCGACTCAACAAAGCACTATATGAATTAAAGCAATTATCAGCCTAGTGGAATGAATATTTTACCAATGTTCTACAGAAACATGGCTTAATTCAGTTAAAATCAGATAAATGCATTTTTGTTAATAAAAACTTTACAATTGTTAAATAAATTAAAACAGGAATTTGAAATAACAATAAATAATCAATCTGATACATAGGAATGGAATTGGAAGAAATAAAAATTATATAAAACTAAGTCAAAAGATTTATACATACGAACATATTTCGAAAAAAAAATAAAATTGAAGAAGCTAGCCCAGTATCTACACCTATGATACAGACTACTACACTTTCATTGGAAAAAAAAGAAAAACCAAAGTTTCCATATAGGGAATGTGTCAGATCATTACTCTATTTATCAGTAAAAACAAGACCTGATGTTGGTATATTCAATTGGTGTTTGTAGTAGAAAACTGGAAAAACCTTTACAACAAGTTGTTTTCTCAGTAAGACACATTATATAATATCTCATAATCCATTTTACTGAGCAAATAATCCTTTTAAATAAAAAGGAAGTCAGTGTTTGGGAATACTATTTTATTTCCAGTTAATGAAGACATTAAAGAATTAACTGCTTATTGTGATGCAGGTTATGGTGGAGATCCTGATACTCATAAAAGTACTAGTGGATATATAATAATTTTTGCTATATGTTGGTGTTCACAAAAGCAATCTGTTGTAGCTCTGTCTAGTGCTGAAAGTGAATTCATAAGTGCAGCTTGTTCTAAAGAATTAATTTTCTTAAAAGAATTAATGAAAGAATTATTGGGGAAAGAAATGAAAACTACCATGTATGTAGATAGTATGGCAGCTATTGACATGATTAGAAATGGAAATTTTAGTAAATGTTCATGGCATATTGATATAAGATATTATCATATTAAAGATAAGTATGATGCTGGTAAGCTAGATATAAAACATGTTAGTTCATTTGAAAAAAGGCTGATAACTAAACCCCTTGGTACACATAAGTTAAATCATTTTAAAAAGTTTGTGGTTTCTTAAAAGGCCTTTTTTGTACTAAATGTGAATATATTTTTTGTAAAGATGTCATATTTAATACTAATAAATTTGTTGTGTTAAAATTTTAAAAGTTAGGGAGTGTGTTGAAGTTAAACTTTTAAATAGATGTTATAACTTCAAATTACATATGACAACTATAGTGATTTTGGACGACTATGGAAAAATATATATGGCAATACTGATATTGTTTGTCTTCTGTGTTTGCTATGTAATTGCTGTATTAAAAACTTGTAGTTGATCGATAATTGTAAACTGACATACTTTCATCACTCCAATAGACCCTTAAAAATACCACTGCGCGTATTATTTAATAAATTAAATCCTAATACTTTAAACATAATCGCTAAAAACAAGAAATTGTCAAGCACGTCACTATAAATTTTTCTAAAACTACATAAGTTTGAAAGAGGTTAGTAGTCTACATCACTCTCTCCTTTGAGACCTGGTTATGGGCGATAAACATCTTGAAATCGAACACGACGTTCAGAATTAATTAGTAGTTTAGCTTCAGGATTATTTGTGTTTTTGTTGTTAAGTGTGATGTGGTCGTTTAAAATGTAGGCGGGTTTCAACCTATTAATAGAAACAGCTACTTTACCTTTAATTAGCAATACGTTTTCACGAAGGAATACGTAATTGGTAGTGGCAAGATCTTTGAAAATAAATATTTTGTCACTTCTATGATGAGAAGCAGCAACAGGCTTAATTCCTTTAGCAAAAAATGTAAACGTGTTATAAAATCAGTTACATCAGTAGAACCTTCTAAAATGCTATCGAAAAATTCTCCTAGAAGTCTTATGGGCTCTCCATAGGTAAGCCTTGCTGAAGAAGCTTGTAAATCTTCCTTAAAAGAACTTCATATATCCAATAGTAACCACGGGCGTGGGGGAAGGGATTGTTAGCAATGAAGTTTGACAGCCCCATTGCTAGCGCCGCCCTATTAGGTCGACCTCCACCTGGATCCCCCTAGAAACTATCGTGAACAATTCTTGTTGAATTCGTCACGATGGGCCAACTGACTTGCTTCATCCTCACCTATCATCCTTCACTGATACCCCGCCAGCGTATCCTAATAGCGCAGGCAGGGTTACCATTCCATTATCACCCATTAAAAAAATACCCACGAAAGAGATTCTATCCAAGTACTAAGGAAGTCAATTGATACTGGCTATACCTTTAAAAACTTAATATTTATGGCCAAAAGCACCGCAATCATAATAGAAGTACCGCATGGTTCTATTCTAAATAGCCCGCACGCAGTCCTTTTTTTCTCATCCTGGCCTTCTAGGTGACACGTGGCATTATAAGTCAGCAGTTAGGAATGAAGTCTGAGAATTCTACGCATGGTACCCATGGAAGCTACTGCGTTTTACATTAGATGTGGATTTTTGTACAATCGCTGTTTCAGAAGCAATATTTGTAGACAGGCCGTGTGATCCCGGCATAGAATGGACCATTTCTGCCTGTCCCGTGGTTGTCATAAGAGGCGTAAGGGAATTTAATAGTTGAGGGATGAACAGCAGTGTCTCCCTTAAAATCCTAATTGCAGTTGCAACTCGCCTGCCAACCGTGGCAACTACCAACAAAACCCCTTTTCTATGGGAAAGGCCTATGTTCAGTTAACGACTGATATGATGATCACTGGTAGATAGTTGAGAATTAGACATTCTGTCTAATTCTCAACCTACTAATGGCTTCGAGAGTGAAAAGATGACTGTGGTTTAATCGGCGTTGCAGGAAAGCTAGACAAACTGCACATAGGACTTGGAATGACGCGAAGCGGAAACTAAAAGCTGCTTTGAGATTCAGTAAAAGTGATAAAGCCAAATTCGATTTCATCAACAGAATTAGCGAATGGCTTGCACATCACTCCTCAAGAAGACTTTCTGGTCACTGGCCTAAGCTGTTAAAACGAGCTTTAGTCGTTCTTACCTTCTTTACCGAAGCTAAATTATAACTTGGCCATTAGCACAAAAGGGAAAGTTGATTTGCTGGGCACTCTCTTTGCCTAGAATCCATCTTTAGATGCTGGAGATATTGTAAAATCTGCCATCCCGCAATACGGGTATTTCATATCGAAGATTTCCACATCACAGCGGAAAATCCAACGGTAACTGTTATCCTTTAACGTCTTTAAGTCGAATGGTCCAGACCAGCATTAATATTAAAACAATTTGCTCCTGAATTTTCGTCCAACTGGAAGACTAAGACTCCTGGATGAAGTCTAAATAATTGTCGTAAACCACAATCATAGTAAGTTCATAAAATTCGTTAAAAAATTAACATAAGTTTTAAAAGTTTTTCATTACCATCTCCAAAAGTATTCGGTACCTCGCTGTCGACATCTCCATTACCATTAATACCGGGGTCATTTTGAAAACAGGGTCAAGTCGACGTCTAATAAACTCGGAGTGCGTAATAGAGCTAAACGATACTTCACCCTGAGACAAAGATTATTATCGTACAAGCCGCAAGTTGGAGTACTGCTTTCATCCGTAGTCGGATCACCTGAAGGCCAGCCTGGTGCTCTTAATTCAGTTCAAAGATCGCCTAGAAGAGTTGACGACGATCCCAAACTCACAGATGGTATCTAGTATAGCTCTTAAGTCTAAAGCGAGACTTTGCTTCCCTTTGTGTGTTGTACTTCCTATATAACGGATTGTGTTCTCAGGAATTGTTCGAAATATTGCCTACAACTACCTTATATCATCGCACCTCTCATCATCGACAGGTAATTTATTCTCATACGACAGAAAACATAGACGTAGTATAATATCTTAACGTCTTAACGTAAAAGTTAGAACTTACGTCCAGTTTTGCGGCCATCTAGAGGAAAAAGTTAAGATAGCTTCCAAAAAGTTGGGGGTGCTCAATAGAGTGAGCCGGTATTTCACACCGGGACACCGCCAAAAACTGTATAAAGCTCAAGTGAGGCTACACATGGAATACTGTTCTCACCTGTAGACAGGACCGCCACAGTACCAACTTCTTCCTTTAGACCGCATTCAAAGTCGGGCAGCTCGAATTGTTGACGATCGGCGTCTTACTATCCGACTCGACCCACTGAAACTGCGTAGAGATGTTGCGTGTCTGTGCATCTTCTACCGAATTTATCATGGGGAGTGCTCTGAAGAATTGTTCGGATTGATACCTGCTGCTGATTTTCACCATCGTACAACCCGCCATAAACTAAAATTTCATTCTAAACATCTGGACGAGTGGCGGTCCTCCACCGTGCGTTTTTCAAAGCACTTTCTTCCCACGTACAATCACTCTTTGGAATCAACTTCCAGCAGCAGTATTTCCGAACCAATACGACAATATAACTTTCAAAAAAAGAGCATAAGTATTCCTTTTTAAAAGGCCGGCAGCACACTTGCAATGCTGTAGGTGTTGTGGGTGACCATGGGCGGTGGTAGTCACTTATCATCAGGTGAGCCGCATGATCGTTTGCCCCCTGTGTTGTAAAAAAAAACCTAAATGGTCGAGTACAATGCAGTTTCAGATTTAACAAAAACTTTAATAACTTTAAAAAAAGTGTATTATAGTTTCTTCAGGGTTGACAATGCGTACGTGTCACCCCTAGTGTTGCAGATGCCCATAGTCTACAGTGACCGTTTACCATCAGACATGCTGTATACTTGTTTACCAGATTCTTTGTATAAAAAAAAAAAGAAATTGGCCGAAATTGTTATGGTCTTTATGGTTATTATACAAGATCTTTCTTAATTCCCTTTGTTAATTTTTGGGGACTTGGTTCTATTCGAATATGTCAGTCCCATTAGATTCGATTCTGAAGCGGCATTTCTCTAAATCTATGTTTGAAATTAAGATTTATATTTGATTTGATGTAAGGGACAATATGAACTAATTTTCTAATAAATTTTAGTCTAATAAAATTATTACAACTTTAGTTTATGATGAACCATAAAACAGTAAATCCGCGAAATTATCATATTAATATATAAATGTTGAGAAATGGCACCTCAGAATCGGTCCCATTGTATCTTAAAGTAATAATATTTTTAATTTCTAATTAAGTGGTAAAACATCTTGGCAGTTATTGATTGAAACAAGTTTGTTCATATATATATTGGACCAAGCCTATAGCAAGTATTTTGATAGTTTTAAGCTCTACATCAATAGCTCCCTGTTATACTTTTATTTGTTCCACTCCATCAATTAATGTTCTATGTTGTACAAGGTCAAAGATTTGTTTCACTGCACTGGTATTTTGTATATACCTATGTTTTGCAGTGCCTTCAACGATTTTGATAATTTGTCCTTACTGGAGATGCTGGATTTTTTTTTGCGGAACGCAAACTTATATTATTTTCACGATAATTAGAAGTTACATATATGTAAGTTGTAGTTATTAATACTTACCTAACATAGAATTTATTAAAAAAAAATCGTAGGGAGCACGTTACTATTATCTACTTGGGTGTAGTGAAGGTAGGTATTATTAAATAAAATTTTTATTTTTATATATATGTGCTCTGTTTAGTTTAGAAGAGACATTGAAATAAACCCCTGATAGAAATCAATGCTCAATTGTTATATTTGTTGTTTTAGGTCATATAGAAATTGTAGGGTATGTAATAAATAGGCTAAAATATAAAGATTACTTCAAGATAATCCCTGTTACCCTATAAAAATACTTATTTACGTTCTTTAAATAGGTTATGGTTGTTATATTAATGAAACTGCATTTGATATTGTTCATATCGCACTAGCAACAGTTTTAAGAGCGGAGTAGGTATTTGCTCTTTGTCTGTCCCAAAAAATATGGAAACAAAAGTTAAGAATAATACTAATAGGTAACTATATAGATGTAGACATAGATATAGATTATCTAAGCTAATAAAATGCTGACATGCGTAGTATAGAGGAGTAAGTGCTACTGCTTTACATACCTAGTCGCTGTTAAATTGCAGTCTCAGGTTCGAAGTTAGTTGAAAAAATTAACAAACTATTTAGTTGCATGGATTGTTTGATTTGTTGTATAGGTTTCGGCTTTAATATTCGAAATCCACGCTTTAGGAATTAACATATAGTTACCCACATAATTTTGATACGATACCAATCTGTATTTGTTTAACTGTGTAGTAGAACTATAAGTATCTATTGACACACTTTTTAAATACTTAGGTAAACTATTAGGGAAAACTTAAAACACCTAATCAATAATATTCCTATAAATGAGTGTCAGGAATGTGAAAAGTAGGTGTTGTCAAGTAGGTAAGTATCGAAATTGCGTAGAGTTATTAAGTACCTAGGTAGGTTTTTAATAAGTTAATTGGACATCAATAGAAAAATTATGAAAAGACCGCTAGATTTAGGCGCCTAACTATCTCAATACAAAGTAGGTTAGAAGTGCTTACGTAAGCTTGTAATTGCATTATATACCTACCTACGTTCTCTTTACGTTCATAGTAAAATACCTAAACATTTGACATCTACTTTTTAGTTCTAGCCGTCTCGTTTACTCACACAGGGGATTATTGTTCATGGAATGCGCGCGTCGGCTAGTCTCGTCTCGTGGTACATCTAGGTTCAAAATAGCGTCACGTGGTATGTCTAAACCCGTATGTCCTAACAGCAAGATTGATTTTTGAATACATTTTTCATACAGTGTCTACAAGCAGTGAAAACTCTGCGACGAGACTAGGTACCGAGTAACTACTTTGTAAGAGTTCAATTATAATTTATATTTACCTATTCAAGCGATAGTTTTAATTAATTTTAATACATGTCAATGATTATCCAGTTTCATTTGTAAACTAAATGTTTTTTTTTTTCAAGCTTCGGGTTATAATTTCTCAAAATAGACTGTTCAAAAATAGTACAAAAGTAAAAAGTTCTTGAGAAGTAGTCTCGTCGGGAGTGCGGCTACGTCATCGACGAGACTTTTTGTAGGTATGTATGACTACAAGCAGTAGCTCGATTGGCCAACAAAGCCTTGTCGGCGGCCATTTTGTCGCTGCTGAGTCACCAAAAGGTGAAAAATGTACTGAATTAATGCGCACTCCCCACGAGACTATACAACGGTATTGGGCATTTCCCTGAACAGACAGAACACAAAATTTGGGTTTCATGTTCCTTACCTACCACAGCGTGCATGAAATTATTATTAATTTTTCTTATTGAAAAATATTGGCAAAAATCTTATTATCTAACATTAATAGAAAATTATACAAAACTAACTCAACTACGGGTTATAAACAACTTACAAGTTCTGCCGGCCTTCGTCACATGGATTGGAGGAGGATGCAGTTTAGTGCTGATTGTGCGTGAAATAAATTAAGTGGACAGTGCATATCAAATGTATCGCGATCTGTCAAAATAGTGCAGTGATAAGTCAGATGTAGGTTGCAAGCAATGCGTTTGTTTACATTTAGTTAGTATGGTTAAAATTTGGCTGAGCATCAATGCAGGTTATAGGCCTGAACGGTGATGCTTTGCAGGATTACACTTGATTAAACGCATAAACTGTATTTGTGAAAATAAAATCTAGTGTCACGAACATGACCGACACGACGATGGTTAAAGTAAAGACGGAGCGGCCCGATGAGGCCGAGATACGGGAATTAGCAGCGAAGATGGTGGAGGCCAACAAAGCTAAGGCACTGGCTGCGTCCGTAGCAGCCGCGCGGCCGCCACCCGGCACGTTGGTGGGTACGGGCCCACCCGGTCCGGGCGGGCAAATGGCCATCGTTAACTTTCTGGCGCGGAAACCGACCGCGCCCGTGGCCGGCGACCAGCGTCCGCCACCTGATGCCGATAAGAAAACCCCGGCGCCAGACGAGGCTAGTTGGAAGGGCCACTTCGGCTGGGACATGCTTGGCAAATGTCACATTCCATACATCTACCGTTCCGGCGAGAAGTATGTCGCCGTAAGGATGGTAGAGATCAAGCTTCTAAATAAGTACCTGAATTATTTGCATGCGGACATATACTCATGTACGTGTATCAGAAGTTATTATATCACAGAGATTGAGGCTCGTCTGCTGAACGAAATCAATAATAGGCATTGTGATGGTCAGTTTGGGCGGGAACCTTTCACACAAAAAGACTTGGTAGTGAGGTTATTGGATGCATATGAGTTCTATAACTTTTTGGATGTTTGTTACAATAAATTGTTGCGGGGGACGACAAATAGCAAAGACAAGTGTGGTTTCATTCGTATAAATAAGGAGTCAGTAGTGCCGTACACGGTGAGAGACAATCAGAAATTTGTGCCTCTATTTTATTTTGAAGGTGAAACGGACAACTTGAAGTTGAAAGCGGACCAGTTGAAGGGGTGGGACTTGTCATACCTTAAGTTCTGTTGTAAAGTGCAAGGAATAAGGAATGAGTTGTTTGCGAGTGAGACTTGTTCAGTGATCAGTTTATCAGACATTAAAAGTTACTTTCCACCAGGCACAGAATTTGAGGAATACTGGCCAAATAAAGTTGTTGACTCGCAGCTTCTAATATCAGCTAAAGGTAGGAATGTGCATTTAAACTACATAGTAATGTTTAAATTTATAGTAAGAATTTATAATTTAATAATTAAAATTCTTTAATTAATTAGTTTAGTGCATGTTTAGTTTTAATTATTAATATTAAAGTAGTATTTAATTTTTTTTTAAGTATTCTCTAAGTGTATGATACTGTACGCTATCTTTCTGCTTATAATTGGCAAATAAAAAAATATAACTTGGTAGACATATAGCTATAGTATAAAAAGCTCCAGTAGTCAGACTCATTATAAATTTCAAATTCTTAAAGATTAATTTGTATGGTGAAAACAACAAATATAGTAAATCCTTGAGTAGTATGATTTATTTTTATTTGTCAGTAAATATATAAAGAATATTTTATATTGATAATATAAAAAAATGTATTATCGTCATTAGAAGTTGATCATTTATGTTTTAGAGATTATTAACATTAGAAAATTAATTGGTACCTGTCTAATATATATTTTAGTTCCAAATAAAAGTTCATAGAACTGCGTCAGTGGGTTTAAGGCTGTCATTTTATCTCATCTGTATGAATCAGCAGGAAAAAAAAAAAAATAATATTAGATAATTGTACTGCATCTCATGTTGCAGCTGACAATTGATAAAGACAGGAGAGACTGCTAAGTTAATTATTTTTGCCATGTGAAAATTAGTAAAAATGCATTTTTGTTACATCATTATCAGTTGGCCCTCGAACATGCGGCCAGACATAGGGGAACCATGTGTCCGAAGATTGACTTCTAATTTTTCTATAGCTGGTTTTTTCAGCTGGTGTTGCATTTAAGACCTTAGGTGGAAATCTACATATACACAAATTTATACATTTGACCATGTGTTTGTCTATAGTGTATGTAAAATCAAATGGATAGACAAATAAAAATTTAATAAAAAAAATAACAAAAAAAAACAACAATAAATAAATAAAAATAAAATAAAGAAATAAAATCAATAACAATAAAGTAACATTAAACAAAGTAATAATAATAATCAAGTCTACTCAGCTCAGGATTTCTATTGTTTACATTGAAAGGTATATTTGTATAAAAACAAAAATACCATTTGAAACTGATCCCACAGTGCAAAAAATTCCCATCTGCATCTGATTTATTTATGCCTTTAATTATAATGATATAGCTGGTTGAAAGACTAACACAAATCTTAAAAGGATATACTTTGTATAATCCACTGAGTTTTAATATTATAATAGACTTTCTTGCACTGAGAGTGTAATATTAATTGACTAGTGCTATTAAATAGGCATTACTAAGCAAATCCTTCTATGATCCATCCAAGATGAGCTTTTTAACCCTCTCTGTTTTATAAATGGCTTACAAAGACTGAAGTCTATAGCAGAACAGATGCTTGGCTAATGAATTAATTCTATTGAATTAAAACGATTTTATCCTTACAGGTATAAATGTAACAATTAAATTTTAAAACTACTTGCTGCTGTTCAGAAAAAAAAATAACCTAGAAAAAATATAACCCAACCAAAAACTGAAAATTATTTTGGAATATATAAGGCATATATAAATGAAGGACAATTTTATGGGCTATTTATTTAAAGAGTTTTTATGAATGGTTAGGCGTTGTAAGCACCTAATTCAGCATAGTTTTGGTAAATAGAAACAAAAACATAAAAGATACCTATTATATTTTTAATACGCACAACGGCCCAGAAGCTAAGCGCGGAAAATGGAGTCCCATTCACAATCACCCATTAAAAAAAGTTAATACTTTTAAAGTACTGAAAACAATAATATAAGCATTGTAAATCCCAGGAAACTATTTTAATTAATAATATTAATCTCTACAAAAGAATTTTGTTATTAGCCTGTTTAAAAAAAACTATTTTTTTTATTCATAAATGTAAATTTTATAAAGCATATTAAAAAAAATGTTAAGGCTGTCATTTCTATATACAAACGACATCATAAACGGATATTATATTACCGCTAGATGGTATAGCATATGGAAAAAAGATTCACAAAACATCACGTCACGTTAATCTAGAGGCGCGGTGTGTGTCCAGCCAAGTTCAAAGAAAAAGGAACTGGCGACGCAGCATCTGTGTGTAATAACAACTCGAAATTTATTCAACCTACATACATGAAATTGGCACAGTTACAGCCTTTTTTTATAACCAGGTGAAAATTTAAACAAAAATTAATTATTTAATTTGTAATTGTTTGTATCTATAATAAGTTTACTATTGTAATGTAATCTTTTGGAGGAAACAAAGAGTTTCTGTCTATCTATTTATAAATGTTATAATATAAAAATATAAATAAGACTACAAAATATAAAATAGAAATTATTGGAATCTATTCGCATTGTACATTTTTACAACGCGGTATTTTCTCGTATAGTATACAGTGTGGAAAAAACATATCGTGACAATATTAAATCAGCACATAAGTATTTTACGCGAAAAAAATCATGAGGATTGACTTCTCGGTCAATATTCACAGTGTAAATGAATCCTTATTTTCTCCAGTTGGGCGATTGTATTATTAATTGCCAATTTTGTGAAGTGGTTGTATTTGAGTGAGTTATCCTATATTTTATTTAATGCATATTAAACCCAATTCAATTTGCTGTTTTTGTAATTGGAACCAAGTATAAACTATTGAAGTACTCTTTAAAATTTTACTCCTTTTATTTAAATCGTATTATTTACTCAATTTAGCTATACTTTTATAGTTCATTTTTTGTAATGATGACCAGCCCATCCGTCATACTCGTGAACGGGTACTGTTTGTGAGGACTAGTCTGCTCAAGTTTGCTTGTTTATTTATAATCACAGTACCCATGAATCTAAAATTATCTTGTAAGTACATAATAATTGGAAAACTGTTGAATGTCTTGGAAGTTCTTTTCAGCAGATAACAACATTCTCAACGCCCCAGCAGTAGAATCATAAAAAAATAGACGACTTAAAAGAGCTTGTAATCAAGTCTGTTTGAATAAAAAAAAAAATATTGTATTGTCTTTGTGAAGTAATAATAATTAGGTATGATTATTTATCTAAATTTATTGATCTTTGTTTTCAATTTGTATACAACTACATACAGGTTATTTTAATTTTAGTTCAATCAATCGACTATCGAACTACAATTACATACTAATAAATCGATTACTACTAATGTGACGGTGTCGCCATCTCTCTTTGAATTTTTAGGTCGCCTTCATGATACACGAAGGACACTGACGTGGCTTTTAATGCTTATACTGCTTATGCTCGTATGAGGTCGCCTTTTCCCTTTAACCTTTCTTCCCCATCGGTTGTCGGTTCTCCGAGCTATGTGACCAGCCCATTGCCTCTTCAGCTTGCTTAGCCTTCGGCCTATTTAGGTTACTTTGATTCTTTTGCGGATATCCTAGTGGATACAGAATGTGTAAATTGTACAAAGACATTGATTGTAAATCGGATATTGATATGTTTTATCACAAGTTTTCATCGTATCGAAGCACTTTGCATAGACTGATGATCCAATAGTTTATAAGCATAATTAGGTAGTTTTGTTTTGGTCCTTATTTTGTAGTTTTTATCGTTTATTAAATTTTTTTTGTATTAAAAATCAACGTATGCCGTTTTGTCTCTGTGAATGTTGAGTACAACTATAATTGGATTGTAAACATTACCAGAGGGAGACTTTGTACAAAAGTCGATTGCTTGGGTACCTCTGTCCCATTCGTGTTTCAACCGTGAAGCAGTTTTGTTTGCATGGCTGTGTTTCGGTTTATTTACTGGGTACAGAGGAACAACACCTGAGTCCTCATTAATAGCAACGCATGGGGGGTATCATGAGAGAAACAGTATACTCTGTTATGTCCATGGTACTGCTCATGTTTATAGGCGACGGTTACCACTTTCCATCAGGTGTGCAGTCAGCTTGTTTGCCATTCTAAGTTGTATAAAAAAAAAAACTTAGAATGCTATTGTTGTATTCTATTGGTAAAAGTTTTGTTTGTAATCTGTTGATGTGCCACAAAAATAAATAAATAAATGTATAACCTCGTGAGGGTCACAGTATAAAGCTAAATTTGATAGAAATTGAGTACACAAATGGCTTGCTAGAATATAAACCAGATAGCGATCTGTATATTCAGGCTTTGACTTGTTTACGAATACGCGTGATTGGTGACAAGTGTTCTCTACTGTCCACTAGCATAGCACTGTCAGGTCGACCTCCACGTGGTTCCCCCTGGAAATCATTGTGATTAATACTTCTTGCATACGTCACGATGGGTTAATTGACCTGACTTCATACTCATCTGTCATTCCTCACTGGTGCCCCGTCTGAGTATACCGATAGCGCAGGCGGGGTCATCATTTTATTATCTATTAAAAAAAACGCTGGTTAAACTAAGTGAATTGGTTTACAAATTAATATAAGACCAGTAAGTAATGATGTACGGTTGTAATACAAAATATTCACATATGAAGATGTTATATTAAATCTCTTGGGTTTAACAATCGTTCCTGTTCATAATGAACGCATTCACAGCAGTTCCGATAAAGTGGAAGAAATCTGCTAGTATTCATGTAGATATAATAATATAATTTTATTTAGACAACATTTTTTTTTATAACAACTTATTATTTATTTAATTACTGTTGTCTGTTTGCTTATTAGTAAAGGCCTCCTCCAACTGCCTCCAATGGTCACTATTGCTAGCAATTCTTGTCCAAATTCCACCTGCTTCAGCCCTAATGTCATCTACCCATCTTCTATGTGGTCTTCCTCTTCTCCTTTTTTTGTCTTTTGTGTACCAAAACATTATCATTTTACTCCATTTATCTCTCCCTCTAATTGTATGCCCTGCCCATTTCCATTTAAGTTTTTTAACTGTGACTGTAACATCTTTAGTTTTTATGTGTTTGTATGTCATGTAGATATATGTTAGTAATAATATAAAGATTCTGCGACAGACCTAACGACAGCTCAAGTTATTATTCATCATAAAAAAAGTGGAAAACTTCGTATCATGGCCATGTATTTAGACACGACTGTTATCTATCTATAGTTTTTAACAACCATGTAATTTAAGATATAATACATTTAAATAAATACACATAATGTTAATAGAGATTTAAAGAGTAACTGTTGAGTTTTTTGCGGGCTACTCTCAACAGGTAACAACTTTCCGAACCCCGCAGTAGATTAAAAAAAAGGACCATTTAAAAGTGTTTGTAAACCAGTTTATTTGAATAGATGATTTGAATTTGAATTCAAACGCCTTCTACACGTGTTTATGATGATATTATATATATATAAATGAATTGCTGTTTGTTAGTTTCCCTAAAACTTGAGAACGGCTGGACCGATTTGGCTAATTTTGGCCTTGAATTATTTGTGGAAGTCCAGGAAAGGTTTAAAAGGTGAATAAAGTTGTTAATTATCTTTCAGATTATTTTTATGTAGATTTTTTTTTATTAATTATGGATTCCCTTTGTTTTAAGTTTATTTTATACAAAAGTTTAGATCTTTTATTTATCGATTGTGGCAGTACGAAGTCTGCCGGGTCAGCTAGTAAATAATAATTTATTTGTAAGAATATGCTACAATAAGGTGACAATAGTAAATAAATTCCCATTATATTGTGCTCTTTCCAGTGTACAAATATTTAAAATTATATAAACCACTACAGTCAGCACGGGCACGTGGCAATTTTCCAGACAATTACCAATTACATAACTATAAAATTAATATTATATGTCAAAACTAAAATTTGATAGAAATCGATCATAGTGGTTACATTGTTAGCACTCTTTTGTCATTTAGAAATTAATTAACAGAATAATAACATTTTTCTATAATCCATGAAAATACACGTTTCTTGAAATGTTCTTTATTCAGACTTAAAAGTATCTGGCAATTTGTTATAAATACGGATCGCCACGCAGTATACATTATTGCTTAATTTTTGTCTAGGATATTGTATTTTGTGTATAATTGTATTCCTTTTACTTACTGTCACGCTTTTACTAAATAAATGTATGTTATTATAAACAAATACACACATTTCATAAACATATGAGTTAGGAAGCGGTAATATTTTATTAGCTTTACATAACGGCTTACAACTCTCACGTTTTTTTGCTTCACAGATAGATCTGATGCATTTTTTTGTGTCTTAAAAATCCCTCTGTTAAAAGTTTGGATGGACATTGTAATCGCAAGAATTATTTCATCTCGCAAGTTCAAGGACAGATTCCGCGGGCTGATAGTCAATCTTCAGTAGTTGGAGAGGCAATATAAGAAGAACTTAATATAGGTATGCTATTCGGACTCTAGCAGGTTACGATGGGCACGGTCCTAAACCGAAAAGTAGACAACAATAGACCTCGAAGGCTTGCTGATATGGGCAAGTTATATGAATAGATGAAGTGTAAAAGAAAAAGCCAGAGTGTTAACACGGGCTTTAGACTGGACAAAAGTTAAGCTTTGCTTTAAGAAAGGATTTTGTATCTTTTTCGGTGCTTTTTTTTATGTTAAATGAATTTTATAAGCTCGTCATTGATTCCTCTAATATAACAAATTTCGAGGCGAGCTATTTTTCAATTCAAGCTGAATTAGCTGTAAGAAACCAAAACTGTAGAGCGAAGTATAAAATTTGTGAAATGAAATCTCAGGTCATCTTCAACAGATTAATATTAAGTGATACATTAACATATTAATCACGAATACATTTATTAATAATAGAAATCTCCTTGATTTTGGTTATCGCTCTTATATTAATCGCACTTAATGAACTGTTGCCACTTTCTAGAATATTTGATACTCCTTACATAGACTATCCATTTTCAGTAACATATATAAGGATTACGAAAGGATTCGGCTCGACTACAAATCTACCCCATCATAAAGGCCAAAGCAAATAATAACAGCTAGTACTACTGGCCAAATTCGGAAAAATTTAAGAGAGAATGAGATTTTGTATAACTCGAGGTTATGGTGTCGAGGTCATGACCATGGGTTCATCCTTCATAGATAAGCTGCTAATAAGGTTACGCGGGCAGGAGCAATCGAACTATAAAAATACGTTATTTGAATAAATATACTAGGAATTAAATTAGTAAATCTACTAAGCCTACGAATTTTTTAACACATAATTAAATCCATATTAGATTTATCGTTAGATGTTTGCCACGTGAGCTTTTAGAGAATAGGCCTCCATTGATAAGCCATTTTGAATCCTATGTCAAGGTTTGTTAAACTCAAGATTGAAAGTAATTGTTGGTATTCTAAAGGTCACATCACAGCCTCTCGAATCATTCATATCTTATGATTTGTCTTTAGTACGGTTTTAAAAACATGTTATCTTATTTCTTCTATTTTTTTTTAGTTATTTGTTCAGTAGGTGTAGGCACTATCCTACGAGATAAAAATCATAGTCGTAAGTAGACAACGTTAATATCAGGTCTGTGGGACCTTCAATAAAGGCCTTGACACGAAAACAATTTGCAAGCAGACTGTTCATATAGCCAGTGGGTAAGATATAAAATGATCGTTTCTGTATAGATCATATTTCGGTTACATTTCGGTCAATATAGTTTTTTTAATAGTTTTTAGTTAGATCATTTTCAAGGCAAGAATTTGAATCGATAAATTACCGAGTAGTTAATACGTGTAACTGAGTCGTTCTATTGCAATGCGATTAACGAGGTCATGTTGTAAGCTTAAACGGATAGGAGAGCGTAGAGTTATGTAGAAATACGAAAGTTCTAAAAAAAAAAGTCAAATATAAAAAAAAAGTTCAAGGGAGCAAGTTGATTTTCACGCCTTTTAAGTTGTTATAAATCGAAAGGCAGGCCGCGTCGCGACTGGCCGTGGGAACAATTACCTGAGGCCCCAGGACATAGGATTACCTGTAGTAGCGCGAGCGATGACGCCCGATCCAAGTGATTGCGTCGCATTGAATCTATGATGTAGAGACGGTTCTTCCGCGCGGTGGCGCCTTGATGCTGTAGGTAAATTGTGTTCGCTTTTTAGCATGTCATCTATCGCTAGGTTTACAGTGCGGTGTATAAATAATGAATTTAATGCCAAAACTCAAAATATTAAAACTGGACACCTAAGTATTTTAGTCTAATCGGAGTACTGGCGGAGTGTTGGGTAGAGTCGTTGCGTTCACTAAAATATAGTTGAGCACAATAATTGCTGGCCCATCCGCCATACTCGTGATCGGGTGCTGCTTGCAGGGACAGGTCTGTTCATCTTTGCTCGTTTATTTACTTTTAATAATACATATAAATAGGATTTAATGCTAATTTTAGTCACAGTACCTATACAAATGTATCTTTTAAACAATAATTCGAAAAGAATATTAAGTTTTTGCGGATTCTTCACAACAGATAACATCTCGAACGAAAATTAGTACGGTAGTTTAGTTTTTAGATCAAAATAACAGTTTTTTTTAAATAAGCTGCAGTTAATAGTTGCAGATGATGCGATAAGAGGCACAAAGCTCTGCCTAGACTGCCCATGCGTTTACTCCGGTAGGGCTAATAATCTCTTTGATTGAAAATGCCGACACAAGTGTCGGTTTAACACTAGCCAAAAACAAGTTCTTGGTCTGGGGCCCTGGAGCCTGACTTACTGTAGATTTACTGCTGGTTCAACATCCTAAATTTGTAGAACCAATATTTTTATTATGTAACTACTCATTACAAAATCATTGCAGAAATCATAGTTTATTTCTCAATAGTTATATAATACACTATTGAAAATTACTTAGTCAATAAGTAGGTTATTTATTATTATTTTTTTTCTAAAGAAAGAAGGCAAAAATCAATCTTCCGTATTATGACGGAGAGCATAAAGAGGGTGAATAGAGAAACGAGACACAGTACACCAGTGTAGGAGAAAGATAACTCGAAATAAAATCCTTTAATATAATGATTTCCCTGTGGTGTCAAAGTAACATTTTAGTTAGAGACAGTTTGAGGATTGTCGTTTCAGTATCTCTCAATTTTTTTTTTTCTACAATATATACTCTACTAATACGACTTTATACTATACTTTTTCATTTATATTAACATAAAATAGTTAATGCGCTAATCTCTGGAACATTGCGGTATTTAAAATTATTTACCTATTTGATCTCTTAACTGTATATGCACTCTACGATCTGTCTTTATTTATAGCTGTAAGTTCCGCTGCTTATTTTGGGATGGGGCATCAAACAATTTTGGGGTAGGCACAATCCTCCCAGCTCACCTCTAAGTAAGCCTATGTTATGGAATTACCAATGGGTTTTGATTTTCTTTCTTTATTTGGCAGCTGATTTCTTACGGAAGGTTATAGACTAATCTTGTTTTAATTTTTTTTTTATATTATGTGATTTCTGTTTTTTTAAACAGGTTCAGTATCAGGCGGCGGGCAATGGACCCGAGCGCCACCGGCGCCGCCGCCGGGCGTGGTGGGTGGCGTGGGCGTGGGCGTAGGTGCTGGCGGTGTCGGTCTGGGCGGCGTGGGCGGGTCCACGCGTGGTCGTCGCGCTGCCGCCCAGAGGCATTCTCCCGCCGCGGCCGCCATGCAGATGCCGCACGCGAGCATCTCGGCGGCGGCCGTGCAGGCGCTCGCTAACAGTTGGAGCTTGCCCGGCACACTTACGCAGGCGCAAACACAACAAGTGCTTAGGCTAGCTCAGGTATGTTCTTCACTATTGAATAACTTGTCTGGCGATATAAATTTTGGTCGTGTGGTCCCGGCATAGAATAGACCACCCCTTCCTTTCCCGTGAGTATCGTAAGAGCCGACTAAGAGAGGGCGAGTGATGGGCAGCAGAATCCTTCTTAAAACAGCCTGACTGTGGTTGCCAATCCGCCTACCAAGAGTGGCAACTATTGGCAAAACCCCCCAAGGGGAGGCTTATGTTCAGTAGTGGACAGTTAAAGGCTGATATGATGATGATGATATAAAGTTTCTAAAGATGCTAAAATGTTTTGTGCTCAGTCCACAAATGTGTTTCAGAGATCTCGGTTTCTTATGGCAGATTATGTATGTTGTATTTAGCTGTGAATAAGGAGTGGATGCAATGATCATGTTCAGTAGTGAACAACGAATGGCTGAAATGATCATGTTCATTGGTGATCAATCAATAGCTGCAATGATAATATTCAGTAGTGAATAATGAAAAGATGAAATGAACATATTCAGTATTCAACAATGAATAGTAGAAATTATATGTTCAGTAGCGAACAACGAATGGCTTAAGTGATCATGTTCAGAAGTGAATATCGAATGGTTGAAATGATCATGTTTAATAGTGAACATCGAATGGCTCAAGAGATCATGATTATAAATACCGTCTTTACAACGGTATCCGCAGGCGCAAGTGGCAGCCCAAGCGCAGGTTGCGGCACGGTACAACATCGCGGCGGCGGCCGCCGGGTTACCTCAGCACCGCTCGCAACACCAGCGTAATGTACAGGTGATTATTTGCATTTATACATACAATCGATTTTTTTTCTAAATTTAGATGTTTTCAATCTAACGTATTTTTTTTATGCAACTTACAATGGCAAACTAGCTGACGGCCCACCTGATGTAAAATAATAACCGTCGCCTATAGACATAAGCAGTACCATGGACATATTATATACTGTTTCACCCATGATACCGCCCATGCGTTGCCATTCCCGAGGACTCAGGTGTTATTCCTCTAGGGTACAGAGGAATAACACCTGTAAATTCACAGCCATACAAACCGAAACATAGTCGTGTAAACACAACTGCTTCACGGTAGTAACACGAATGGGACAGAGGTGCCCAAGCAAATGACTTCTGTACGAAGTCTTTACATTATATTTTATGAAAATTCAATAAAGACACTTGTTGGGTGACGCCCATTTATTCTTTATTTAATAAACGTTTATAATAATTGAATCATCTGTAACTTTAATACCTATTCATAAAATTCGTGCCACCTACATTCTCAGAACAGAGGTATGATTTCATGAACCCACTACTCATTACTGTGGTATTTTTATTCAATTCAACAGGTGGTATTCTACCTTCCTTGTAGGTTTTTTTGTGATACTTTATATATTTATATGAAAAAACAAGTGTATAATTATATTGCTTTTAAGTATATGTATTTTTTTATTGACATCTTTAATAAATTATGCCTATGAAATATATACGCAAATAAAAAGTTAGTCTTAATTTTTTTTTAGTGGCATTCACCCTGATTTTAGGGTATTTTTTGAAAAATAAAACGAAGAAATGAGAGTAATAGTAAAAATACCTATCTCACGCGAATTAAAAAGGATAAGGATTTAGTCTAGAACAATGAATTTGTTCTCTAATATTATTTTTTAGTCAGTCTTGTTTTTAAACGTTCAACAAAAAGGAAACCTGTATTGTACAAAAACAAAAAGTAGGTTTTGCATATATCATATGAATTGAAACAATAAAATTTAATGAGGGAGATAAGATAGGAGCCCCCTCGCTGCGCGAGTCAGACTAGTACTCGAGGCTTGTGTTTTGGCTCTATATACGAATTTTTACAAGGAAATTTAATAATTCTAGTTGGTATATTATTTTCTTTTCAGTTTTGTTTTAGTATCTACATATATCTGCTTCTTTTTTTCTTACCTAATTCGAACAATCTTGACATGTTTTTTTAATAAAATCTGTAATTTAAAAATAATTAACTGCGTACGAACTTTTTAACTTGTTTTTTTTTTGTTTGTTTTACGTTAAAACAGTAAAAAATGTCAAGATTGATTCCTATTAAAAAAAAAAAAAAAAACAAGTGAAGGAAAACTACATTATTACTTTCACTTCAAGCATGTTATTGATTATTTTTTATTACACTTGCATTTGTTCGATTGTGTTTGTGGCGCATAAAAATATGTTTGTTTATCGTTTATTTCAGTTTCCCAACAGTGCAATAACAATGGCTATGGGTCAACAGCCCCCTCCACCTCTAGTGAGGTGCTCGGCCAACACGTCGACAATGAAGTGAGCATGTTTTCAAATATCCACTGTTGTAGATCTAATGTGAGAACAGCCTTTGTTCTATGTTAGCTGTTGCCCGTGCGAATTCTTTAGGGGACGTCCATTTGATTATGTAAGATAGTTCAAGACACGGGAAGTTTATATTTTTTTTTAATAATTTAAAAAAATACTAAATGGTGCAAACTATGTTTGTTCGCTTGATGATCCTTCGTGATCAGTCGGATCATGAAACGATTTTTTTTTGCTATAATAAAACGCATGTCCTTTTGAATTAGCGGTTTATTGGAAGAGGGTTGCCATATAAAAAAATATATCAGTGATATCACATTTAAAAATAAAAATTATTATAAACTCGTTATGTCTTAAAGATTAAAATTTTAACCCCTTCTCCCTCATTAGGGAGTTGTGGTAAGACCCTTATATCTTTTGCGTGGGATTTAAATAATTGAATTTTTATGATATGTTGAAAGAAATAAATAGAATTTTCTCGTGATTTTTTCTTTAATCTTTTTGCAAATAAATTTTCCAGAACTCTACTTCCATTTTAAGCTCGCGTAATTAATGGTCGCCCCCCTTATCTCTCATTGCTGTGGGAATTTTAGGAAATTCCTTCTTAGTAGTTACTTCAACAATTTTAAAATTATATAAATTTAACGCATGATGATTGCTTTTAGAGCCAACGGTTTGGACTATGTATTGCGTATTAGTCGGCGAATACATTCTTATTGCACTTTTACAAATAGTGACAAATATTTGTATTCATAATGCAAATATTTGTTTTATGATTACTTACACTTCAAATATGAAGTCGGTTTTGCAATGTGTTTTTATATAACTATCGTATATGTAGTGTAAAGAAAAAATTGCGTTAATTATAAGGCTGTTTTTACATGATATAAATTCAAATGTTAGTACTTATTTCCACTCGCCATTGTCTTGACACTGATTTTGTGTGCAAGGTACTATCTTATGTAAATGCTATGTGGTTTGGAACTCTAGAACAAGCGTGAACTTATAAAGTATGTAACATTCAGAAAATGTATGTGTAGGCGACGCACTACGATTTTAGTTTATTATTATTTGTACTTTTTTACCTGTATACTAATATAAATGTACCCACTTATTTAATACAGTTCATTATAAATAAAAATTAAAAATACTGAGGGTACGCAATGTACTTATAAAATTAGAATTACCTTTTCCTTGCTTAGTGCGTGCTCTGTCAGTGCATAGACAACATCTAAAAATCGGTTTGTTATTTCGCATCCTTTATAGTATGCTTATTAAAAACTATGCACCTAGTGCCATTATTAATAAGGTAAGATCGATTTAGAAAATGGGTCGTAATTTGAGTAGGTAATTGTTAAATCGTTAATGATCGATCGATTTATTATTGTTAAATAGATCATGTGATTGCACGGTTTGTATAAAAGGCATTGATGTAAAAACCTACAATCGGTTACCAATAAGCGGCATTAAAAATAGAACGCAATCAATTGTGTTTTCATTTCTACTCAGCATGTGACGTTTTTAGTCGATATATTCATTTAATTATTATTTTTGAGACAAGCTTTACAGCTATTAATAATTTAATATATTTTTTTTTTAAAACAAGCTGACGGCCCACCTGATGGAAAGTGGTAACCGTCGCCTATAGACACGAGCGGTATCATGGACATAACAGTGTACACTGTTTCGCCCATGATACCCCCCATGCGTTGCCATTCCTGATGAAATATTACAAATGACAACAATAAGCTAATTAAAAGCTACCACCACATATAGTTAACGTATTACGATAGTATTAAATTTAAAAATCCATTTTTCTATCAAACACGTTTTATTGTATTACCCAATTTACCTCATAGTACAGGAAATGAAATACACACAGTAAAAGAACATTATAAAAATGACAGTGACAACTTTTTATTATATGTATTGATTTTCGAAAATTCTGTCTACTCGTGAGAAGCCGGGTCGGATCGCTAGTGATAAATAAGCAGGTACTTTATTTTACTCAAAAGAATATTTCATATGGAATTTGTATAAAATAGGTTAAAAATTATCTCTTTATTAGTTTTTACCCGCGACTTCGTCTGCGTGACTAGGATAAAAGTAAATCTTATATCCTTTTCCATTCCATATAGTACGTGTATACCGAATTTCATAGCGATTGGTGAAGCTGTTAAGGCGCTATAAGGTAACAAACAAACGAACCCATTTTTATATTTATTTATCAGTAAAGATTTTCTCTTATGTTCTTTTAGGAAAGTTTTCAGTATAATTATCATTACGTTTCAGTTTGGTACATAATTAAAAAAACACTGCAACTTGAAAATGACATTTACTATTTGGACTAAAAAATTTATGAAAACATATTGTATGTAAGGAAACCTTTTACCAAAGTTAGTGACTATAATAATAAAAACTTGAGCCATAAAGACAAATTACTGTTGCAACTGTGTCGATTGAAAAAGGTCGGTAATTCGTTCCTAGGAAATCGTGTAAGGTGTAATAAATTTCCCAAATCTAACCTAGACTTTGCCCCAAAGACGTTTTAACATAAAGCTGTTTTTTTTTTTAGAAATAAGAGTTCCAAACACGCTTGTCACGCTCCTCTGGAGAAGTTTTTTTTATAAACATAATATCCTTAAATAGTGTCATACTCGCATATTTATTTATTTTATTTTACTTTCTTACCACTTCTCTAATGGTTCACAAATTAATTAATGAAATTCCATAGCATGCCCATTGTCCCTAAAGTATAATTATCTACACTTCATTTTCTATTTAATCCTTAATCGCCATATGGCTGTGTGGTCCCGGCCTATTCTAGGCCGCCCCTCCCTTTCCCGTGGGTGTCGTAAGAAACTACTAAAGGAGGGCGAGGGATGGGCAGCAGAGTCCCTCTTAAAACATCTCCAAAGCTTAACCGCAGTTGCCAACCCGCCTACCAAGCGTAGTAACTACTGGCAAACCCCCCAAGGGGAAGGCTTATGTTCAGCAGTGGACAGTTAAAAGGCTGATATGATGATGATGATGATGATTATGAATGGCCTTATTCATAAAATTTCTTATAAATCTATTCTAGAGGTACATCTCTTTCTTTCAGTCAACATTGTTAATTTTGTATTGACTTGGTAATAAATGACGAAAGACTTGTTTAATACTTATTGGTTTTATAGAGACCGACATTAGTACAATGGTGACGACATAATTATGAGAGAGGACGCGACAATAGTGATGCGCCGTTCCATTAGTGATGTGACCTTAACTACTTAAATTTATATTCATAACAAATTTGACAAAAAATTACATTTATCAATAATTCATCATAAAGTTTTTTAACCCTTTGAGTGCTGACGACGACGACGACGACTGACGACTGAAAAATATTAAAATTGGATAGTTTTTGGAGGAGATACAGTTTTTTAGAGACAAGGCTAAATGACATGAACACGACAAAGATTTCTTTGGCATTTTTAAGTAGATATGAGTAAAAATCAATGACACTAAAAGGGTTAAGACTTTATGAATAAGTAATAATTTTGTTGATGGTTGCAAAAAACTAATAGCGCAAGTTGTCGTTCCAGTGTGCCTCCTCAAGTGACTGGATCAATGAATGGCCACTCAACCTCTCACTCCGTGGACAGCCGCAAAAGGCTTACACCGATACCAGATATCAACATTACTGGCAACCATACGCCATATAAGGTTAACTATAGTGTTTAAACTTGTTACGAGTTAAATTTAAATAGATATAAGTATATTACATAGTAGCAGTTTTTTTTTTAAGATTTTTTTTCTAAAGCCCGTCGTGATACGTTTCCACGTGGACCACGTCGACCTGACAGGGTATAATGCTAGCAATGGGTCTGGTAGTCCCCGTTATTAATAATCCCTTCCCCCTGAGCACCAGTGAGTGATGATAGGTTAGAATTAACAGGCGGGTCAGCTAGCCCATCGTGATGAATTATAGAAATAGGGTATGTTGCTAGCAATGGGACTGGTAGTCCGCATTACTAACAACCCCCTTTCTCCTCTCCCCCATAGTTGTTTTTGATGGGTGATAATGAAATAGTATACCACCCGCGCTATCGGTTTACACTGGCGGGGCACCAGTGAGGGATGATAGGTGAGGATGAAGAAAGTCAGTTAAGCCCATCGTGATGAATTCAACAAGAATTGTTCACTATGGTTTTCATGGGGAACCACATGGAGGTCGACCTAATAGGGCGGGCCTATTGCTAGCAATGGGATTGTTAATTCCCATTACTACCAATCCCCTCTCCCCCATATATAAGGATATCGCCGTGTGGTTACGGCATACAATGGACCATCCCTTTCCCATGGGTATCTTAAGAGACGACTAAAGGAACTTAATGGTCGAGGGAGGGGCAGCTCCCCTCTTTAAATATCACCAAAGCCTAATTGAGGTTGCCAACTTGGCCTGCCAAGCGTGGCAACTATTGGCAAAATCCACCCAATAGATGGAAGTCGATATTCAGCAGTGGACAGCTAATGGCTGATATGATGATGAAAATGAAGACTATTTCGCCTGATTGAAACCGTTTTAAGTCCAGCGTTATTTCTGCGGCACAACGCAACAACAGAAGAAGTTTCTAGATACTGTGATTTAGTACGTTATTACACTCGGCGTGTGACGTCTTACGATGCCACGTATCCTTTACTGTCTTCCAATCACAATTGGCAACTATCACATCGCATCTTCTCAATACAATGCGCCGCGCGCTTATCTACCAGGACATTTTACACAGCGGAAGATCTGCAATGGAACATCGCCTAGTGCTGTCCAAAACTACAAATGCCCTCAATATTGTTTTTTTTTTATTTATTTATATATATTAACATATATTTATTTTGTTGTGCGTGTCGTTCAGGTGCAAAAGGCGCTGGTGGAGAACACGATGGTGCCGTGCATCAACGCGAAGCCGTACCAATACACAGAATTGCTGATGACGTTGCCGGATCTCGCGAGCCACTTTTTCCCGCGTGTTTCTCTCGTCACCTGCCGCGCCATGCTCGACGCGCTCGGCCTCACGCTCTTCAGGCCCAACACGTATGTTCATTGTTATTAAAGTTCCCATATTTACTAGTTAAATAGATATATAATTTATTTGCATCACTTACAGCACATAAATAACATTAGCTACTGGTACATATTGAAAGAAATAAAACATAACATATACAAAAAAAAAAAAAAAAAGACAAAAAGAAAGTACGTAAAAAAGGTCACACAATTTCTAGTTGGTCCCCGCGACTTTGTCCGTGTGATGGGCAGGCACCACACGCTTCTTTTGTGGTCAATCTTGACATGTCTTAACAGCATTATTAATTTAAACAATGATATAACTAAAGATAATAATAAGTTCTGGGTTTTTCACACAAGACAACGATATTATAAATACAGTAAAGAAATCAGAAAAAAGTTATTCTTTTATAATGTTACAATAGTGGAATAATAATGATTTCTGTATTTCTCATGTTTATAAAACTAATAGAGTATAAAGTTAGTAATTGGTCCACTAATTCCTATCACTTACATTTCCCTCTACCACACGAGTAGAAATAATATTCTTCTAATAAGTGTATAATGATCGCACAGTACGCAGCTACAAGTGCTGCGTAATTCGGGCAAGTGCAAGAGTGCAGCGGCCGGCGAGAACGGGCTCGCGCTCGTGCAGATCCGCGACGTGATGCAGCACATGCCGCAGTTCAAGTACATGCTACGTTCCGGGCTCGCGGCCGACGAGCCGCCGCTACAGCCGCCGCGTCCCGCACACGCCGCCCACGCCGCACACGCTGCCCACGCCGCCCACGCCGGCCACGCGCAGCAGCCACCGCATCCCAAACGGACGCGCGCCAACTGAGCGGATATTTGAACTGTCCGGGGCGCGACGCAGCCCAGTACCGTGTTAACCGAGCGGGACATGTCGCAGACGAGTATCGTGTTAGCCGAGCGGGACATGTCGCAGGAGAGTACTGTAAGCGCCTGGAATATAGGCGAGTACGTTTCAACTGAGAAGAGCCTTTCTCATATGTATGGCTATGTGACTGAGTGAAGCACATCTTGAATATGCCAGTTGAATGAGAGTTCATTCTGGGTGCGACTTATTCTATCTGAACAGTCCCCCCCACGCCATACAACGAAGCCCACGTCACACAAGCATCGTTATCCAAGCCTATTCGTGCTAACTGAACGGGATCACACCATACACGAAGGCTCGCATCCCAAATGTGTCTTTCATTCAAATGGATTTATATACCACAAGATCCGTATACCACACGGGACCCATATACTCCACTAAACTCATGCTGTACTCCAATCACGCTCGTGCCAACTCAGTGAATCACCCCCCCTGCCGGGGCCGCACGTGTCTCCCCACAATCCCACGAACTGTCGCACCTGTTGTAATGTAATGTAAAATATCGACGTCTGTCAATTTTGTGATGTTGTACAAATTGTATGATACTGTATTGTAAATCGGAAGATCTAATTTATACGATCTATATTGAACTATATTATAGAAGACTGAAATTTTATTTTATAATTATTTCATATATATATAAAAAAAAAAAACCAATATAGTTGATGTTGTGAAAACGATTGTTTAGTTCAGTAAAATTTTCTATCGAGCGTTTTGGTGTTAAAGAGTTTCTCGAGTGTCGAGTTGTAGTGTATGAAAATTTGTACATAGTAGGATATTCAAATTATGCATTTGTGCAAACTTGTCTCTTTGAATGTGCGTTAGAATATGACGTATAAAATGATGCTTCAATGTCCAAGCGCTGCTCTTGTAATAGTCTGGAATTTGAGTATTATTTTATTATTCATAGAGATGTGCATAATATTGCTTGGTATAACATTACAAGCGACGCTTAGCGTTTAATTATAACAATATCATCACAACAATTGATAACCTCAGTTACACAAATGGTGGTCACATTAGACTTACAATTTAATATTGTAACGGTAACTGTACCAAGATATCGTAAAAGTAAAACGCAGTATGATACATGAATGTAATTATAATATTCCATTAGAAATTATAATAATATTCGAATACATGCAGTCTACAAATAAAGAGTCAGGGGCCATAACTCGTTTTTCGAAGTTTTGTGCACTGTCTATATTGTATACTTTACTGAAATAGGTATACATTTAATACTATTATTTAGTGTAAATTGATTCAATAACATTCTAAAATGTAATTTCTTTTAAAAGGAGATGTTTCATTTTGGGCTCAGTCAGTGTACAGTATCTCAAAAGATTGAGAAAAATATGTGAATTAAGAGGAAAAATTGAGAAAAAATCAATTACTAAGTAGTTTATGGACACAATATCTTGGTTTATTTAAAAATATGTATATTTATGACATGTTTTATATAAGTGAATAATGATTGAGGGATAGACAACTACTGGCAAAACCCCCTTTTATGGGGGAGACGTATTGTTCACCAGTGGACAGTTATATTTCATGTAATGTGAATGAAAAATAAATATTTTTAAATCATTGTAAATTTTACAAAATTTTACAATTAGCTTTAATAATAAATATTTATTAGATACTAGATGAAAACAAAATGTGAAATCTCATGTGTTTGACAGTTATTTAGTGATATACATATTTCTGCTATCAATGAGAATCAAAATGGATTTTATATTTCTTTTTGTGTTACAAATATTAAATACGAAAATAATTTCGTACCAGAAAATAAAGTAAAATTGCAAGAAAAGACATTAAATTCAAATATATTTAGAATTCGCCTTTTTATGTATAGTGCACACTGAATATGCCCTGACTCCATACAATCAGAAACATCTCCTTTCAAGCCAGTCTTATTTTTTAAGACTGGCCATCTTTGTTCGTAGTATATGTGCTTTGAATTTGGAACGGCGGCGTTTGTATAAATATATTCGCTTGTACGAGAGATGAAGATTTTCTCTGACCCGCGCACATAATACAACTACATTAACAATCATTACGCACATTAATGCGTATATATCGCAGCACCACTGCATTTGTCTAGTATACTAGTTGATGCAGTGATGAAATGTCTGGCCAATCGATTGACATTATATAGCAAATTTAGATTTAATTTATGCCCAGTTAACAATACTAAAGCACTCGCGTACGAGTGATTCAGTGGAAGCGTGTATATCTTTCAAGTGATTAGTAATTAAGACTTAACTCATAAGACACTCGAATTTATGTGATGCTAAAGGGTCTAGAGCGAGCGTTTTAGTAATGGAAACCGAGCCTTTTATAGGTAATATATTTTCCGACGAATGGAAAAACGTTGGTTCCTATAGGTAGATATTGACAAGATTGGAATTTCATTTAAATAATGGAGACTAAGTTACGACCAATTGTAAGCTATATAATGCATGGGTTATACATAATGATCTATACTTAATATTACTTATTGCTAACATTGTACTGTTTATATTTTCGTGCCCCCTAGTTGCAATACGTCAACTTTCGAAATTTCAATGAATATAAAAATTTGCATAATTCATATAATTCTTATTATTACTATATCAATACTTAGAAACTATTTACTAAATGACTATTTTACCAAGATAACCAAATTAGATAACTGGTTATCTAGGAGGAAAAAAATGCGTTTATTAACTTGGTTATTTAACGGGATATTAGTATTACTCGTAATTACCTAATGAATAGATAGATAATTTATTTGCATTACTTACAGTATACAAATAACAATAGACGTTCATAATAAAAAGAGATAATAAAAATACATATACAAAAGAAAAGCAAAAAGCATAAAAAGTAAAAAAAAATCTCTTCATGCGTGTGCCATACTAACATAAAGTGGCCAGTTTATTGCTTTGCCCTTAAAAGAGCAAAACACTGATATTCTGTTGTGGCCAAAAGCCAGCCATGAAATCCCTTAATAAAAATAAAAAAAAGAAATATGGATAAAATACATTGTGAGTGCCCATTACATTCACTGTTATTTTTTATTCTAAATAAATAACAAATACCATTCGAAGAAGGGTAACCGGAGGTCACTTGCTATCGATTTCAAGCGCTCAAGCAATAATTACTAACTCGGTAATATTACATATCACTATTTATCCTAATCAGGCTGGATAGCACAAATAATTTTTTTGGGTATTGAAATCCCAAAATAATTTTATTTCGACATTTAATTTACCAAAAATATAAGAGCCATATTTTTGATATCTGATTGGATTTATTTTACCAAAAATATTTTACTTCATACAAATATTTATTTACATTTGTTGTTAATATTAAGAACAATAATTTTATTATATTTCTTCTTTTTTTTTTTAATTTTAAAGTAAGCTTTATTTTTAAATTTACCAATGTATTGCTATTTTAAATACAATGCAAATTACCAGTTTTAGAACACGAAATTATTTATTTATATCTTTTTTTATATCTCAAAAGGTATCATCAGTTCTACGCGGTTGGCACCAAAAATGTTTGTATGAGACGTTTTATTTGCTTTAAATATTTTCTATAAAAAATATTTTGAAAGTTGATGTTTTGTTGCTACAAAGTATAATACAGTTATTAATAATTTATTGCATAATTGAAAAAAAGGAATTTGTAAAAATATTAACCGTTATTGTAATATTATTATTAAATAATATTACAATAATAAATATGTAATTTATAGAGACAACTAAAATATTTTTAATATTTTGGTCGTGTCTATAAATTGTGTCCTTCAATATTTTTGTATATAGGTATGTTGTCAACATAAGTTATTCATTCAAGTATGAATGAAATTCCAGTCGTCAAAGGCTTCCGGCATTGAATACAATGCAAATATGACAGTGCCTGTGGTCTCCAACTTCACATTATTGTTCTCAGTTCACAGATTATATATAAAAAAAATACAGGTAAATATTTTTATAGTTTTAATTTTTAAACTAAACAATGGGGTCAATTCGGAAGCGCCATTTTTCTAAATTGATTTCTAAAAAGCGAAATCTTTATTCTAAAGACTAATATAAACTACATTAAAGTTAAAATTATTATAAACTTGGATTAGGAAACAGAGTAAAATCGCAGAACTATCAAATTGAAATATTAGGTTCAGAAGCAAGTTTAGATAAATAACGCTTCAGAATCGATCCTAATGACTGTTGGTAAATCAAATCGGTATTACTTTATGAAGTGAAGCGGGCAAGAAACTTGTAGGCCTTGTAGTATTACGAGCGATAATTTAGAGATTAATTTTTTTAGTATGCCAACCTGTATAAATTGTATGTTAAATTATTTATGACATAGCTGTAAGCAGATATATAATACGATATCTGATATAAGACGCAATTCTCTGCGGGGCCCTGTTAAAATACAGTGTCTTGTCGAATCATTGATCCTGTATTTGAAGAAAATAAAAAGATTCTTTTTATTTGTTGTTTCACTTTTTCATAATTGTATCCTGCTCTTTCGTGCACGTAACGGATTCACGTAAATCCGTAATATTTATTTATGATATCGATCAATACATATAATAAAATCGTAACTGGTCGCTGTCTGTACATGGAAGATATATGAGAAAAACTATATAATAGGGGGGCTTTATGAACGCAATAGAATCCAAAACAATGATTTTTAGAATTTTTGTATGTCTGTTTGTCTATACGTTTGTACACGCTAATCAGAAAAGGCTTAATCAATTGGAATGCGGTTTCCACTAATACGTTGCTGTTTGCTACACATAACATTTAATGTTATGTTATTTAAATCGGTTGATAAATAAAATAGTTAATTTATAAAATCACATATAAAATGTTATGAAATAACCGTCGAGTTGAGTTGGCTAAAACTTTGTTTTGGTTTTCGAAAATTCTGTCTTATTCGTGCGAAGTGGGGTCGGATCGCTAGTCAATAATAAAGTCCCTATGTCACGTTGGGTTTTTTGATAGGTGAAAATGGTATGGTAACCTTGCTTGCCTGCGCTAACGGGATACGCTGGCGAAGCACCAGTGAAGTGTGATAGATGAGAATGAAAACAGGCCAGTTAGCTCATCATGATGAATTCATCAGGAATTAACCATGATAGTTTCCAGGGAGAACCGCGAGGAGGTCGACCTAGTTGGGTATATTGCTAGCAATGGGATTCTCAGTCTCCATTACTAATAGTATTTCCCCCCTGTCACGTTGGGTTAAGTAATATTAGGTGATCACTTGGTTTGTGTATTGAACGAATTGTTAGTACGACGTGGCTGCTTTTTGTGTCGTTTTTCAAAGAATTCTCAGCGATATTTCATACACTTTTGCATGCGTTCAAACCAATTTTTAAAACATTTATTCCACTCCGAAGTGGGGGTAGTCAAAATGGTCGATTTGTATGTGTCAACAGCTTCTTCGGGTGAGCTGAAATATTGACCAAGAAGACTGCTTAATTTTTGAGAACGTTAAAAAATCGTTAGGGCTTAAGTCAGAGCTATAAGGCGGATGATCTAAAATTTCGACATTTTGGGTGCTCAAAAACATCTTTGTTTGGCGTGCGGTGTGCGAACTTGCATTGTCATGGTGCAGTATCATACGACGTCTTGAATTGTTTTTTCGAAATTCTGTGATGACTTGTGGTAACAGTCAGCGGTAACCGTCTTGCTATCTTCTAGTACAATAGTGGCGACGTGACCACCCTTTGCCATAAATGAGGCAACTATTTTTTCGAAGTGCTCCGTGAGCGTATGACTTTGGTCCGTTTTATCTCATCTTGGAAGACCCAGACAGATGACTGCTGCTTATAATCTGGATCGCAAGCATATATCTAAGACTCATCCACTAACCATATCATAAACATGCTTTAACTCTCCTCGGCTGAATTGCTGCAGAGTTTTGCGACACCAACAAACGGGCTGTTTTTGGTCGTCGCTAAGCAAATATGGTATCCAACGAGAGATCACGTTTCTTACGTCAAGTTCTTTGTGCAGGATTTTTTGGACGGTGGTTACTGAAATGCTTACGGATGCCTCTTTTAATTTTACATATTCATTTTCTATACACTAGCCTGTTATGAATTAAGAAAAATAACAACTGATGATTCGTAATATAATTTTTACTAATTATATTTACATAAGAAGTAATGAGGCAACCATATGATTTACAGTTTCTATTTTATCATTCCTTCTATGTAATTCCTTGTTCTTAGGTTCTTAGCATTTTCTGTACATTAGCCTGCTATGAATTGACAAAAATAGCAACTGATGGTGTCATCTTTTGTCCTATTTTTCCTAATTATATTTGCATAAGAAAAAAAAAGGCAATTATATGATTTACAGTTTTTATTTTATCATTTCTTCTATGTAATTTCTTGTTCTTAGCATTGAACATATTATTTTTGTCAGTTCATCAATTTGACTTTCAAATGGTAGCTGTCAGTCAATTTCGATTTGCATTGTCACTAGTACAGTACTGTCAGCTGACTGATTTAACTGTCATGTATAAAAACATGGCGATCACCATTTTTTAATTTTTTTTTCTTTCGGTGTTTTTTAAAAATTATTCAGTGAAAACGTCGAGAATACAGTGTTATAAAATATACCGAACATAAAAAAATAAACTATATTTCTTATATACGTGAAGCAGAATTGCAATGGGAGCTGACATTGAACAATGCTTTGGTCATTTCATTAATCTATTTAATTGTTTTAATTTCATTGTAATTTTTCGTCTACTGTTAGGAGTTAGCGTTGTTTTTCATTTTTAGTATATTTTAGCTAATCTATTACATTAGGTATTCTCTAGGGATTAGTTTTAAGTAATAGGTTTTCATTTCATGTATTTTTAGATTTAATGCTTTAATTATTAGCTAAGATGAATATTCAAGTGTGTAGGGACACCTCAGACGCTGTGGCGCTATATTTGCCTCAGCGTTTGTATTTAAAGTCATTCGCAAAGCTAAACATTTCTGTCCAGCTCCCTTCTCACAAGGTACACAACAAATCAATTTCCAATTGGGAATTGATGGAGAAATTTCGCAAGATGATCCTACCTGATGGATTCTCAATACTGAAAGTGTCGAAGCACAGTTCTGAAGTGATAAGGTTTGATGCTGAATTGGAAAATAGAAGCAAATTAGAACGAGTAATGTCGCGGCTTGATGATCGTGTCATCCAATTAAATGATTACCCTGAACCCTTAAAGGTTAGGGTATCAGAGGCAAAATCTGATTTCCCAAGCAGACATTCTTGGGATTCTTTCTTCCGTGACTCAACTGATATGGATGAGATGAAGCCTGGTGAAAGACCAGATACAATTCACATAGAGAATTTGCCTATACGTTGGTTTGTGCACGAAAAGGAACTTGACGATGATGCCCCTCCATCAGAAAGTATATTCAGAAAGGTTTTTGAGAAGTTCGGGTCTGTCCGACAAGTTGATGTACCAGTTGCGGATCCATTCAGGATGCAGATGAAATCTACAATGAGGGGTACAACCACATCTGCACAGGATGCTGCATTGTATTTTGATGGCTATGTGCAGTTCAGTGAATATGTTGGCTTTGTTCGGTGCATGGACGCGTTACGAGGGCGGAAATTACTACGAAAGCGTGATGACATTGCTGAGTGGTGTGGTATAAGAGTAGATTTTGATAAGACCAAGCATATGACAGATGCGGCTGTGAAGAGAAGAGCAATAGTCCGTGAGAGGCTTCTAGCACGGCAGCAGAGCAAGGAAGAAGAGGAGAGAAAAGAGAGAGAGAAGATTAATAAGAGACAAGCTAAGGAAAGGTAGGTTTATTTTATTTTTTTATATAATAGTAATAAATATTACTGGACATGTAACATACTGCTATTGAGTCCCAAACAATGCGGAGCTTGTACTATGGATACTAGATAATTGGTAGACAGCTCAATATTTTTTTTTCATTAAATAATATATGTATTACACATAAAAAACACCCAAACTAATGCCAAGAAAAATAAATACGAATGTTTGTATTGTGTAGGGAGAGAACATGGTACGAACAAGAAGGTAAAGTATGTTAAATTGCTAGATCACAAGGGTCATCATGGGTCTTATATGTATATTAAAATCCTACTTTAAATTATGACTCATTGTCACCATATGTTATTAGGAGGAATAACTACCTAATGTGTATTATTATTTATTCACAGACTGAAGGCTGAGCAAGCAGAACAAGAGAAATTACAGAAAATGAGAGAAAGAGAAGAGAGAAGAAAAAAGAAGCAATTGGCCAAATTGATGCAGAGAGATGATGTGGATGTGAATGGAAAAGTGGTTGAGGAGCATCGGAAATTGTTGAAAGCACAGAAAAAACTGCAGGCCATAAGGTTGCTTGAAGAACTCTTTATGAGAATAGAAGTGAGACTTTTTTATTTATTTAACTAATTTAAGGTTTTTTTTATACCACTGTGGTGGTATAAATAAGCAGTAATAATGGTAAATGGTTACGGTAGCCTATGAATGCTTGCCATACCAGGGGTCATATGTTTGTACATGTACATAACACTGTACCTGTGTGTATCTTACACATGGTAGACATAACACTTAAAAGCATTCTCTACCAGTCAACCATTTGGCAAACACATGGTCCATGGTGGTATATTAAAATAAAAGAAAGACTAATAAAAATACATGCTATCTAAACCTTATTAATATTATAGATGTGAAACTGAATTGGTTTGTGATTTAACTTGGTACACCATTTAGTAGTGGTTGGATTCATTGGTTATTTTTTAATTTTTTTTTCTAAAATAGTGGGCAAAAAGTCGTCAGTTTAAGTATACATACTTTAGAATGATTATTAAATTTTTTTTTTAAATCCTTTTGTTTCCATCTACAGCTTCGGCCTGAGTTACAACGTAATGGCAAAGTGCATCATTACCACGCGTCCATGCAGCGAATAGAGCGCGCCCGATTCGTGGAGAGCTTCAAACGAAAGCAAGAGGATCTGGTTGATTCTATGCGCAATCAGTTTAAGCATGCATTAGATGGTAATTAAGTATTCCTTGATAAGGTAGTTAGAGAAATTTATTAATTTTTTTTAAGGGTTAATATTTTTTTTATACACATCAGGTGGGCCGTCAGCTTGTTTGCCATTCTAAGTTGTATAAAAAAAATTAATCATCATCATCACTGTCATTATAATATTATTTAAATAAAGATAAAAAAAATATAGTACATAAAAATGTTTTTTTTGTATTACAGGTCGCGTAGTTATAAGGACTGCCCTTGAAACGAAAAAACACGTAAAGGCTTCCTCAGTAAGTTCCATATCCTCCGATGAGGAGGTCGGTCCCAAAAGAGTAAAGACTGAGCGTTTGACCACGCCTGAAAGGGAAATGGAGTATAATAAAGTTACAGGTGAATAATAAATATTGTCAGCCGTCATTATAATTATCGTCATCAAATGATCACGTCATTTCAAATAATCTTATATATAAAATTCTCGTGTCACGGTGTTTGTTACCAAACTCCTCCGAAACGGCTTTACCGATTTTTATGAAATTTTGTGTGCGTATTGGGTAGGTCTGAGAATCGGTCAACATCTATTTTTCATACCCCTCAATGATAAGGGTGACCCTCCTCATAAATTTTTTTTTGACTTGTTGTATTATACATATATTTTTTGTTCTATTTAAATTGTTTATAAATTTCCTTTTTTATAAAAAACTACAATTGTTAATTTTTTTTAAAAAAGGTTCATTTTGAACAATTATCATAATAGTCCACTGCTGAACATAAGCCTCCCCCATAAGGGGAATTTTGCCAGTAGGTGCTACGCTTGGCAGGCAAGTTGGCAACTGTAGTTAGCTTTTGGTGATGTTTTAAGAATGACGTTGCTGCTGCTGCCTCGCCCTCCCTTATTCGCCTCTTATGACACCCACGGGAACGGAAGGGGTGGCCCATTCTACGGCGAGACCGCACGACATTAGTATGCGTGCGAATAAATTAAAACAAACTGTAGCGGAATTAAATAGTTATAATCAACTAACTAGTGATATGGACTTACGCTAAATAATACCTAATTTAGTAAAATATTTGAAAAACTTGAATTAAATTCTAATTTTTATAGGAATTGCCGTGTGGTCCCAGCATGGAATAAGCCGGGTTCCTTTCATGTTGGTGTCGTAAGAGGCGACTAAGGGAGGGCGAGGGGTGAACAGCAGTGGCCCTCTTAAAATATCTCCAAAGGGTAACTACGGTTGCCGGGAGGATTTGCCAGTAGTTACAGACAATCCGTCTGCCAATGGTGGTAACTACTGGCAAATCCTCCCAAAGGGAGGTTTATGTTCAACAGTGGACAGTTAAAGGCTGATATGATGAAGATGATGGTCAGGATACCTTCTATCTGACGGTAAAGGAGAAATATCAATAAATATAATTTTTAATATGATTATATTATTTGTATTGTTCCAGGAATGTACGGCATCCCGCCCTACGGTTTTGGGTACCCATTCCCAGCAGTGCCGCCTGGGTATCCTTATCCCCCGCAAAGTATGAGTATCATTGCATATTCAAATTTTACTAAACGCTTTTTATTTTTCCCTCAAAACAATGATATTTTGTTTATTGAGAAGCAAATTGTCCAATCTCTTAGAAGTGCACTATTCACTGATCTGAAATCAATGGCGAGGCCTTCAAATTACACGAATCGCTCTTGTAGCATAGTTCTTTATAGAACTTGTTCACTTATTTTATTATTAACATTAAAGTTGTTACACTGAACATACAGACAACATAACCTTCAAGAAAAGGGGGGGAAGGGATTGTTAGCAATGGAGTTTGAGAGTCCCATTGCTAGCAATATGGCCCCATCAGGTCAACCTCCGCGTGGTTCTTCCTGAAAACCATCGTGAACAATTCTCGTTGAATTCATCACGATGGGCTAACTGACCTGTTCCTGACCTCAAAAAAACTCGTTTTTTCCTAGAAAAATAAACAATTTATATTGCTAAGAAATAACCCTCTCAAACGAAAAGAAAAACGTCAAACCTCATATAAACCTATTTTAGCTATTGCACTGTTTTGTCTCGTTCTTTTACGCTAAATTCCTAATTTGAAAGAAAGTGTCAAAACATTTGTAGAAGTTTAGTTGTTTTTAATAAGGGGGTAAAAATAAAGTTCTCGAAGAAAAACGAGCTAAAAAGCTTGCTATAAATAAACTAAGCTGTACTAGTACCAACGGTTATTCTATATTACGCAGTACAAGTTATGTATACACCTATTATTGAATATGTAATGCCTTAGGTACAGATAATAAATTTTTCGAGAATTTTAATTTTCTATTTTCTAGTATATGGTAAAAATTTTAGTATTATAAAAATGTTTTCTAGAAATAAAGTTTTTTTTTTTCAGATCCTATTATTGAATACTAATATTAGTTTTAAGGAATGAGTTATGTTATTTATTATATTGTATATTAGTCGAACGCATTTCGTGTAATTTGAATTCTTTGATTCGGATATTAAACGTCGAACTAGTTAGTAGGCGCTCACTTTGACCGCTGACTAAATATTGGTGTTTATGCAGCCCTAAAAAATAATAGTTTTTTTTTAGTGACGAAAGCTCAGACAATATGCATCTGGAATAATTTAGATTTTGAATTCTTCAATATCAAGTAAAATCTGGGTAAATATCCATTTTATCCCCCTTAGACAAGTGGCAAATGCATTTATTGATAGAATCGTTGTTGCTACCGCGTGTCACCGTCCGGTATTAAGTCCGCCAAATGTACATTAAAGTTTAAATAAACAAATAAATATCTATTGACAGATTCGTTTGAAACTCATGTAAAAGGGCCGGAGAGTTCATATATCTGTCGTGGGAACATTCTAGATGCTTACTGATTGAGCCTAAAGATGTTAGTAAGGTAATATTAATTGGTCGTGTGCTGTCCGGCCGCAGCGTCGATGTACTACCCGGTGCGCGGCGCGTACTACCCGCCGCCGGCCGAGCCGGGCTACGCGCGGCGGGCCGCGGGCCGGGGCGGCGCGGGGCGCGGGCGGGGCCGCGGCCGCGGCTGCCGCATGCCCTACTTCGACGGGCCCGACGCCAGCCACCAGTACTACTTGTTAGTATGTCGCCTTTTAATGGGGGAATATGAATCGGTATTTATTTATTCCCCCGCCTATTTATTTATTCATTCTTTATTGTACACAAAAAATTACAACATATATAATTTCTTAACTCTGTAAGAGTTCTCTACCAGTAAACCCTGAGTGGAAAGGAGCATTAATTATTAGCGGGCAGTGTGCGTACAATAATAGAAGGAAACATAGATGTTTCTATTAAAAATAATAAATATGTTGATATATATACAAAGCAATTCATACAATTAAAATCATAATACATACACGGTTGAACATAGGCCTCTTGAGAAGGGGGTTTTGCCAGTAGTTTGTCACGCTTGGCAAGCAGATTGGCAACCGTAGTTTGCGGCTTTTGGTGATGTTCTAAAAGGGACGCTGCTGCCCATTCCTCCACCATGAACTCCCTTAGTTGCTTCTTACGGTACCTATGGGAAAGGAAGGGGTGGCTTATTCTATGCCGGGACCTACACACCTAGCACAAGAAATACAGTAGAATATATAAAATCAAAAGGTTCGTTACTTAATTGTACAGTAGAATAGTATTTGGGATTTTTAAAAAGAATAATTGACTTTTTTTACCGTACATTTAAAAGCCCGCGAATGATCAAGTGGATGACGCAATTTGTTCAATAATTGTGTAATGCCCTGGGTATTGCAGGCGTTCATAGGCTATGGTAATCGATTACTATTAGGGCCGTATGTAAGTTAGCTACCTTAGTGTTATAAAAAAAACTGTTTAGATACTTCAAGAAACTAACTGAGGCGGAGAATCACCACGAGCACGACGACCGCGGGCGGTCGCGGTCGCGATCACGGCGCCGATCATACTCGCGCTCACGGTCGCGCTCGCGGTCGCGGTCGCGCCGTCGCTCGTACACGCGGTCGCGGTCGCGGTCTCGCACGCGGCGGTCACGGAGTCGCCGCTCCAGGAGCCGGAGCAGGCGGTCGCGGTCCAGAAGTCGCAGGTCAAGGTAAACTCATGTTGGTTTTATTAATAAAAAATAGAATGGTAATCCTGCCTGCACTGCGAGAGAAGAATTGTTAGTAATGGGGACATTAATCCTTATTGCTAGCTATATACCCTGTCAGGTCGACCTCCACGCGGTTCTTCCTGGAAACCATCGTGAATATATATTATTAAATTTGTCACGATAGACCAACAGGACCTGTCTTTATCCTCGCCCATCATCCTTCACTGGTGCCACACCAGTGTATAATGATAGCGCGGGCGGAATTACCATTTCATTATCATCTATTAAAAAACATTTGCTTGAACTGTTGGTGTCTACTGAAGGGATACCAGTGACAGTGGTGATAGATGAGGATGAAGTCAGCCCAGTTCGCCCGTCTTTGGCAAACAAAATGGACCTTATGTTTCTGAATAAATAAATAATATTAACTTACATAGACCAAACTTATCGGCTTTGCTAATCAAGACGTTTTTGCATTTCAGATCTCATCACTCGCGGTCAAGGTCACGTAAACGGTCAAAGTCTAGAAGCCGTCGATCCAGAACTAGGTCCAGATCAAAAGGCAGGCACCGCACCCACTCCCCCAAGCAAGACGAGCGGAATGAACAAAATAGCGAGAGAAATGACAAATTAGTATCGCCCAGTAAAGTTAGACCAAGAGAGAGATCCAAGAGTTGGTCGCTACCAAAAGAAGGAGAGGGCAAGTCGTGGTCCAAGAGTCCGAAAGAGAATTGATTTGAATAAATTACAATTACATTTTTAAAAAATGAATCCGGTTGTTTTTTTCTTCAAAAGGGAAATAGTTCTCGATTCGTTTGTATTTTTTTATGTTTGTTACCTCATAAATCTGTTACTTGTAAACCGATTTGGAAAATTCTTTTTTAATTTTTTTTTTATACAATTTACAATGGCAAACAAACTGACGGTCCACTTGATGGAAAGTGGTAACTATCGCCTATAGACATGAGCAGTACCATGGACATAACAGAGTATACTGTTTCGCACATGATACCCCCATGCGTTGCCATTCCTGAGGATTCAGGTGTTATTCCTCTGTACCTTGTAAATTCACGCCATATTTCACCCTTCAAACCGAAACAGCCATGCAAACACAACTGCTTCACGGTGGAAATATGAATGGGACAGGTAGCCAAGCAATCGACTTTTGAAGTCTCACTCTGGTAACTTTTAACTGAAAGGATATACTTACAGATTTATCCCATACAAATTTTCTTAAAAATCAATTCATTAGTTTAGTTTTAACATTAACAACATAATGGGTTTTGCCACATTTTGAGCTTGGTTTTTTTATGTGGAACACATTTTCGTTATGGATATTCGTGACTCTAGATTTTTGTATTTTTATTGTATGGTCCAGTCGGATTTATTGTACGGTATATTAAGTGTATGGGTTTATTCGACAAAGGTTATCGTGCCCGTCAAAAGAAAACTTTCGAACGTTCGTTTTCGTTTACTTAATTCCCTACTACATTAACATAGGGTGGAAAAGTTCTCTAACTAATTACACTTAAATTAAACCGGTAGATTCCACATAAAAATTTTATATCGTTCTAAGTTTTTTTTTTTTTTTATTACCGACTACGATAATTTAAAAATATTTCTTAATAAACTTTTGTTCTGTTTTCTCTCTTTTTTATTATGTTAATGTAGTTTTTTTATTGGGTGATGATGGAATGGTAACCCCGCCCGCGCTATCGGTATACACCGGCGGGGCACCAGTGAAGGATGATAAGTGAGGATGAAGCAGGTCAGTTAGCCCGTCGTGACGAATTCAACAAGAATTGTTCACGATGGTTTCCAGGGAGAATCACGTGGAGGTTGACCCGATAGGTAAAATAGTATATTGCTAACAATGGGGCTGTCAAACTCCATTGCTAACACTACCTTTCTCCCGGAGGATAGGATTCTAATGGGGTTCTAACAGCTCTATTGCTGGTAATATATCCTATCAGGTTGACCACACAGGTTCCCATTAAAACCAACTTGCCTAATTCTTGTGGAATTTGTCACGATGGGTTAACTGATCCGCATTGATCTTCACCTATCAACCCTCACTGGTGCCCCGCCAGTGTATACCAATAGCGCAGGCGGGGTTACCATTCCATTATCATCTATTAAAAAATATAACATATCGTAGACGTAGTATTACGTATTTAGTAGGTATATACTATACCTACAGACATTTTAAGTACGTATTTATAAAAAAAAAAAACGCACAGTAGCTAATTACAAATGTCCAGATAAAATTAATGAGTATTAAAAGTGCTTATGGAAAAACCCGATTAATTGAGACAATCTCAATGCGAAAGCAATGATAAGTAACGTTTTAAGATTTCTACAGCGATATAGGAATAATTGTTGATATCTTAGTGACGTGGGAATGATTCAAGAGGTACTAGAAATATCATTAAATTGCCCAAGAGTTTTCAGCAAGTTTGAATGAGAATCTAAAATCAATCAAGTTCTTTATTCATACCACGTTAAGTAAGTACTTAAGTTAAATAAGTATTTAAGTTTTTTCTTCGCATAAAATTTTATTATCTTAATTTATATTTATATTAGACTTATTTTAATAGATAAATAGATAGATACTCTTTATTGTTTCCTCCAAAAGATTACAATAGTAAACTTATTATAAATAGATACAAACAATTTCAAGAAATGTTCACATTGAGAAAATAATTGGCGGCCATATTGTTTAAAGCGATCTCTTCCAGGCAACCTTTGGATGGAGAGGAGTAGTTAGTTAAAACAGTTTAATCATATTTTAATATAATATTAGTAAGGATAATATTAATTTGTTAATTCATTAACATTTACACAAAATATGTTCACGACTATACTAGTTCCTTTATAGGGTAGTCAGAGGCATTTGGTACTTGCTGTTGCGGGTTGAGTCTAATGACTTGCAGTAACCGCAGCAAACTAGAAATTATAGGGTACGCAGACAAAATACTACAGTCCTAAAGAGTCACAACACATAAGAATCTTTAAGAATGGTAACCTATAATGGGTTTTTTTATGGATGAAAATGATATGGTAGCCCCGCCTGCGCTAACGGGATACGCCGGCGGAGCACCAGTGAAGGGTGATAGATGAGAATGAAAACAGGCCAGTTAGCCCATCATGATAAATTCATCAGGAATTTACCATGATAGTTTCCAGGGGGAACCGCGAGGAGGTCGACCTGGTTGGGTATATTGCTAGCAATGGGATTCTCAGTCTCCATTACTAACAATCCCTTTCCCTCACCTATAATGGGTTTAACAGAGTATTCTGTGGTATTCATGATACTGTACATGTCTGTAGGCTTCGATTTCTATTTTCCAATGGATGGGCCCTCGGCTTTTTTACCATTCTAAGTTTGGTAAAACAAAAATAGCCTTAATTTGTATAACAAAATCTTTTGAAGAGTTACTGTAAGCTGTGACCGCGCTACGACTTAGTCCCTGTAACCTGTATGAAAAGTCCATCATAAATATCACTTAAGAGTATGCCAAAATTTTATCACAGTTGATTGAACTGCAAAAAAGTAAACGCTGCTTCGCCCCGTGACCAGGAATTAACGCATGGGGGGTATCATGGGCGAAACAGTATACTCTGTTATGTCCATGGTACTGCTCATGTCTATAGGCGACGGTTACCACTTTCCATTAGGTGGGCCGTCAGCTTGTTTGCCATTCTAAGTTGTATAAAAAAACAGTAAAGTAGCCCATGCCCATCTTCATATCAAATAAATTGAAGATTGGTCGAGTAGAAGGAAACAAACAAATTCACTATCATATTTTTAAACATTAATTAAGTTATTAATGAATAAATTTTATTAATTAATTATTTTATAAATTAATTAATTAGTTTCTTAAATTTACGAATTAGTTTAATTAATTAATTAATTTTATTAAATTATTACGTATTTTATTTATTTATTAATGACTTTAATTTATAAAATATTCAATGTTACATTTATCAGTATGCTGAAAAGCTGGCTGCTTTTAACACATACTGGCTCGTCTTTTATATAATTTATTACACTATACATATTTACGATATTAATAAGAATAATATGGAATGCTTATTCACGAGTAAATCGTGTACACATAATCTAAATTAATGTGATCCCCTTTACATAATTAAAGACAGGAAATGACGCAATTATCAATGGATTAGACCAGAATCGGTCTAGAAAGCATCCCTGAATTTAATCTGTGCTTATCAAGAGATTATGATATAATTACGGACGAGTAAATCAGCGATAAAGGTATAATTATTGTCGTTGTAATTTAATTAGTTAGTTTAGACATTAGTGTCTCGCTGACCGTTACAATATGAAGGTTTTCGCATTGTTTTTATTGTGCCTCATTGCTGCCGCTCAGGTACGTACCCTTTGAAACAAAATATTTTGCTAATGAAATTCTATTACGTTTTATTAATGAATTTTAATAAACAATAAATTGTACATATGTTTATGTTAATTTTATATTATTTAATAGATATCTACATAACCATACCAGAGAGAGACTTTGTACAAAAGTCGATTGCTTGGGTACCTTTGTCCTATTCGTGTTTCAACCGTGAAGCAGTTGTGTTTGCATGGCTGTGTTTCGGTTTGAAGGGGGAGATATGGCGTGAATTTATTGGGTACAGAGGAATAACACTTGAGTCTTCAGGAATGGCAACGCATGGGGGGTATCATGGGCGAAACAGTATACTCTATTATGTCCATGGTACTGCTTATGTCTGTAGGCGACGCTTATCACTTTCTATCAGGTGGGCCGACAGCTTGTTTGCCATTCTAAGTTGTATAAAAAAAATACATAAAAATAAATATTAATTATTTCCCGTTTAAAAATTAATTAAGCTATCTAAGTCCAAATTAAACAGAGCTTGTACCTTGGACCAAACTAAACAACTTGTACTATGGGTAATAGACAATTGGTAAATCGGTAAAATACAATTATCGTCGTCATATCAGCTTTAAACTGTCCACTGTTGAACATAAGCCTTCCCCTTGGGGGGTTTGCCAGTAGTTACCACGCTTGGTAGGCGGGTTGGCAACCGCGGTTAGGCTTTGGAGATGTTTTAAGAGGGACGCTGCTGTCCATCCCTCGCCCTCCCTTAGTCGCCATTTACGACATCCACGGGAAAGGAAGGAGTGGCTTATTCTATTATATAATATATATAGAAATAATCTACAAGAAAACCTAACGTTTTACAAGTAAAATACGTTCAATATTACAAGTATAGAGTTACTAAAGCTTTGATATCTCTATAAATATAATAATCATGGATTGATTATCAGTTCAAATTAAAAAGTTCCGCCACTATAATTCGTTCGTTTGCTCAATGACAATTGCTATTCCATAATGCATACGCTCATAGCAGTTTTATGGCTATCTCTTTCTACATCTATATTCATCATCGTCATTATATCAGCTGTTATTTGTCCATTGCTAAACATAGCCCGCCACCATGGACTGCCACAGGGAACAGTCCTGAGCCACCTTCATCCACTATAGCATACCATCGCCATAATAATATTTATATGTATCTCTCCAAATCTAAATACATAATACAATACAATTAGGAGGAATTGTTAGTAATGCAGACTACCCAAATCAGAGTTCCATTGCTAGCAATACACTCTGTCAGGTTGACATTCCACTCTCCCTTGGTAGCCAACTTGCTGAACTCCAGGTGTATTCATCACGATAGGTTAACTGACCTGTCTTTTTATTTCCACCATCATCATATCATCATATCATCTCTCACTAGTACCCCGCCAGCGTATATATTTTCTTTTATACCACTGAGGTGGCAAACAAGCATACGGCCCATCTGATGGTAAGCGGTTACCGTAGCACATGAACGCCTGCAATACCAGAGGTATTATGCGCGAGTTGCCGACCCTGAAGAAACCTCTTTACTCCCATTTTGAGGAACCCCATGCTGTAGTCTCTTGGGACTCTGGGGAAAACCTCGTTTTTCCGAGAGTCCCAACCTCGAAGCACAGGCGAAGTAAAAATACCAAATATCCATGTTAACATAATACAATTGTATAATAATACTGAATTAAAAGTTAGGTATTAATTGAATAAAAAGATAAGGCCACCTTGAGATTACACTAAGTTACGTAGGTATCTGATCTACTTTGTAATTGTAATATATCATAATTAGTGCCACAGTATCATGATAATATTCTTTATATAGCAAAATCTAAGTAAATTAATCGATTTGTCTGCTGATATAGTATTGAGCCGTAATGCGGATAGAGTATGTAGGTACATAGGTACTACAGTGAATAACTATTTATCGTCTATTCCAACTGCATTTAATAGAAAAGTTTTTTATTTTTTTTATGCAACTTAGAATGGCAAACAAGCTGACAGCCTACCTGTTGGAAAGTGGTAACCGTCGCCTATAGACATGAGCAGTAATACGTACATGATAGAGTATACTGTTTCGCTCATGATACCCCCTTGCGTTGCTATTCCTGAGGACTCAGGTGTTATTCCTCTGTACCCTGTAAATTCACTGCCATATCCCACCCTTCAAACCGAAACACAGCCATGCAAACACAACTGCTTCACGATAGAAATACGAATGGGACAGAGGTGTCCAAGCTAACGACTTTTGTACAAAGTCTCCCTCTGGTGAATGGTGGTGGTCTTCCATTAAATTGAATTTAATGGAAAGGTAACCAAGTTTTAGTGACATTATTATAAATGAAATTAGTAACAAAATAAAACATTCAATAAAATATTAATTAATTCAATTTTTGATTTAGTATTAATATCTTCTTTTCAATTAAGTGTTCATTCTTGTCGGTTCAACTAATTCATGCATTTTCTTCCCGCCAGCTCTATTCCAAGCTAAGGTCAGTATATAGACCTCTATATACGACATTACACTTAGTGTTTCCTTTTTACATTACAGTTCTAAAAATAATCCATTTCTAGACACATTCTCTTCACTAATATATATATATATATATATATATATATATATATATATATATATATATATATATATATATATATATATATAACATATTTTTGTATTAAACTGGCCGCGTATTCTCGGCATGAAATAGGCCTCCCCTTTTTTACCCGTGGGTATCGTAATAGGCCACTAAGGGAGGGCGAGGGATGGGCATTAGCATCCCTCTTAAAACATCTCCAAAGCCTAACTGCGGTGCCAATCCGCCTGCCAAGCGTGGCAACTACTGGCAACTCCCTCTCCCGCCCAAGGGAGAGGCTTATGTTTAGCAGTGGACAGTTAATGGCTGATATGATGATGATGATATTATTATTAGTTTGTTTACATTTTTATTAAGTTCTATTGAAATAGACTACATAGTGTAGTGTACTTTTACAAATTGAAGATACCTACTTAAAATTTAGAATGTCTATTTATGTTGCATTCAGCATAATGGTAACAGTACCCAAATATCTCTAACGACTCTATTAGGGATTCGAGTGTTCCGATTAGTTGTGAGCATATTTTATTTTTAGTTTTATAGTGACACACGATTAATCTATTATTTATTTTTTTTATTTTCCAGAGCCGTAGCACCGGTTCAAAGGGTAAGTTTAATTTAATGTGTATATTTATGTTCGATGTAATAAAGTCTATCTATTTCATGACGAGGGGTAAAAAGGATTGTTAGTAATGGGGAATAAAAGGTCGACTTCCATGCGGTTCCCCCTAGAAACAATGACTAATTTTTGAATTACTCATGATGGTCTAACTGTCCTGTTTGGAGGGAATAGAATTGTTAGTAATGGGTCTAATTTTCCCCATGTTAGCAAATACCCTATTAAGTCGACCTTCACGCGTTTACCTCTGGAAAAATGATTAATGTTAAATTTGTCACAAAGGGTCAACTGACCGACTTCATCCTCACCTATTATCTCTCACTGGTGTCCTGCCAGTGCATACCGACAGCGTAGCCTGGGTCACTATTTCATTTTTACCCATTAAAAAAAACTGTCCTTTTTTTATGCTCCCCTATTATCACTCATTGGGCCACGCTAGTGTCCAGACGGGGCTAACATTTTAACCCATAAAATAAGTACCGTAAACTAAAATCTACCTGCTGCTAATATTCATATAATGAAATTACAGTTGGCAAGAGCACTCTAGCAGAGGCTGGCCAGAACCCGTCGCTGGTGCACCTACGGATTGCAATCGGAAGCACCGGACTGCTGCAAACTTGTGCCGGCTCGCTCATCAACTCCAGATGGATTCTCACCACTGCCAGCTGCCTCAACAAGTAAGCAAACAATTATGTAACCTTGAAAACCAGTTCTCTTTCGTTATCAATTGCCAGTGATATTTTTATTTATTTATTCTTTATTAATCACATTACAAAAAATGTTTGCAATAGAAGGTGGACTTAATACTATATAGCCTTCTCTCCTAGTCAACCTTTAGCAAAAGGGGGAAAGGGATTGTTAGTAATGGGTCTAATTGATCCATTGCTAGCAATACACCTTATCAGGTCGACATCCACGCGGTTCCCCCTGGAAACCGTCGTGGTTATTTCTAGTGGAATTCGTCACGACGGGCTAACTGACTTGCCTTTTCAACCTCACCTGTCATCCCTCACTGGTGCCCCGTCAGCGTATCTCGATAGCGCAGGCATGGTTCCATTATCACCCATTAAAAAAAAAAACAATAAACAAACCAAAAAACCCATTAAAACAGAAATGTAATAATGCGGTACAGACGTATCAATATGAATTTACATAATACATACAATGGAGAACTACTGCACATTATGATTATGTAAATATATGGCAATACGAATCCTGTTTCCTACAGGTCAGGCTCAGCCTAGTGTAGGAATCAATGATAAATTCTGTGCAAAACTTATACAAACATACTTTGTTAGATAAATACATATTTATCTTAAAATAAATGAAATATGGATTGACTATTTCACTTGAAATTATTATCATATATGAAATATTTTATGTATTCACCAGTGTCCGCTTCATCTGGATCCGCTACGGTGCCTTGGAGGTGATCAGCCCCGAGCTAGTGACTGAGTCGAGCACTGTCCGCATCAACCCCAACTACAACGCGCAGACCGGCGAGAACAACCTCGCCCTGATCAGCATCAACAGGAATGTGGAGTCCTCCGGTAAGTCTCATATGTGTTGATTTCCTTATTCAAAAGTAATATAACATATATTTTTGATACTTTTTTAAAAAATAAGAATTGATGTAATTCTTAATTTAAAATAAAGATAAAAACAAAATATTCGTTAAAGTCATAGATTAAGTCATAGCATAATATCCGCCATTCTTTTTCTACGGTTGATATGGTTTAGCTTTTTTCTTTTAATTATTTTTTTTTTTATTAAATTAGGCTTAATAAATCACTTATAAGGTTATCAATGTGTAACAAAAAGGGCAAGTAAACTCGACAAGTTACCATTAAAAAACGAAAAAAAGACGACTCTAACGAGTATTTTATAAGAAGAATGATATTTAGTTTTTTTTTTAAATAAAATAATTAAGGGTAGTATCTGTGGTCCTACAAAATATTTGAAAAATATAATGGACGTACGACGAGTAGGTAATAAACTTAGATTATATAGATAAAATGTTTCCATACAAATGCTTTGCCAAAAGAAGTAAAATTTTTATCCATATGTGTCTGAGAAGGTAAGGAAAGTACCATAATGTACATTTATTACTCAATATATGGGAGAACTTATATAATCTTAAACTTACGAATATATTTGAAAGAATCAGATAAACAGAGCATAATGATTAAAGGTAATAAAAAACGAAATAAAAAATTTAAAAATCTCAAAGTTTTGAAAACATCGTAACCTATATTTTTTGGCATTTAGATATGAGAAAACAAAATTAAATTAAAAATAGAAAATTACAAGAAAATTTAATTAATTATTTTCTTCGGATATTCTACCAAACTGTTTAGCTTGCTTTCGTTAATTACTTCGTAACTGTTTTCAGCACTTTTCTGAATGCCTGGTACCTGTTTCTCGTAGGCACTAATTATAATTAAATTAAATAAGATCGCAGCTAGGCATAATATAAATAAGAACCTAATATAACCAATAAGATAGCATTTATTTGAAAAATAATTTAAATAACGTCGAAAAAGTATGAATAAAATAAAGAGGATTATGATTTACATAATCCTAACATAAAACTCGAAAAATGTCCATAGGACGAGTGAGTAAATAAAACTATAAAAAATGCAAAAATAATTTCCGAGAAATCTAAAAGTTGAGCGACGCTCCGCCAGTAGGACAATTAAAAGTCCGGAAGCAAAATTGGTCCATTAATTAAAAGAGTTGTCGAGAGTTCCGCTTCAGTAGTTTGGTCCGTTCCAGTAATCCGCAGTGGCTAGATGTCTAGATTATATTTTATGAAGTTTTGCGTTTCACGTACAGCGTACCTAAACTGTTCATTTTGGAATTATATCCTTTATGGGACAGACAGGGAGAGCAAACGACAAATATCAAAGTCACATTGTTAATTCTTAACTATTGAATTTCTTTCATATATATATATATATATATATATATATATATATATATATATATATATATATATATATATATATATATATATATATATATATATATATATGTATATACATCTATATATTATATATTTTTTTATTTTGATTTTTTTTTATTGTTTAGATTTTTATTTGAAAGATATTTACTTACAGATTTATTACTTACACATACAGATTATTTACTTACAGATTGGTGAAACAAAAAACGGCCTAATCGTTAATCAATCTCTTCCAACCTTTGGGTAGAGGACATTAAGAAAAAAGGCAGTTTTTGATTGGTTCTCTTTTTTTTAGACAACATCGCGCCCGTCAGTCTTGCCGATGCTGATGGCGAGTTGCCTGAAGCTGCCAACTTCTGCGCTTACGGTCAGGAAGGCGAAGGTCAGTACAGTAATTATATAATCGGTCATTTAATTAATTGACCAGCTGATTTTTAACACTGTCATCTTTTATGCACTATCTTTATCCTGTGAAATAAATTAAAAGGAGAATTAGAAAGTATTAAAGGCAAAATAAGAGAGAATAGAAGGTAAAAAAAGTATCTAAAATTCAATTATTTTATGGTATGCATTGTTTGTTTCTCGCCGTGTGTGTCCTGGCATAGAATGGGCTATCCCTTCCTTTCCCATGGGTGTCATAAGAGCCGACTAAGGAAGGGCGAGGGTTGGGCAGCAGCGTCCCCCTTAAAACATCTCTAAAAGCCTAACTGCGGTTGCCAACTCTACCTGACAACTACTGGTAAAACTCCCCTTATGGAAAAGTCTTATGTCCAGCAGTGGACAGTTAACGGCTGAAATAATAATAATAATTGTTTGTTTCAGCCCCTGGTGAGAGATTGAGCTGCATCAACGTAGATCTGTCGGTCGGTGAAGACGGATCCATCGTCGCCGACAGCGAGGATGGAGAGGCCTCTCGTGTAAGTATTTCTGTAACTTAGTATCTATGCAATTCAGAATGGCATACAAGCTGCCGGCTCACCAGATAGAAAGTGATAACCGTCTTGCTTAGATCCAAACGGATTATGTCCGAACGGACATCACAAAATACGAGTACATTCTAACGCCTATAGTTTTAACTTTATACCACTGAGGTGGCAAACAAGCACATAGCCCACCTGATGGTAAGCGGTTACCGTAGGCTATGAATGCCTGTAATATCAGGGGCATTACGCACTTTTAGTCGACCCAGAAGAAACCTCTTTATTCCTTTTTTGAAGAACCCCATGCTGTAGTCTCTTGGACGTGGTAGTATGGTAGTTACTGCGCATTGCTATTCCTAAAGATTAAGGTGTTAAGAATCCACACTTTGAAATTTTACTGTCATGCTCCAGTCTTCAAAACGAAACAGTCATGTAGACAATTTTTTTAAAAAGTCTTTCTTTTATGTATTTTTTTTAGCAATTACAATATCCGTCTTTATGGAGGGAAAGGGATTGTTAGTAATGAGGTCAAATAGCCCCATTGCTAGCAGTATACCCTCTCAGGTCGACCTCCACGCGGTTCCCCCTGGAAACCATCATGGTTAATTCTTGTCGAATTCATCATGGTGGACCAACTGACCCGCATTCATTTTCACCTATCATCTTCCACTGGTGCCTCGACGGTGTATACCAATAGCGCGGACGGGGTTGCCATTCCATTATCATTTATTAAAAAAAAAAAATTCCGTCTTTCATCAGATCACGTCAGATCCTTTATGGGGCAGTTAGAGGAAACTGTGATAAAAAAACAAAGACTTATATCTATATATTTGTACAGGAAAACCAGGGCCACATTATGACAAGTAGAAATAGTCCAAGATTACAAACTAAGTCACTAATAGGTCCTCACATCATCATTATCATATCAGCCCTTAACAGTCCACTGCTGAACATAAGCCTCCCTCGTGGGGGGTTTTGGCAGTAGTTGCCACGCTTGACAAGCGGATTGGCAACCACAGGTTTTAGATAAATTTTAAGAGAGACGTTGCTGCCCATCTCTTGCATTCCCTTAGTCGCCACTTACGACACCCACGGGAAAGGAAGTGGTGGCTTATTCTATGCCGGGACCACACGGCCAGGTTCTCACAAACAGTAACAAAATAGCAGTGCAACAAAAGCAGGAATAAACAAAAAAAAAAACAAATGAATGAACGAACAAAAAAAAATTATCATTCTTTTTATTTATACTTTATTGTACACACAAAAATTACATAGTTAAAGTCTATATTAAATGAAGATGTACAACAGACGAGCTTAACTCTGTAGGAGTTCTCTTCTAGCAAACTCTGAGTGGAAAGGAGCATTAATTACCAGCGGGCAGTGTGCTGTACGCATAAGAAGTGGAAACAGTATAGCACTAGTACTCACTTATTATTAAAAAAAAAAGAAATAAAAACTCAATGCACACAGATACTTGATTAAATTCATACATACATGTCTTGCTTCATCCACTTTCAAAATCTATTCATGCATGATGCACTTAGGTTCTATAAAGACTTAGCATTTATTTTAGCCAATCTGTCAACCACAAAGTTATATAAAATATTTCACAACTAGGAAATCTACTCTTAATAGAAATTGACTGCTATAGTTTACGATTTTGTGCAATTATGGTGCGTGAATGCAATGAGCAAATAATGTTGCGTTCACGCCATTCAGATATCTTACGTTGAAACTGGTTTTAGTTCTAATATTCAGTATTTAAAACGAAAGATTTTTTCTTATAGGTGATAATGAAATGGTAATCCAGCCTGCTGTATACTGGCGGGGTATCAGTGAGAGATGATAGGTGAGGATGAAGTAGGTCAGTTAGCCCATCGTGATGATGAATTCGTCACAGTGGGCTAATTAACCTACTTCATATACCTATTCTTTATTGTACACAAACGGTTATTAAAATGTAAAAACAAAATAATAGTGCACTAAGGCGAGCTTATTTCCAATAGAGATTTCTTCCAGCAAACCCAATATGAGAAAAATGACAGTTCATTAGTAGTTACAGTCATACATGTGTACCAATCGACTTAAATGTTGTAGTTAAAAATAAATAAATAAAATGTCTTTACAATTGAAAAGACCAATAGGTATAAATAAATGAAGATGATGATTCTATTTTTACTTTGCGATGTCATTTTCGGCTATGCTGTTATTCTGTAGTGTCATCACTACATAGTATAAAACAAAGCCGCTTCCCGTCTGTCCCTATGTATGCTTAGATCTTTAAAACTATACAACAGATTTTGATGCGGTTTTTTTTTAAATAAATAGAGTGATTCAAGAGGATGGTTTATATGTATAATACATGCATAATATAATAGAGAAACACTTATAATTTTATAGGTTTCTAATGTGATGTAAGGTAATGGCACCCGTGCGAAGCCGGGGCGGATCGCTAGTGTAATAATAATGATTAAATATAATGATTAAATATAATAATGATTTTTGTACACAGTTCGACATCGGAGCTCCTCTTATCGTGGACGGCGTGCAGTACGGTATCCTCGTAAGCTCCGAAGGTGACGGTGCTGGTAGTGAGTACCTATTTATCGTTTTTTATAATCTTTTAAACCTTGTGCAAATTTACGAATCTGCAGTTTTTTCAAATTTGACATTTCTTTAAAAATCTACATTTTGCGTTATGCTACTTATTGTGGCTTATTTTCAAATTTCTATCTCTAACGATTAAAGGAATCGAGTAGCTCGATTCTCCATATTTTTGTGATCTACCCAAAGTAAACTTACTTAGCACATTTTTATAGTATTTTCTGTAATAAACACTTTTTATGAAATTTGCAATAATTATTTTATCAATTTTTCAATCCTAATTTAGTTATTTTACATGAATGATTGCTATAACGTTGTTATTTAAACTGAAGTTCTCTCCAAAACACGTGATTTATACCTTGGTATATTTTCGAAAGTGGCATTTTCGTTAGTTTGCCAGATATTAAAATAAATGATTTTCTTTGGCAACTTACGAAACTGCCACTTTCGTAGATTTGCTGTTGTATAACTCAATACCTGGGAACTCTCATGTATGAAGGTGCAAAGTAACGAATATGCATTTATTTCTGATACTTGTAATATAGTAATAATTAATTAAGCGCATTCAATAAAAAAACAGGATTTTAAAACTAAAATGTTAGCATGATCTTTTTCAGTAGTCTTCTATCAAAAGTTATTTGCATTCTAATGTTTCAAAACGTTCCCCTGTAAAATGTATCTATTTCAGTTTCGTAAGTTTACCATAAAGGTGACGATATATAGAATTCCCCAGACATAAAACTAATTTAGGCTTGCATACTCCTGCCCCTGTCTCGTGGTTAATCCATACGTACAATTTCTATAACGAGTCCCTAAATTTTGATATATTTCACGACCAACCCAAGTCATTTAGGAATAAAATTTTAAAAATTCTTCCATAATGCTTACCATAATTTCCATAACTAATAATTCTGATTTTGTGTACACTATTGTAATACCCGAGGGAAACTTTGTACGAAAGTCGATTGCTTGGGTACCTCTGTTCCATTCGTGTTTTTACCGTGAAGTAGTTGTGTTTCGGTTTGAACGGTGCGTGCGATATTGCGTGAATTTATAGGGTACAGAGGAATAATATTTGAGTCCTCAGGAATGGCAACGCATGGGGGGTATCATGGGCGAAACAGTATACTCTGTTATGTCCATGGTGCTGCTCATGTGTATAGGCGACGGTTACCACTTTCCATCAGGTGGGCCGTCAGCTTGTTTGCCATTCTAAGTTGTATATAAAAAAAAAAACTATTGTAATAATTATATGTTTTAAGTATTCTTATATTATCACTTGTATTTTTTCTATAGCTTTGTTGGTGTCAGTTTTATTAATATGTAATCGACGCCTTAAGAAAATGTTGTATACATCTGTAATTGGTGAAAATGCAAGATGCAAGCCTTGTATATCAATTAAAATCTATCTCTGTATTTACACTGTTGATGTACCTTTTAAAATAAATAAATAGAAATACTAACTTTTACTCGCGATTTCGGCTGCGTGATCAGGAAATATAGTACATAATAGGTTTTATACGCGATATAAATAGAACATAAACGGCCGTATCTTTTGATTGCATCGATTTAGAAGCTTGATTTTTTCATTGTTTCAAAAGATTGCAGAATTGGGTATACGAGATTAATTTCAACTTGATACCTCCACGCGTTCCTTAGAGAAAGGGTCTTGACTGACGGACGGACAGACAACGGAGTGTCCTATAAGGGTTCCGTTTTTTCCTTCGGAGGAACGGAACCCTAAAAATGCTATAAAAACATAATATGACATATAGGTTTCTCGAATATGAAAATTAAGTTGCTCAAGATGACCAAAAAGGCACTATGAACTTAGCATCTCTCTCTTAAAGCCTACATGTTTATTTCGCAGCGTTCCTGAACCTGGCCAGCTACAGAGACTGGATCGCAACTGAGACTGGTGGGCTCAGCTTTCACGAGCAGGACGAAGGTCTAGCTGTCAAATTTGTCGACAATTAAGGGCTGGTGGATGCACGCAACGACTGCACTGTGTTGTATTAACGTCGTGTTGTAATATGAAAAAGAATTTCAAACAGTAATGTAATATGTTGATTTAATAATAAAAATTGAAATTAAAACCTGTGTTTATTTACCCATCCATCTATATAATATCCAGAGGGAGATTTTGTACAAAAGTCGATTGCTTGGGTACCTCTGTCCCATTTGTGTTTCTACCGTGAAGCAGTTGTGTTTGCATGGCTGTCTTTCGATTTGAAGGGTGGGATATGGTGTGAATTTACTGGGTACAGAGGAATAACACCTGAGTCCTCAGGAATGGCAACGCATGGGGGTATCATGGGCGAAACAGTATACTCTGTTATGTCCATGGTACTGCTCATGTCTATTGGCGACGGTTACCACTTTCCATCAGGTGGGCCTTCAGCTTGTTTGCCATTCTACGTTGTATAAAAAAAATTAACCCTTTAATTTTTAAATCCTCGAGTTTAACTCTCATCGGTATATTCGAAATTCATCGGCCAACAAATCGGTGTGTTTTGCAACGATTGCAGTAGTTGTTTTAATTTAAACGAGTAAAATGCATTTGTGATATAATGCACTTTTATTATATTTTAATAAATAAAACTGAGAATTTTATAGTTCAAAGTTTCATAATCACATATTATATTTTAATGTCATAACTACCGGTTTAATTTACGTGTAATTAGGCGCGCAATCAGGCACACGCTCGTGTAACAGCCGCTCATGATTGAGGATCACGAATCGATCCCGAAACTAGTCGAGCTTTCTTGATTTTTTTATGCAACTTAGAATGGCAAACAAGCTGACGGCTCATCTGATGGGAAGTGGTAACCGTTGTCTATAGTCATGAGCAGTAGCATGGACATGATTTAATTACACGTTATTACATTAAAAATTGAGTTTAAATTTACATAATACATACGTAGTGTATGTATTAGTACATACACTACGTATGTATTGTATGTGTAGTACAATACATAAGTAGTGTATGTGTAGTACATTTATAAACTCAGATTGCAAAATAAATACATTGCACTTGTAAGGTTCACTCTCGTAGGATGCAATTAAAAAGAGATATTTTAGGGTACCGTATTAATTATATTATAATAATAGAATATAATTTATTATCATTATCATCATGTCATGGCTGTGTGGTCCCGGCATAGAATAGGCCTCCCCTTCCTTTCCCGTGGGTGTCATAAGACCTGACTAAGGGAGGGCGAGGGATGGGCAGCAGCGTCCCTCTTAAACAGTTTTAAAGCCTGACTGCGGGTGCCATTCCGTCTGTCAAGCGTGGCAACTACTGGCAAAACCCCCCAAGGGAGAGGCTTATGTTCAGCAGTGGACAGGTAAAGGCTGATATGATAATCATCATAAGGGGAGTTTTGCCAGTAGTTGCCATGCTTGGCAGGCGAATTGGCAATCGTTATAAAGATTTGGTGATATTTTAAAAGAGACTCTACTGCTCATCCCTCGACCATTAAGTTTCCTTAATCGCCTCTTACAACACCCACGGGAAAGGAAGCGGTAGTTCATTCTATGCCGGGACCACACGCGTCGAATATATGATTTGTATTTATAACTAGCGGCCGGTCCCAGCGTCGCACGGGTGGACATTTTTAACATTTCCCTTCACTGCTCCGCTCCTATTGATCGTAGCGTGATGAAAAGTATACTATAACCTGCCCGGGAGTATGAAGAATAATTGTACCAAGTTTCGTTAAAATCCGTCGAATAGTTTTTGTTTCTATAACGAACATACAGACGGATAGACAAAAATTTTACTGATTGCATTTTTGGCATCGGTATCGGTCATTAATCACCGCCTGATAGTTATTTTGGAAATATATTTCATGTACAGAATTGACCTCTCTACAGATTTATTATAAGTATAGATTGTACTATTACTATTATACTAGAAAGGCACCAGTTTACTTAACAATAGATAGTTTTAGAAAATAACATTTTAACTTTTTTTAAGCGGACTTTTTATAAATCTTTCTACAGCTACTATATTAACTCATATTTTGTAAATTTCATCGCAATCAGTACAGCCATTTTTACGTGAAATGCTATAGTGCTAATACACATATTTTACATTCTTCACATAGGCGATATAAAAAGATTTAACGCACAATGGTGGACTTATCCCATAAAGGGATTTTTCTTACACTCAACCTTTGGGAAGTTGAAAGGGTTTAATAGTATGGTCGAGGGTGAATACTGTATAGGCGAGATAAAATGCTAATACATCTACCTATATATTATACATTGATTATATCTATTAGGCATGGCTAATATTGGTACAGCTCCAATATCTATATATTGGGTACTTTTGGATACCATAAGTGGACATTTATTACTGTTATTAAGGCCCCTCGTATCAATTTATCTTAAATATCTTCCATATAATGTCTAATTACATTTTAATTATATTAGTAAAATAAGATGTGAAATTGAGTTTGTTAATTTGTACCTTAACAGTTCACCCAGTCGGCTTCAATTTTGGTATACATGTTATATATGGGAGGATAAAGGGCACAGACTATGGTAAGCTAGTCCTTACACATTTTGTAAATTAACAGTCAAAAAACTAGCAAACACATATAAGTACGTCAACTCTAACACTACACTAAAACAAACAGGTATACTAGTTAGTAATATTTGATACTAGCTATCCGTAAATAGAGTTTTCAAAAGTAATATATAAATATACAGATATTGCTATATATTACCCATCCTTAATACGTATATATATATATATATATATATATTAATGGGTGATAATGGAATGGTAATCCTGCCCGCACTATCGGTATACACTGGCGGGGCATCAGTGAAGGATGATAGGTGACGATGGAAGCAAGTCAGTTAGCCTATCGTGACGAATTCAACAAGAATTGCTCACGATGGTTGCCAGGGGGAACCACGTGGAGGTCGACCTGATAGGGCATATAGCTAGCAATGGGGCTGTCAAACTCCATTGCTAACAATCCCTTTCCCCCCTGTATATATATTGTTCTACCTGTGAAATTGAACATTTTTTCTAAGGAAATGAAGAGTCGATAAATGATAAATATTTGTTTTTGAATTTTTGATTTATGAACTATAGGCCTCTCTCAAAAGGAGGGTTTTGTTAGTAGTTGCCACGCTTGGTAAGCGGATTGGCAACTGCAGTTAGGCTTTGGTGATGTTTTAAGAGGGACGCTACTGCCCATCCCTAGACTATTAAGTTACATTAGTTGCCTCTTACGACATCCACGGGAAACCAAAGAGTGGATCATTGTATGCTGGGACTACACAGCACTTCATTCTGTATATTTTATATTATATATATCAATGGAACGTCAGTTTTTTACAGTACTTAGTGTGGCAATTAAGTTAATAGTCCATTTGAAGGAATGTGGAAAGATATAATACCATGGACTCCACAAAACACACTATCATGCCCATAGTATCTCCTCATGAGTTGCCAATTTTAAAGATTGTGGTGTAGCCAAAACGTAGCTACCAACATATACAACCGCTTACCATCAGGTGGGCCGTATGCTTGTTTGCCACCTCAGTGCTATAAAAAAATATAACATTATTGCTTCACGGGAGAAATTCTAAGAGGACAAAGCTGTGCATGCAGACGACTTTTATACAAAGTCTTCCTTTGATATTGCGTCGATTGTGGTAAAAAACAACTTAAAAACGTTCAACAATTTGTTATTGACATGACTTTTACACAGTTGTACTTATAAATAAAATAAGTATGCCCATTGTAAATTTACAAAAACTCGTAAAATTTTACAATCAGGTTCTTTATGAATTTATTTTAATGATTTATTTAGTTAATGAGGAGGAAAATTTAATTAAACTTATTTAAATATTCCAGTCCCACCTCTTATTTCACACTTGTTTACTGTGTAAATAGTTGTGGAAGTCACCAAAGGGAGACTGTACAAAAGTGTTTCGATTTGAAGGGTGGAATATGGCGTGAATTTACTGGGTACAAAGGAAAAACACCTGAGTCCTCAGGAATGGCAACGCATGGGGGGTATCATGGGCGAAACAGTATACTCTGTTATGTCCATGGTACTGCTCATGTCTATAGGCGACGGTTACCACTTTCCATCAGGTGGGCCGTCCGTCAGCTTGTTTGCCATTCTAAGTTGTATAAAAAAAAAGGTCAACTTCCATAACATTTAAAGCTTGTTCTATTTGTTATAAGTCGCCTATAGACATGAGCAGTAGCATGGACATAACAGAGTAGATATACTGTTTCGCCCATGATACCCCCCATGCGTTGCTATTCATGAGGACTCAGGTGTTATTCCTCTGTACCCTGTAAATTCACGCCATATCCCACCCTTCAAACCGAAACACAGCCATGCAAACACAACTGCTTCACGGTTGAAACACGAATGGGACAGAGGTATCCAAGCAATCGACTTTTGTACAAAGTCTCCCTCTGGTGAATATGTATACGTCAGGAGATACCCGTCATGTTTATTTGTTCTTTACTACATATTGAGGCACGGAACCTTCTGGTCGCATTTGCACTGCATTAATACAACGAAACCGGACCACTAATTCAATATTTATGATACATCCGACCGGCGCGCGCTTCGCAACCGGTGCGCTTGTCGATAAGTCAGTGGTAATTGTAATTATCACTAATTATGGGTTTTTAGGATGTTGTGTGTGATTATTAATACACATAAAGAATGCAGTGTAGGACAACCCCCCGCTAGTTGGAGTGATGACTTTAAATGCATTGCAGGGAGTCAGTGGATGCAGGAGGCTCAGAAACGTTCTTTATGGCAGTCTATAGGGGAGGCTTATATCCAGCAGTGGACGGATAATGGCTGAAATGATGAAGTAGATAAAGAAAAGTTTGTCTTTTTAATTTTCGAATAATGGTATAGGTAATTGGGAATTAAAAATTTCAATATTTTTTATATATTAAACTGTTTTTTTTTACTATTGTAACACCATAGACAAGACATTTTAAACGCAGATTAAACAAATATACGATATATAAGTTGTTTTCTGTTGTTTTCCTTGTACATATATGAAGTGTTAATTAACACTTCATATAGTGGACACACGT